CCGGCTTTTTAAGCTAGTATTAGCAAGGAAGGTATATAAAAGAGACCTCCCGGACCTACTAGTAACTAGAAGCAGCTAGAAAAACACCCCTTTAGAGACTAGTTTTTCTAGGCCTAGAAAGACCACCTAGCCTTACACGAAGAGATAGGGTCTTTCGAAGAAGTCCTTAAGGAAAAGGTAAGAGGAAAATAGGTCCTTAGCTATAAGTAGGTCTTTATCTATAAGACTAATAAACACGGCTTCCTTTAAAAGTATAAAGCCCGGCTAGTTATCTACGGGAACTAGTAGGAAAAAGGGGATCTTCCTACTAGGGCAACTACCCTAGTAGGGATATCTTTTCGGACCCTTATAGCTATAGTAGCAGAATTCGACCTCGAACTCGATTAGATAGATATAGTTAACGCCTTTATTAACTGCCTACTCGAGGAAGAAGAAGTTATCTATATACGCCCTCTACTAAGCTTCTAATAGCTAGGAAAGGTTCTACGGCTTAGGAAAGCTCTATATAGACTACGAAGATCACCCCTTCTTTAGCAATAGCATTTAATAGGTTCCCTCGAAGCCCTAGGCTTTAAGAAAGTCCCTTAGGAACCGTGTATAATATAAAAGGGTAAAATCACGGTCTTCTTTTACGTCGATAATATTATCTAGGCCTACCTAAAAGAGGAAGAAGCTGCTGCTAGGGAGGCTATATAAGGCCTATAATAAAGGTATAAGATAACTAGGCTAAGGGAGCTAAAGTAGTTCCTAGGGATACGAATCCTTCGGAATAGGTCCTAACGGACTATCTAGCTTACCTAGGACGCCTATATCGATAAGGTCGCTTATAAATTCCTCCTTAATTCCCTCGATAAGAAGCTTCCCTCTACGCCTCTATTAAACGAAGAGCTTTTACCTAATCCGTCCTTTTAAGCTAGGGAGCAAGAGAAACACTAATATTAATAGAAGGTAGGCTCCCTGCTTTTTTAGCTATTTCTACTAGACCGGATATCTCTTTTACGGTCTCCCGGCTAGCTAGGCATAACTAGAATCCTAGCCCTAGGCATTAAGAAGCAGTAGACAGAGCTATCCTTTATCTCTATTTAACGAGATTATATAGTCTATACTTAGGAGGGTAAGAAAGGAAGAAATTAGCTGCCGAAATCTTCCTCTATTCGAGCGATTCGTCCTTTATAGATAATTCCTTAGATAGAAAGAGCTTATAGGGGTATATTATATCCTTTTTTAGAGGAACTATTACTTAGAGAGCTTCGAAGTAGGCTACCGTTACGACTTCTAGTACGGAGGCAGAGCTACTAGCTCTTTTAGAAGCGTTAAAAGAAGCGATTTTCCTTAGCTAGCTATTAATATCTCTACGACTATAAATTCCGACCCTATTAGCTATAGAATGCGATAATACGTAGACTATATAAATTCTTACGGAAAATAGTAAGTTATCGACCCGGCTACGGTATATCGATATCTACTAGCATTAGTTACGCTAAGAGGTCTAAAGGGGACTTATTTCCGTCCGTTAGGTTCTAACGGTATTAATAAAAGCCGACGGTCTTATAAAGCCCTTGCCGAAGTAGAAGCTAGCTATCTTCTTATAGCAAATTAGGCTAGAAGACGTTTAAGAGAAGCTATCCTTAGAGGCCCGCCTTAAGAGTCTACGAGAGGAGCTAATAGCCCGTACGAGAAGGTAACGTCTATAGCCAAGAAAAGGAAGAGGTTTTTCCCTTTAGGGCCCCCTATTTTAATTGGGTTTTTCCTTCTAAGAAGGCCCCTTTCTTATAGGACTTTCCCTCTTTAGCCCCTTTTCCTTAAGTAGGTCTAAAAGAGCCTAGGGACCCGAAAGGGCCCCTGCTTTCCTCGAGTAAAGGGAGAAGTGCAGAGCTAAGAACCTCCTCTATACGCTCACCAGCCTAAAGCCGTATTAGCTATGCCCTTACTATAAGGGCAGGCCATAGCTAAGGGGGTATGTCGCGAAGCGTGGCCTGATTTCGCAGTTCTCGAAGATATCCCTTAGCAAGAGGGACTAAGGAAGCTAAAAACACCCGGTGTAGAAGAAGGAGCCGAGAAGAGGTGCAGAAAGGAGGGTAGGGGCATAAGGGAAAGCATAAAGTAGCGAGAGATAAGACGGATATACCGGAAACGGCTATAAAGGAAGGAAAAAACCGGCAAAAAGCTTAGTAGTTAAAAGGATATTAGTAGCTTCTTTAAGCAGGATCTTCTTTATTAATTGAGATGCTAGACGGGTATAAATAGGGGCGTTGGATAGAGGAAAGAAGGATAATTAAGGCAATATAACAATCACTCCCCTACTACAATTGCTGCCCCCGTAAGATTTAAATATCTCTGCCCTGCCTATCCGACCCCTTACTTCTAATTTCACCTTCGTGCATTTTATATACACTTCTCGTATCTCTCTTCGCGAGAGAAAAAGGCTATATAGTAATAGAGGTAATAGTCGCCTCTTTTATAAAGAGAACTAGATATAGGGAGAATATTTAACTATAATAATAAGACTTTAAATATTAAAAGGATAGTTAAGGTAAAGGATAAATAATATTTATAGGATCTTACTCTTTAATTTAATACTACTTTTAGCTATATAGCCTATATATATTTTATAGGTACCTCGTACTAAGATAAGTATAAACGATTAATATAATAAAACTAAATAGGTAATACTTATAGGTAGCTCGAATATATATATATATATATTTAGGTACCTATTTTAAACTTACCTACCTACTAAGTATTTATAGTAGCCCTAAATAGCCCGTAGGTAGGTATAGGTAGCTTATAAGTAAATACCTATAAGTATTTTTAAGTCTACCTAGCTCTTCCGCTCGAAGCTTATACTATTAACCGCTAGTAGCGCGTAGAAGGCGGTGAATAGAATCGAGGACCATATAAAGATCGTGGTTAGCTAACACGTAGGGTTAATAAGAAGAAGGAAGAGGCACAGTAAAAATACTTTTAGAAGTCTACATAGCGCTCTGCTATTGTTCGCTTAAGAACGTCTTCTGTCCTTCTCTACGGACTAATTACCCATGTTCCTGCTTATCTTAAGATAAGACTTGCTGAGTTCCTTAGCTTTTTGATCCACATTCTTTCTAAATTTAGCTGCATAAGCAGCTCCTCAATGACTGAGTCCATTTTTAGTGGCATTACCACCATGGCAGCACTTCCCCCAGCCTACCTCAATTATACCAGAGTGCACTCGGTGACGAGCAAAGTCGTCATATGTAAGCTTACTACACTGGTTGAAAATTTATTGTGTAAACTGACTCTAGCGGCCCGCGGCAGGTCCTTGTATATGTCTCGGAACATCGGCAAATATCTGCGCCCTTGCTAGGATTGTAAGCACTGCTAGCAGAGCACTTTCTGTTCATGCAACTCATCTGCGCGATTACAACCCTCTGTAGAGTAGATAATGTTCTATAGCTCTTAGTCGTAAGCATTAGCAGGGCTAGCTGGACTGATGCTGCTGCCCTAATAACTCCTATAGCATTTTTGTACCTGGTCTTACGCGTCTATGAGCGTGCTGCTTGGATATATAGCTCAAGGACTCTCATCCACGGTGAAAATTAATTTTCTCCTTTACTCTAGTCATCGGAAACCTTGACAGCCCCCCCTCGTCTCGTCGCCTTTATCCCAACAAGACAAACTTCATCATCATCAGAATGCTCGCCGCTAATATCCTCGCCGCTGTCTTTGCTACTGTCGTGGCCGCAGAATCAGCCGGAGTTCAGCAGGACAATATTTTCGCTGCAGTAAATGCCCTCCCGGCTGGTGGACGTAACGATTTACAGGCACTTTGTAGCTCACATTCTGGCTATAATTAACGTAGGGTATTCTTTACACGCAACCCGACTTCCATGGCTCTTCCCGCGTTCTGGAATTTGGACCGTGCACCAATTTAAAGGGTCCTTTGTAAGATCTCGATCCCATCTCTCTGTTTCTAGTACAGCCATCAACTGACAAGCGCTATAGGTTCGATAGTATCCGCTCTATTCGTGTTAGTGGCAATAGCGACTGCCTGATCTACTCGTAAGACACATGGAGCACTTATGGAGAAGTTTCAAGGGTATGCAGGATTTATTAACGATGTTGCAGACTGGATAACTGCCGAGGTGCCCAGACGAGTTATAGGCACAGTAATGCCAATATCCACTCTCCTCGCAGCCGCTCTGCTCACTGCGTGCGTGCGTGACTGTCCATCCTTAAAGTAGTGTAGCATTAAGAACTTGGACAGGAAGTGGCTATTCATAGACGAGATAATGATAAAATACATGTGCATTTCAGCCATCATATATATCGAACATTATTGCCCATTTGTAGCATGGAGAAGATAGCAAGTTCCGGAAAGACCTTTATTAGGTAGAAGAATAAGAAGGAATAAGTGACTGGGTAGAAAAGCTCCAGGTTCTTTTAACCAAGGGATCATCTAGCTATTTATATATTATCTGGCCTTCCAGTCGTTACTTAAGTTATGAACGGACGGCCTCTAAAATTCTTTGGGACATGCAGTTGCTAAAGGCCTCTGCCATGCTATTCAGGCACTTGAAGCGTCAGTGCAGGTTTCATAGAACGTCGAGGGGAGGACGCGCTTATGCAATCGGTTTCCGTGGTGACAATTCAGCAGCCGAAGACACCCTGCAGATCAAGTTGTTATATCTTTGCAAAATTCAAACGGGAGCGAAGAACGGCTCACTGTTTGCAGCCCTGGCAACATGCGGTCTCTTATCTCTTGCCACCCTCGGGCTGCGCTCTGAACACGAGGCAAAGCCCAGCCTGCGACGGGTTTCCGTAGAGATTAGCTTGAGCTATATTTTCTTTCCCTCATCTCTCCTCCTCCTTTCACTCTCCTCTCTACATTCTCTCTCTTTCCCCCTCCCGTCTCTCATTTCCTCCCCCCTCACCCTTCTTCCTTCACACTCTTCCCTTCCTCCGCACGTTCTCTCTACTCCTTTACACTCAACGCAGCACCTTGGCTCGACAACCCAGCCACAATGCCCAAGCGCCGCGCCGCTATTATCACTGACTCCGACGTTGACGAGTCTTCTCCGTCAGGAGACGACGTGGGCATTGATATTCTCATTGCCACACGTGGTGATCTGATACTCTTGGTCGGCGAATCGAGACGCCGGATTCGAGTCCACTCCGAAGTCATGCATGAAGGCTCAAGTGTCTTTCACGTTTTGCTTGGCAGCAGGCCCAATGCCAGTCCTCGGGAAGCCAATAAACGCCCTATTGAGCTGAGCCTCCCAGACGATAATGCAGGGACTATCGCCCTTCTCTGTAATATTCTGCACTGCGCTACAACCTTGAAGCATACGCCCAGCTCGAGAGAGATACTTGCCTTGGCTAAAGCTGCTCGCAAATACAATGCTTTGCCGCGGGCTGTTTTCACAGCAGAGGTTTGGATCGAGAAACTCTCCGGCTTCCAGAATAGTGAGCTTCTCTGGGATCTTCTTCTCGCCGCGTACGAGATGGACCTGGATGGTAGCTTCGACAAAGTGAGCCGCCAGCTGCTTTTAATGCACTCTGGATCGTTTCGAGAACTCGTGGGCTATGTCGCACGAAATTGCTTGGCCGCTGATCTGTAAGATTACCTCGGAACCGCAAGCACCACGCTGAGCAAGAACAACAGCTGACCAATTCTATGTAGTAGCTTTGGAGGAGGCCCGATCCGAAATTCGAGGACTCATTGCTTGCAAAGTTTACTGCGCGTTTGATTGCGTCTTGACAGACGACAATGAAGATGTTTGCACATGCCATCTGGAAAGCAGGCGGGCTCAACAATGGGTTATGTGCGCTCAGAAGCGGTTTTGTCCTTGGCAAATATACAAATATTCCATTCACCACGTCCTCGACAGGATAGACGACATTGTCGAGTATGACCACCCGGACGGAGTGCCATGCACCGGTCAAGAAACCGCGCACGTTTCTCGCCATCCACGATCCATAGTTCCTCGCTATGTGAGGAAGGAAATCGCATACGTCATGGAAGAGGTAAAAGGGCTTTGCAGGCTCTGTTTCAAGAAAAGCGAAGTCTCCCTCAGTTTGTGCCGCCACCGCTGTCCAAGCAGATCCCCTACGGGCGAGAAGAATCCATGGGCTGTGTTTCTTCATGATTGGGAGCCGTAGGCTTTCTAAGTGTCCGGGGTCGTTGCTTTAGGGAACTTGAAGGTGGGAAACATCAAACGGTCGAGAAGACTTGGATCGGTTGAGGGCGATTTCTACCACTTCTCGAGAGTCGAAGGGATGAAGTGGTGGAAAGAATGGATGGAGAGGGGAGAAAAGCACTGGTCAATGGGGGGGGGAGAAAAGTTTCCATTTGAGAGTTCGGAGTGAGTCTTGCAAGGCAGTGCGAAGCAAAACTTGATATTCTATTCGAGTCGATCACGGTGAGGCGAGACTCGAGGTTGAAGTTGAGGTCAGGATCACGAGCCCCACCGGCGCTCCCGCTACAGTGGTTGATGGCCTGTAAATTGGAGCTTCCGCACTAGACCTTATTAACTCGACCTCACAACTCGGCTCATCGACAGGCGCGCTGCATGACTCTGCCACAAAGATGAGGACACGGCGCTCGAACCGCACCAAGAGCTACACTGTTGAAAAATACGACTTTGAGAGCAGCGAGGCAGAGGCAGAGGCAGAGGCGCCGCCCCGACGCCGCAAAAAAACCGTCGCCGACGATGACGCGAGGGACGCAGATTTTGACGATGCTGCTGCCGCCAACAAGAATGACGACAAGGGCGACGACGACAAAGATGAAGACGTAGCAGGTCCAGTTCCGGGTCCAGAGGCGGACGCAGAGGCAGATGCAGAGGCAGAGGCGGACGCAGAGGCAGAGGCAGAGGCAGAGACGGAGCAGCAGAAACCGTCCCGCCGCCGCGTCAAGAAGCCCTCCGTCAAGGCCCTCAAGGCCCATCGCGCCGCCGCAGGCCCGGCCACCTACCGCGAACTCGAGCCCGTGCCCTCCGACAGCCACGCCGTCAAGAGCTACATCGGCCCTTACGACCGCTGTCTGCGCGGCCAGTCGCTCATCAAGATGTGGTTCGGCCCGCACCAGGACGCCGTCCGCGACACCCAGCGCCTACTCGACCGCTGGACCGCATGGCCCGTCTTGCCCCCAAAGGTCCTGCCGCGAGAGGTCGTGCCCGTAGGCGGCGACGGCGACGATGACGGCGACGAGTGGCGTCCTCTTGGCGAAAAAAATCTCTGGCTGAGTCCAGGCGCCGCCGATAGGGAGGGCGAGTTGGCCCGGCAGTGGCGCGCCCAGCTCGGGACCGCATCCTTTGCCGCCTCCAGGATCTTGACGGAAAGCGCGGCGGCGCCCTACATGCTCCCGGATCGCCCCCTTTCCGTTCTCCTGGGGCCCTATCCGGCTCAGCGCGTCGTTACCTTTCGGCCCGGCGATGCGTGTTGCCTGTCGCGAGCGGGAGTCCCCCTTGACCAAGGCGACAGCAACAACAGCGAAGCATCAGACGAAGACGAAGACGAAGACGACGACAAAGTCCCCATTGGTTGGATGATCGACGCTGGCGGCATCGTCGTCGGCATGGACTGGGCGCCGAGCGATCAACAGGACCCCCAGCAGAGCCAGCTCCTCGCCCTAGCCGTCGTCCCGCACGTCGACCAGGAGACGTACGACTATGAGACGGAGCACCAGAAACCCGACTTTCAGCGCCACGGCATCGTCCAGCTCTGGGCCCTGGGCGCCGAGCGCCTGGCCAACGGCATCGTCAGGCCCTCGACCCGCCAGCGCCCGACGCTGCGCAGGAGGCTCTGCTTCGACGGCGGGCGGGCGCGCAGGGTGAGGTGGAGTCCTGCCGGTGGGCATCTGGCCGTTCTCTGCGGCGATGGAAGCGTGCATGTCTTGGAGATTGGCGACGAGGACACAGACGGGGCATACGGTACGGTTGGGACTTTCGTTTCCATTTTCCATCATCTTCAAGGCATCTTCACGTCATGCTTACAATAGAGCCCAGAAAAGATTGAAGAACCGCTCGCCACCCTGGCCCTGTGGGACGAAGACGGCATTAAGGCAACATCCATGGCCTGGGCCACGTACAACCGGCTCGTCGTCGGCTACTCGGACGGCTCCCTCGCCCTGTGGTCCATCCACCCGGCGCGCCTCCTCGGCCGGCACCCCGTGCACCACAGCGAGGTCGTCGACGTGGCCACGGGTGCCCCGACGATGCCGTACCTGGTGGCCTCGTCGCCCGTCGGCGGCTCCGTCAAGCTCGTTGACGTGTGCTCGCCCGGCTGCGAGACGACCGAGGTGCAGATCAACGCTGTCAACAGCCAGCCCAACATGCTGGCCTGGAGCGACCACGTGCTCGGCTTCTTCTCCTCGTACCCGTCCGCCAACGCCCTCAACACCATGGTCGGCTTCGTCCACCACCGCCACTTCCCCATTGTCCGCCGCATCTTCACCGGCGAGTGCTTCCTCTCGTGCATCGCCGTCGGCCGCACCCACCCCTACCTCCTCGTCGGCACCTCAGACGGGTCCCTATGGAGCCTGAACCCGCAGTGCGAGCTCTTCAAGGCCCGCCGGCCCGCCCAGGACCGCATCCGCATCTTCCAGCACGAGCACCGGCCCCCCGGGCTCATGCCCCGGGACTCGCCCGCGCCGGCACGCGGGGCGTCGAGGATTCTGCACGGGTTCACCATGGAAAAGAATCTGCACGCCATGTCCGAGGGCAGGGCGCCCACGGCCAAGAAAGGGGCCAAGAAGGGCAAGAAAAAGGACGACGACGACGATGACGACGACGATGACGACGACGGAGCCGATGAAGCGGGGGGCGGTGGCGACGAGCCGTTTTCCCTCATGGACCCGACCCGCGGCATCTTGCACGAGCCCCTGACGAGGATCACGGCGGTCGAGTGGAACCCGAACCCAGGCTTCGGCTGCTGGGCGGCGGCGGCTCTGGGGTCGGGGCTGGTGCGCGTGCTGGATCTCGGACTTGAGAACGCTCGCTGAGTGGCGAACGAGGACTACCCGTTCGCTGGTTGGACAATCACTCAATCGGACACTGCGATCCCATGACGGTGTGATGGTGGTCAAAAGCCTTGATCATGCCGCAAAAGTGCGTCGCCGCGGCAAGCAGGACACAGAAGTGAAAGATTTGGTGGGAGCTGCCCCAGATGTCAAAGGCCCCGGGGAAGCTCCTCTCTGGCCAGCGAACCTGTTCAGGTCAGTCCTCAGTCTCGGGGGGACAGGCGCACTTCAGTGGGCTCACTGCATAGAGGACGGCACCAAAGATGTACATGGCGCCGTGGGCAATGACCCAGGAGATGCTCATCCTGTCCTCGACGACCTGGTAGCCGTGAACAGTGATGGCGTGGACAACGGGGATGACGCCCGACAGGCCGAGGCCGATGAACATGGCGGCTCGGTAGGGGCGCCAGGCAGGCGTGCGGAACGTCTCTATCCAGGAGACGACGGCGCATCCGGCGCCGAGGAGGGATATCTGACCGGGAAACAAGGTTAGGGATACATGTACATTTACATACCACTATACTCTCGAGGAGCATCGACTCACCACAGACAGGTAGACGGTAAGCAGGGCAGGCTGGCAGAAGAACCCATAATACAATGCCGGCACGTAGCTGCCCATGATGAGGGCGACAATGCCCGTGTAGTCGAGCTTGTTCCCCCAGCGGGCCACCTCCTCGCTATGATCCATGAGGGCATGAAAGGTGGCGCTCATGCCGAGGCACAAGACGGCGCCGCCAAAAAAGCACGAGAAGACGGCGAGGTCGGCGGGCGAGGCGGACGCATAGCGCGGGCGGAGGGCGCAGTAGAGGTAGGCGGCGGCAGATGCAGCGACGAGGGCGCCGACAAGGTGGGACCAGATGTTGACAGATTCGTTGTGCAGGTAGAAGAGGGAGCGCAGGGCGTGGGCGTAGGAGCCGCGGGTGGCGCTGCGGTAGCCGGAGAGGATGAAGGCGTTGTCGCGACGCCAGGCGGGCAGGTCGTCCCAGAGGAGGAGGAGCGTTGACTCTGCTTTCTTCTCGAGGGTCTTGACGGCATGGACGATGGCTTCGGTTGCGGTCGCGGTGGTTGAGGTGCGGCGCTGGCGGAGGTGCTGGTGCGCGGCCCCGTTTTGCTGGGAGTCGACCTGGGAGGCGGCCATTGTGCGGGTTGAGGTTCTGTAGATGTGGCCTGTGGGGGGTGGGTGAGTGAGTGAGTGAGTACAGCGGGTGAGTACGTGCGTGAGTGAGTGAGTGAGTGAGTGAGTGAGACAATGCTTTTCGACAGCGACAAGGACCAGATGAACAAGAATCCACAGCAGCCCCGGGCACCGGAGTCTTTGACTTTATATACACGAGCGTTTCTGGATGAAACGGTCGGCCTCGTTTTTGGCTTTTGGGTCTCTCGACAATTCCATTTTATGGCCTGCTGTACAATGTAACAAGGGGCCAATTTGTTGGGGACCGGCACGTGGAAAACAAAGCGCCCCAAAGACGGCGCACGTCCGAGGCAAAAAGAGGGCGCGGCTGCTGACGAAGCGCCGCGTCGTCTACGAATACGACCTCGGCCCATTTTCCGCTCTCTCGTGCAGACGAGAGGGCCTGTTCACATGAAGGTGTTCACATGAAGGCCCGGCCGGCCACGTCGAGTCCAGGCGTCGACGGGTACATTGCGGCTAAAACACGCTTCGCTCCTGCACTCTCATAATGATAAAGGGTTCCCGGAAACGGGCGAATGGCGGGTGGCTTGTTCCAAGAGTAGCATGGAAATGCAGAGGCCCCGGCGCCTAACGGAGTCCCCACTCGACGGCGCCCGAGCGTGCTCTGTGTTTCCAGAGGCAAACGACACGTCCAGTTTCAGCCGTGATACAGTCAGCCCGGGAAACTCTACCGCCTCGACGAGCCTCGATTCTCGTTATCCCGAAGAGGACAGCGCAGCAACATTCGTGGTATCAAATCAGTGTACGGATATAGACAAACGCAAAACCAAAGGACAGCCGTCATTTCTACGCCGTCACCTTCGCCCAAGTTCTAGCCCCCCCTTCCATCTCTGCCTCCAAGCCATCACAGAGCGCCATGTTCCGTCTGTGTCCGGCATAGAGGTAGCAGCAGGGTCGTCGCTCATTTCTTGCCGCTCTTCTTGATGCCCTGCGATCCCGTGTTAAGCGGGCCCTTCCCGCCGGCCTTGGCCGCCATCTCCTTGCGCGCCTTTTCCTCTGCAAAAGGGTCAAGGGGTCAGCCATCGAGTGTGGAGACGGTGCCTGTGCCATCGGCCGTCGTACCTGCGCGCTTCTTCTCGAGAAAGGCCTTGTCGTCTTCGTCGAGGTCCTTGTCCGCCTTCTTGGGCTGCTTCAAGGGCTTGGCCTTGCCGCCTGTAGACTCGGTTAGCAGCGTTGAGCGTTAAGAGCGCAGCGGGTACAACTTGCCTTCTCGGTTGCCGCCACCCATTTTCTTCTTCTGTCAACAGACGGGTCTTCTGACAATAAACAAAGGCGTCAACGATGACGACGGTGACGAGACACAGAGACGAGAGTGTTTCAGGCAGTGGCAGTAAACCAGACAGTCAAGACCTGAGATCTGAGGCTCCGCAGCGGTTTTTTCCTCGAGTGGGGTAATTTAGGCAGGCGGTGAGCGAGGTGGGGAGAACCCGGCGGGGCGGCGTCTTATGTAATGCACTTTGCAGCTGTGTGTCACTTGCGCGTGCGGGTACGTACCTCTGAACGCCAACCGCCAGCTGCAGGACCTCGCGTTTCCAAAAAACATCACGACCTTTTTCTCCTCCTCCGCCTCCGCCTCCGCCTCCTCTTCCTCTCCCCATCGCCACCTCTCTGCACAACTCAAGGCATCAATCTCCAGAGCTGCTCTGAGTTCCTCCATCTCAGCGGCGGCCTCTGTGCTTGGCGTTCCCGTCCCCGCCCGCTGCTGCTGCTGCTCTCTAGCTCCTGGCACTCGAGCTTTCTTTTCCTCCTCGTCCCCATTCTTCATCTTCCCCGCTTGCCTCCCATCTGCACTCCCATCTTTAGCTTTACACCACTTCACTCGTCACCTTTCCTCTTCCTGTGCCACCTCCTCCTCCACCTCCCTCCCTTCATAGAGCTCCCTGCAGAGCCTGAGCCTCTCGGACGACTCATCGCTCATCTGGTTGGACGCTTCCTTCAGTCCGCGTGTGTCGTTTCTACAGATCGCTCGCTGACACTTTCCTATTACCCTTGCCACTCTCCTTCCCTCTCTCATCACCGTCATCATGTCGTCGAGCACCGACGAGGGCGAGATTCGAGATGACGGAACTGGGGACTTGAAGGCATCGCACCAGCATTCTCGGGCAGAAATCGGTGTTGACCCTCGAGGCAGACCCACGGACTCGTCTCCGACTCTTGACCATGTGTCCCGCGCCAGCGCCTCGTCTCGCCAGAGCCCTCCGCTGCGAAGCTTTAAGAGATCGCGCGACGACGGTGACCACTACTACCCCCCTGGCCGAGACCACGACCCGAGGCAGCCCCGTGCTCGCCACGACAATCGTCCTCGAAACGGCTATTCGGCTCATGGGCAGGATCGTAACTCGAGACCCGGCAATGATTACTACGACAATGGGCCCTCGCGCGGCGACTATCGACGATCCCGTATCTCGTATGATGACCTAGACAGCTCGTCCTCACGTGCCTCGAACAGCCATGACCCCCGTCGACCCCCCCGCAATCGCAGCCCACACTGCAACCCCCGCGATGGCAGCCACAACCGGGGCCGCCGAGACCGCGACCGCGAAAACGCCGACAATCACGGCCGCCCAGGTCATTCTCGCCGCCGAAGCCGCTCCCCCGACGGGGCCCCACGCGACGACAACTATCCGGGTGGCCGCCCAGCTGCCGCGCGCGAGTACCGCAACATGACTGGGAAAACTCATTTGGCAGCTAGATTCGACGACGGGGTGAAGGGTTTTGTCAAGGCAAAGCACGCACCTCGGGGAGAGGTGGCCGCGTCTAAGCAGCAGCAGAACAAGGCCCCCGGCCAACGCGCATCTGACCGCACCACGTCCACCCAAAAGCATGTTTATCCATCATCTAACAGTCGCTCATCACTCTGGCTAACCATCCTAGCAACAGCGCACCCGCCAAGGAGAAGGAGCCCTCTCCCGAGCCCGACTTCGAAATGCCCGAGGCGTTCGACGAAGAGGCCGAGATTGAGCGCCGTCGCAAGCGCCGTGAAGAGCTCCTGGCCATGCCCAGCTCGGCGAACCCGCTGCTGGTGCACGCCGTCGAAAATGCCGCTGACAAGGCTGTGGGTGCTGCCTCTGCACTAACCCCCGCCCAGGTCGGCACTCCTCAGTCGCCTGCTACCACCACCAGTAAGCTTAGACGATTCCTGCGGAACCCGCTCGTAGTTGCTAACGTATCAGACCGCGACTCGCCGAGTTCGCTGGCAACCCGCGACGAGCCTTCTCCCGAGGCAGGCAGTAGCGTGCTCGGCGACGAGGGACTCATGAACACATACGGCAACGCCGTGGCAGGCGAGTACGACGGTCCCTCGGCTGCCGACTACGACCCGACCATGGACATGGAAGAAGACGAGCGCCGAGAAGGGCGCCGACATGGCCAGGCCGTGGCCCACGGCGAGCCTCAGCCCACTACCGACACCACCCATGCCGCAGGCCCGGACGAGGCGGCGGATGAAGACGGCGGGGATGGCTTCGACATGTTTGCCGAGGAGTTTGACGAGGAAATCTACGCCGCTGAGCGAGAGAAACGCAGCAAGCTTCCCGGCCCGCAGCGCGGCATACTCGAGGGCGACGACAAGGACGGCTACTACAAGATCCGCATCGGCGAACTGCTCAAAGAGCGCTACGAGATCAAAGCGACCCTCGGCCAGGGCGTGTTTGCCCGCGTCGCCCGAGCCACCGACACTGTGACCAACAAGACGGTTGCCATCAAGATTATGCGCAACAACTACGCCCTTCGCCGGGGAGGGTACACGGAGATTGCCATTCTGCGCAAGCTAAACGAACGGGACGCGGCCAACAAGAAGCATATTGTCCGGTTCGAGCAGTCGTTTGAGTACTGCGGCCATCTTTGCATGGTGTTTGAGGGCATGGAGATGAACCTTCGCGACGTCCTGCGCAAGTTTGGCCACAAGATCGGCATCAGCCTCCATGCGACGCGCAAGTTTGCCTGGCAAATCTTTACCGCGCTGGACCACATGCGTAAGAGCCATGTGATCCACGCCGACCTGAAGCCGGACAACATCTTGGTAAACAATCTCCTCTCCTTTCTCCCCCACTTCGTTCCGCCTTTGCTGGGCGAACTGGTGTGCTGACCAGAACCTCTCTTAGATCAACGACACGCGCCAGGTGGTCAAGGTTTGCGATCTCGGTACGGCCATTGACCGAGACGACGCGGCCACGGCCCACTCGCAAGTTACGCCCTATCTCATCAGCCGCTTCTACCGAGCGCCCGAGGTGATTCTCGGCATGGACTACGACTACGCCATCGATGTCTGGTCGATTGGCTGCACCCTCTTTGAGCTCTTCACGGGCAAGATTCTGTTTCCGGGCTCGAGCAACAACCAGATGCTCAAGGCCATGATGGAGGTGCGCGGTCGCATGAATCCCAAGTACTACAAGCGCGGAGAGCTGTGGAGGTTGCACTTCGACGACAAAAACAACTTTCTCAGCGTCGAGTATGACTATGTCATCCACAGAGTACGTCGTCCCCCACGTTCCCCTTGGATTGGAAGAAGCGTCCGTCTATTCGGTCTTGTTTTGCCGGCCGCGTGCTCGTTTGGACGCAGCCTCCACTCCGCCTTTGCATCGTTGCAACGGGTCGTGCGTGAGGCACGCGCTTATGCAGACGGACATTGGAAGCCGGAGCGAAGCCCATGTCGGCGCGAGGATTGGTTGTCTGTTGGATCGGGCATCTCTGTTCCCCTTGCATAGCAAACGTGTCGGGAAGTGCTTGCTAACAACGGTTGGGCTGGCAGGAGGTTGTGAGGCAGATGCAGACGTTTCCCATGCGCAGCCTGGCCTCGCGCCTCTACGACGCCGGAGCCGGGATGACTGAGCAGGAGAGGAGGGAACTCGACCTCTTCAGAGAGCTGCTGGAGAGCTGCCTGATGCTGCACCCGGAGAAGCGAATCACGCCAGGAGACGCGCTGAGGCACCCCTTCTTCACCATGGCCGCCACGCACCCACACTAGGAGGCGGATGCTACTTTGGATTGCCGAAAGTCGAAGCCGGGGAAAGCACAGACGGGGAAATCGCAGCCCCAGGGACAGGCGCCAGCGGACAAGGTGTCGATACCGCAGGCGACCCTGCGGGCGTACCAGGCACTACAGCCAGCGCGGGTTCGACAGCTAGCAAAGTCTCGGCAGTCAGCGGAAGCCCAGCAGCCCGCAGGGGCCGGGGAAATTCCGGAATCCCAGCCAGCAGAGCTCGCGGCGATGGAGCCGCAGGGCCAAGTCTCGCAGCCCGGGCAAAGGCCCGCTCGCGCGCGGGGCGCATAGACGTCTGATTTGGAGAGACGCGGTGTCACGGACGGGTTTGGGAATCGAGTACGGGACGGGTAGCTTCCAGCCATGGCCCCTTGGGGGCCCAGGCTCTGCTCATCAATAGTCACTGTTTCGACACGACACCTTGTTCGCACACGACGCGCGCGATGTTTGACGCGAGAGGGATGGACGGTGGGGGGGGCTTCGGAAGGCGTTGAGACCAAGACGAGCAGCTGCAGGCTGGGCGGTGAAGGCGGCTGTGATGTGAACAGTTGCGCAGACGAGGAATCACTGATGGCACAGGCTTTTGAGCAGCAAATGGGCTGAGGGGGGAGGGTGGCCGGGGTGACCGGGGTGACCGTCGACAAGCAAATATGTAGGATAAATGGCAAATGGAAATCTGACATGCATGGTGGTGGCCGGCCCTGTCTTGTGACTGACACGGCGGCGTGAATTTGGCTGCGTACGGCGGCCTTCTGTATCGCTTGACTGGTCTTGTCTGGCCGGTGGTGGTGCATTCAGCCGTGCAGCAACGCAATCAACGGGGATTATCTATGGGAAGCGCCAAACATGGGCTGTTCTGTACCGTATGATGGCCACGAAAACCCCGCCCGTACAACATAGAACATGAGCTGTCCCATGTGGCTGCATAGGAGGAGGGAGGAGGATGAGAATGCAGCGTAAGACGGCGGCATGTACTGGGGGCGGGCGCAGGCAACCTGGGGGCAGGCTTGCAGCCGGGAGATGCTGGTGATGCAGACGGAACGCGCGTTGTCAGTCTTGATGGACGAATGAAGGGGAGAGGTGAGCGTGGGTGTGGTGGAAAGGCGAAGAGAGGCTGAACGAGGGCATATATTGTCCAGGCCTGTGCTGTGTTTGCATGGGAAGCGTTGTTGCTACTGCACTGTAAGCCAAGCCTACAGTACTGTCTTACTCGTCCTTACCCCATCTACCCTAGACAAAGCTCTTTGGGAAGATGACCGAGGAACCCACAGGGTTCCCGAAAGACGAAGGGGTGAGACTATGGATTCGGGGTTGACGAGGGCGGGCCGGTGGAGACAACTGGAGAGAAAGGGGGCCGCATCTCATGAGGCTGAAGAGGCGGTATGTACGAAGGGACGCAACATAAGAGTAGTTAACTGCAAAGCAGATGAGAATGGTGGACAGGTGGGTTCTTCATCAGCCTCGAGCAGCAGCAGCAATGCATAACAGCCCCATCTCCAGAGCCAGAGGCATATCTCGCAATTTGCCTCGAGATTTGCCTCGAGATTTGCCTCTCCTCCTCTCGGAGACTGGGAAATGACACGATGACCTCTTTTGCCCTGTTTGATTTCCCATCTAGAAGCCCTCAACACTGATGCCATCGGGAGGCGTGGTGGGATGCGAGAAAAAGACCACGTCGGCGAGTCAGTCGGTAGTCCCTGGGCCCTTGTGACGGACAGAGACTGACGAGCGAGACTTCGGTGAGTCACAGAATGAAGAAATTGCCCGGCTTGCTGGCAGGGTCTCCCCCGCTTGGCGTTTCAGCGCGCTGCGAGGATGTAGATGGGGCAAGCTGGACGTTTGGGCAATGGGGCATTGAGGAGAAGACTAGAATAATGGAAGAATATTCCTTTTTTTATCCTCTAAAGAGTGGGCGCCTGGAACGAATGCCGCAGCCCTATCGGCGCATGAACAGGAAAACAGGGATCTATCTATTGCCTTGACTCTGGATGATGCGAAGGCGCTGGGGAGGGCAGACTGAGGAGGATGAAACGACGGGTGGAGAGCGGCAGATGGTGCATTGCGAGGTAGATGAGGCTTGGAGTGCTACGTCTGCGGACAATGAACCCTTCTTCCTATTCTCTTTCACGTTTGAGGGCTGCGTGCATGATGGCGGGGACGCGAGAGGGCTGGGGCTGGCGGGGTTTCCAGCTGATGATGGTGATTCATGCTCATGTTCGTTTCCAGAAAACCATCGTCGTCGTCTGCGCTATGCGTGGTTTTGGGGCCGCCGCGTGCTGGCTGCGGTGGGTGGATGAGTCGACTTGCGTGTCTTGGGGAATGAGGATGCTTCATGCTATAGGGGTCGTCCTCGGGGTATCGCGCGATATGCCGCCTTTTCCAGCCTGCCCGGGGCATTGGCCATATTGCCCAGACCCATCCCCATCAGACGGTGAGCGTCGAATACCAGTGGCTTTCTGTTTCAATCTCCTCCCGCTCCATATCGGGGGGGAAGGCGAAAGCCTTGAGTCGTCGTCGCGCAAGTCATGATGGGGGCTTGAATCTTCATTCGACGTCCTTTCTGTCTGGTCAATGGGCTCCACGGCACTTCGACATGGGGACAAACCCCCCCTGCCCGCACGTCGTCAGCCCGGCGCAGCGTTTCAATGCCCGATCTGCCATCGCATCCCCATCACGCCCCCCGGCCCCCTCGGGACCAACATTTAGAAGCGAGTCAACAAGTGTTGTGTAAAGAGGGCTGAAAGAAACAGGGAAGGATGGGTTTGTGCGCCGGCATATTACCCACCGACGTGGTCTTGATGTGAGACCCCCGGATACTGGGCGTGTGTTTCCTCCGATGTCGCGTAGAACCGGCTTCCCTGCCATGTACGCAGGTCGTGTGCTCGTCTTCACTCTTGCCGCGAGTATAGCATGATGGAGCGTGTGTGATGTGCCATGTTTTCGAAACAAGAGCGTTTCCTTTCCCTTTTTTGTCCGAAGTGTGCTTGGCATGCATCGCGAGAGTCAGAGCTGGATGGTCAGCAAAACCCATGAGCTTGGGATTCATGGGAAACTCACCAGGCAGGTTCAAGGGCGCCTGCCCCCGGTTGATGGTCATATTATCACCTGTGTAAGCCAGAGAGTAGTTTCCACGGCCGTTATACAAGAAGCCAAGCATACCCGCGCGGCAGGCTGTCTCTCTCCTTCATGCTGGCAAGGGGTCTGTATCTCTCTCTACGTCCGTGTCTGTTAGCCAGCTGCTCTTTTCTTCCTCATCTCGTCAAGGCTCACAGTGGGTCGCCCATCCAGGCCCGACAAGCCCTCGGCTGTCACTCGGCGATTCGGTATATTACGTGGCGAGCCTTTCTTTGCGTGAGGACTCGCCATACTGCTACTGCCATTGCACGTCGTTGGCTTAGACGATGAGGGGCCCGGGCCGGCCTCCCTACTTTCCTCAGACTCGCCGTGTTGCGTGCACTTTGCCCTGCCACACTGTAGCCATCAACCCAGCCAACTATATCGAGTTAAAAGACCGAGTCTAGAGGGTGATCAACTGGGCCGGCGCTCGGGAACGGCCGTGGAGAAGCTCCTGGTTACGCGCTCGACCACAAGGGTTGCCACTTGCAAGACTCGGACGTGGGAATCGCCATACACGTGCCCAATCGAGGGATTTCAGTTTGACTCTACATGCATAAAAGAACTGACCATGGTTGAAGAAATTAGAGTTTGCAGCGCAAGGGGAAAGGGGCCGTCATCATCTGGTTGTATTTCCCTCACTCACTCGCTCTCCGCCACCACGCAGGTGAAAAACTCCGGGTGGGACGATGCGTGGCTACGGCTGGGACCAATGTTGCACTCGATGGACTGGCAGGAGGCGTTTCTGGGGAAATCGGGAGCCATGCATGCATCAGGAGAAAACAGCTCGGCGTGGCCGATGGGAAGATCCGTCGCTGCGTGATGCTGCAGGCCGGGTCACGGATCGTCGTGGCGATGAAGACGCAGTGGTCCAGGTCGCAGTTCGTTCGGTCCATCCCAATGGACATGTAGTGCGTGCGTGGAGTGTCACGGATGCGAATACACTCTGGACACGCAGGTGCTGGACCGATGAAAACTCCCAAGGCCTCTCTGCAGCCCATCGGCCGATGGCCCAGGGGCAGGATGCGCTGGCCCCGTTTCGCAGGCTGCTGTATCGTGGACCACGAGTGCGAGCTGGGCCGTGGGAGCACGAATGAGACGGCGGCATTGGCCTCGGCCTGGGCAAAAAGCCTCGCCAGCCAGCCAGGGGCCGCGCTCTGTCATTGATGTCATGGGGGCTGCCAGCCCCCTATTGATGGACGGTGAGGCGGGTGCTTGTCGAATGGGCCCACCGCCACTGTCACGGACGGACGGACGGACTCTTGCTGGGCTGGGGCTATGCTCGATGGACGCAGGCAGCGCGGGGGGAAGTCACTCTCCGGCTGACCGGTGGACGGCCGCCGGGCCGGACGGGGCAGGGGCCGGAGGTACGGGGTCGGACGCGGGGAGGGACGGGAGCCCGGGGCCATGACGAGACTGACCGAAGGGGGGGGGCCACGCACGCAGCAGCATACCAGAGAGCAACTGCCGCGGGCCGCATAGCTGGGAGCAATGTCGGGACGGGTGCGAGAAACAGGGCCGGGACAGGGCCGGATGAGGGCCGAGCGACTTTAAGGGGGCGTGTGCGAGGCGCTGACTCGGAGCTTTTCTGCATGGGGCCAGCGGTTTTTCCTTCTGCTTCTCTGTGCGTTTCGTCGCGGGACCCGGCATGAATGACGCTCGTCGACCCTCTCGCGCCCTCTCTCCCTGACACGGCGTCGCGGCGATCATCCGCGGCCCAGCCAGCCCGACGATGCGGATGACGACGCCGCGTCGATCCTCCTCGGTCCGTGTCGCCATCCTTGTTCTGCTTCCTCCTCCTCCTCCTCCTCCTACTCCTCCCCGGGGGGCCGTGTCGACGCCGCGCTTGGCCCCGGCGATGCTACCGACATGACGGCGTGCGGGCGTCATCGGGCCCCCTGCTGCCTCCCCCCCCCCCTGACTGGCGTGCTAGACTCAGGACTGTCAAAGCCCCGCCCACATTGTCAATGGGGAGCAGGGACCTCTGCTCTAGATGGGCCCTTATCCTCGTGTTCACCCCCAGAGCACGCTATTGTTCGGGGCCTGGAAAGAGAACCCACGCCCACCGGGCGGGCGAGCAAAAGAAAAGCGAGGGATCGCAGGGCACGTTGCGGTGAGGGAGCCACGTGCCGCATCTCAGATATGAGGCCCCTCGTGCCGGCGCAAAAGAAAAACCCAGCACAACGAAGCGATCCAGAACCCTCTCTCCAGCCTCCAACGACTTGGCCCCCCCCCCCCCTTGCGCGGCGCGTGTGGGCCAGGACCCCTAGATGGGGAAGCCATGTGGGCTTCACGGCTCCGTTCTGGAATCCTGCTCCCAGGCTGCCACGGCTGAGACACGGTGGCCTTTTCTGGGGCCTTTTGAGGGTCCAATGGCTGGCCCGATGGGCGGGCGCGTACTATTGAAGCACGGCTTGCAGCCACGAGAAGGGCTCGAGGGCAACACAGTGCCTGCGAAAGCGACTGCAAGAAACGGTGAAAACAGACAACAGTAATCAAAACAAAGAGAGAGGAGCAAGAGCCGGCATGTGGATTTGCTTGCTTGCGAGCCGAGTGTGTATTTGTTGCTGGCGCATGTCTCGTGTCTTGCACAGACTGCTGCCCAGCCCTGCCACCGCTGATGAAAGCACCAACAGCCGAGCCATGTTGACGACGAACATCGCACAGCTGAGGATCCGTAGCACGGGAGAATTCATGTAAGCACCCCCCACCAGTCCCCCGGCCCAGAAACACGACGAAGAGACAGGGCGAGAACATGCTGGAAGGAAAAGAGGGACCCCCTTTCACGGCCAGGGTGCTGCTCGGAGCTGAAGAGCAAGACCCCTCCCCGGTCTCCCTTTCTCCCTTTACAAGGCCAGACTTTTGGACACCCTTATGTCTTGGGCTATTTTTGCTTTTCCCCCCTTCAAAACGTGTTTACTTATCAGAAACAACAAGAAAGAACAAGAAAGAAGGAGAAAGGGAAGAAGAAAAGGAACGCCTGATGATGCCCCCCCGCCCCCAGCCCAGCCCCTCCGTCTCCAGCCTCCCTCTTTACACGCCCCCCCTCTCCCCCTTTTCAATTGCCACAAGCCAGGACCCGTCAGAATGTCTCAGACCCTGAGAAGGGGCCGCCGTGTCGCCAGATATGCAGAGCGGTTTGCGTAGTGAAGCCTCGCGTTGGGTGCCCAATAGGAGAGGAGAAACGGCCCGGCGGAAAGGGGAGGAAGGGTGATGCCATCCGCCTCGCCTCGCCTCGCCTCGCCTCGCCTCGCCCTAGTAGGAGAGGGGGGAGGCTGTGCGCCCGCCCTGCCGTGCGAGTGTGTACAGACAGCACACAGGACTCAGGCCCCGACGTGGTAGCACACAAAGGAGCGGTAGCCAATGTTCTGCTTGCTGGCAAAGTGGGCGGGCTCCCTGCAGCGCGTGCTGTCGACAAACGTCAGCTCGAAGCCGAGGCCGTCGCAGTGGAGCCCCGTGTAGATGCGGCACGCGAGCCGGTTGCGCTCCGACACCAGCGGGTCCAGCACCCGCGTCGACTGCGCGTAGTGCGAGATCGGGTAGCACCGCCCGTCGCGCACCCGCTGCCGCCGGAACCACGTGCAGTACCGCAGGTGCGTCCGCCGGCACGGGCAGTCCGAGTTGAAGACGGTGATGGTGTAGTTGATGGGCACCATGATGGGCGCCACGCTTGTCTCGTTGTAGCTGCCGATGCTGCTGTTCCTGCCGCCGCTACTGCTGCTGCCGCTGCTGCTGTTGGCCCAGAACTGCGGCATGGCCATGGCGTCGTTGCTCCGGCCGGCTTCCTCGGCTATTGCGTGCGCCGCTGCTTCTGCTTCGGCCTCGGCGCGCGGTGTTGCCCGCGCCGCGCCCACAGCCAGCACCAAGGCCGGGAGGAGCTTGTCGATGCGCAAGAGCATCGCCGTCGTCTGAGTTGCGGTGGAGCTTTCGGTATCCAAGCAAGGGATCGAGACTGCAACGGCCCCCTGCAGACAAAAGGGTTGCACTGCGAAAATAGCTTCCTTGCGCCGTGGGAAGAGATTCCTACCCTTCAGTGCAACCGAATACTTCTCGTGTCACCACCATATATTGCACAAGGGACCGGATGCCACTTGAACTGCTACGCACGCCATCGTCCTACGCTGCTGCCTGGAACGCGAGAGTCAAAACAGCCAAAGAGACGCAAAAGGTCGGAAAGGCTTTGCCTCGCTGGATTTACATCTTTTGCCTGCCCTCCACAAAGGTTAAATGGATGCCAAGGTCACATGCGCCGGCGGGCCAAGCAACCAAAAGACGTGAAGCTTTCCACGCCGCCATAGAAGAGCAGCCTCTCTGCCCGCCGCAAAGGTTTAGAGTTGGCGGCGGCAGCGAAGGCAAGGCTAAGTTAACGAGTAGAAAAGCAACCACCAAAACGTACAATCAAGAGAAAATTGAAAAAAAAAAAGACTTTCTTCCACTGGGCTGTGACGCCAGCGTTGCGCGTCAAGGGAGTCGGGATGCGGCCCGGAGTGGGTCCCGGCTCCGGCGCGCCGGCTGCCGAGTCGTCCCTCATCCAGCGCCGGTCCATGCCGGACACTTTCGCGGCGGTGCACAGCTGCACAAGCCGCCGCTCGTGGCTTTTCCATCTTCAAAGTCCGTGCGAAGCCAACCAAAATGTCCGACGGCAGAGGAAATGACGCCACCAGACCAAGGTTTCCCCCCTGGCTCTTCTCCCCCTTCCTTCGAGGTCTGAGCTCTCAGATATCTACGCCGAGAAGCCAATAACGACGACTGTAGCACACGTGGCAGCTTGCCGTGGCGTTGTCCATACATGCATTAGCATCAAAAGGGCGCAGAATCGGAAAACAAAGCGTTTGTTCGGGCCCGCCGAAGCCTCCCCCACAGCCCCCCTCCGTCCATGCACACACGGCGGGGGAGGATGCTGCCAAAATGGAGCACGGACAAGACCGATGATGCCCTCTGCCCCCGCCTTTCCCCGTTGAATTGTCAATAGCGTCGCTCGCCGTGGCTTTCATTGGGCCCGGACCGTGCTCGATCGACAAGGGGGGTTGCGGGACTCTTCTCCTCGCGGTGTTTTGGCGCCCGTGTCCCGGCGAGACGGCGCCGGCGCCCCTCCCATGGAAACAGCGCACGCACGCCTACAGAATCAATACATGTCCAATGGCCTCACGTATGGGATGCGTGAATAGGCAGCAGGGCGGCCCGTTCTCGAAGCCGCTCGCCGCGAGTGGCGCACCCCCCTTTGTGCGGCACCGCCAGGCTGGGCAGGCTAGATTAGAGCTCTGGATCGATCCGGGGCAGGCTAGGACAATAGACCGGTCACGCCATGTGGGCGAGCACATGCGTATGCGTGCGGCTACGGCTTTGCTCCATGTCTGCTTGGAGTTTTCCGCCAACGACGAAGGCTATTGGTGAACATGAAAGGAGCGAGGATGCGGGCCGGGGGGGTTCAATGGCACAGAAGAGAAGAGAAGAAAACAGAATGAAAACAAGATGGCGATCAATGCATGCAATGCAAGAACGATGTAAACTCAAAGGTATATGATTTTTGGATACCCGCAGAAACAAGAGGCTGGACCGAGAGACGGGCGTACAGGCTGCGTGAGAATCAAGACAAGACTCCCAGTGTCTCGTAGATGGAGCCATGCATGACCCGTTGTCATCGAAACACTATCGAGCAAGGCAGAGAGCACTCGCAGCCACGCCTATGCCGTTGGTCATCCCACTTACTCGGCACACATGGAGCGCCAAGGAATAAGGAAGAAAAGGTGCAGTAAATGGGCCAGTCGGTGCAAGGCTGTGTGTCTCGCCAGGTTTCGCCCGCAGATCGATCGAGATGCAGGCGCCATCTTCCACCGCGATATGCGTCCGGACTTTGCAAAGTACGTCTGTACACTGAGGACTCATCACACGACGCAGACGAGGAGAGGTAGGGAGGCATGCGGGGGCACAAAAAAACCACCTCCGCCCACCTCCTATTTTCTCTAACAGATGGGCGGCGGTGTTTTTTCCCCGTCCGAGAGGGAAGGAAAACAAACTCTCTCGACGCTGTTTCGACTGCCAGAGAGCCCACTAGGGCCGTAGTCTGTCCGTACTGCAGTTTGTGGGGATGAGAGCCGACGGTGGCTGGCCGAGGCCACGTGTGTATGTGTCTGTGTCCGTCCGTATCGTGCTCACGACTCTACGCCCACAGGGGGACGAGAAGGAAAGCTCCGTCGCCTTTTGGCTTGGCCGTTGACTCGCTCTGGCCAGACCAAAATGTGGGTGGAGAAGCAGAGGAGTAGAATCCGTGCCTCCCCTTCGAGGATGAGGGCTTTTTTTGGCTCTTCTTGACACCATGGCTGTGTCATCTGTCTCGCTGTCCCAGCCTTGGCCTATGCTGACATCACATCCAAGGGGGGGGCAGATGGATGGCGGAGGTGGATGCCTTGGAGAGCTAGCAGCGGGCTATTGTTCTCCCCACACGGACAAGCGAGTGGAGAGAGCACGAGAGCAACAATGCACGTCAGATTCCGGCCGATGGACGCGTGTCTCGTGTTGAACGGAACTGTGCTGGCTGCACATATGGCATGTAAGGGGCGAGCGAGGCAAGTCGTGCGTTGGTCGACAAATGAACCACTTGGATATGTGGTGCCAGGCTTGCCGTCATGCCATCAGAGACGCAGCACAGATCCGCCGTGATGCCGAGTCTGCCCTGCGTACTCCGTATTTTGCGCATGCATGTGTCTATCGTCCCGAGTTAGGCAGGACGGCAGCGGCAAGCCAAAGACCAGCCTCGATTGGCCCGATGAGGCGGCAAACCGCAGCCCCCTTTTTCTTTTTCTCCCCCAACCCAACCCGCCTTGTTCGTCCGGGTGCAGCTCCGCTCGTACGAGAATGGGCCGAGTCGAACAAGAGTGTTTGCTATTCGTCTGTGTGCACCAAGTAGGCGCCCATCCTGTGGTTCGTTCCCGATTCCTGTGCCCGAGGGGTGGAAGAGGAGGGGACGGACGGCTGCGTGCCGACGGGCGTCTTCGTCCCAGACAGTCCTTTTGGTTCTATTTTGGCTTCCCCCTCTTTGGCGTTCCCCGACGGCCATCAAACACGGGCGGCGGGAGCGGAGGCGGCGCGTGGTTCGACGAGCATGCCGCGCGCCGTCTCTGCCGAGGGGGAGGGTTGCTCACTGCATTGAGACGAAAGTGCTGCTTCTCGCCGAGACTGCGTCGGAGCGTTGCTGGCTATTCGTACATGTATCGTACGTGGGAGGGCACGCAACCCCGTCATGGCGCCTCGAGAGGTGGAACGAGACGTGTGCTGATCGAGTTTCAATGGCAACGCTCCCCGAGACTCTGGCGTGTTGAAGACGCGTGTGCCTACAGTACTGCACATGCTGTGTGTATAATGAGATGGGACGAAGCGACACATGTTTCGCGCCTCCGGAGCGATGCTGCCTACAGCAGCAAAGCAGCCATGACCACAAATCCTCGGCAGACAATGAATGACAGGCAGTTGTAGATGCGGCTGGCAAATTGCAGCGTCGCGTGTGTATATGTCGGACAAGGCGTTGAAGCCAGGACGGAGCAGTGGCTTGCGCCGACGAAACACAGAAAAGCGACGGTCTCGCGGATCGCAATTCAGCACCACAGACGTCGAGTCCGGGGTGTCTGGCGCTTGCAGGGAGTGTTTGCTGGCTCCGCATGTCAGAGGATAGATTAAACGCCCCATCAGCCACCAGGGGGAAATGGCACGATGCTATTCGTGCGCACCCCCGGAGATTGAAACCAGGCAGGGCACCACCGCCGGCGGCACGTACTCCGTAGACGCCAAGACGATGGATGATGATTGGTGCAGGGTGGAAAAGCCTCTCGACGAGGCTCGTTGGAGAGAGAAAAGGAGGACTGGCTAGACCCGTTGACCATTTGACCATCTGCTCCTGCCTGATTGGTGGCAGACCGCTGATTCTGCATTGGCTGCAGCGCCTTCCTTCCTGGGAAACGAACCTCGTGAATGACACGGCGCCGGCGCGCTAACGGCTGGGGGAGGGGGGGCATAAACCAGATGAGACTACGAGATTCAGACTACAGACTATTACCTGCTCCGTGCTACGAGAGACTCGCTGCATGAGTGCCCCCAAGTTAGGTCTCTTGAGGGAGATTTTGAGCCGCAGACGTGTCACTGGCTGGTACTGCACAGTAGAAACAAATCTCGCCCACCAAAGGCATGACAGGACCAACCAACAGCGCCCTGCCATCTCCTCTTCAGCCTCACTAATCCTTCTCGCAAAAACAATCCCGGCACGAGGCACCCGCAAGTACCGTCGACGGCAGTCGCCAGGCCAGCTCGAGTGCCGGGGCGAGTACCCGATACAAGGCAAGGTATCGAAAAGCCCCCCCCCCACCAGAAAAAAAATCCCCGAGACAGGAGACGACGAAACAGCGCCGAGATCAGATCACGACGCAGCCAGGCCGCACAGTGCCGTCGGCAGCATCGTCCGTTGGTGGCCAGACTCGCCACATCTTGGTCCCGTTGATTTTTTGACGCCTGTGATGGTGCCGTTTCCCAATACACAGGCATTTGCCGATGCAACGATGCTGGAATGCATCCGGCATGGCGGCCGCAAACTATGGCGGCCCACCAACGGCGGGAGGCAGGGAACACGTGTAGCAAATGATGATGAACCGGGGCAAGACGGGGGCGGAGATTGGCAACACGACATGCAAAGCCTGTCGGCGCGAGACTGCTTTCCCCAACAGCCTCACTTGTTCGGCAGCGGCGGCCCTGCACTGCAGGCAGGCCAGGGTTCCAGCCCAATCCAATGCCATGCCGTGGCAGCACAGCCCTGCAAGCCGCACTCTGCAAGCCGCTCTCTGCAACCCCTCGACGACGAGGCTGCTTGCAGCAAAGGACACATGTCTCGGCCGGGCCAATCACGTCTGCGGACGGGAAGCTAATAAACTGACCACGTTTTGGTAGTGGGAGAGGCGAGATTGCGGCATGGAAAGCTACGCCTGCCCATTCTCTGCACATGAACTCTATACGCCGTTTGCTATTGCACAGACGCATCTCCCGACGTTGCCGCTTTGGGGGGATGCCATGCATAGCACCAAGCCGCCTCATGCTGCACCGGCACATGAGTGAATGCGTGTATGTGCTGTGCTGTTGTTGTTGCCAGGAGCAGTCATAGTAAAGCAAACACCAATATGCTGCTGCTATTACTACTACTACCCTAGACATGTATTCGGATCAAAGGAGAGAGGACTGCGTACTAATCGCATCAGATACTCGGGACAGCAGAAAGAAAAGAAAGGGATGCGATGATTCAGGGTCCTCTCGACTCTCGAGCACAAACACACCCCTGCCCAATCTCGGGACAAACTGACAACCATTTCTGAATGATTAGTCGCGCATGAGCATGTTTGATGCCCCCAATGTGGCGGCCATCCATGATTGCGCCTCGTTTGCACAACTCCTGCCGGCGCGGCCGCTGATTGGCTGCTTGTCTGCGCCGCGGCCATGCATGCATAACTTAATGATTGTGCGGGCGCCCGGCCAGAGTGCGGAGGAGACACACAGTGTCAAGACGGGACCAACTGCCGATGGGGGAGAGGCCGCAGCCGCATACACACTGTACGGCTGCCCGGTGGATGCTTGGATGCAGTGCACAATCCTGCAGATGCGACAGTGGTTGCGGGCTGTGAATGGCCTGACGGCGGCTGCCGACAAGCTTTGCGCACAAACCGACCACTGGCCATGCATTCACCACAGCAGGCCGCCCTGGAACGCCTTCGGTGCACCGTACTGTGTGCCGTACAGTGCCGGCGGTCGAGCACAATCCACCGCCAATTAGCAAGTAGACAGTGACAGGGTGCGGCAAATGAGCGAGCGAATGCTTCTCAACCAACCGAGGTTCCCCAGCAGGGGACCCCGAGACGCCGTGCTGCATTTCTCGCGATGCCATGCAGACGACGGCTCCAACGGCCTCGGACTGCTGCTACCCACGGACATGCGGCGGCGACTCACTGCTACTGTATGCCAAGGTTGTAAACCAAACTATGCCAAAAGCCCACCCACGTTGACGGGCCAGCAAATATAGCCAACCTGAAGCATTCCCGTCCGCCTCTTGGCCCCCCCCCCCCCGTCCCTCACCGGCGGGCGTGGGGCATGGGAATTCCAACACACGACGGCCCCCGCAAGGCTAAGATTCAAGGTTTATTCTCCCATCCTCAGTCATCCTCCATCTCCTTTTACTCCTCTTTTAGCCTGTTGGGTTCGCACTCGCTCGCATGCCAGAGCCAGCGAGACGAGACAGACACGAGGCCTGGGGCGAGCCGGGTGCAGCAGACACGCACATCTCGACAGGATTAAACGGCCAAGGACGGGCGGGACTAGGCAGTCGGGACTAGGCGGTCGAAGCGCTCAACGGCGCAACAGTAGACAAGACACACAGCCCCGGGGCGGGCGACGTCGGGCCGTCGAGAGCCTGGCCGGACCGAAGCTAGGCGCGGGCCTTTTCGTCCTGCGCTCATGATAAGAATGATTGTGTGTAAAAAAAGAAACGGCGATTCAAAGGGGTCACGAGGGGTTCAGGGAATGACGATGGAGCCGAGACATCTGGGTGCAAAAGCTGGCCTTGTCCAGCCAAGCATGCGGCCAGAGTCAAACTTTGCTCATCGTTGTTCACACAATGGTACATGGAGTGGACGTCCGGCTGGGACGGAACCTCGCACAGGTCGGCAACTGAATCACGGGCGCCTGGAATTCGGGCAACGCGTGGATGCGAACCCGGCCAAGGTTTTGGGGGTGCTGGCGAGCGTCTGTGTGTTTTGTTTGGTGGACCGATGACGCAGAGAGAGCCGAGCCACCCTCCCAACCTCGCCGCCCTTGTTTATCCGCCCGCTTGCTCGTGTTGGAGAGAGAGACAACGTGCGTGCGCATGTTTATTATTCTTGTGGACGGGCATCACGGCGGGTGTGAGTGCGTGCGAGGGTGAGTTGAGGGTGAGGGTGAGTGAGTGAGTCTCCTGTCTCCCACCTGCCTGCTGCTCCTGCTCCTGCTCCTCCTCTGTTCCTCGGCCCCCCCCCCATCTATCATCCATCGTCGTCTCCAGCGATGATGACCAAAGGCAAAAAGCAAGGAACAACAAGCAAGCTCCGTAACCATAGAATGGTAAAAAAAATGTCAAAAAAAGAAAACAACCTCGAAATACTGCAAGACGATGTTTGAAAAAAGGCAAAAAGACAAGCGTCAGGCGTCACACTCACACACTCTTCTCACACACTCGAGACGCGGATCCCTGCCCTGGTTGGCTTGGGTGGAGACGCCCAAAGGGGACAAAGTTTCTCTTTTTTTTCTCTCTCTTTTCCTCGTCTGCGATTATGTATCATTATTCTGGGTCCCGCGTCAAGAATAGCTTGTGCATTAGCTCGCCTCTCATTTCTTCCCTTTCTTTTATCTGCCATTGGTTTTTTACTTCTTTCCTGACCAGGTACGTACTCGCGCACGGCGCCCCACACCTCCCTCTCGCAACTCGCTCAAAATCACTCCACTCGTCGCGACTCCACCCATCCACACCCATCCATCCTCATCCTCCCCCCTTGCCATCCCTGCCATCCTGCCATCCCTGCAATCCCTGCCATCCCTGCCAGACGGGCCAAATATCACACGCACACATTAGCCTTTTCGCTGCTGTTAGCGCGCTCTTGCTTTTTACCCTCTTTTCTTTTTGCTTTGGCCTGTCAATGGTCCGTCGCGCTGGCCTCATGCGGTACGTACCATCCCAGCCGCGACCGGCCCATTTTCCCTGCACACGAGCAAGAGGACGAGGCTCCACGCAGTCAGTCGGCTCGTTGACACGGCCTGTTCGGGCGGGGCATCCACACTGTGTGCCGTTACGTCCATGCGTCCCCGCCGCCTGCTGCGCCTGCCAAGTACACAGCCTGCCCGGTGCACCGTGTCTGCGTGCGCGTGTGAGTTCCAGCGCAAGCCCGTTACAGTGTGTATGCTCCCTGCACGCGATACTTTGCACTGTAGGGCACATCATACCCTTCTTCCTTCCTCCTACCCTTTCTTGCCCCACGCCCAGTGCCCCACGCCCCTCCACACACCCCCTCCCGAACAGACCAGACACACACGCCCAGCATCGAGCGGGTACGTACCGCCTCCCGCCTCACGCTCCATTTATCCTTTCCTTGGTTATCTACTTCATCCCGCCCGCCTCATCATCATCAGCCCGAGCCTCACGACTTATACGCTTCTCTACATCCTCAGCTTCCTCGCCCACCACGCACCACTTTTTCTTCTTCTTCCTTCATCAACCTCCTCTCCCCGGCCTCCATCTGTCCGCTCCTCCTGCTCCGTCGCCACCAACCACGTCTCCGACTCTTCCGACTTATCCGTCCTCGCATTGCCGCCTCGTCCACCGCGACTGTTGTGTCCACGATATCCACCTCCGCACATACCCTTTCTTTTTCTTCTCTCTTGGCCGCCGGCTCCGTCGTTGCGCGTCCGTTTGGAGACCCTTTCCTCGACCCGTTGACTCGGCTGTTGAGGTGCTTCCGGATATTTTCCCTGTCCATCTTCTGCCAATTTTATATATATTCCCCTATCCCCATCACCAAGACCGCCACTCGGGGAACAGGATTCCTTCGGCCCGTGGACATTAAACCGCTCGACTCCTGGTTTCCTTGACGTCTCTTTTCCTTTGGTTGAAAGACTTCTCTTTCTTCTCTCTCTGCCGTTCTCCGGCTTGCAATATCCGTGGCCCGTGACTCGGCCCGGATCGAGACGTCTCCTCCCCTGGATATAACATGCAGCACCATGGCCCCTTTGGATATCCTACACCCCCGGCCTCGCCGGCCTACGACCATGTCAAGGCCAGCAACCTCCACCAACAGCCCGCCGTCTTCGCCCCGAGGCCTTTCAACTCCCGGTGCATGCCCCTGGCTCCCGAGGACCGGTTAGGAAGGCTGCTCGAGGGTAAGCTCCAGCTGACCGAGATCCTGGGCACCGGAGCTTATGGCGTCGTCTACCTGGCCATGGACGTTAAGACGGGCGTCCGCTACGCCGTCAAATGCCTGAGCAAGTTTGCCCCGGATGGCTCCCCCCTGGAGCGCCGTCAGGTTGCCTACCAGCAGCGCGAGATCCGCCTCCACTACCTGGCTTCGGCCCACCCAAACGTCGTGTCCATGCTCAAGATTGTCGATGACCCGGACTGCATCTATGTCATCCTCGAGTACTGCCCCGAAGGCGACCTGTTCCTCAACATCACCGAGCGTGGCCAGTACGTGGGCAAGGACCATCTCTCCAAGGACATCTTCCTCCAGATCTTGGATGCCGTCGAGCACTGCCACAAGCTGGGTATCTACCACCGGGACCTTAAGCCCGAGAACATCCTGGTCACGGACAATGGCGAGACGGTCAAGCTCGCCGACTTTGGCCTGGCCACGTCAGATGACCGCTCCGAGGACTACGGCTGCGGTTCCACCTTTTACATGAGTCCAGGTACATGACCAGTCCACCTTCCCTATCCCAGACCCATCCACTGACTCTTCTTTTCCTTGACTACAGAGTGTCTGGACCCCTCTACCCGCAGGCCTTACTACATGTGTGCGCCCAACGACGTGTGGTCCTTAGGGGTTATCCTGGTTAACCTGACTTGTGGACGCAACCCATGGAAACATGCCTTGTTCCAGGACTCGACGTACAGAGCCTATGCCCGGTCGCGCGATTTCCTCAAGACCATTCTTCCCCTGTCGGACGAGCTCAACGACATCCTCGCCCGCATCTTCAACCCGAGCCCTGAACACAGGATCACTCTGCCGGAACTTCGGAACCGGATCATGGCGTGCTCTTCCTTTACTGTTCCTGCTGTTGCCCCTGCATCTATCTCGACGCCCTCATCGACACCACCTCGCGCCACCGCCGCTACCTTCTCCCCCACCGAATACGTTGACGAGGACGCCATTATCGACGACTACGAGTACGATTCGCCCCTTTCGCCGGCCTCGACGTCTTCGGATGATGGATCTCTCACCTCGAGTGCCTCCACCCTTGACGACTTGGACGAAGAGTTTATCCAGGAGCAGCACGAGCTCCCCCAGGACTATATTCCCCACATATATGAACCCGAGGAGGTTAGGGACTCGATGGCTGTCTACCACTCCCAGGAGTTTGTGCCCCAGCACTACACGGGACCGGTTCCTGCCGTCTCTGCCCCCGTGGCTGTACCGCCCGCTCCGCAGACGTTGGCTTGCCAGCCGGCTCCGGTATCCATTCAGGCACCGGTTCCCGTTCAAACTCCTTGTCACCAGCCCCGTTCCTTCTTCCCGCTGTGGGAAGTGGTCAAATACGTTCAACAGGTCCCCGCGACACAACACCCGGCCGCCTTTCATCAGCAGGTGCACTTCATGCCTTCATTCCAGGGCTGCTACTAGGGATTATTTCTTTACCCGCCTGTACAATGCCCGTTGTCACTTGCCAGAGGGCTTGGCCTTTTGCATATATTGTCATATTCGATATTGACTCCCTTGAATCACGCCTGGGCTGACCGCCCATGGCGTCTCTGGAACTAGCCGACGTTTTATTCGACGCGGCCGAAACCAAAACGTCCGAAATCTGGATTGTCGGGGCTTTCAGGGCTGCCAAAAAGGTCTATTTTTGTATTCTTGACCTGAATTTGGTGCGCTTTCACGGCTCTCCGCTTCGTGTCACAACTTTTGTGCGCAAAGACTTTACGTACACCTGGGCTATTTTTGCTTGCAGCGCGGAGTTTTGTTGCGGTCTTGGGAAGATGAGTGGGCCTGGATGAAGCGTGCTGTACTTGCGAGTATGGACTTGAGAATGAAGCGGGATTTTCTTCATCTTTGTCTTTCTATTTTTACCGGTACGGACGAACCGAGTATGGATACTTGAGAATATTTGCGTGCGGAGATGCACGTCAAATGAAAGAGACAGGACGGCGCCCCGAACAGGGGCGGGCCTTGCTACCACTGGGATCTTGGTTACAATATCTTTATTGTTGGTCACGAACGGGAATGGCTTCATGGGATTAAACGGACATGGGGCGTCTTTCCCTTTGCGAGACAAGATAGAAGGGCCTCAGCAGCCCCCCCCCCTTCAGCGTCTGCCACCCGAAAGGGAGGGTGGACTCGGTTTAGCACACGTTGGAACGGCATGTTGGGAGGCGACGCGGGCTGGTCACTTCCCGGCTGCGTCGGCCAATCGCCACACAATACAATACGTTGAACCAATCTTTATTCTCTCGCTGCCGTGAGACTGACTTTCTGGCCTGAAGATGAGGTTGAGCAACTTGGTGTGGAGGCGGGACCTTGATGGTGCCGCGAGTTGCACGCCGGATGGGTGTCTGCCGGCAGTAGTCGAGGGCATTCTCGTTGCTTTCCTTGCTTCAAGAGCTGCGGGTTATCTTGGTAGCTCCTCGGAACTTGCCTCCCAAGTCGTTGTCTCCCAAGTCGCGGCCCTCCATCTCCCGGGTCGGCGTGGCGGGAGCCAGTCCGGCCACCCGCTGTTTGTCGGAGGTTTAACCTGGGGGCTTGGCCGCGGAGGTCTCTTACTCTCTCTCTCACACTCTGCTACTACCCTCCCTCTCTCTTATTTCTTACACACACACACGCTCTGTTCTTGCCTGTTTAGCACGGTGCTTTGCACGGTCGAGGGCTCCCCCCGTTTTGCTGGTTGTCTAGGCATTTCTTCTGAAGAGCTAGGTTGACCGGGGCTCCTAATCCGGTCTCGGGGGGTTGAATACATCGTATCGACGGGTTGGCTGGAGATGGGACTATGTTTGGGGAGTATCTGTGTACAGTACGGCGTATGCCGCACTTGTTTCTCCCATTCTTGCTACTTACTGTATTCTCATCTATGCACATTTGGTCGTATTCTCCAATGTGATATGTCTGAAGGGGCCCCTCGGAGATCCTGTCCCTTGCGCGGGAGGATTCGAGCTGGCTGACGGGCACTGGAAGCAAACTTCGCCTCCCTAGCCACCCCGTAGGTGCAGAGGACAGTGTTGAGGATGGCTGGATGGATGGCCAGACCCCAATGCCGCGACTGATACTGCACAGTAGACCATCCACACACTCTACAATATTATACATACAGTAGCAGCAGCAGCAGCAACAGTAGCACCACGGCACTGCAACTGGAAAGAAAGGAAGCAGCCTAGCCCCCATGCCGTCCAGGCCCCGTGTGCGCGCAGCGATGATTGGGGCGATTCACAGACTCGACCACTGAGCAAAGGGGGGCGTGAGAGAGAGAGCGCCGGAGTGTGAGTGAGTAAGAGAGTGGTTGGTTGGCTTGGCCATGTACGAAGTAGTGTATGGCCCTCTCGGGAGGCGTGATGCTTGACCATTGCATGGAGCCGGGCGCGGGCCTATGCAAGCCCGGCTGCAGGCTGCATGCACACGCTCTCACACCCACGTAGGTGCATACTCGGTGCATACTTGACATGCCTTAGCAACGAACCAGCCAGCCAGACCGTGGCTCCAAGGGCGCCGTCGTCGAGGGGACGCACTGCATTGTACTCGACAAACTCACCCACGCCACTCCCCTTCTCCCCCCCCTCCTTGGCTGGCACACACGCACTCGCTCTACTCACCTTGACAAGCCAACACTCCCAGGCTCTGCCGCTGGAACCAACCGACGGAAGAAAATCCAGCAACCGTCGTGACCGCGCAGTGGGGACCAGCACCGACCGTGTCAAGACCCGTGCCCGTCCCGCCCCCCGTTAGTCCCGCCGCGGCCACATCCACCCATCATCCCCTCGATAGGCCCGGGCTGCACGGTCCTGCACGCACTCTGGAGGCACGTATGCATGCAGCGCATGGTGTAGAGAGGGAACCCTCCATCAGAGCAAGGGCGAGCAGGAGAAAGGAGAATGACAGGCAGAGAGTGTGTGTCTGTGCGGCGCTTCTCCATCGCCCATCATCTTCGCCTTCTCCATCCTCACCGCCAAATTCCCCAGGACCCCGTTGGCGTGGGTGGCGTGCACCATCTGCCCCGTTTTGTTGTTCTTGTCTCGTCTGCCTGGGCACAGCGCATGGATCGAGGGCTTGCCGTGCCACATGATGATGGACGATGCACTTCTTCCTTCTTCGTGTGCCTCCTGCAAACAGTTGGCGGCGGGCGCTTGGTCTCCCCAGTCTTTGCCTCGGCCGTGTGACTGTGCCGTGCTGTGCGTGCTTACACGTCCGTCCTTTGTCGCCCTCGCTCCCTCTCGCCTTTTGCCTCTCGCCTCCTACTCCCCGCTTCACCCGCGGCGAACCGTCACGCACACGACAGCACGTCCTTGCATTGCCTCGGCCCTCGTGAGAGAGTAAACACGACGGCGCCGCCCCCGTCCCTCGTCGCTGGGTGGTGGTCGTGGCGACCGTGGGCGGTGGTGGTAGTCCTGTTCGCGCAGCCGGTCTGTCCCCCTCCACAAACCGCCTTGCAGCCGATGCCTGCTTTCCCCCTTTGACTGGTCACGGCGACATCCAAGAACGTCCTGGTGCGAGTGGCCAAGTGCCCCATCGCGGGCTCTCGAGCCGCCACGTAGCCAGGCAGATGCAGACCCCGCCCCCGCGCTACAGTACATGTCATGATGCTCTTGCAGGGGCATGGGTAGGCGTCCTCTTGCCAGGGTGTGGTGTCGCGGGCCAATGGCGTGACGGCAGGTCAAGCGCGGGCACACCAGGCCATCTGCCGGACCACCATCCGCGTCCGAAACTCGACGCCCCCGTTGCTTCTGGGTGGCGGCTGCGGCGGTGGGCGTCTAGGACAGACGATAGCGGTGGCGGGGGACACATGAAGAACTCTTGCTGCTCACTGCCTCCTGACCAGCCCCTGCCAACCAACCGCTTCGACCGCCCGGTACAGATGCCAGACTATGGTGCTTGCCGGCAGAGGGGGCTGTTGGCAAGTCAGCAGCGTCGCCCGGTGGTGGTCTGGAGACTCGGATCCGGCGGAGAGGAGGGACGTGGAGCCGGCGGCGGCTGACAAGGGGAATGACGCCGTCCGTGCAGGCTCTCCAGGCGCGGCGGCCCATGGGCCTAACGAGCTGGTTCGGCAATTCCCCGTAGTGTCGCAGCCCATCAGCGCGGCCGCTCCCGACGCCGTCCTTGCCTAGCGCACGCGTTTCGGGTGTCGTCTCGCTGACCCCAACGGCCGTCTCGTCCCACTGCCGATCAATCCGCTCCCGGCTTCCGCAACAGTGCTTCGGAGGAATGCAGAGCCCGCTCGGTCCCGTCCTCCGTTCAATGGCGCCCAGAGTGCCGTCGTGGGAAACTTCAAACATGGCATGCCTTGACAGCTTGGCGCGTGGCAACAGTCTTTCCTTCCCGGCCCTTGGGCAACGGTCGGGGCAAACTCTCGGGCACGGACATTGTTCGCGACACGTCCGCATGGGGTTTGGGCCTGGCGTCGTCGCCTTTGACTTTGGTGGCTTGCGTCTACGGCGCAGCTCGACTCTGCCAACGCTAGGCAAGGCTCGCGACACCAGGACCACCATGTCGGGACCCGAATGCCAGATCGATCGTGCGCCGGTGCATGTCACTCCCGGCCGGCTTGTGGATTGCGGCGTCTAGGGCGTGTTGGCTCATGGCGGGCCCATGAATGTTGGTCAACAGACGCCGTTCGACGGCTCCATCGGCTCCGTCATCTGTCGCCGCTGTTCGCAAGCCGGGCGTTGGCTATGCCGCCGCTGGCAAACGCTTCATCAGGTGGCCGGCCGCGCCTCTGCGAATGACACATGTGTCTTTCAGTGAATACATGCCGTGATGCTAGAAATCTTCTCAACCCAGACCCGTCCTTGAGGACGCTGATGAACACTCAAGTGATATTGGACGTGGTGGTAGCTAACATCTGCTGTGACAGGTGTATCATGAGAGGAGAGACAGATCAAGGTTTAGGATGCCAATGAGCTCGGCGGCGTCATTTCCGACACAAGCGTCAAGGATCATTGGCGATGACTGCTCGTCCAGACGCCTTGCTCTAGTACGGATGGTCCCACGGTTCCGCCCGTCGTCTCTCTTATCTGATGCTTGACGCCACTGGTTGGGCCGGCCCCGGCAGCGTGTAGCCGGACCCAGGACTGGTGATCGGAGGGTGTCTCGGTAACTATTCAGGCGCCCGCTGTAGGACTTGTCTAGTCCCAAGGTGTAGCTAATAGGTATTACCCCTTGAGGGCAGATTTGCCGACTTCGAAAACCCACTAAACAGGTCAAGGCTGGTTCGATGCAAGCGAGGCGTACAACTTCAAGTTGGCCGAGAACTCGTGGACAACGGCATCAAACCATGTTCCTTTTGCGGCCACCAATCGTGCCACTGATTGAGCAAGCTCTCGCCTGATACGACTCAAGAGCAGCCGTCCCGTATTTTTGGTCCATGATACAGATTGGTCGGCCCGTGACATGACTTCCGTCTCTTGATACCAGACGTCGGCCAACAGGACCGGCGATAGGGCACATGAGATCCTGCTCCTGCGGCCTGTCTCGCTCCTCAGCATATTAGGCTGGCAGAAGGGGCAGTGCGTAATCGTAAAATGAGGCAAGTATTAAACAAGACTTGGTTTGCCTTTGGTGGGCAAGGTCAAGATGAATACCATCAATCCAGGACCTCCTGCTATCCATCCAGGAAGCCGTCCTTGCAGCCATGAACGCCGCCGAGGTCTCGTTGCATCACTGCGGTAGTTGGCGCCAGGCTGGCAAGGTGTTCGTCCAAGCCTCCGCTCTTGTGTAAAGACCGTCGAACATGGCTCGTCAGCCCGCACAATTGTCTGAGAAACCTGCCCTTGCGTACTCTTTGGCTTCGTTCCGCGACTTTGCGATGGCACATTTGCCTAATCTTCCGAGTTCCGCAACAAACTCATCCACGCGTCCCAGGTACGCCATCTCGTGAGCTGTGATCTGACTGATGGGCATGCTTTTGATGATGTTGGATGCCAAACCGAGCAGCTCCACGTCCTGGGTTGCCTGCTCATCCAGCGGGTTTCTCAGGATACTGAAGAAGATGGTCACAAGGGCTGACACGGGGTAGAAGACAAAGACCCTACGCGTGTGTCAGAAAGCCCACGCAAGTGCCGCATGAGGCGTCCTGATAACAACTGGGCGGAAATCTCACATACCAGAATGCTTCGCCGACAAGCCGGTTTGCCGCCGCGCTGAGATATATGAGCGTCGACCGGCTGGCTTCCACGGACAGCTCCAGACTCGACCGGACCCCAAACGACGCTGCCTGGCCGGGACCACTTCCATCGACCATGCACCTGCCACTGGCAGCGTGGATGGCGTTCATGAGGTATTGATAATTCAGGTTCAGTTCAATGTGCAGCATGCTCCTGGATATGTCCAGGTCCGCGACCAGCCTCGCGTGCTTCTCGGATACAGACAGGGTGGGCGAGAAGTCGGCCGGAATGGACAGACGCCAGCTCTCGAGCTCTTCGTCTAGCTCGCGGATGGTGCGCAGGAGCTCGGCGTCCGACTGCCGCAAAGAAGGGGCCGAGTACAGCAATCGACACACCCTGGACTTGAGCAGGCTCAGTCGCAGGTCGTTGGGAAACCATGGAGCTCTGAATCCGTTGTTTGAAGACGTGCTTGCGTTGTCACAAGCCGGAGAGTTGGTGGCAAAGCGACTCTCGTCGGACCATTCGGGAAAGGTCAGGTCGCAAAATTCGTCGCTGATGATGGGCGGTTGACCCGTGCGAAGGGCTATGTCTTTGTCGAAGACGTAGCATACCCAGAACAATATGCGAAGCTGTCGATCTTCGCGGTCCTGCACGCCCAGCTCGCCGTGGTGAGGCGCAGAGGGTATGAGCATATGCCCTCCCAGGACGAACACGCACCGGCAGGCAACTGCATGGTACATTGACGCAGCTTGCAGGCGGCCAGAGAAAGTCTCGTACGCGAGCTGTGCCAGACGAAGAACAGCTGTTAGTCACACATGGATTTTAAGGTTAAAGGTGGACAGCCCGGAAGAAAATTGGTCGCATACCAGCATGAGTACAGTCTGCAGCATCGTGATGCTCGATTCCTCGAGAAAGTCGGACAGCAAGACCTGTGCTTCAGCCGCGCAGGCATCACCATTGACGAGCCGAGCGGCTTCGCATCCCAAGCGCCGAGGGCCGACCATGGAAAGAAAGGCAAAGACGCAGGCGTTGGCACTGCGTTTCTCGAGGGTCTGGACGGTGTCTTGCGTATAAGCCAGCCGGATGGTATCCTCAAACAGAACACCGTCCAGCATCGGAAACACGAGCCGGAAGTCGGAGGCCAGGAAAGCTTTTAGGAGAGAGTATACAATCCATTCTTCAGGCAAGCGCATCCTCTGGCCATGAGAGGCCTGGTCCAGAGAGAGCTTGGAGAAGCAGGGAGCAGGTGGGTTCTCGGCAGCATAGAGCCTCTGAAAGGAAAGCCACTGCCCCGTCCTGGAGAAGATCCATTCTTGGCCCTGAGCCGTGAACTGAGGAATGCCGTCCCGGGTGCAAAATGTGCCAAAGTTGTGCCCGGAGATGTAGATTTTCCCGAGAGCAGCGTTGTTCAGACGCATTGGGCGCGGGGATTCGGTCCCAGAAAGCGCCGGGGCTGTGCAGACATCATTTGGCTGGGCGGCTGGGCGGCCCTGATCCGGGGAAGATGTAGCAGATGCGACAGAGGCACTAGTTGCGTCTTCGGTTGCTACCGTGTGAGAGGCGTCTGTTTGTGTGCGTGCAGCCAGAGCCTGCCTCGACGCGACGCGGGATCTTGGAGGGTTGCCGTTAGCTCGCTCACTTGCGGTATATAAGAGACTTGGTCAATCACCATGGAGGGCATGCGAACGCAGAACACTCACACTATGCGTCTCTTGTTGCCCCTTGCGCGGGTAAATGTGCACGGGAGGCCGTGGTGGCTGCACCAGTCGCAGGAACCAGCCTCGGACGCATCGCACTGGATCTAGGCACGGTAAGCGGAAGCTCTGGCCAATGAGTGGCTTGGACAGATCAAACATGAAGGAGACAACTGTGTTTATCGACCGTGCAGAGGCGCGAGAGAGAGACACCTTTCGCTTGTAGCACGTGTCGCACGCTCGCCTTTGCCTGGGCATGATTGCCTTGTGAGGGAGCTATGGAATCTCGGAGCGGAGCGGCATGTCTCTTGTCCTAAAACGCTTAGAAATAAGCCCTTGTCGGAATCTCGAGTTGAGGTGTGCCCCGGACTAAGACGGAGGGCAGGGAGCAAGCGGATCAGGCTGACCGAGTGACACGTACACCGTGAGCCGGATGGATGGATGAATGGAGATGCCTGCCGACGGCTTCTGGCAGAGATGCAGCGGGCTTCAGAGACGTCGGGTCGGGCTTGGCGGCGAGGATGATGCTTCGGTGGTCGGCTGGACGTCGGGGCTTCTGTTAGAGCGACTCCGATTCCCGCTGACTAAGCGGAGAACCACAACCCCCAGGGCTCAGTGCTCACGACTCCACGACGACACCGACGGTCGGACACGCGCGATGCCGACGCTGGCGAGAGATGACAAAACGTTCGAGAAAAGGAAACCGAGCTCGTGTTTTCGTCCGAGATGATGCTTAGACTTTTGCTGGCTGATGAAGATATTTCCCGCTTAGTCACGCATCATTGAAGCTGGCGAGACGACACGACGCTGCATCCACCATCCAAGAAGAGCTATTCTCCGACAAAGACTTGCTCTGATGCTTGTCTTGGCCATGGACTCGACCAAGGCATTGTCATTCTGCCACCATGGCCCGGAACCATGGCCCGGAACCGTCTGCTCTACCGTGGGGAGGCGCCTGCTCAAGAGCCTCCAACGCTCCCTTGCGCTTCTCCTCTTCAGCGCCAACGTCAATCTTATTCGTTGACTAAGCGGCATTCAAACAGCGAGGTCCAAAGGCCAAAGTTAGACTCCAGACCCTGGACCCTGGACCGCGGCCGAGCTACTGTACAATATTTGTCGACGGAGCCTCGAGTGGATATGCTTTCCCCGAGACTGCCGCTCCGTCGCAACGATAATCTGGCTTCGCAAGAGCATCGCTTCGCCTCCTGACTGCTCGCTTCTTTCTTTTTGGGCCGTTTCGCCCGTCATTGCCTGGGGTCATCGGCCACCGGTGGAAACTTTATGGGTCTGCTCGGCATCCTTAACAACACCGAGGACCCACCTAGACGTTGCTTATAAGACCGCAACCATGGCAAAGGCCTTGGGATTCGGAGCCCTTGTCGAGGTTGTTTGCTTTCTATTCATCCTTGACGCTACGGGAAGGCAGCTATTTTTCGTTTGACCCGTGTTTCTCCGCATTAATCCTCATCAACACCAGCTTGGACGCCTCCGAGACCTTCTCCAGTTCGCCGCCGGGCACCATGGTGCATGACGAGGATGTCCCACTGGCCGACAGTGGCAGCACGCTGAAAAGCGAACAGCATTACGGCGATGCAGAGTGGGAGTTGAAGCCCAAGGTCGTCGCCTTCCGCGCAAGAGACGAAGCTTCCGGCTTCCCACCTCGTGAGCTTGGCGTGACCTGGCAGAAGCTCACCGTCGAAGCCATCAGCGCCGAAGCCGCCATCCACGAAAATTTCGTTTCTCAGTTCAACATCCCCAAGCTCATCAAGGAGTCTCGGAACAAGGCTCCTCTCAAGACGATCCTGCAGCAGAGCCACGGATGCGTCAAGCCCGGCGAGATGCTGCTGGTCCTGGGCCGGCCGGGCTCGGGCTGCACCACGCTGCTCAACGTCCTGGCCAACCAGCGAAGGGGCTACGCAAACGTCGCCGGCGACGTCCACTACGGCTCCATGAAGGCCGCCGAGGCCAAGCAGTACAGTGGCCAGATCATCATGAACACGGAAGAGGAACTATTCTTTCCGACGCTGACCGTGGGGCAAACAATGGACTTTGCCACGCGGTTAAAGGTGCCTTTCAAGTTACCCGACGGAGTCAACAGCAAGGAAGAGCTCCGCAAAGAGTCGGGCGAGTTTCTGCTCAAGTCCATGGGCATCGAGCACACCATGGACACCAAGGTGGGCAACGCGTTTGTCCGTGGCGTTTCGGGGGGGGAGAGGAAGCGAGTCTCCATCATCGAGTGCCTGGCATCTAGGGGGAGTGTCTTTTGCTGGGACAACTCGACCAGGGGCCTCGACGCAAGCTCGTGAGCAGCCCTCTTCGTCTCTTGCACATGCGGCCCCCTCTACTGACACTGGGACTCGACACAGGGCCCTGGAATTCGCCAAGGCAATTCGCGCCATGACAGACGTTCTCGGCCTCGCCTCCATCGTCACGTTGTACCAGGCTGGCAACGGCATCTACAACCTCTTCGACAAAGTGCTGGTCCTCGACGAGGGCAAGGAGATGTACTACGGCCCCATGCGGGAAGCCAGGCCCTTCATGGAGAGGCTGGGCTTTGTGTGCGCGCCCGGCGCCAATGTCGCCGACTACTTGACGGGTGTCACCGTGCCCACCGAGCGCAAGGTCCGGTCAGACATGCAGCACAGCTTCCCACGCACCGCAGACGCCATCCGACAAGTGTACGAAGAGTCCCCGATTCACGAGTCAGTGAGGGCAGAGTACGATTACCCGTCCACAGACGAGGCCAACAACAAAACGACCCTCTTCCGCCAGGGCGTCGCCATGGAAAAGGACAAGGGGCTGCCTGCTAAGAGCCCCATGACAGTTGGCTTCCTCGGCCAGGTCAAGGCCTGCATCGCGCGTCAATACCAGATTCTCTGGGGCGACAAGGCGACCTTTCTCATCAAGCAAATATCGACCATAGTCCAGGCTCTCATTGCGGGCTCGCTCTTCTACAACGCGCCCAGCACGTCGGCGGGACTGTTTATGAAGTCGGGCGCGTGCTTCTTTGCCATCCTCTTCAACAGTCTGCTGTCCATGTCCGAGGTGACCGACTCCTTCACCGGCAGACCCGTGCTGCTCAAGCACAAGTCGTTTGCCCTGTTCCATCCTGCCGCCTTTTGCATCGCCCAGATTGCCGCCGACATCCCCGTCATCCTGTTCCAGGTTTCCACGTTCTCCCTGATACTGTACTTCATGGTCGGCCTGACCATGTCGGCGGAGACCTTTTTCACCTTTTGGATCATCGTTGTGGCCACCACCATGGTAAGTGCAGAATCCACGACGCGGCAGCGCTCAGGCTCCCGACGAGGCAGTCTCTGTGTCATGCGGTTCCCGGGCACGCTTGGGCGAAGCTGACATTGTCCCTCCCGACAGTGCATGACGGCGCTTTTCCGGGCGATTGGCGCCTCCTTCAGCACGTTTGACGGCGCTTCCAAGGTCTCGGGCTTCACCATCGCCGCCGCCATCATGTACACGGGCTACATGATCCAGAAGCCGCAGATGCACCCGTGGTTTGTATGGATCTTTTGGATCGACCCGCTGGCCTACGCTTTCGACGCCCTTCTGTCCAACGAGTTCCACGACAAAATCATCCCCTGCGTGGGCAACAACCTGATCCCAAGCGGCCCCGGATTCACCGACTCGAGCCGGCAGGCGTGCGCCGGGGTGGGCGGCGCCGTCCCGGGACAGACATTTGTCACTGGTGACAACTACCTGGCGTCGCTCTCCTACAGCCACTCGCACCTGTGGAGGAACTTTGGCATCGTGTGGGCCTGGTGGGCGCTCTTTGTCGCCATCACCGTCTGGTCGACATCTCGCTGGCGGTCGTCGTCGGAGAACGGGCCGAGCCTGCTGATTCCCCGAGAGAGCGCCCGCCGCGTCGGCGCCACGCCGCGGCAGGCGGACGAGGAGGGCCAGACGGCGCGGAAACACGCCGTAGACCCGAGCTCGCGATCTGGCACCGACGTGGGCGATAGCGACGCGGCCCAGCCAAACCTCATTCGAAACACGTCCGTCTTCACCTGGAGGAACCTCTCGTACACGGTTAAGACGCCGGCGGGTGACCGTCTGCTGCTCGACAACGTGCAGGGCTGGGTCGAGCCGGGCAAGCTCACGGCGCTGATGGGGGCATCGGGCGCTGGAAAGACGACGCTGCTCGACGTGCTGGCGCGGCGCAAGACCGAGGGCACCATCCGCGGGTCCGTCATGGTGGACGGCAGGCCGCTGCCCGTCTCGTTCCAGCGGTCTGCGGGCTATTGCGAGCAGCTCGACGTGCACGAGCCGTTCGCGACGGTCCGCGAGGCGCTCGAGTTCTCGGCGCTGCTCCGCCAGAGCCGCGAGACGGCGCGGGCGGAGAAGCTGGCGTACGTCGACGCCATCATCGACCTACTCGAGCTCCACGACCTGGCCGACACGCTCATCGGGGAGGTGGGCGCGGGGCTGAGCGTGGAGCAGCGCAAGCGCGTCACCATTGGCGTGGAGCTCGTGTCCAAGCCCAGCATCCTTATCTTCCTCGACGAGCCGACGTCGGGCCTGGACGGGCAGTCGGCCTTTCACACGGTGCGCTTCCTGCGCAAGCTGGCGGCCGTCGGGCAGGCTGTTCTCGTGACCATCCACCAGCCGTCGGCGCAGCTCTTTGCGCAGTTTGATCGGCTGCTGCTGCTGGCCAAGGGGGGCAAGACGGTCTACTTCGGCGACATTGGCGACCAGGCGCGGACCATCCGCGAGTACTTTGGGCGGCACGGGGCACGGTGCCCGCCCGAGGCCAACCCGGCCGAGCACATGATTGACGTGGTGTCGGGGGGCCAGCTGTCGCAGGGCCACGACTGGAGCGCCGTGTGGCTCGAGTCGCCCGAGCACGCGGCCGTGAGCGCGCAGCTGGACCGCATCGTGCGCGAGGCGGCGGCCAAGCCCCCCGGGACCGTCGACGACGGGCACGAGTTTGCGACGCCGCTGCGGGAGCAGATACGGCTGGTGACGCGGCGGATGAACGTGTCGCTGTACCGCAACACCGACTACGTCAACAACAAGCTGGCGCTGCACGTCTTCTCGGCGCTCTTCAACGGCTTCTCGTTTTGGATGGTGGGCGACTCGGTGGGCGACCTGCAGCTCAAGCTCTTCACCATCTTCAACTTCATCTTCGTGGCGCCGGGCGTGCTGGCGCAGCTGCAGCCGCTCTTCATCCACCGGCGCGACATATTTGAGACGCGCGAGAAGAAGTCCAAGACGTACTCGTGGGTGGCCTTTGTCACGGGGCTCGTCCTCTCCGAGATGCCCTACCTCTTGCTCTGCGGCGTCGTCTACTTTGTCTGCTGGTACTACACGGTCGGCTTCCCCGCGGCGTCGCAGCGCGCGGGCGCCACGCTATTCGTCATGCTGGCCTACGAGTTCCTCTACACGGGCATCGGGCAGTTCGTCGCCGCCTACGCGCCCAACGTGGTCTTCGCCTCGCTCGTCAACCCGCTGCTGCTCGGCACCCTCGTCTCCTTCTGCGGCGTCCTGGTGCCGTACCAGCAGATCCAGCCCTTCTGGCGCTACTGGATGTACTACCTCAACCCCTTCAACTACCTCATGGGCAGCATGCTCGTCTTCGACCTGTGGGGCAGCCCCGTGCGCTGCGCCGCCGGCGAGTTTGCCGTCCTCGACCCGCCCAACGGCACCTCGTGCGCCGCCTACCTGGCCGACTTCCTGGCGCCGCGCGGGCCCGGCGCCGCGAGCAACCTCGTCAACCCGGACGCGACGGCCGCGTGCCGCGTGTGCTCGTTTACGCGCGCCGAGGATTACCTGGCGACGCTCAACCTGGGCGACTACTCGTACGGCTGGCGCGACGCGGGCATTGTCGTGCTCATGGTTTTTAGCTCGTACGCCCTCGTGTACGCGCTCATGAAGCTGCGCACAAAGTCGTCCAAGGAGGCCGAGTGAGCGGGGCTGTTGTTTGTCTGGCGGCTGTTGCTCCGCTGCTGGCAAGATGCAGCTCGGGGATGTTTGCATTGGTACTTGCCCCCCCGCCCCCCTCCCTTTTTTTGGTGGTTCGTGTCGATGATGTCTGCATTTGGGAATATGAAACCTTATACATGGGAGAGCTTTGGGATAAACAGCGGAGTATGCTTAATTGTAATGGCGCCGGCGATGAGGGCCCGGGGTAGAACGGGACGGGAGCATGGTTTATTATTAGAGCACTAGAGCACCGCCGATGATCCGGCTAGATCGGTCTGTCTCAGTATGGACCTCATAGTATAGAAGGGCAGTCGGTAAGTAGTTGAACATGATATACATGTGGAAATGGGAAACACGGGCAGGGTCCGGCATGTCCCGAGATGAAAGGGCCAGATCGTCTCTCCACGAGATACTCAGGCATCGTCGGCTCCAGGGGTGGTACATGCACACAGCCTCAGGGAAAAGAGACGTGAGGGAACCCCCGTACGATGAGATGAGATGAAAACTGCATTGCTGCTCCCTACTGCCATGGAAACATACTACCGTATCATGGAGACAAAAGTCCCTCCCCTCCAGGGTGTGCGGGAGGCGCATATGTACATACGAGGACCAGGCGGCACGGAGGAGGCTGCTCTTCCTGGACACAGTACCGGTGGCGGCCCCAACAGGAAGGGTAAAGGCGAATCGACAAGGAAGGTCAAGAAGAGAGGGAGTCCGGGCGAGGGCAAGGGGCCGTCTCCGGCCCGCGGGCTGTGGAGCACGACAGCACGGGGAGGCGGGGGAGGCGACGGCATCGAGATGGTGACCGGACGAATGGCGGCTCTGGATCGACTCGCTCACGGAAGAGGGAACCGCCCGGCGTCTTTGTGCGTCGGAAGGACCTGAGCGCAGAGCGGGCAGGCACCGGTTGGTCTCTGGGCGGCGAGGCCGGAGCGCGCGCCCGGTCGAGGCGGCCGTCGACGTTGGACAAGGCGGAGCGAATCGGAACGTTTCCGGGGAATACAAGTCATGGGAGGGGGGAGGGGTTTGTCCGAGGCAGACGTCGGGCCGACCTATCAATTCGCCGGGGTGGCGGCTCCGGGAGAGCGGTCAAAGATGGGGCTGGAGGGAAGTCAAGAGAACGAAGGGGAAATCACGGGCATAAGAGCCTCTTCCGAGGTTGTCAAGTGCTGCGGGCAAGTGGGAACGCAGAGTTCATGGTGGCGTCAGGGACAAGGGTTGGCTCGATGTGGGAGGGCAAGCCGGCGCCTTGGACTCACTCGCAGATGAGCGTAGATCAGGGCTGTAGTCGGGGTGCGGCACTATTTGCCATGGCGAGTCGACTAGACTGGATGCTCTCTGCCTGTGAAACGACAGTGAGATGTCACATGGGTATATATGACAGCTTGCAGTGTTGGCGGGATAGAGGGGGCTCAACTGGTTGGCATGAATCGTCGTCGTCTTTCCCGGCGAATGCGACCCCTGGGCTTCCGCACGTGGTGGGAGGTTGGGTTTTGAGTTTACCGAGCGCAGGGTGATGATACGTAGGACATGATGCTTTGGTGGTTTGTCTTGACTCTGACAAGAGTGCGTCTAGGGATGCAGAGAAGCTTTGGCCGTCGACACGATGGGCCAAGGTAGCTGCCGTCTGTCGGCGTGTCCGGCCGGGGACACAAGGGCTCATGGTGCGACAGAGCTGCCGGGCCAAGGCTCAGCAGGGCCGACTAAAGGGGGGCTTTGGGGCATGCGCTCTTTTCGAGGCCTGGGAGGAGAGAGACGGGGAGGGACCGTTGGTTGCTGAGCGGGGGCTGGTTCGAACGCCGAGTGTCTCTTGGCAGCGCTTGAATTGGCACCAGGGCCGCGGCGGACTCGCGACTCCACTGTCAGGGCTTGGACTGACGTTTGTTGCCCGGAAGAGGGAGGGTCCAGGAGAGCGTCCGTCTGTTGTTGTGGGTGCAAAGTCAATCCATGGCCCACATGCTCCTCTGGTCTGCCCTACCCACAGCGCGAGCTAGCCAGGGGGAGCCCGGTCTGGGCGCACGTGTGCAGGCATTGGTGAAGAATGGTTGTTGGCGATTCGTCGACGTCGTCGAGCTCGGGCTGTTGGGGAGATGCGTGATTGGTTGTGCTGTACCGACCGACAGTAGGTACGTAGATGCGACGAGGCTGCGGCCGAAAAGTCGAGCAAGTTTGCGGCGAGAGGAGGAGGAGGAGGAGGAAGAGGAGGAGGAGGAAGAGGAGGAGGAGGAAGAGGAGGAGGAGGAGGAGGAGCTTGCTTGTAGGGCTCAGCATCAGGCCAGCTGAATGAATACCTAATTAAAAGGGCACACAGCCCTAGTAGGGCCCAAGACCGGGCCTGGTTCGTCCGGCTAATATGCGGCAGTACCATCCGTCCCCTTGGCGGGGTGCTTGTACCTCTCCAAGTACGTACCTCCCCCCCCCCCACACTTGGTCCTCCACCGCCATCGTCAAAGCTCTCGCGGCTCCCCCAATGAGAGGCGTCGATGGCCCATGTTTTTTTCCTCCTATTGTTTCGTTGCGGGCCTTTGGCACCAACTCGCAGACACCCACTCGGCTGCCACGCGCCGCCCATCCATGCCGCCATGTCGCGCCTCGCTGTATAAAGAGACGGCCGCATCCGCCTCGGTGGGGGCCCAAGCTTCGCCAACCAGAGAGACAAGCGGTCCCGTGAGCAAGGCGTTTTGGTGAATATTTCGTACGGCTGATTCCTTGCTCCCCTCGAGAGCTCGCTCCTACATGTCTGGCGACCTGCCGTGACCCTCTTGCCCCCTCACCGCCGTGCCTGTCTCGGCCAGACACACAGAGACGAGCCGCCCATCATGGCCAGCCTCGGCCGCCTCTTCCGTCGCTCGCCAGCCGAGCAGCAAGCCTCGGAGCCCCGCCATGACGCAGACGCAGACGCCCCCGGCAGCGGCGCCGCCCACAGCCTCGACGGCGTCGAGTCCAAGCCGTTTATGCAGCGGGCCCTGCCCGTCTTTGCCTGCGGTGCCGGCCTGTTCTCCGACGGCTACATCAACAACGTGAGTGGCCAGAGAGGCTGGAGGAGGGAAGAGGAAGAAGACGAGTGCCGAGCGAGGGACAGGACGAGAGAAAAAGAAGACGAGCGCTGAGCTCGGGACACGAAGAGGGAAATGGACATGGAGACGCAAGACACAGCTAACAACTTGCTCACAAACAGGTCATCGGCTCCGTCAACACCGTCCTCAAGCTCCAGTACGGCAACGTCTATAAAGACTCGCCCGCCGCCAAGCACGTCGCCGACATTGCCTTTGCCGGCACCGTCGTCGGCCAGCTCGTCTTTGGCTTTGCCTCGGACCGCTGGTCGCGCTCAAACTCACTCGTCGTCTCCACCGTCATCCTCGTTGTCTTTACCGCCCTGACCGCCGGCTCCTACTACCGCGGCGAGCCCGTCGGCATGTTCAACATGCTGGCCGCCTGGCGCTTCTTTGTCGGCATTGGCATTGGCGGTTGGTGTCCCCCGAGTGATGAGTGAGGAGGAGGAGGAGGATGAGGAAGAGAGCTAACGACGGCTTACGTCTGTAGGAGAATATCCCGCCGGCAGTGTCGGCTGCGCCGAGTCGAGCGGCGAGCTCAAGTCCGGCACGCGCAATCGCTGGTTCATCCTCTTCACCAACAGCATGATTGACTGGGGCTTTGTCTTTGGCGCCTTTGTTCCTTGTGAGTCTCCCGACTCGGCCGTCTGGTGAATCGAGAATTGGACCAGGAACGTCTTCAACGCTGACACGGTCCGCGTCGACAGACGTCGTCGCCGCCGCCGCCCACAACGACCATTACTCGACCATCTGGCGCACCAGCCTCGGCATCGGCGTCGTCTTCCCCCTGCTGCTGCTGCTCATGCGCATGCGCCTCAAGGAGCCCGAGGAGTTTGCCAAGGAGTCGATGCGCAGACAAACGCCCTACATGCTGGTCCTGCGCTTCTACTGGTTCCGCCTGTTTTGCGTCAGCCTCATCTGGTTTCTGTATGATGTGAGTTGCTTTCCCCCTACCTTTGCTTGTGAGCAGTCTCGCTGCCATCCGCCAGACTAGTCGTCTTTTGGCCGCATCATTTTTCTCGTGCTCTGGCTAACCCCCCCACAGTTCAGCACGTATGCCTTTGGCATCTACTCGTCGTCCATCCTCAGCGGCATCTACGGCGACAGCGCGCCGCTGACGACTGTCTTTGGCTGGAACACGGTCATCAACATGTTTTACCTGCCCGGCACCCTCTTCGGCGCCTTTGTCAGCGACTGGATCGGCCCCAAGCACACGCTGATCGTGGGCGTCGTGGCGCAGGCCGTCGTCGGATACATCATGGCGGGCGTGTACGAGCAAATCTCGCGCCACATCGGCGCCTTTGCCGTCGTCTACGGCATCTTCCTCACCCTCGGCGAGCTGGGCCCGGGCAACAACATCGGCCTGCTGGCGGCCAAGACGTGCGCGACGGGCGTGCGCGGGCGCTACTACGGCATCGCGGCCGCCATTGGCAAGATCGGGGCCTTTGTCGGCACGTGGGTCTTCCCCTACATCCAGGCGGCGGGCGGCGACGGCACGACGCAGTCGGCGCAGTATCCGTTCTGGGTGGCGGCCAGCCTGTCGCTGCTGTCGGCCGTCATTGCCTTCTTCTTCATCCCCAACATTGGCCAGGACACGATTACGCACGAGGACGCGCGCTTCCGCCAGTACCTCGAGAGCCAGGGCTGGGACACCAACATGCTGGGGCTGGCCAGGGACGAGTCCAACGCGGCGTCGTACGCCGAGGAGGAGCAGACGCCGGTGAAGAAGGCGACCAGCAGTAGCTGAGAGGGGGGGAGATGGAGGTGATGAACATAAGACACAGTAAAACTTTATTGTTGAATCCGCCCACAGAGTGCGTAGAGTCGACGCTCAAGGACGGGAAGCCTTTATTTCTCCCAGCGCCTGGTAACCAGCTTAGTTTAAAGCGTGAGCCTTGTTTTAGTCTGTCGAATCAACTCGCCTTGTTTTAGTCTGTCGAATCAACTCGCCTTGTTTTAGTCTGTCGAATCAACTCGCCTTGTTTTAGTCTGTCGAATCAACTCGCCTTGTTTTGTCCGTCGCATCAACTCGTCTTGCTTTTGTCTGTCAAAGTAATAACCCGTCTCACCTTTTGCATGCGTCCTGTGTCCAATGACGGCCCGCACGCCCTCCCCGAATAGGCAAGGGGAGCCGGGCCGGGACGGAAGCGGGGGTGCCGGGGGCCGAGCCGCCCCGGAGGATGGTGAGTGGACCAAGGCCGGGACGCCGGCCCTATCGCAGCCACTTGCCGCCACGCACCATCATCTTTGATGCCCAGCGGGCGTCGTCGGGCATCCATGGACGAACAGACGCGAGGGCGCACAGGCCAGGCCAACATCAGCAGCCTGTGCTCGGAGCGTGGGATGATGGATGCGGTGACACGAGGCGCGCCCAGCCCGCCCGCAGGACCAGACGGCTCGCCAGAGGCCGGCTGGGCGTGACTGCCTCGCCGACGCCCGCCGCGCATCGTCCTGGTTGGTCCGGGTGTGGGAAGGGCGGTCCTTTGCAGCCGGGCGAGCTTCGCGGGGCTGGTTGGGGGACTTGGTCTTGTCGAGGCCTGGCTTCGCTGCGTCGTGGGGCTGATGCCATCTACAGCACCGGGACCTCGTCTCCCCCCGTCCTCGAGACTCGGTCAACTTGCGAGGGAAAAGCGCTTCCGCAGACGCGAGGGAGTCGACTCAACTCAACCCCCGGGCTCGACAAACACTCGCCCGCCCCCCCTTCTCCCCCATGGTGCACACGCGAAAAGGTCCCCTCCTCCTCCACCGACCAAGCCCAACATGACGAACGCAACAGCACACGAGCTAACGACCGCTTCCACAGCCCGCCCGACAAAGGCAAAGCCGCCGCCCGCACCCCCCAGCAGCAGCAGCAGCAGCAGCAGCAGCAGCAGCAGCGGGCGACGCCCTCCTCCTCCTCCACCACCGCCGCCCACCACCACCACCACCACCACCGCCTTCCCCCCGCGCACCTTCTTCTTCTACGGCACGCTGACAGACGCACACGTGCTCGCCGCCGTCGCCGCGCTGGACCGCGCGCCGGAGCTGCGCGACGCGTGGATCGACGGCTTCGAGATGAAGCTGTGGCACGGCGTGTACCCGGCGCTGCTCCCGCGGCGGCGCGGCCGCATCGCCGGCAAGGCGTGGCGCGCCACCAGCGCCGCCCAGTGCCTGCGCCTGCAGCGCTACGAGACGGCCGCCTACGAGGCCTGCGCCTGCACCGTGCACCTCGGGCGTGCCGCGGGCGAGGAGGAGGACGGCGCCGAGGAGGCGGTAGTCCCGGGCCTGACGTTTCGCTGGGCGCGCGATCCGCGCAGCTGCGAACTTGTCGACGGGGCGTTTGACCTGGCGGTTTGGCAGCGCAGGCACAAGGCGCTGGTGTTTGGCTAGACGCCTGGCTGGGGCCGTGTCGTTGGACGCGGGCCTTGCGCTTCTGGGGGGGCTTGGAGTCGATGGCGTGGGTTGATGCCATGTCGGGATTCATGCCTGGCGGGCCCTTGTTGCGCAGGGCCCTGTATGGTTCCCCAGCAATGGTTTATTACAACGGGACGCGTATTCGGTCTCCTTCGTTCCTCTCTTTGCAATCTGTTCCCGTCGTGGGCGGCATAGCCCTCGAGTTGCTCGCGTTGCTGACAGCCGTTGGTCCAGTCTCTCACCCTCTACACCGAACTGCTTGCTGATTCTCTCCGGAGGGAAGCGACCTGACACGTCTACATGTATCCAAACGTGATATACACAGGCAAAACAACGTGTGTGAGAGCATGTAAAGCCCAAGGCCAGCCCCCCTGACGACTTCGAGAAGCCAGCCCATCAACCACCCTCGGCCATCACTCACCACCACACCTCTGCATCCCCCCCCCCCTCGACACTCCATATATACGCGAGGAGCACCGAGAAAGGCCCAAAGATGGACTCGGCGTCACAAGTCCCGCTCCCCCCCCCTCCTCCCCCCGCCAGCCCGCCCATCCAGCACGCCCTGGAACCAGTCCAGCACGACCTGGCTCTGCAGCCGCAGCGCCCCGACGCCCGCATGCGCGCCCGCGGCGTCGGCGTCGGCGAACTCGTGCCGGTGCGCCCACCGCGGCCCCAGTGCCGCCGCCAGCTGCCGCGCCTGGCCCGCGAAGAAGAGGTCGCGCTGCGCGTCGCCCACAAAAGTCGGCGTCGCGATGCGGTGCGCCACGGGCGCCAGCGTGTAGTTGCGCGCCAGCGTCACCAGCTCGTACGGCGACGGCGTGCCAAACGCCCACAGTCCCTGCTCGAGCCCCCACCGCAGGCGCGTCGGGGCCCCGGCGCCGAGGAAGCGCTGCCTGGCCAGGGCGTCGAAGCGCTCCCGTTTGCCCGCCGCGTGCAGCCTCATCATCTCGGGCCCGAAGCCCGCCGCCAGCACGGGGCCAAACTCCCACACGCCGTCCAGCGCCATGACGGCGGCGAAGCGGTCGTCGAAGGCGGCCGCGCGCGGGGCCAGGTAGCCGCCAAACGACAGGCCCAGCAGCCCGACGGCCGACGGGTCGACGTGGGCCGTCTGCCGCAGCACGTGGTCCATGACGGGTCCGACGACGCGCTCCCAGTCCGGGATGAAGCCGAGCCCCTGCTGCCGCCGCACCGTGGGCTGCCCGGGCCCCTCGTAGCTGAGCACGTTGTACCCGCGCTCGAGGGCCGCGAGCCCAATGACGTGGTACAGCTCCTCCTGCGCGCCGTCGTAGCCGTTTCCCACGACCAGCGTCGGCCGCCGCCGCTGCTGCTCCTTGCCGCCGTGCTCGGGCGTTGGCGTCAGCCAGATGGCGGGAATGTCAAAGTCGGGCGCGCGGATGGTCAGTCGCTGGCCAGGGGGGCTCAGCAGGGCCAAGCCGTGGTCAAAGGCGTCCGTCTGGCGGTCCCACAGGTCGACGAGGCGCGGGTCCGCCGGGTCGCCGTGGAGGAAGAAGTCGGCCGCGCGAAAGTAGGTGGCGGCGCTGAAGAAGGCGGTCCGGGCCGAGAATGGGAAACCGCCCCGGGCGACGGCGGCGGCGCGGTCGTAGACGCTGCGGGCCAGGCGGCCAAAGGCGCCGGCGAAGCTCTCAAAGTCGCCGGGGACGATGTCGCGCGCGGCCGTGAGCACCTCGGCGATGTCGGCCCCGTCGTACACGCTGAGCGACAGAGGGCGTAGAATGCCAAAGTCGAAGAGGGGGTCCTCGTTGAGAGGGAGCGGCGTACCGCTTGCGTTGGCAGCCATGACGAGCTGCCGTTCTCTCGCTCTCTCCAAGAGAAAAGGAGACTATGTCATCTGCAGCAGAAGAGATGGATGAGTCGAGGTTGGATCCTCGGGGCTGCCTGGCCACGCTGCAGAACCAGGACCCAAGACCGGTATTTATACCGCTCTATACTTATACTCATGGTCGACATTGGCGTCGGCTTTCGCGGCCGCGCCCACAGTCGCAAGATTAAAGCCGCGGCGCAGGATAACAATGGCGCCGGCGGCAGCGGCGGCGGTGTCGTTCCTCGGTATCCAACGCCGTTGGCTCGTTCCGGCCGAGCGGCGGCGCCCTCGTGTGCATGGTCGAATCGGAGGGCCGCGTAAACGATGAGACAGCATGGATGATGATATGTCGTCGTCGAGCCGCGCGGGGTTCGCCGGATGGGGACGCAGGGATTCTCGGCCTGCGGCTGGTGAGCATATGAGTGTGAGGATAAGCCTGATCAACGTGAGCGGTGTAAGATGGAGCAGAGAAACGAGACAAGCCAGCCCCCGTAAGAAGAGATGGCCGTTTTGCGTCCGTCTTTCCCCTGTGAGCGGCCATCAGCCTCCCGAGGACGGGGCCATCGTCCCCTCATCTCAGACCCGGATACCATCTCAACGAAGCCATCTCACGGGCTGGCTGAGAGTGGCTGCGGTGGCGGCAGGGAAGGGCGGCTCGTTCTCGTTGGTGACATGGCTCGCCGCCGCGAGCGCCTCGTCAATGGCGAGACGCGGCTGCTTCTGCCTCTCCCTCTTACTCTCGAGGCATTGTCCGTGCCCGCTGGAAAAGTAATCGTATCCTCAAACTCCCCGTTGCGTGTCCGTGTCGTCCGTGTTCACAGCCCACGCCCTGCCGACGACTTCCTCGTCTGCCTCAACCACCATCCTCTCCCCCAAACTTCGCGCAACGAGACCGCTCGAGTAGGATGCTGAAATTTCCGGTTCCTCATCGCTTCTGACCCGTGTGTCGTCGTCTTCATCGGTCAAAAGGTTCATCGTCCTCGGCGTCTGCGCTGAACATGAATCGGTTGGGGGGTTGCTCATATTCCGACTCAACACCGGTCATGACGCCGAGTCTGCGTCTCCCTCGGATACCTGCATCAGCAGTCAGAACACTGCCTCGCTTCACTCCCAAGAGAGAATGGAGAGAAGCAACACACACCAAGCGGACAAGACGCACATATTAGCAACACACCGCAACTCTCCCCCAGATAGATAGAAACGGCGACAGCCTCAACCTGAAGCGCAATCAGCTTCTCTCTGAAACTGTTCCGTTCAAGAAGCGTAGATTCGCCAATGCTGCCCTGTTTGCCACCAGCACGTGCGTTCCTGGCGTCCTTCGTTTGCTACCCGCGCTCTTTGTCACGTTGAAGAACAACCCAAGAGCATTCCCCATTCACCGTACACACCAGAGAGCCGCGAACAGCAGTTGTCTGCGTCTCATTTCCAGACCTTTACACCCTCCCCGGCTTCTAGAAAAGCAAAGGAAGGGTAAAAGAAGGCGGGTAGAGGCCCGCCCCAGCGGGAATCCTTCTCCCGGACCTGAACAGCCAGTTCAGTCTCTGTTCCACTTTTGTAAATTCGCCGGGGCCCGTATGTTTGCACCTTTTCGAGTTCAATTGCCCAGAGGATAGGAAGTGTTGCGTGGTGCAGTCGAGTTGTCCCGTTTCGCCTCGCGGCTTGCCCCCTGGGTGGCCATTCGTCTTGTTCTCAGTTGCCCGTCCAGCCGACGAACAGCGCCTGTTCCAGATAAACAAACAACGTGTCCGTGGAAACCTTCCGCGTGGTTGGCCAGAGTCCAAAAGGTCCCGTGCCTCTCGCAATCAGGCCCAGCCGACAGCCCCCTGGTTATCGCACCCTCCCCGCCCAATTCACTTGGCCAACCCTCTCGAGACAGGCTTCCCTCCTCATTCAATGACGTATCCTTTCCCTCGAACACGCGTTATTCACCAAATCGATGCCCCAGCCAGGGCCTCAACCCCGAGCCAGCACCAATTCACTTCCCCCCTTCTCCCACCCCCCGGGCTATATAGCCCTGATCTCCCCCGATTCGATCCGACTTTTCGCGCCACACATTGCTTTCTCTTTCATCTCCTCCTTTTCATCGAGCTCATCCCTGTTTCATCTCGCTCCCTGAGCTTCCAATCTCCAAACAGCTTCCCCAGCGCGTCTCGTCGCCATGAATCCGTCGTCAGGCGCGCGCGTCTTGCCCGACGCCGGCCGCCTCCAGGGGTTTCCCCCAGGAAACTTGAGCATCGACACTTGCAGCACCCCTGGCTTTCTGCATCACTTTCGCACCGAGGCTTCCGACCCGTCAGCCCGCCTGACGCCCAGTCCTCACTGCTCCCGAGCCACTTCACCAGGCCCTGCCATCGGCCCGTCCGATGAGGCTCGAGCTTCGCAGAGTCGTGCCGCGGCTCAAGATCCGCTCGGCCAGTTCCGTTATGATCCGGCTCGCCAGGCCATCTTTCCCAGTGTATGGGGCGTGGGCCTGCCCGGCGGCCTGGCTCTTTGGCCCGTCAACTTCAGAGCGACACTGGGCTCGTCGGAGTCGCGATGGGCGTTTGCTCGGCGTGGCCCAGCGTAAGTCTAGTCCGGTCCTTGCATCTCGGCTCATCTGATGACTCGAAAAAAAGCTCTAGCCCCGCGGCCACCGGCGTTGCCCATCAGCTCCAAGGAATCCGTGGCGACGCTGGCAATGACGGCGTGAATGGCTCGCCTCGACGTGCCGGTGCCTCGGCCCAGGCGCTTGGAGAGAGCGGCCCGTTTGCGCAGATGCCAAGATCCCACGCCGGCGGAGCGCCTCTTTGGCAGTCTTCGTTTGCCAAACAGCCCATCGCGCCCGGGCGGGACGGCGACCAACTCTTCGACCCAGGGCCGGAATGGCGCACGACTGCCCGGCCGGTGAGCCAAACCACTGCAGCTCGGCAGCTCCAAGCTACGCTTCCGCGCACCCGTACACAAAGGCCTCTCTCGGCGACGGCGGCCGAGGACACGCAGCAGAGCCAGTCGACCGGCTTCCAGCCCATGATGGCCGTGGCCGAGCCGGAGAGGCGACGCAACAGCCTGGCCGCGATGCAGCTGCAGAGCCAGGACTCCAACAAGTTCTCGAGTCGCTACCATGGAATGCACACGGAGAACAACGCCAGCGCCGAGTATCTCGTGCCTGGGCAAAACTGCGCGCTCTGGCTGACCAACCTCCCGGCCGACGTCGAGTACAGCGAGCTCCTCGGCGCCATCAGCCAGATTGGACGCGTATGGTGCACCTACATCAACCTGCCCGACAACGTCAAGCACCACACGGCGGCAGCAAAGGTCGTCTTCTTCACGCCCGAGGCGGCGCAGAAGCTGCTGACCAACTCGTGGACCAAGACGATTGTCATCCGCGGCTGCCGCGTCCGGGCCTCGCACAACCGCATCAAGTACGGCAGAAACGCCATGGCGGGCAAGATGTCGCGCGTGCTCATCATTACGGGCAGCCAAGAGTTTGTCAACCCCGAGAACCTGCGCAACTGGTTCATGGAGCGCTTCGTCTTCCAGGAAGATGTTGTCATTGAGCTCATCAAGGCGGCGGGGCGAGCCGTGTGCGAGTTCCGCTTCGGCAGCTACCGGTGCCAGGCACAGATGGGCAAGATGGCGCTCGAAAAGGACAGGCCAGTCGGCTTCGAAAAGGTCGAGTTTGCCGACGACCCGTGCGAGGTGGGCGAGAACCTGGCGTCGTACGGCATCGCAGCCGAGCGGATCCAGGGCAAAGGCCTGTAAGGGGTCGTGGGGACAGAAAAGGTTCTTCGCATCCAAGGCGGGCTTTCGAATGGACCATGGCGGCTTCTGTTGGCACGGCCGAGACGAGGACCGGCAATCATTTTCGCATTCAACAAAGGCTCGGACTGGACGGGGGGATTTCTCATGGCTTCCTGGCTGTTGTTTGCCGAGAATCGGGACACGATTTGGATGGCACCTGTCGAACGCGTTGGAACGAGTGTTTGGCTGGATGAGTGAACAATTGGCCGCAATGGATGGGCGTGGGCAACAAAGGCCGGCGACGCTTGCACCCTGTACCTAGGGCATGGGAGGGTAATCATGGCGTCCAGATGCTGCATGTCCCATAGACAAACAATGGAAGCATCTCCTGGTGACAACCGTGGCAGCACGGGACAGCTGCTGGACTGTCAACCATGCCGCACCACGTCGAGATCGCTATCGACCATGGTTCCTGCACTTGTCTCGAGGCGATCCGCCAAGTTCGTGAGCACCGCGCATGTATATTTGGATCCGCGTCGTCCACGGCGGTTGCGGCCAGCAGTAGGGAGTGATGGGTGGTTAACTCGACGGGAGAAGCCCGAGGAAACGGAGAAGGTCGATGCATCGAGGCCGAGGACGACGCCTCTGCTTTGTTCTGCCTCTTCCACTGTCGCCTGTTGCGTCTGTCAGCTTCAATTCGTGGCGCAGGAGGATGTGTAGTACATGGCCTGTGGTTAACTTAGTTCTCCAACCTGACAAAGGGGCGAGGGGCGGCCAGCACCGTGTGTATTCCGTCAACCAGAACACTGTGGCTGCTCATCAACATCTCATCTACAGCTCGAGCATCTCTATTCCCGTCCTTGCTATTAACCCCCTCCTTCCAATCACCCTGCTCCACCCAAACCCTCGAAGAACACGCACGCGCAGCGCACTTCGACTCCACCAACACGACGCGGCGCGTCTCTCTCTCCACGTCCAGCCCGCGGGTCGAGATGCATTTTCTCGTCCACGAGCAAGAACCTGTCAGAGTTTAGGCACCACGCCGCCACGCCCGAGTTGGCGGCCTCAAGCTTTGTGGGAAAGTTCTTCTTAAAGTGTCGGCGGCCAACCACAAGCGAGCCACAGGAATGAGGCTGACCCAAGCGTGTGGCCGGCCTGGGAGCCTCGATAGGATGGCGTAGGGACTGTGCAGCCCTCCCACATGGAACCAGCATGCAGTCGACAGATGAATCAGCCCAAGCCAAATCGTGGGGGCTCGACGCTCTGGCTGGGGAAGGGGGGGGCCGGGGGTTAAGAACCTCGTAATCTTGGCTTTCTTGATCATCAGCGTAAATGCACGTCAAAGACGGAATCAGACAAGTGGTAGATGGTGATTTGCAATGTGTATGCGCAACTGGTCGTGCAGGAAGCGTCTGTATCCCCATATTAACGAACCCTACCTCTCAAACCCCACCCTGATGACTCCCCCGTCGAGCGAAAGACGGCTTGCTTGGAGATATCAGTCAGCACGAACCCATTGCCCCCTTCTCACCGTTGCCCGTTCCTGGCCAGTGCCATCTGTCGCTCTCGCGGCGGCATCAACGCAGCTGCCTGCACCACCGCCTCGGCGACCCTGTCCATCCAACCATCCTCACCCGTGGCACGCAAGAGGCCGGGCCAGCGCTGTTGCAGCATCCTCGAGATGCCGTTGCCTAGGCGCAGGGCCTCCTGAGCCATCACCAACCCGTTCCGTTCTACCTCCCGCGCAACGACCTGGGCAACCTGCGCCGCTTGCCCGACCCCGGCCACCCCTCCGTTGTAGGCGTCAACAACCTGGCCGTGTACAGCCTGCGCCTGGTTTGCGATGGCACCGGCGACTTGTCTGGCAAGGCGCGGGACGAATGCCCTAAGGACAGGGGTGCCGTCGGGAAGGCCAACCTCGGACGGAACCGTCTGACCCCGAGAGGCTTCGAAAATCACGTCGTAATCGAAAGGGGCATTTTCCCAGTCCAGTTCCGAGTCCGGCGATAGGTATTCGGCATCCTCATCGTCAAAGCGACATGTCCTGTCCGGTGATGTGGCAGCGTCTTCGGGGCTGGCTTCGAGGTCACTGACGGCCAAACAGTTGAACGCTTCGGAGACATTGACTGGATCCTGCCCGAAAGCTGGCCGAGAAGCCGGCCCGAAAGCTGGAGTATCGCTATCCGAGGCTGTGCCTTCCGAGTCGTCAAGTTCTGGGTCGTCAAGTTCTGAGTCGTCAGGCTCTGAGTCGTCATATTCAGAGTCGTCATATTCAGAGTCATCAGGCTGTTTGTAGTCTGCTGCCAGACCGTACCTCTGCCGGAGCCTTGCAGAAGGACCTGCTTCAGAGACAGGATGTCGTTCGGGAGCAAACATGTTGGCTTCCATGGACGAATGGATACTACAACGATACTCGTGAGATGTGGTAAACCCGCTGGCTAAGCGACCGAGAAAAAGAGGCTGAAATGGGTGGAAAGCCTTGATGCGAGTTCAGTCCGCCAGGAGACGTGTAGTTTGGGCCCGTAACATCGCAGGATATCGACTCTTTCTGCAAACAGGGTTTGGGCGCGAGAGGATCCTGTTTGTGAAAAAGCGAAAGAGCAAAAAAACCAACTTTGCCGAGAGGGAGTCGAGGGGAAGTCTATACGCACAGGATGCTTGGCTGGAGTGGAACAAGCCACGCCTGCGCGAGTTGGCTTCCGGGCAACCAAATAAGCCGCCCATGACCTTGATTTACCTTTGAGCCATAGTTTTTCATGCAGACCGGGACTGTGTAGCAGCAGCGCAAGGCTGCTAGCTCTATGCTTGGTTTGGAAGCCTGGAGGATAGAGTTCGCTGCCTCTATAACTCTTTGAAGCAACGCCCTCGCTAGTCCCCCAGGCTGATCCCATGACGCCACATTTTGGTATATGTAAACCCGGTTTCCTGCTGTCATGGTCGAGGGTTCTCCTGCTGTCCCTCATCAGCCGACATCTGGACGCTCACCAAACGCACGAGACCAAAAAGTCGGATCATCGCACCGGCGTATCCCCATTTCGCACGAGACTTTGCAGGTTGAGCCAGTCGTACTCGAACTGGTGTCGGAACGAAATCAAAGAGCCCTCTGTCCAAAGCCAACGAACCGCGACGCGGTGCTTGGCACCGCGAACAGCCAGCAGCTTCCCGGTAACGAGGCGGCCCACCTACCTTTTGCTATAAGCATCCGCTTCCATTTTGGCGGAAGTTGCATCATCTCGAGTTAAGCGTCACTGACGCCCCCGAATATTGTCCAACTCGAGACTTGCTCTCCCGTTTGCAAAGGTTGCCGTCCTGAACGACCACGCAGCACCGATGGAAACTTGCACCAAGTGCGCACGCGCGATGGAAGCGTCAGGCCACGAGTTGTACGGCAGTGGTGAAGGGAGCAATGAAGAGTCCTGGAAACAGTACATTACCCAGCACGGATTTGAAGACGCCTGGGACGACAGCAACCACCGAACGGAGCAGGACAGATACGGTCCCATCCTCGCGCGTCTGGCGGCTAGTCACGAATCCCGAATGGCGGCGCAGGAAGAAATTGTCCGAGAAAAAGAACGGTGGAGCCTCTTGATGCGGCGTAGTGCGGACCGGCTTGAACCACACACGGCCAAGGTGCAGGAAATCATGGACTTGGCGGACGCGGTCCAGCTGGAATGGGCGGAGAAAAAGGCGTTGGACGACCGACACGCGCGTCGAGAGGCCGAGTGGTGGCCACGGGTCTTCTCCCCAAAGAGAGTCCGGATTGGCGATTGGGCCGACGAGGATACCAAGGAGATGGCGGTCTCCTCAACTTTGTTCGACCCAAGGTACTACCTCGGCCACCAAGGCGGCGATTACATCTTCCAATACAGAGATGAAGACGACACAAACGACCTGGAAGCGACTGTACCGACAGATAAAGGGCCCGAAATGGCGTGGGAGCCGTGGAGACATCCGGGCTGGCATTCGATCCTGGCGTACGGCCCGGAGGACCTGCCGAAACGACTTACATACTGCGGCCAGGTCCCGCGGCCGGTCAAAGAGTACACTGCCCGGCTGCAGGTCTTGGTGCCAGCCATCGCCAAAATGATTGTCAGCCTCGTCGGCTTTCACCGGGCCGGCGGCAACGACGAGCCCCTCGGCCAGCAGCTGCGGGAGCTTGCCGCCCTCGACTCAACTTCCTCGCGGGCCGACCTCGGCCGGCTCCTCGAGCTGTGGACGAACGAGTTCGCCGAGAAAGACGGCAGAGCGCCCGACGAGATGCGGGAGAGGCTCCGACGCAGCGCAAAGGTCTCGGAGTTTGTGCACGTGCTCGGGAAAGTGGCCGCCATCGGGGCCGAGACGTTGCTCCACGAGTGGATGGCCGTCGTTTTGGTGTTGGAAAAGTCGACCGGCTGGAGGCTCTGCGAGATGCTTGAAATCGAATACATCCGCATCGCAAGGAGAGCGTTCCACGAGCTGCTGCACAAGAAGGATTTCGAGCACTTGCTCGTCCTCGAGGTCCCTGGCACCGAGGTAAGTGATGAAAGGTCCCTTGGTGGTGGTGGGTGGTGGTGGGTGGTGGGGGGTGGAGTGAGAGGCCTTGTCGGGCTTTTCTTTATCCGAACTCCATCCGCCACGACTCTCACGACAGAAAAGAAGCTAACAGTTTCCTCGCCAATTGCAGTACATCCACGAATTCTACCTCGCACCGCGATTCAGATCCGACCCTTTGCACCCGAGCCGACGCTACGCGTGCCGAGACGTGTCCGCCCAGCTCGAGCTCTCGCAGTGGCTCCGGCAGTTTGGCTGGGCCAAGGACGAGCCCGAGCTCGAGACGGCCCGCCATTCGGATCCGGAAGAGACCGTTCCCCAAGACTTCGAAGACGATTCTGAAGACTCTTGCACCGACGACCCCGACGACAAAGACTACACCTACTGCGAAGACAAGAACGAGATCGAGGTCGAGCGCCTCGCGAAGCGAGCTCGTACATCGTGTCCCGCTGCAGGCAACCACGCGGTGCCAAAGAACGGAGTGGCAGAGCGAGCACCTCGCAGCCTCCCCGAGCCCCAATCCGCTGACGAAGCGGAAAACCAGACCTCGGGTCCGAAGCGAAAGAAGTCTCTAGCGAACAGTGACAACGGCCGCAGTCCCCCCAAACGCCAGCCTCTGCAGCCCGTCAACGGCACGCGTCGGTCCCCTCGCGGCCCTGGAGTGTGAAGCGTGTAGGAGCTTTTCGGGACGAAATATCGCCATCGCTTCAGAACAGGCCCTTGCCCCCACCCCTCCAGGATTCTTCTAACTTAACTATGGCTTCGACATTCTCGCTCCGCGGCATGCTTGGCCGCCAGCCGGTCCTCGCTCGTCTGGCTCCCCTGACTTCCCGCCTCTTCTCAACAACAGCCTCTATTCTCGAGAGGAAGCAGCCCAAACGGGCCAAGGTCAGTGCTGGAGGTGCCAAGTCGGCACCCACAAAGGACGCCAGCTCCAAGCGTCGCAAAGGCCAGGCCATGCGGTCGGAAAACCACGCGCGCATCAAGGTCCTGAAGCAAAACATGTTCTCCCCCGCGCCGCCCCCCCTGCGCATGGCCCGCCTGCGCTACCTGCGCCACTGGACCATCCACCGCGCCTGGCAGCTCTTCCGCCGCCAGCAGCACGAGGCTCTCGACAAGGAGCGCAGCCGCATGCACGCCGGCATGTTCAACGCCTGCGAAGAGCTGCGCAAGACCGGAGGGCCGGGCAACAGGGGCGAGGGCTACCTGTACCGCGTTGCCATGGAGAAGAAGGGCATCTACGGACTCAACGGAGTGCCGATCGAGTACGCGAGGTTCCAGACGGACTCGCCGGCCAAGAATGCATGGAATCACGAGTGGAAGAGGTAGGAAGGACACTTGGAAGGTGCTTGGCGAGTGTTGGAAGAACGGACAACAAGGAGGGATGTTCAAGCCGCTTAACAAGTGTTGGTGTAAAAGGAAAGGGCAACAAAGAAATAGGATGTGAGCTGCTCGGCAAGTTCTAAATCAAGAGAAAGGACTCGGAGGCGATTGGGGCAACAATGTGCAGGGATCATGTATAGTCATTGACAGGAGTTGGCATTGTATCACCGGCACTGCATCAGCATGGGAATTGTATAGAAGGCAACAAAGGATGTCAAGAAGCGCTTTGGGACGGCATATAATCTCAGTTACTTCTCAAGACTCAAGCCTCGCCGCCACGCATAGGGATTCCAAGTAGCCAATGCCGTCATTAATGCCAACAGCCCCTCCAGTCCTTTTTCCAAGAAGCCCTGCCGTACACCTTTTCCCTTTGCCCGGAGATGCGTCGACAAACGACCAACTGAGACAACATATGCAAACGAATTAACCTACGTCTTCGCTGCTTGTCTCCACTTGCCCGCCGGGCAATCGCCGGTCGTATTAATACAAAGAGTAAAGATGCATCATCGCAAAGCAGTTCGCTGACTCGCCGGTACAAGAACGAGTGATAAAGAGAGAGAGAGCGAGCGAAAGAGCGCGTAAAGGGAGGTGGAGAGAGAAATGGGAGAGCCAATGTTTCGCTTGCCAGATACCAGGACCCAAGGAAAGTGACGATAAATGCCGACCGAAAATCGTGAAGAGGGCGGACGAGAAGATATGAAGGGTCGTCTCGTGACGTCGTGAGAGATGCGAGACGGTGTCTTGGCGGTTCTCCAGGGCGGGTGTGCCGTGTGGTTGCAGCACAAAAGGCGGTGACAGACGGAGGTCGCTCAGCGCCCAATCCACACCTGACGGAAAAGCCTCCTGGCACGGCGTCCTGAGCCCCGCTGCATCCCCTGCCCATAAGGCGGCTTAGGAAAATAAGAATACCGCGGCCAGACAATTGCCGGCGTCAGCCGCTGCCTCGGAGGTCCGTGAATCGAGCCTATCCCGCAAGTCTTGGACAAGACGCGGCCGGAACGGAGCCGTTACAGGATGACGCAACAGCCCGAGCCTTCGCCCTTTTCGAATGTCAAGAGGGCGGCGCGGGTGGCGGCCTCAAACACATCGTCGACACCCTCACCGCTCAGACTGGAGCACTCGAGGTACCGTTTCGCGCCGACTTCTCGGGCGGCGAGCTCGCCATCGTGGGGAGTGACGAAGCGAAGCGACTTTTTGCGCATCTCTTCGATTGCGACGGGGTCCTCTCGAAGATCCTTCTTCAACCCAACCAGGATTGTTGGAACGCCTGCGCACAGACGCGTAGCTTCCTCGACCCACTACGACGGAGCCACGACCATCAGTCTCGTCCAGGTTGGGGGGGAGGAGAGAGCTCGTACCTTGTGTTTGACATTGTCGAGAGAGTCGGGCGTGTCGATGGAGAAGCCTATTAAGATGACGTGGGCTTTCGAGTATGCCAGGGGCCGCAATCGCTCGTAGTCCTCCTGGCCGGCCGTATCCCAGAGAGCCAGCTGGACCGACTTTCCGTCTACTCTACAGTCGGTGACGTAGTTTTCGAAGACGGTGGGAATCTTGGGAGCTGTATCAGTGCTGTATCTTGTCCTGAGCGTCGCTTCTGCACGGGACTCACGTAATGCTGCGGCGGCGTTAGCGAAGCCCGGAGACAGAGGGGGGCGTGTGTGCGAGAGGCAACGTACTGTTGGGAAATAGCCGAGGGTAAATACGCTCAGCAAGCTCGTCTTGCCGCACGCGCCGTCCCCAATGATGACGAGTTTCCTGCAAGACCGGGGGCGTCAGCTCAAAGGCCTCGCCCGAGACGGTGGCGAGCGGGGGAGGCATACCTGCGAATGACATTTTGGGGATTTGCGCTCGCCATTGTCGAGCAGAGTGCCCCGGTACACTGGCAATGTTCGTCTCGCAGGGGTCGGGGCCGAAAGGGGCCTCGGCCAACAATGGGTGCAGGCGAGACAGTAACAGCTAAGCCCCGGCTCTGTCTTGTTGTCTGGGCGTGTCGCTTCGTTTGCTGTTGGACAGAAGATAGGAGCTGAGGGACGGCGGGTGAGGTGAGGTGGAGGAGGATTGGTTTTTTCTTCGGTCGAATACGAGCTGAGACGGCCCTTTGAGCTAGCGGTTCATCGACGGGCTGCGAGGCGCGCTGCCAGTGGTAGGAACGGTGTCGAGGGGTGGAGAGGGCGATAAGACTATGCCGCAGGGCCCAGTGGATTTAGAGGATGCTAAGAGACGGCAATTGCGAGCAAAGAAAGGGTCCTGGGGACAAGTCCTTGATGACGCCCGAATGCCAGCCTTATTAGGACAAAGCACAGTACAGTACGAAGTAGACACCAGTGGATACAGTGCGGCTGGCTTACATAACGGCGACGCCGATGCGCGGCAAGGCAGTCATCCCGGCAGCAGCTTTTGGTGCAACGGAGGACAGGAACAGGCCATTGGTTGCGTGCAAGGAGGCACAAGCAGCCGTCTTGCAAGCAATTGCCAAGAGGCCGTCTTTGTTGATGCGTGTTGCTCAGGTACGACGAACCAGCACCAAGTCTTTGTATTGCCACGAGGGATCCGCCGCATAGGCAGGTACTACATCATAAGCCCTTGTTGTTCGTACTCGGAACAATAGCCCGAGTAGCGCCGACAATGTGCCTTTGTGCGTGCGCCCGTATCAACGCGCGAGCACCTACGGCGGTAGCTTGCTATAACAGACGCATCCATGTTAGCCCGGCCGCTGGCTGCCGCTGACGAGACGCCAATGCCAGTTGTCGGAGACATGTGCTACTTGGCGACCCGATACGAGGCTGTGCACTGCGTCAACCGGCTTGTTTAGCCAGATCCTTCGAACCCGAACCATTAGTTACTCCGAGCCAGGTGGCCGGGTCATGGCAATCGGTCGTCTCGTTGGCTCCTGGCCATGGGCTCCGCGGACGTGTTGGATTCGTCGGCGTCTATCCGTACTCCGTCCCAAAGACAGTTCAGATAACCACAGTCGTCCTTCCGACTGCGACTCGCCTCGGCAACATCGATGCATGTACGGCGCACACTGCACGCACGTGCTGCTGCTGCTTCGACGCACGTCGAGCTCGTGTTCCTCGCCCGAATGGAGGCTGGTCTGTCTGAAAGTGTGAATGCATCAACAGCCAGATGGGGCTCCTGCTCAACTAGATATACCGCCTCCCACTACGTGATGCAAAACTGGAAAAGGGGGACCATCTAGAAGGGACATGTAAAGGGGACATGGATCAATACCGCGGGTCAGTGTGTGCGATGCAACGTCATGATAACAACGCCATCTGCCTGCAACAGTACTGCTGGACGAAGAGTATCGTCATATCAGATGAACCGGGCGAGCATTGCCCAATCGCGGGCTACCAGCACCCACCAGTTCATCGCCTTCTTGGCCACCACCGCATACACACGACTGGAGAAGTAGGCAGCCCACTGAGTGCGGATGGTGGTGATGAGTCCGTCCGTTTGGGCTCAAGAAGAGGGCCGACTAGCACGGGATTCTTCAAAGAAAACTGCCGTCGGGTCGGGCCAGGCACTGGAAGATTGGCGCAATGGGGAGCATAGTTTGCCCCTCATCCGTCTCGCCATGAGCGCTTGCTTCCGAGAGGGTAGCCGGTGGCGATGCAGGCTGCTGCCGCCGACGTCAAGGCTCACTGTCGCGACGCGAGTGTCCGGCTTCCATCGGCATCCACTTGCAGCCTGGTGTATGATGCCTCTGCATACCAACCTGCCTCTCTCACGGCTCCCCGAGGCATGTGGCACGGCGATTGCTCGGCGCAGAAAAGGGGGATTCGAGGCGTAGTCGGCGAACTCGACATGTGCAGCTGCTTGTGGCTTTAGCTGATGCTCCGGCTGAGGCTTGGCTGAGGATTGGCGATGGCAAGTTCGTGACCTCGCACGTGACTGGGACAGAACCACGCGCCACCTCTGCTTTCTGGGCCAGCCCCATTTTTTTACCTCAGCCTGGCCTGGCCTCAACAGCGCAGCAGCGGCCATCCTGCATGATCCCCCCCAAAAAGGTGCGAGAAAGTACCAGGCGCTATGTAATTGCACCGACCGGTGACTTCCCACCCTCTGCTCCCGTCACGAACCTCAAGGTTGCCGGCGGCTACCCAGCTGTGTTTTTTCCCACTCCCTCCGCTTCCCTCGTCCCAGCTGCCAACCATCTCGACGCGCTGGCGCTCTCTCCTCTCGTTGTCTCGAACGGGGCCTATTGTTGCTTTTCCCCTTCCCCCACTGCGTCATTGCTGACCTAACCCGGACTCTGAATCTGTGAGTTGTGCCTCCGAGTTGTGCCTCCATCCTCTCTCCACCGACCTCCGACCATCCATCTCCCTCGCCCCCGAGCGGCACCTCGCTCCCTCCAACTCCCGCCGACTGGCCCGCGTCTGCCAGACACTGACACGTCCTGCCTCGACCGATAGACCCCTCTCGGTTCCCGCCCACGACCGCCACCGGGACCACCAACCTCTTGATGCTGTCGACTGCTCTCCCTCCCTAGACGCACAGCACCTACGATGCCGGCCTCGAAGCAGAAACCGGCCCCCCCGGCGCCGCCGTCGCCTCGCAACATCGCAAAATACACAAACAAGGATGGCTCAAAGTTCATCACCGTCCCCAAAGGCACCGCCTCGGACTCGTCGCAGCCTTCGACCCCCACGACCTCGGCCAAGCCAAACGACCAGCCCGCCGCGCTCCTCGCCCTCGACGCTTCTGCTCCGACCGTGAACCGCAAGAAGCAAAAGCGCCGTCAAAAGGCGGCGGCAAAGGCGGCTGCTGAGCTGGCGGCAAACGGGCACGCAAACTCTGCGCCCGGTCCGCTCAACCCGCAGGATGACCCCGTTGGTGACCATGACGCCGTCACTAGTGATGACGAGGCTGACGACCCCGCCGCCCACGGCGTCTCGTCCCGTTTCGGCCCCAACGGTCACCCTGATCTGCCCACGGCCAAGTCGAAGAAGAACAAGAAAAAGAAGAAAAAGAACGCCGGAGTCGACGCCGCCGGGGAGACGCCCTCGGCGACAACGGCAGAGAGCCCCGTCAACGCCCCTGTCGTCACGCGCGGTCCGGGCATGTCTCGGGACAAAATCTGGAGCACGAGCAACCACGAGGAACGCGAGCGAATCAAAGAATTCTGGCTCGGGCTGGGAGAGGAGGAGCGCAAGTCCCTGGTCAAGGTGGAAAAGGACGCCGTCCTCAGGAAGATGAAGGAGCAGCAGAAGCACACCTGCAGCTGCACCGTGTGCGGCCGGAAGAGGACCGCCATCGAGGAGGAGCTAGAGGGGCTCTACGACGCCTACTACCTGGAGCTGGAGCAATTCGCGAACCAAGGAGAGGGCCCCCCCTTGCTGCCGCCGCCGCCGCGAGACTTTCCGATCCGGCCCCCTCGGCGCCTGCCGGCTCGGTACGCGACCCAACCGCCCTCGCACGGCCGAATCGTCGAACACGTCGGCGACGAGGACGAGGAGGAGCTCGACGAGGTCTATAGCGAAGACGAGGTTGACGGAGACGAGTTTAGCGACGACGAGCCCCCCGAAGAGTTCCACAGCGCTCACGACCGAGACGTTGCCGATTTCCTGACGTTTGGGAACAGCCTGCAGGTCAAGGGTACGCAGCTCCTTGAAACACTTCTCAGCGCATATGGTAACATGGACTTAGGCGGCATTCTCACCGTGGCGGATGATCTCCTCAAAAACGACGGAAAGCGCTTCATCGAGATGATGGAGCAGCTCGCCGAACGAAGGATGGCCCGCGAGGAGGATGCGAGGGAGCACTTCTCACGCACCTTCGGTCACCCCAACGGCTCATACTCGGCTCCTCATAACCATCCACCTCCAGAGGAGGACGAGTATGAGGAAGAGGAAGAGGAAGAGGACGACTATGAGGACAGCCAAGAAGAGGAGTATGAGGACGAAGAGGTATACTCGAACCAGTCCACAACGATGCCGTCTAGGTTCCATGCTGAATGTTGCTGCCAGGATCAAATGACCGAGGAGCAACGGATGGAAGAGGGCCGCCGGATGTTCCAAATCTTCGCCGCCCGCATGTTCGAGCAGCGAGTCTTGTCCGCGTACAAGGAAAAGGTGGCCAAGGAGCGACAGCAGAAGTTGCTGGAAGAGCTCGAGGAGGAGAGCCGCCAGGTCGACGAGCAAAGGGCCAAAAGGGCCAAGAACGCGCAGAAGAAGAAGGACAAGGCGGCCCAGAAGAAGCAGGTCCTCGCCGAGGAAAAGGCCCGAAGGGATGCGGAGCGGATCGCCGAGGAAACCGCGCGGGTCGAGGCCGAGCAAAGAAAGGCCGCCGAGCAGAGGCAAAAGGCCGAGGAGAAGCGACGCCAGAAGGAGGCCCAGCGCAAAGCGGAGGAGGAGGCACGCCTAAAGAAGGAGGCCGAGCGGCAACGGCGGCTCCACGAACAGCGCGAGAAGCAGGCCGAGCAGGAGCGCAAGGTCCGCGAGGCCAAGGAGCGCGAACGACAGCAACGCGTGGAGCAGCGGCTGCGGGAAAAGGAGCTCCGGGAACAGCGAGAGCGAGAGGCCCAGGAGCGAAAGGACAAGCAAGAGCGCGACAAGCGGGAAAAGGAGGCCAGGGCCACGGCGGCCAAGGCGCAGAGGGAAGCCCAGGCAGCGGCGGGCGCGCGGGAAAGGGTCCGGGAGGAAAAGCCGGCCCAGAAACTCGGCAGCCAACACGCGCCCCATGCCGCCAAGCGCGGGCAGCATCAGCACCATCCCGTCTCGATCCCGACGGTCCTGCCTCAGCACCCGTCGAACCCGGCTAACTACGCTTCTCCCAAGATCCCGGTGGCCACGCCAGCCATTCCCAAGGCGCCGACGCCGATGCGGACGCGGACCATGTCGCAGCAGCAGCAGCAAGCCCAGCAGCAGGAAACGGGCCAGGCGAGCTCGGCAGCGTCGCAGGCCGCCTCAGGGCCGAGCCAGAACCCTTCGCCTCACTCGGCAACACCAGTCCGCGCCAGCCCCGGGCCCATCGGACAGGAACGCAAAGCCAGCGGGGGCGCGCCACCGCAGCCGCAGCCTCAACACCTGTCACCGCAAAACTCGCACCCGAAGCCTCCCAGCCAGACGCCGCCTTTCCAGGTGCCTCCCATGGCCATGCAGCCACCCCCAGGACTGGCGCACCAGCGGCCGCCGGGGTTCCCGGGCCCGATGGCTCATGATCCCCTGTTCTCGCTCGGATTCCGACCCGGACCCAACGTGATGATGCCCCCGCCGGGCATCAACGGGCCAGGCGGTCGAGGCTTTCCACCCATGCCCATACCGCCTCCCGGATTCTCGCAAGGCCCACCCGGCGTCGAGCAGTTCCCGCTGGCTCAAGGGTTCGCCATGCCCAAGGAGATTCCGCCGCCGACCCACGTCCGGCAAAACTCGACGGGATTCGACGGCACAGCGGGAATGCCCTCACAGCCGATTGGGAGACCCGCACCCATCGGGCGGCCGGGCAGCATATCGCACGGGCTGCCACGAGACGACGACGACAATCCCAAGCGGCTGGGAAGCCGAGTCCTCGTGGAAGACGACGAACCGCTGTCATCGGACGTGAACCTGGGCAGTCTGCGCCACCATCCCCCTGGTCCCCGAGGAGGAGGGTTCGCGACGAGTCCCTTTATGGACGCGGGTTTCCCGGTGGGGCACAGCCCCTGGGGGCTTCCAGGTGCCGGGGCGCAACCGTTTCCCCCGCCCGGCTTCGGCACGGCCGCCTGGGGCTCTCCGACGATTCCGCCCGGATTCAGCGTCGGATCGCCGGCTCCGGGCCTGGGCTCGATTCGCGCCTCGGCCCAGCCCCGACACGTTGCGGTGCGGCTGATGCTGTGCCAGGCCTGCAAAGACCTGGCAAGTACAAGCAGCGCCGACGCGGATGGATACATTGACCTGGGGACCATCAAGTCGCAGATCGAGGCGCAGACGGGCGATGCGAGCATCATGGAGCAAGACCTGCTGAACCTGTGCGACACCGAGGGCAACGGGTCGAACGGGGGCGGGACGTTTGACGTCCGGCGCGGCGCTGGCTCGACGGGCACGCCCGCGATCCGATGGGCACCCGACGCCGGCGATGGCCTCAACCCCCACTTCCGCGCGGTGGGCGCGCCCGGGGAAATCGGAAGTCCGCTCACAGGCCATGCCTCGCTACGGGGGATTTAGCAAAGCTCCGGCGAGGCGGGCGAGCGGCTCCAAAACTGCAGCCCCTCGAAGCGCATGACGTTGCTGGAGCGCATCGGCATCACAAGCCGGGGCGCGGCGACGAGGCCCCTGTCGATGGGCCTCGGCAACGGCGCCGAGCGACGGGCGGCGTCTACATCGGTCAACGACGCGGCCGTTGCGGGACGAAGCAGCGTGACGCGACGCGCGGCCTATGCGACGCGCGAGGTCGACACTTGGGGGGCGTTTTATAATGTCGGGAGCAGCTCGCGGCGTTTTCAGAGCGAGCTTTGACGGGACGAGGGTGCGAAAGGGGAATTGGGTGCCCGAGCGACAGCATTGACGAAAGCGATTGTACATGTTGCCGGATTCCCCCCGGGAAGGTATACAGCGGAGTGAGGATGAGAAGAGGGCGATGGAGCATGCACGGATCTTTGGTCAGTCGCGCGATGAACAATGACGGGAGGGCAGAGCAGGGGAAGTGCGAGGATTATTGTTTGAGACAGGCAGACATAGGAAAGCATTTCCCTTGCGGGGGGAGGGGAGCAGCTGCGCGCTGGTCCCAGCTTGCGAGGCGACTTGGTGTGTAAGAGTGCGGGCGCGCTTCCAAACTCGTACTACTCCTGCTTCGACTGCTACTGCTATCCTACTGCTGCTTCTGCTACGCTACGTGCCGCCGAGGGTATCCTGCCTACCTACCGTGCCTACCTACTCCTGATGATGTTGCTCTGGTCTGGGGGATGTCCCGTTTTCCCTCCTCTCCTGTCCGAGGTCGGCCGCGAGGACCTTGGCTACAAAGAAAGACACTGATTGCTCCTCCACGCCCGTCTCTTCACGGCTGGCTCGAGTCCTGAAAGGGATTGGGGCTGCCCGGGGCGCCCTCTTGCTGGCGCATGAGCGGGGTGCGGGCGTCCTGCTGCTGGGCGCGCTGCTTGCGGGTGTGGGCGCGGGCGAGGGCGACGGCCTCTGCCTTTGCGGCGAAGCGCTTCTGCTGGCGGCGGTCGCGGCAGCAGAGAAAGGCGAGGACGCCGATGGCGAGGGCGACGAGAGCGCCGAAGATGACGGCGAGGACGATGCCGCCCGTGTCGAGGCCGTCGTGGCGGGGCATGCAGACGTCGTTGTTGCTCGTGTCGGTGGTGCACATGAAGTTGGGGCGACACTCGCTCGAGGCGACCTGGGTGGGGAGGCACTCGCCGGTGCGCACGCGGCCGCGGTCCGTGGTCAGCGCGCAGATGGTGGTTTCGAGCGTCGTCGTGGTGAAGCAGTCGGTGCCCATGCGCGCGCTGCCCGTGGCGGGAGGGCGGCTGCTGGCGCCGGTGGGCGGGGGAGAGGAGGAGGCGGGCGTGGGCGAGGGCGTCTCGGTGGCGCGGTCAAAGAGGAGGCCGTTTCTCCTGCGCACGACGGCGGCGGAGGTTTCGACGGCGGCGCGAGGCATGATGGAGGTGGAAAAGGGCTCGATGAAACGAAAACTGGAGAGGCCGAGGCGAGCGAGGTGCGAGGAAGATGCTTGGTAGGTGTCGCGCGAGTCGGTTGATTTTTTTGGGTCTTGTTCCTTGTCGGGCAAGGCAGGCAAAGGCAGACAGGCAGGCAGAGCGCCCGTGGGGATGGGATGGAATGGGGTTGGCTGACGGTCGGGTGCGGGACGATCCGAATGGCCAAAGCTGTCAAAGGGTCAAAAAGGGGGGCCGGAGCCTGGATGTCGGCTCTCGTGTGGACTCGCTATGTACGTTTTCTCGGTCGGCGGTTTCGGGATGGTTTGCGAAGACGGTGGCGGCGATGGATTGACGATAGAATTGGTAGGAAGGAGGGCGGAGACAGACGAGGAGGGAGGGAGAGTTCGGACGGAGGAGGCGAAGGCGAGGCGGCGAAGGCGAGGCAGCGGCGGCTGGGCAGGCCGAGGAATGGGAGGACAAGAATGAGGCGGCGAGGCGGGGAGGCGGCGAGGCGGGGAGGCGGCGAGGCGGGGAGAGGTATTAGGTCCCGGACGATGATGACAAGGTCCAGAGACAAGAGGGGCTGTGAGACGAGAGGACAGAGGAGGAGGGGGAAGAGTGATGGACTCCCGGGGGGGATTTATTTCCTCTTGTTTGCTTTCTTTTTCCTTCAGCCTCCTTTTGCCTTGCTTTACTTACGGGGTACGGAGTAATTATTATTACGGCGATGGCAAGAAGTGACAGGCCAGACAGGGTGGTGGTGGGTGGGTGCGACTGTACAGTCAGCACCGGGCAGCGTAGGTAGCTACCTACCTTCCTGGCAAGTAAGGTACTGTGTACAGTATAGTCAGCACATCTAGCCTGCTGCTGATGGTGCCCTCTCAGCGGCCTTCTCTGTAACGGCCAGGTACAGTCGGTACCCCATGTATGAGCCCCACGTGGCGCAGCCCGGCGTTCTGGACCCTCTTGCCGTGTCAACCGTGTAAAAATAGGGGAACCCACACTCGCCACCCACCCCCACGTCCTCCTATCCCTCTACATTTACCTAATTTTCACTCAACCGGCAAGAAAATTCTACATAGAGCGCGTTGTTATGTTGCTACGTAGAGAGCGAGTTACTTACCTAATCGAGGTACCTATATATACCTTTATATGGTAATTTACCTGGTAAGGTATATATCTTAATGTAACGCTCAAGCAGAGGCTTGAGAGCACAGTGGAAGGAATAGGGGCACAGAAAGGTGAATTTAGTGATGCATGTCTTGGTCTATCTCTTAGGACAAGGGAGGGGGCTTATATAGGTACAGTGACCACACATAGCTAGCTAAAAGAGGGCATTGAGATGTTCCTATACCTGAGTCAGGCCTGCATCATGTCCTTGGTCTAGGGGAGTCATGTTGGTCAGGCAGGCTCCCTTGTGAATGACTATTGGGTCCACTGGGCATGACTGTGGCCTCTTGTGCCCATTCTCCTCAACAGTAACGAATCTCTTACTCTAATGATAGAAATGCTGTGCAGAAAAGTATCGTTATAGCCCAGGTTTACTGTACTATGCTGCACTTTTGCGGCGAGACCCTCGCTGGTTTATATCTCCTGCGCAGCATACGAGCCGTCGCCTTTTTATCATGCTCGGACCTGTCTCCAGCTTTATTCTCTCTCGCCGAAAGCCGCTAGCCTCTCTCTATCTTGAAGCCGTCGCGCTCAACCCCACGGCTATTCTCTGTCAAGGCCATTTATTCTTCCTTACGTTGCACTACTATTGTCCACGCCGCAGCCCTGCCCTGTTTGATCGTCGGGAGAATGACCGACGGCCGGAGGGCATATACGATGACGGGGTAGAAATAAGCGACCATGGTCTCGTTTATCCATCTGTGAACAAGGCGTCTGGTGAGCACCATTTTTCCACTCTTCCAGCAGACGAAAGCTGAAGCTGCTGGCAGATTCCAACGGCGCCGTCGTGTTTCCGAATACCTGCATGATGCAAGAGCTCGTGCGCACTTACTTGGACCAAGTCCTCGATCGCGAGGAGCTGGGCAAGCCAGTTGACATGCCATCAATCTACACCATTCACAAGGATATCACCAAGTTCCCTATAGTGTCCATGTTGTCTGGGGAGCTGAGGATGCAGAAGTCGTATGGATGGCCTAGTAAATGAGAATCAAGAATATGTAAGCACATCGACATTTTCGACTCTTATGTTTCAAGACAGAACGGGAGTAGCCCGGGCGCATCTCGAGACCGCCGAGCATCGTTTATACGTAGATTAATCGACAACTTCGATTTGACCGTTCCGGCCTCCGGTAAGACGTCGAAGCTACGTGTTGGGCACGATTCTGTAGGACAGGAGAATATGGACGGTACATTGATACAAGACTCCAGCCCATTTCGCCGACTTCTTCGTTTATGGGAACAAAAAACGTTTGGATGCAGCAAATTCTTGGCGAGACTTAATTCTCTCGGGATTCAACCATGAGAGGCGCCCTGGCCTTGTTGAGCGTGAATCTACACGTGCTCAGTCGGCTCGGGGTAGGCCTCAAGCCATTGCTCCCTCGTGTAGACGGTCGCATTACGCCTCAAGAAAGTCGTAATGATATCATTCAAATCTAACAAGGACAACGTTAGCATCCTAGCATGACTATCGGGGTATCTGCATGCGTTACCTTGCAGCGTCATTTCTCTACCTGGCTGAAGGGAATAGTGATCTGTACGCTCATGGACGAGGAGCAGGTCTTGCGGTAACTGGGTTCCTGGGCAATGAGCATCAGTCTTTGTATACATACACATATGTATATTTCCAAGGTATCAACTGATGGTATTTACCTGCCGGTACGGAGTAGACGATGACTCCGTCGCCCCTAAATAGGTTGGAGACGAGGTGTTGCTGGTACGGCGAGTTGGGCCGCATCGAGGCGCCATTAGGTGCTTTGATAATCAGACGCCCGTTGGATCAATGCTGAATGAGAAACCGAGTTGCTGCTCATCCTTACCTCGGTACGACTTTGGATCCAGAGCCAGCGGCTTCACCAATCCATTGGCCGGGCAAATGTCGAAGACGCGGCGCTGCCGGGACCACTCCCTCAGCCGCACCTGCGGGCCATTGTTGACGCGGAATAGGTTCGTGGGGAGCGTCCGGAGCACCTTGATCAGCTTGGACATGGTGATTGACGATGCGGCGAGAAATAAATGAAGAAGTGAGAGCTCGCACATAAAAAGGCCTCTACTAGGGAGCATACAGGATCGGATGCTTTCAAGCAGGTGTGGCCGTATGTGTCAGTAATTACTGTACGTACTGCAAGTGCCTTGAGGAACTCAAGGGTCTTTCTTGGTACTAGTTAAAAGGCCACCCCGTCACGCTAAACGGCCACCCAAAAGTGGGTCAATTGTGGCTTGGTCGCGCGCAAGGTCCGATACCGCAAAGTTTGGGCTCCAGAAGATAGGGGGCGAATACCGCGCTGTGGCAAGGAATGCCGCTTCAAGCGACCAAGAAAAGCCGCCGCCCGGCCGCTGTGATCTTCTTCATCACTGCGGCTTCAAGTCAAGTCTTGGTTGGCCTTCCTTGCCGTCACGATATTTTCAAGCGGCCCAATGCCGCCGCCGCCGTTCCCTTCGAAATGAATGACGTTGACGAGCTCTGGCATGGCAGAGCACAAGCCCTAACGATGCTCCTCACGATCCACTCCTATGCACGGGAAAGGCCGGCCCAAGGGCTCATTGAACCTCGAGGCAGCAGGAGGTCGTAACGGCCACGCGGAGAGAGCCGTCAGCACACGATATCGCGGAATCCGACGAACGCAGCGAGGCCACAAGGCCGCCGCCGTCCACAGCGCCGGCGGCTCTCCAAAGTACGAAGACGAAGGCTACGGGTAAGAAGCGCAAGGCTGGGGGCAAGGCTGGAGGGAAAGCTGCTGCTGCTACCGTCAACACCGCCGGCAGCGCTGCTGATGTGACCAAACGGGGGTTGGAATACCTTCAAGCCAATGGCGATTCGTACGAGCCTGGCACAGCGATGCCACGAGCGTATCAGCGTGCCGTACGCCGCACGCCTGACTCTGACGATGAGCTTACTGGCCCGGGCGAGACGCAGGGCACGATTCGCTGTGCCACGCAGCCAATGCCGATACCCTCAATTCGTCAAGGAGGTGAGGATATAGAGGATGAAGACGACCCTTTAGCCGATTTTAACGAGATGGACCGGCAGGTGGATGAGGAGGAGTCTGTACAGCAGGAATTGTGTGCAGAGGGTCTACTATAGCTACCGGCGTTAACGCTGCATTTGAATTGACGGAAGTGTGTTTTCTACGACCCCAAGAACATGGCCCTACGTACTTGAATTTGCATCACGGCCAGCTTCACTTTGCGGCTTCAATTGCGGCTTCAACATGCCCTCTGGCGCGCACCTCGATGCCGGCAGCGAATGCGCGCACACACCTTTGCGGCATCGGCGCTGCGCGGCGACCAAGCCACAGTTGACCCACTTTTGGGTGGCCGTTTAGCGTGACGGGGTGGCCTTTTAACTAGTACGTCTTTCTTCCACCCCACCCATCCTTAAGGAAGCTCGGGCCACTAATCAATCCGTGCTAGCTGCGCCTCATGCACCAGCCACAAGCCACACAGCTCGCCACCATTCCACGGTAGCGCAGGAGGCGGCTCTTCCTTATCTTGCTAAGCGTCGCTGTACCGGTACCTCCAGTGCGTCAAGGCCATAAAATGCTTCAAATCGCCGCAACCTCGCAATCGAGAGGATGTAGGGCCTTAGGTGCATGCGTTCTAATAGCACGACTCACAGGCTATCCAGACGAGTTGTTTTTCTTGTCATCGGTCCCGCCTTTCGCGCTTTATGGTGCTCCGAAGTTGACCTCACCTCCGCCGAGCCATGTCAAGGGCAGCGGGTCGGTAATCGGCGGTAAACTGCGGGGTAATCTAATCCGCTGACCGCCCAGACCTATGACATCCAATTTGATATCTCAGCATGATTACCGTACGGCGTAAGTTAGGCTGAAATCTCTTGGCCAATTCCCAAGTACATGGAATGGCTAGGGGGAAACCCTCCGAAAAGCCTACTTGGGAGCCCAATGTTTGCTTTGGCAGCGCCCGGCGATTCCTCATCGTTTCCACGACCCGACACCAGCGTATAAGTCCATCAGCTCGGCCCTTCTACCAACAGCCACTACCATGGAGGACGACTTCACCGCGATCCCCATCCTTGACCTATCGCTTGCGCGGTCGCCTACGACCAAGCCGCAGTTCCTGGCCGAGCTGCGAAACGCCCTAGTATGCGTGGGCTTCCTCTACGTCCGGAACCACTCGCTCCCGGAACAGGTGCAGCAAGAGGCTTTGCAGCGTTCCATGGCCTTCTTCGACCTGCCGCTCGATAAGAAGCTCGAAATGGAAACCGTGCACAGCAAGCACTTTCTCGGTTACAACAGGCAAGCCTACGCAAGGTCGGTGGTGCTATCTTGGTAGCCGTATTAAGACTTAACTAGGATAGACGCCGAGAGGACGGGGGCAGAGATCGATCATAACGAATCTATTGCAGTATGCCGTCGGCCGGACCGAGAGCGTTGACCGTGCCTCGGCTAACCGGCTCTGCCATGGCGTCTTGCAGATTGGTCCGAACCTCCCTGCTCCGGGCCCCGAGGATCCCGTCTATCTCAACCTGCAAGGCCCGAGCCAGGTTTGTTCATGTTCTAGGCGCCGTCCCCTTCTCCGGCTGATCTGCTCCTCTCCTAGTGGCCCGACGAGACTGCGCTTCCCGGCTTCCGCAGCGCCCTCGAAGGCTATCTCTCCGCCGTGCAAGACCTGGCTGCAGACTTTACAGTTCTGGTTGCCGAGGCACTGGACCTGGCATCCACCTCGCTGACTAGGCTCTTTGACGATTCTCCGTTCAGCCGCTTAAAGGTGATGAGATACCCGCCGCCCTCGGAGCAGACGACGGCAGCATGGGGCCGTCGAGGCGTAGGGCCCCACAAGGACGGCGTCTTTATGACATACCTACTGCAGGGAGGGGAGCACGAGTGCCTCGAGGTGCAGAATAAGTCAGGCGCATGGATCCCGGTTCCTCCTATCCCAGGGACTCTAGTGATTAACATCGGCCGTCTGCTCGAGACGCTGACGGCTGGGGTCTGCACAGCGACGACCCATCGTGTCCATTTAAGGCCAGAAGGCTTTATAGACCGGAGCGGGAAGTCGTTAGGGCCCCGTATATCGATTCCCTTTTTCCAACACGTGAACCTGCGTCTGATGCCCGAGGACCTGCTCCTGGACATCCCCCCCCCTATCGCCAACCTGGTCAAGGGCGAGAAGGTAGTATCGGATGCAGATACCTTCTTCTCGGGACTCTTTAATAGCTGCGCTGGCGATACTATCTTCGTTAACATGTTGACGAGCTACCAGGACGTAGCGAGGAAGTGGTTTCCGGACTTACTGCCCCTAGCGCTGAAGAAACAGTCCGAGGCCAAGCAATTAGACCAGCAGCAAGAGACGGTCGGGTGAAGGAAGTTGATGTTGTGACTGCTAGATATGTATTACACTCCTTTATTAATATATGATTGATGAAGAAGTCGGATTATAAAGAAGTGAGGTTACTAAACGGGGTTAGCTGTAATGCCATCGAATGCGGGGTCTAGCTGTAGCATTATAACCCCTAAAAAGCAAAAAAAAAACGGTCACCTCCCTCTAGACGCTAGCAGCGTCTATAAAATAGTCTCCTAATCGCCTATATAGCTCACTGCTCGGCGCCTATGCTCGCAATCTTTTTTTTCCTCTTTCCCTTTAGATAGATAGCTGAAAGGGCATCTGAAATTGCCTATGGCCCTAAGGCCATTACGCGATACTTACCTAGAGCTTTATCGCCACTTACCTAATATATAAACGCGCATGTGTTAGGTGTTAGGCTTCACAAGACAAGTGCTTAAGTTAGGCTCATTCTATCATTTCACAAGGCAACCCTTGCTTCTCAAGCTCTTAAGCTTGTTCCGAAAAGGCATTGGCGGGCCTTATAGAGGACCGGTCTCCTGTTTCAGACTGCAAGCTTAGGTAATGCATCCAGGCGTCCGCTGCCCGCCAGATGGTAAGCGTCACTGGTAATTAGCAGCGTCACTGGTAGCACCTTTGCGGTGGAACGATTTCCATTTCTCCAAGGGGGGCGTCTCTGGGCTGGTCACCCCACGATACCAAGCTGGATGGAATGTGTCGCCGCCGTCTGTCCGACTCCATCCATCACTCCTGTACTGTAATTACCCATGTCCACCAACGACGTCCAGATTGGACCCGGGGCTTGGCATCGTGGTCTTTGATTGCTCTTGTGCTCAGCCACACGCGCCAGCCCTGGCCCGCTAGGATCTTCACGTCCGCCGGGAACCTGGCGACAAGATACCGAGGACAAAACTTGAAAGAAGAGGGAGTTGTCTTGCAAGACAAGAAGAGCAAGGCGGCAAAAGGGGTTTATGTAATCCGATTGGGGCACGTGAGACGACGTCATTGCCCATCATGGCATCATCCCCCTCCATCACCTCCATCACCATCATCATCGTCATGGACAAACATCTCATCCCCCTTTTGCTCACCCCCCCACAAAAATCCCCCCGTGAATCGCAAGAAGACCAACAATCCTAGCCTGCAGCCGTATTCCCCATTTGCACCATTGTCGAGCATTCAGATACAGCGACCCTCCTTTGGCATCGAGACTCCCCCCGTCATGCCGCTCATCGCGCCCGGCGTCACGTCTGCCTCGGCCGACAAGACCGAGGAGTGGACAAACAAGCTCTCGGGCAAGAAGCTGCACGACTCCGAGTCCAATGCCGAGGTAACTCTCTCTCTGCCGTCAGACTGTTGCTGTCCTTGTTGCCCTGGCACGCTGACCCCCAAACTTAACAGTGCTTCTGCAAAAAGGACCTGCCCCAGGAGCATCGCATCGTCGCGCCCGGCGCCATGGTGACAAAGGACCTCAACGAGAACCGCCTCAATGTCTACCTCAACGAGGACGGCATCGTCACCCACGTCGGGCACGGCTAGGTAGGCGGACATTGCAGCAGCAGTGGATGGATGATGAGAGTACACTTGCGCCATGGGCAAGGATAGTGCAAAGGATACTACAACTTGACATTGCCCAAGATGTAGAAAAGGCGCTTTGGCAGGGCCGTTGTCCACGGAACAGGTGGTGACGCGTCGTCCAATTTGATTTTGACAGCCTTTTCATCAATGCGTAGCCAGTCGATACATGCATGGGCCTTCATTATGTGTAATGTCGATGATTCTCAGCCCAGGTCGGTCCATCAGGCGGTTCTGCTGCTTGTGGCTTTGCCGCTCGGCGCACCCGTTTGGCATGGTGCAGGGTAGGTGGGTAAGGCGACTTTGGTACCCCACCAGGGACGAATTTACCCCGCCATTGCCCATCTCCCAACTCCCTCATCCATCATCACCACCTGCTTCAACTGCGCTGCGTCACACTATTTCCCCAGCAAGCTGCCACAAGACATACAAAGTCGTATTCGCTCATCACAGCCGAGATCTCCCTGCACCGCCCCAGCCAAAATCCCCGACGAACCGTCGCTCCCTCTCGTACCGGGGAGACGTGACGCCTCGAGGAACAAGACCAAGGAAGAAGACGAAGACGAGACCTTGACGTTGGACGAGGAAGATACTCGACGGCCGCCACCATGTTCAAAAAGGAGTAAGCCTCCCCATATCTCCAACCTTCTGGCCGATCGTTGCTAACCCTTGTCCCGCCAGTCTCTCGCCCTCGCCCAAGCAAAAGCTCAAGTCGTCGGTCCAGCGCTCGCTGCGGCAGTCTCTGCTCTCGACGTACCCGCTGCTGACGCCCCACGTCGACGAGTTCCTGCCCAAAAAGGCCTCGCTCGAGAGCATGAAGCTGCCAGACCGCAACACGCTCTACGTGCTCGACTCGGAGCCCCTCTTCTTCCAGCAGGACATGTCGCCCCTCATGCCGCACCTGCGCCTCGTCCACCGCTTCCCCCAGGCCTTCCCCACCATCCGCATCGACCGCGGCGCCATCCGCTTCGTCCTCTCGGGCGCCACCCTCATGGCCCCCGGCCTGACGTCAAAGGGCGGCCGCCTGCCCGTCGACGGCGCCCCCAAGCAGCTGCCCGAGGGCGACGAGATGAACCAGCGCGCCGATGCCGACGGCCGCTGGAGCCGTGAGCTGGCAAAGGGCGAGCCCGTCGTCATTGTGGCCGAGGACAAGACGGAGGCCTGCGCCGTCGGCATGCTTGTCTGCGGCACCGACGAGGTCAAGGACAAGGGCAAGGGGCCCGTCATCGAGGACGCGCACTTTCTGGGCGACGGCCTGTGGAAGCTCAACACGGACTGACCCCGGAGGAAACTATCGGAGGGAATTGCGGCTGAAAAGCGTCCGGTATGCGGGAGTGCGGGAGTGGCACTCTGTTTGGCAAAGGCAGCCCACAGCCACTGCCAGATGTCGGTGAACTGGCCCCGGTGCCACGATGATGACGGGGCGTCAGGGAGGCCCAGACTCTGGGCCGTGCCACGCAGCAATCACAGGACTGGACGGGCCGCCGTGAGACAAGTAAAAAAAACAGACTCGAAAGCTTGCCATCATGGTAAATCAAGCTCATTTCTTGTGCGGTAGCGCCGGTGCAGACAGCGGCAGCGCTTGGACGGGATTGACAAGTCCCCAAAAGGGTGTGTCGCGCAAAGCTGGCGGCATTCATATCCCGCCCGTCCGCTAGAGTGAGACATTTCCCGGGCTTGTCTCTCTTTCTTTTTTCCTCGCAGCCGCTCATCCTGCCGCCTCGCCTGGCTTGCTGCTCGCTTCGCGCCAGCGCAACTGATAGGCAGGGGGCTGAGCGCATGCCGGCTTTCTTTTCCTTCTAGGCTGGAAATGAGCCCCCGAGATCTGCGCTTAAGCCGGTGCCCAGGCCCTGTCAGGGGGGGAATGGGAAAAGCAAGGATGGGACAGAGGGAAACCCTGGGAAGCGTACATCCGAGCCGTGTATAAAGATGGGCGAAAGCCGCGCCTGGGGATAGGCGGGATCAGTCAACCGCCAAGACCCAACTTGACACACGCTCCTTTATCCTTAGAGAATTCATCACGCTCCTTGGTTCAGTGTCTTTATTGATTCGTTCGACGCCCCGTTTTTCCACAATGAAGTTTCTAAACGTCTGCGCCCTCCTGGCCGCCACGGCCCAGGCTGCCCCTCTCCTGACGGATGTAAGCCATCTCCTGGTTACTGTTGCTTATTCCGGCTGTAGTCATGCCGAAAACGGCGACGCATGATGGGAAGAAAAGACCCGAGGCTAATCAGAACGACAGGCCATGAGCAAGAGCGCCGGTGGCACGGCAGGTCCCGCTGTTCAGCCCGCGGAGCAGGCTGCCCAGGCCGGTTCTCTGCCCGGTCTGCCCGGCGGCAGCGGCTCAGGCGGCATCCTGAAGGCTCGTCAGGACGACGGCGAGGACGGTACCGCCGCCGCACCGGAGCAGCCTGCACAGGATGGCAAGAAGGGAGGCCTTCTAGGTGGTGTGCTCAAGGCTCGTCAGGACGATGGCGGCGCCGATGCTAGCGATGGAGATTCGGGTGCTTCCGATGCCGCGGCTCCGGAGCAGCCTGCTCAGGATGGCAAGAAGGGAGGTCTTTTGGGTGGTCTGCTCAAGGCTCGTCAGGACGACGGCGGCGCCGATGCTAGCGATGGAGATTCGGGTGCTTCCGATGCCGCGGCTCCGGAGCAGCCTGCTCAGGATGGCAAGAAGGGAGGACTTCTGGGTGGTCTGCTCAAGGCTCGCCAGGACGACGGCGGTGCTGAGGCTAGCGATGGAGATTCGGATGCTTCCGATGCCGCAGCTCCGGAGCAGCCTGCTCAGGATGGCAAGAAGGGAGGCCTTCTGGGTGGTCTGCTCAAGGCTCGTCAGGACGACGGCGGTGCCGATGCTGACGAGGGAGATTCGAATGCTGCCGATGCCGCGGCCACGGAGCAGCCTGCTCAGGATGGCAAGAAGGGAGGCCTTCTGGGTGGTCTGCTCAAGGCCCGCCAGGAAGATGCCGACGCTGATGCCGACTCTGACGACAGCGAGAACGCTGGTGGCCTCCTGAAGGCTCGCCAGCTAGACAGCGAGGCCGATGATGACGCCGACGGCGATGATTCCGATGCCGAACCCGCTGACAGCGAGGGCGCCAGCAACCTGCTGAGGGCTCGCCAGCTGGACGACGAGGCTGATGCTGATGATTCCGCCGCTGAGCCCGCCGACAGCCAGGGCGCCGGCGGTCTGCTCAAGGCCCGCCAGGAAGGCGGCGACGCCACCGATGGCGATGCTTCTCCGGACGGCGCTGACGCCGACGACGGCGCTGAACCTGCCGACGCCCAGGCCCCTCAACAGCCTGCGCAGCAAGGCGCCGGCGGCCTGCTCGGTGGCCTGCTCTAAGTGTCTCGACATGTGCAGGGTGTGGGGAGGGTTGAAAATATAGGTATGCCGCGAGGGTAGCTGGTGCGCCGTCGGTGGGCGGCCGTGGAAACTAACTGTACATTAAGGGGTTATTCTTACACCTTCACTTGTATGTATGTTGAACATGACTTCTCCAGGACGGTTGAGCTTTCATCCATGCTGCTGTGATAGTGCCTGTGATTGTTGCTGGCGCCTGGCTTTGACGTGGGGAGGTTGCTAGACGTCAAAGCAGGGGGAATGTTTGTGACCTGGGGCATTTATTTTGGAGTCGGGCTCTATCTTGGCGTCGTAAGGGGCCCTGATTAATTAACGCCTCTGCTTCGTGATCATCATACGACGTTTAGCATCGAGGCATCCCGCCACTCGCCTGTCCAAGCCTGCATCAACCCCCCCTTTCCCCCAATCCGGACACACAAGCAACCTCAGCCAGTCGTGGCAGCAGCCTCGCGGGCCGCCAGCCGGCCACGGTGATAGGCCTCAAACCGAACCCAATGGCGCTCCATAGCCGCAGCACCCAGCTCATCACGGCAGCGCCTCACAAACGCCTCGACGCGCTCGACGCAGAAGAAGCCATCGTCGCCGCGCAGCGCCTCCTCCGGCACGACGCCGTACGACGCGTCGCCGCCGAGCACCACGGCCCGCAGCGCCTTGGCCAGGCACGCGCGGTAGATGGTGGCCACCACGTCGACGGGGATGGGAGCCGTCACCGCGGCGCGCTGCAGCTCGTTGCGGATCGCGAGCGTCTGCCGCTCCTGCAGGAAGGCGGTGCGGCGTGCGGCATAGGCGGCTTCGGCGCCGAAGCGGGCAAGGGCTTCGCTCGTGGTGGCCTCGCGTGTCGTCTGCGCTGTCGCGAAGCGGCCTGCCGCGCGGCAGCGGGGGATGAAGTCGTCGACCCAGCGGCGGAAGACGGGGCGCTGCTTGAGGCGGCGGCGGTCGTTGGACTTGAGCGTGACGGCGTCTGCGGCGGCGCCGTGGTCGTCGGCGGAGCCACTCCCCGCCGGCGGCACCCAGAGCATGCGACACTGGGCGACGTACTCGAACAGGTCGTCGGCGCTGGCAAAGGGCCCCTCGGCGAAGCGCGCGACGGGCAGGCCGAGGAAGTCGAGGACGCGGTGCGGGTCGGCGGTGAGGCGCACCTTTGCGCGGGCGCGGTCGACGGGCTCGATGTCGGCGACGCGCAGCCACAGCGCGTCGTCGTCGACGGTCAGGCCGTAGGGGCGGATGACGGAGCCGAGCAGGATCCACGCGTCGCCGTGGGCGTGCTTGAAGAGCAGCCAGCGCAGGGCGTCGGCGGAGGCGCAGATGAACACGTCGACCTGGACGTGCCGCTCACGGGATCCATCATGGTCGTCGTCGTCGTCGTCGTCGTCGTCGTCGTCGTCATCGGCGGCGGGCCAGGGGAGGGCCAGGCTGGAGGGTGCTTTGTCGCGGAAAATGGCCCGCGCGGCTCCGAGGGCGACCGCGATGCTGCGCAGGGCATCGTGGGAGGACGCAGCGCCGCCGTCTCGCGGGCTCGCGACGACCAGGTCCACGTCGCCAAAGTCGAGCTTGCCGGGCCCCTCGAGCGGCGTGCCGACGCAGTGGTACAGCTCGGCCAGGACGGCGGTGCAGCGCTGCTTGACGGCGTCGTAGACGGGCCTGGGCATGCGCGGCGTGTGGAGCGGCGCGTTGCCGGCGCTGAAGGCCGAGCCGCCCATCTCTGTTCTCGGCCTCTCTTTTCCTTGCCAGGGAACAGACGTGTCGTAGGAGGAATACCGCGGTCGACTTTGCGGCGCGGCGCGGCGAGAGAGAGGGAATGACGCCAAGTGCGAAGGAGCAGGTGAGCGAGAGAGGGAGGAAAAGCAACAGCACCGGTTCACGCCCTGCGCCTCGCCTGGCCGAGCTTCGTCACACAGGCTCGGAAACGGGGGGTGCAGAGCGGCCCGCGTGCACCGTTGGTCCTCACCGTGTCAAGAGCGAGGCCGACGGGCGTTGAGGGGGGCAACCGGCTCGCTGCATGGGCGACGAGGGCGATGGCGTGGCAGCACCTATAATCCCTTGCGGGATTGGCGAGCTCAAGGACCGGCTCTTGGGTCTCGGGCTCGTCACCATGCGCAAGAAGAAAGAAGATTCGCGCGCCCCTACGGCGGCTTGGAGGAGAGTTGAAAAGGCGATTCGACATTTTGTGCTACTATGCCTATACTGTAGGGACTTGATAAATGGGTAGTTATATCAGTAGTTGTTGGGTCTTTGCATTGAGAGAAAGAGGGTGTAGCTTGCGCTGTCCTGCCTACAAGAGGGAGTCGAGTACGCTTATTTATAATATAGGCCTTCTTCGTAGGTGAGGTAGATAGGTAAAGTATAGGCAGTACCTTAAAGTAATATCAAGGTACTTTAAGCTTAGGTATTTTATATAGTTCTATATAGATAGAGAATTTTATCTATATAAATAGTTATTATATTACCTAGTAAGGGTCTTGAGACCTAATAAGTGTTATAGTAGGCTATAGACTAATATCCCCGCGCGAGGTAAGTGCGACGTATATAATCGCGACTTTTAAGGGACTTAAAAGATATACGAGATTAAGTATTAATTACTAAGCAGGTCTAGCTACTAATAAAAAGAGAAGATTTTAAGAAATTCCATGCAAATAGAGAATTTTATCTATATAAATAGTAATCTCTTAACTATAACGATAAAAGGCGTGTGTAAATTTTCATCGTTATTCCTTAGGTTCACTATAGAACCTTTCGTCACTGCGTTCCTCAAGGCACTCATTCGGGAAGAGGCCAGAGAGTGATTCTCTATAATATCCACGGCGCAGACTCCACGGCACACGGCACGGGCATAGAATAACCCGCGTGAAGCTGAGGCACATGGAGAGCTCTGTACACCATGCCCGTGGCACCAGCAACTCATGCCCCGGGCGCCTAATCCGACACAACTGACGCCGTGTAGTCTTATCATGCATTGGCACAGCGGTGTGGCTGGCCAGCGAGCTAGCTGGCTGCCATTCTGTAGAAGATGCGCGTGTGAATGTACCCGTAGCATCGAGGTTGGTTCCTATTACCGGAATGGGACGTTGGGCATGCATACAACCCACCATAGGATTTCCTGGCATGGTCGCCTGCACCAGCCAGAAGCCTACTTCTTTGTTTAAGTATATATAATCTAACACCGATCTAGTCTGAACCGCCCGGCAGTTTTCTTCGTCTTGCATGCTCTACCTTCCCATCATATCTACCCAGTTTCCCTTCAAGTGCGTTCCTTGTGTGCTACAACGTCTTACCGATATCTTCTTACCTATCCGAATTTGTCCAAGGACATAATGCCCTTGGTGGTGCACATACTGGTGTTATTCACTTGCCGAACAAGTTTCGAAGCTCCTCGTCGTATGCCTGCTTGTCTGCAAGCTTCTTGCGAACAACATCCACTGAGTCTCTGCACCAAAACTGTGATATAAACCTCTCAGCCTCGAGCGAAAGGGATTTCGGTGGATACAAGTGCGTCTCGAGAAGGAAGTACATAGCATTCACAGACGACAAGCAATTCCAGAACCACACTGCTTTCGTTTCCCACGCGTCCTGCATGACTTCTGAGAGAGCGATACTGTGCCCTGCCTTGGCTTTCGTTGCTTGCTCTTCGTCCTTGAATATATGCATGAACTCTCGTCGTACCTTATCGAACCGGTCGAGTTGCTCGCCTTTAATCTCGTCAATAGCACAACCAGTCAACCAGTATGGTACCTCGAGCATCTCTGCGGGAAGGGCGCACACCCACTCCAAATCTATCAAGCCGGTGACATTCCACTGCTTGTCAACCAAAATATTGCTCGCGTGGAAGTCAGTAAGCTGAAGTAAGAAGGGGCCGCTGCGGAGTTCTCGTCTGATGTGGTTGTGTGACAATACTCGGAGCAATGTCTTGACTGCCATCTGGCCACGACAGTCGTTCTCATCGTAAACGGCGTTTCGCTGGCTAAGAAAGCGGTGGTCATGAAAGGTGAGCGTGTCCGATACGAATGCATCGGTGCAACTAAATGTGTCGTTCCTATGTATTGTCCTGGTCGCGCCGTCGTTCTCCAAAATCATCATTGAGCAGGAAAGAGGTCGGTTCGTCAGCGTGATGACGCCGTCATCATTGAACTGGAAGGATCCAATTCGCGCCTGAGGAATACGCGCGAGGGAGAGCAATATCCGGGAGATACCCCTGAATAGCCTCTGCCTCTGTGCGTCGTCTTCTCGATACGCATCGAACGTATCCGAAAGCATCTGGCCTGTTTCCGGACCCAGGTACTCCCAACACCATGTACGCAAAATGCCCTTGATGACTCGGGGGGTTCCAGACATAGTGGGAAAGTAACGGGAGTCGGAAGAGCTTGTAGAGGGAGCGCCAAAATTGCCGGCTGATGCGAGGGAAGAATGGCATGTGTTTCGTGTGGGTGAACTGGTATTTAATTAGAGACCAAAAATAAATGACGAAAGGGTAGAACTAACATGGCGGCCGTTCATGAATCCAAAGCCGAATAAGTGCGGCGAACGGATCTCTGGGCACTTCTCTTCGATCCATATGTACGCTCCCGCCTCGCAGCTCAATTTCTCGTCGATGCTGCCCGGGTATCTAGCTTCGGCAAGCTTATGTGGCATCGGACAACGAAAGACAACCTTCTGACCAGTGGGATTCACCTCGACGATGACGCAGACGTTGAAGCTGCCTCGGATCCAGTGGACCGGCGGCAGCACGGTGCATTTGTCTTGTGTGCTCAAGGCCATGTGATGCTTGACTAGGGCTTCGATCGAATTTCTCTGGTCCCAAATCTCTTGATAGAGCCGATGAGTTGCGGGCGCGTAAGAGGCCCAATTGATGACATCTTCCTCCTCTGCGACAGCCGCTTCGAGCGTGATAGGGCCTCGCCCAATGAGTTCCAGTGTCGCCGGCATAGCGGTTCTCTATTTTGGCTGACAGAGCAAGGCAGGATAAGCAGAGATCAGACCGGGCCTCTGGGGCGCTGGTGAGGCTTTGAGGAAGGTACATGTTTGTCCAGGCAGTCGGAGGCCTCCAAGGCAGAGATTCCTCAGACTATTTCTTCCCGAGGCCGGAGTGCAGGGTTTGAAGCCGTGCTTGGATTGGCGTTGCCATTCCAAGCCGAGGACGATGCACCGGGGAGCTGGCGAGGCACTCGGATTTGCAGGCTGAGAATAGAAGAGCGTAGCGTGCTAGCCTATGCGTAGGTAACCGGATACTAGTCCAGTCGAGCAGAGTCGAGTCCTCGACAAGGCGCCGAGTGATGTATGCATCTGCCAGCTGCCAAGATGGCGCGGTATATCGTCTGCCTCATGGCGCGCATGCGCACTGCGAGGGGAAATGCCACGCCCCGAGGATGAGACGATCCGACGCTTGACAATAAGTTGAAAGGGCGCGGGCGCAGAGGAGAGCGCCTTCGAGGGCTATGGAGTGCTCTGTTAGAGAAGAAAGTAAAGTCCGAAAGAAATGAGAAATGAAGGGGTGCCACGCGGATACGAGGTCATTATAAGGGGCACATAAGGCGCTGCTAGCAAGTACACCCGCATGTTATGCGACACGCTAAAGAGAAAGGAGGCCAATATACTATAGCAGCTTCGCACCGGAATGACGCAACTGAATGGCTACCTTTATAAGATTGGGGCAGTAGACTTGGATATAGGAAGTAGACGGCGCAGCGGGAAGTTATGCTCTAGTGCTTATAAACGAAGATGGGTAACTTATCCTTCTTTCGAGGAGGCAAAGCAGCATTAGACGACGACAAGTAGACACTAAACACTTGGAGAAATTGGCCTTCAAGCCAAGGTTGTTCACTTTTTTGCTGTGGGAAAGCCATGGACGTATGATGTGGAACAAGTTAGAAATGAGCGGACAAAGGCTCATCCAATACTGACACAGCAGTGGGAGAAATGGCGGTCCATTGCGGTGCAAGCGTGCCCAAACCGGCTTTTGGACCACGTCTAATGGGAAGGGTCGCTGGCTCGGGAACAGGGCTTCCAGGGGCTGCCAGGATTGCCCCCAATCTTCGAACAGGTCGTCGGGTTATCCAGACTTGCAAGCAAATAGATCGAGTGAAATTGAGCACTAAACTGGAATTGAGTCGAGTCCTATGGCGGCCGATTTGACTTGATTTGATTGGGTCTTAAAAATCACGATTTAATTTCAGTTTATTTAACTTGGATCATTGGCATGGCAGATGGCGCAGTGGTGCGTTTCGCGGGCAGAGGGTTACAGGATAGGGGGGTCGTCTCGCGTCTAGGCTGAGCATGAACCATCGAATAGAACCGTCTTTGGCACAGACTCCTGGGTCTCTCCACATGTAGACGCATAACCAGATGAACAAAGCTGGGCCGCTTATTCTGGACGGAGAATGAGAAAGGCGAGCCAGTAAAGACGCTGCCGTGGTAGACATTATCCAAACAAATGGTCTTTTTCCTCGAATCCAAGGGCGGCTCTCCCCCCATCGCCTTTGCGAGTTGCAAGGAAACCTTCACTCTTCAATCAAGACTCACACACACCTTCCCCCCTCTTCTTGAAATACCATCTCCGTGGCCCAACGTGCGTCCATGGTGCCCGTTGGCCAGACCCTGCAGTCCCCAGCTCTTCCTCATTCACGGCACTTTGACACTCCCTCCACGGCCGCTCACAGCGCCTGCAACGCGGCCGCCATGACGAGCGACAGGGCCAGGTAGACGCTGCCGCCAGCGACAAGACCCGAGGCCGCCGACGTGTTGCCGCCTCCAGCGCCCGTCGCCGCCGGAGTTGCCGCCGAGCTCCCTCCCGAGGCCCCGGTCGAGCCCGTCGACGATGCTGTCGGTGCCGCCGTCGCAGTGCCGCCGCTCGCCGTCGAGCTGCTGGTGAGGTTCGTGCCGCCGGTGCTCTTGGCCGCCTTGTTGTAGCGGTCGACAATGAACTTGAGGGCGTCGTCGCCGTAGCGCTTGATGTAGCTGCTGTGCACCTTTTTGTCCTGGCCATTGTCGCAAAAGACGTCGCCCGTGTCGCAGTACGACACCATGCGGTCCGAGTAGGTCTCGCACACGCGGACAGTCGCGTTGTTGCGCTCAAACACCTGCCGCCCTCTGCTCAGTATCCGACAACACCCTCACGTGTTTTGACGACCTACCCCGTTCTTGACGCTAGTTCCCTTGTCGTAGCGGGTATTGATGACGTGTGATGGGTCGCCAAACAAGACAATGGCCACGACTGGCGCGCCACATGGGTTAGACTTTGGGGTAGCCCAAGAGAGAAAGCGAGACAGGACTGACTGTTCTTCCTGATCAGATCCGCAGATAGCGGCTTGGCGCTTTCGAAGCCGGCGCCAGTTCCGCCGCAGAGGGCGTCCGTCGTCAATTGGGCGCCCTGGATGGCATGGCTGTCAGGAATCTCCACGGCTCGACGGGCACCAGTCGCTCTCGTACCTGGGAATAACCCATGAGTGCGACCTTTGCGTCTGGACACGACTGGGTGTAGTTGTGGACGGCCTCTTGCAGGGCGTCGACGCCGTCGCCGACCGAGTCGTCGTAGATTGGGTTGGTCAGGGTGGCCGGGTAGTCGAGAGGCACCACCGTCGAGCCCTTGATGTGCTCGGCGACGCGGTCGGCCAGCGGGCCCGAGATGCCGGCGCCCTTGAGCTCCGAGGTGCCGCGGGCGACAATGAGGTAGAGGCCCGCGGCGCAGGTGCTCGAGGAGTTGTGAGCCGCGGCGGCCGCGACGCCGGCCATGAGGGCCAAGGTCGAGGCAACGTTTCCACGCATCTTTGGTGTCCGGGTGCGGGGCAAACTCAATTGCTTGTGCCTGGTCCAGGGACTCGGCTAGGATTGGCTTTGGCGGGCAGGGTTCCAAGGCACACTGCAAGTCGAAGCAATCGCCCGACAGACGAGGCGAGCAAGGACGAGGCAGAGGTCGAGGCGTTGGGAGCGGAGCGGGCGGGAACGGCGAGGAGCGCATAGCTCAGCTATATCCCCGGCGCTGGAGCTGCAGCCGTGGGCGGCATGTCGCGTATTAGCTCGATGCCGGGCGGCCTAGCGGCGGAGGATCGAGCAGACGCTGCGTCACGCCCGAGTGAAAGAAGGTGCATGGGCGGCGGGCCCCCTTTCCGCTCCCTGTGCCCGATTTTTAGTCTCCCTGTGCACCTTACCGTATTAGGTAGAAGCATCGCGAATCGGCCAAGACTTGCATTTGTGTGTGCAACACACCAATTACTGTAGAAGGTGGTCACGGATTGTAGAGTCTTTGCGTTGAACATTATGAATTTGAAGCTATTCGCACATTTCCTCCATATCTTCTAGCCGCATTACAAGCTCATACGGCTGCCGCATTGCGTGGCCTCTTTTCCGCCGTGGTGAGCGTTCCCCCTTTCCTCTAACTGTAGCGTTACTTATCTGCGAAGCCGGGAGCGGCATAAATCCTCCTTCCACTGATGTAAGGGTGCTAGAAAGAGGGGTCGAGGACCCAAGGGTAAAGAGACGAGGGCGCTCGCGATGCCCCCGTTGAGACCCTCCTTGACGCGGCGGCCGCGGCGGCTCGTGATATTCGAAGGCCGAGGGTAGCCGCCGCATAAGTTGGGTGGCAGACTCTGAGCGCCGGAAAGTCTGCGGTTGCTGGTATGAGGTCGGCTGTGTAGGCGTTTGACGGATCACGATGTCGGCTTGTGGTGTTGACGCTGCTTGTGGTGTTGACACCGACCACGAAGCTATAGCCGGCCCAATGCCAAGGTAGTTGCCAATAGCCCAAGCCGCGCAAGCACTGTCTGCAAGACTGGCTGCCGCTGTTGCTGTTGCCCGCGAGGCTGTGACTGTTGCGAAGCTGGTGAGGTAGCTGCTGCTGCCGCTGCTGACGAGGCCACAGGTGCAGTTACAGCGGCTGTTGCAACGGCTGCAGTCGTGGCCACAGGTGCGAAGGCTATGGCTCTGGCTGGTCTGCGGCGCCGGGCAATGACTCGAGGATCGCGAATTCGTCTGTATGGGTCTGTGACAGCAAGATCCTGCCGTAGAAGCCAGTGGTTGTCCCACAAGTTCAAGGGCAAGGGTCTTGTAGCTATAACTTTGCGGCTAGTCCTCCCTTGGACCTGGAGGTACGAGGCGATAATATGCTTGCAGGGCAGCCCGTATTGGGCAGTGAAGCTATTCCCACATTCCCAAGTGGCCGCTCTTGTGGTTTGAGGAGGCCGGCCGAGGCGGCTAGTGCCTGTTTCTGTACAAGCTCGAGAGACGGATATGACGCCTTCTCGACGGCTTCCTCATATAATGGTAGCCGGAACAGGTCGCGAGTCCGTCGTGATTCGCGCTCAACGGTCCGATCATGGTGTTCTCGTGAGGTTGAGGCTTGTAGTTGCAAGGCATGATATAATTCAAGCAGGTTCGACTGGCCGTTGCGAAGGAAGGTGCGAGAGCTTGAGTGAAGGGATTCACAAGGCGAGGTCGTTGTGTGGCCCCAGTTGCGGTAACGGCAGACCCAAGCGCGCGCCCATTGCGTTCGTACAGGCATCCAGACCTCTTCCACATACCTAAGAATAATGTGCTGGTCTGAGAAGGCGCCTTTGACGATGCCCCAGCGGCTGTTGAACTCGTCCTCGGTCGGGGCATACACTACGGACCGGAAGGCTGTTGTGAAGGCACAGGGGCCTCTTTTTCCGGCAGTGGCTCCGGTAGCTGCAGAGCGCCCGGGGTCTTCATCGTCTTGGGGCTCTTGCGGCGGGTCAAATGGGTCGTCATCGTCATAGTCGCCAAGCCAGCGCTTCTTCGCGTTTGTAGTGATGTTCTTCATGATATGCCACGTACAGACCTGTAGCTGTGAGTCCGGGAAGGTAGCCGTCAATGCAGCGCGCGCAGCAGCGTCATAGTCAGTGATGATAACGTGTGGGATAAAGGCATTGCCGTCAGCCTCGCCTCTTAGCCTTGCCTTTGACTGTAACCACTCGCGAAGCTGTATAAAACACCAGGTAAATGCGTTTGTGTCTTCGGAAGGGACTAAACAGAAAGCCACAGGGAAGATAGAGCCCAAGGCAGTGATTCCATTGATCTCTAGCAGCTTGAGGCCATATCTATTCGTGTTGTTCGTTACGTCGGCCATCATAAGGTGTGAATGTTGTGCCCAAAGCCGCAAGGCAGGGTCAAGGCCCACAATCTGGTAGAAGAAGCGATCCTCATCGTCAAGTAGCTCTTTATGGAAGGCACCTTCCTCGTCGAGCCTGGCAATAAGCGCTTGTGTGGATGTATGTGCCCCAAGCTCCCGGAGACGAAGCCGGGCACAGATATTCGCGATGTCTTGCTCTGTTGCAAGTAGCCGCGGGCTCTTAGCCCGAAGAGCAAGAAGGATCTGCCGCGCCGTTAAGCCAGCATCGCGAGATAAGTCTTTAACCTGCTGGAGTTGATGTGGATGAAGGCGCCGGTATTCTGGGAAGGCGCCGGCCCTATTGGCCTCATGGTTGTGCCTTGGGCACATCACAGAGATCCGCCAGAGGTCTCCTCAGCTTCAGGCGCACAACCTTGACTCTAAACGGGCAGGAAGTCCGCCTGGTGCCAGTCTTCCGGAGTCCTAACGAGGCTGACTTGTATTCACGGCCGCCGCATGCGCATACGATGTCGTAACGGCGTGGGAGCCCATGTTCGTAGTTGCTTGGCTTGAACTTAACTATGGCGTAGCCTTGGCAGCGCGCATGCCGCTGGAGCTCGTCAAACGCATCGTCAAAGGTCTCAAAGAGTGGCATATTGTTTGGCGGGGGCTGGAGAAGCATCTTGGAGAAAGAACGGGTTGATTAGCTGCTTTGTGGCGGTTGTGTGCCTCTGGAAACTTAGCTACGCAGACGCGATGTGGTATTGCGAGGTGGGTGGTTATCACGAGTTATTTTGGCTTGCGGTGTTGTACCAGGAGGCACTGCTTGCCGCGACGCCAATTGTGTGTATTATGTGTGTTACGCGTCTACGTGTGGAGTCTTGCCAAGTACGGTAAGGTGCACAGGGAGACTAAAAATCGGGCACAGGGAGCGGAAAGGGGGCCTTACGCGTCTACGTGTGGAGTCTTGCCAAGTACGGTAAGGTGCACAGGGAGACTAAAAATCGGGCACAGGGAGCGGAAAGGGGGCCTGGGCGGCGGGCCGACTGCCTACCTCGGACGTCTTGGCCGGCATCGGGGCTGATTTTGAGAGCCATGGCTGGATTTGGCGCGAGGAGCCGCAGGGGGTTGCTGGCAATGTGACCCAAGACTGGGATGGCGTCTCTCAGCGAGATTGATCAATTGCTGGCTCGGGGGCTGTCGTCGCATGGGGCTGGGACGCAGACTGGATTTGGATTCTCCCCAGTCGTTCCTTTTGCTGGGCTGCTGCGGACCCGAACGTGCCGGCCGTGCTGCTGCAAGATGGCAGTTGCAGTTGCTGCCAGACGTCGACAGGACAGTCATTTTCGGAAGCTTTACCAAGACGCCCGGCCTCGGTAGCTTCTATGCGGACCGGTGACGACGACACTCGAGCCGTCTGTTGGGCTCGCTTGCAGTGGACGGTTTTGAGCCAAGCATTGAAGCCGTGGCTTTTGGGGTCGGACTAGACGGGGTTAGCGCTGGCCCGAGATGGGATTGTTGTGCCCCTGGGGGGATCCAAGTCGACGAGGCCACCTTTTGTCATTTAGACTTTTGGCATGGAGCCGGTTGGACGGTCTTGGGTCACGGTGTCGGTTCACACAGGTCGGCAACGTTGCCGTCTGGACGTCGCCCGCAGAGTCGACTCAGGCACGCGCGGCACGGTGCAGATTGCCCACATGCAGCGGCACCGTGTGGCAGACAGACGGCGGTGAGCTGCTGTCTCGGGCGCACCAGGCGGCATGGCGAAGAGACACGTGGACGGATGCCTCGTGTCCTGTCGACGCGGGCTGCAGGTGACGAGAATGGCGCTCTCTCTCTGGGGCTGTCGTGTCGAATTCAGAGTCAAGCTGGTCGGTCTGTCTGTACAGTGTTAATGAATAACGAGTGTACAGTATATCACCAATGTATGTATTGAGCCGTCATATGCATCTACAGAGTGTCTGGTGGCGAATGGAAACAACCGCAGCAGCAGCCTTGCCTGGGCATTTTGGTGGCGTTGGAAACGGAAAGCACTGCACACCTGGCCGGGCCTCCTTCCTCGACCATCGCCCGATGACGTGACGCACCATCCCGACGCCTCGGAAAAGCACCGCTGCCCAGCCGCGCGCTAGGCCGCAACGGGACGCCGGGTGCGGGCCGCCCGGGTCCCGGCCGCGTCCTGTCTCAAGCACACAGGGACGTGTCTCAAGCAGACAGGAAGCAAACAAGCAACGGGACGAAAAGAAAGACAAAGAAAGGAAACCGTTTCATGTCTCTGATTGCGGCCCGCGGACACGAACCGGTCGGTACCAAGCCGCCATTGGACAGCCCTCGGCGCCCTTTTCCGACACCCGGCACGGCCCGTTGACGATGCCATCTTTTTCCGTTTCCTTTGTTGGTCGGTCAGAGAAGGGGAAAGGAAGGGGGAAGGATGCTGGCGGTGGAGACGGGCGCCGGGTAAGGACGAGGTGCTGCTGGGGGACGGCGATCCACACTTCATCCAGCCCGGAGCCCGCGGCCGGCGAGCCATCTGGACCCGGCGAGCCACCTGGACCCCGACGAACCCGCTCAGCGGATGACACAGACCTGGTCAACTCTGAATCGGCACAGTACAGTATCAATCTCGAGGCCGGTCAACCATACGGTCCATGGCCAGTCTGTATGCCTGCCTGCCTCATCCAGCCCAACACCCCCTCCCCCGGCCGCCGCCCGTCCTGACCGGTCTCCAACGCCCCCTTGCCTCGCCGTCACGACGGGCCCAGTTCCGCCGGTGCCTGCGTCTCAGGCCGTGCGTGAGTCGCCGCTGGGCAGCCGTCGCACAAGGTACCCGCGCATCCGCCCATCGTCACCTGCATGCCTGGCCACACGTACATACATGGGGCATCGCACAGCAAGTGTCCCGGTTCATTGTCGCGATGCTGCTCGCCCCTGAGTCATCATCATGGTCCATCTTTCTTCGGCCCACTTGGCGGAAACGGGGTAGATGTGGTGACCGGTGGACGGGTGGGTGGATGGGTGGGTGGAGAGGGTTGGTCGGCTTCGACAAGGAAAAAAAGTATTTACATGCTCCCGGACCTCGACTTCCTCCCGCCTCGGCCGTCGATGCCTGGCATGCTTCTCTTGGCGGGTCCTTGCTTCGCCTTCTTCCGCTGTATCCTCGTCATTGCTGGTGTATAATAAGCCGTCCTGGCACCTCGACATCTGCCTTGCTCTCTCGCCACTCATCCGGCCGACATGACGACATCGACATCGACACCACCGCCGTCCATCATGGCCTCCACGGGCGACAAGCCGTTGTCGGTTGACCCCTCGGCTCCGCTCCCGCCCGCTGCCCCCCCTCCCGGCGCCGGGCCGCACGACAAGCAGCAGCAGCAGCAGCAGCGGCAGCACGACCTCGACTCCTCGGGCGACGAGGACGGCCCCGAGCCCGCCGGCCCGGCCGACTACAAGCGCCTCGGCCGCGAGCGTCCGGCCGTGCTGCCGAGCCTGCTCATCGAGGCCGGCTTCGTCGCCACCATCGTGCTGTCCATGATGCTGAGCGAGTACTTCATCGGCGGCTTCAACATCGTCCTCCCCCCCCTCGCCGACGCCCTCGCCATCCCGCCGGCGTCGCGCACCTGGCCCGCCGGCGTCACCAACCTGACCACGGCGGCGCTGCTGCAGCCGTTTGCGCGCATGTGCGACCTCTACGGCGCCCGCCTCGTCTTCCTCGCCGGCCACGCCTGGCTGCTCGTCTGGTCCCTCGTCAGCGGCTTCAGCACAAACGCAACCATGCTCATCCTCTGCCGCGCCATGCAGGGCATCGGCGCCGCCGCCTTCCTGCCCGCCGGCCTGGCCCTGCTGAGCCGCACGTACCGCCCGGGCCCGCGCAAGAACTTTGTCTTCTCCGTCTACGGCGCCTTTGCCTGCATCGGCTTCTACTTTGGCATCTTCATGGGCGCCGTCGCCGCCGAGTACCTCGACTGGCGCTGGTACTTTTGGATCGGCGCCGTCCTCGGCCTCCTCATTGCCCTCGCCGGCCTCCTCACCGTCCCGCGCTGCCTCGCCGACGCCGACCCGCACGCCCGCATGGACTGGTGGGGCGTCTTGACCATTGTCCCGGGCCTCGTCCTCGTCGTCTTTGCCTTTACCGACGGCGGCCACGCCCCCGACGGCTGGCGCACCCCTTACATCTACGTCACCCTCGGCGTCGGCCTCGTCTTCCTCGCTGCCGCCGTCTACGTCCAGGGGTGGGTGGCCTCCCAGCCCCTGCTGCCGCCGGATCTCTTCAAGCACCGCTGCATCAAGCGCCTCATGGGGGCCCTGTTCTGCTCCTACGGCGTCTTTGGCCTCTTTCTCTTTTACGCCAGCTTCTAGTACGTCCACCTCGGACGTCTGCCGCGGCGCCGCCCCCTGTTCTCCCCCTGTTCCCCCCCTGTTCCGTAACCCGCCTCTGCACCGGGGCCTATGCTAACGGTACCCAGCATCGAAGTCGTCATGCACACGCCGCCCATCCTCACGGCCGCGTGGTTCACGCCCCTGGCCGTCGGCGGCATGTTCCTGGCCATTGGCGGCGGGCTGGTGCTGCACATCATCCCCAACCGGCTGCTCATGATCATCTCGTGCGGCGGCTTCTTCCTGTCGACGCTCCTCTTCGCCCTGCTCCCCGACCAGGCCGCCAGCGGCAAGTCGACCAGCTTCCTCTACTGGGCCTACATCTTCCCCGCCATGCTGGCCGGCACCATTGGCGTCGACATCACCTTCAACGTGACAAACGTCTTCATCACGACGGCCATGCCGCGCCGCCACCAAGCGGCTGCCAGCGGCCTCATCAACAGCCTGCTGTACCTGGGCATCGCCTTCTGGCTGGGCATTGGCGAGCTGGCCGTGTCGGCGACGGTGCAGAGCCGCGGCGAGGACAACGTGGGGCCGCGCGAGCAGTATCAGATTGGCTTCTGGACCGGCGTCGCCCTCTCGGCCGTGTCTTTCTGCCTGACGGTCACGGTCAAGATGGGGCAGGCCGAGGCGTCGCTGACGGCCGACGAAAAGGCCGAGCTGGAGCGGGAGACGAACACGACCTGAAAGGGGAGACACTACTGGCTGAGACGATTTACGACTAACGAAAAACTCATTAATTCTCTCGCAATCGGCGTAGACGCAAAGCGAGACACACACAGCACGCATTGCATGTCGCGAAAATGGCACAGACCCCAACGCATACGCGACGCCTCCTCGCTCGCTTACGGCCGGGGTGGCCTCGGGCACGATGCATGGGCTGGGCCGGGAGCAAGGCGGTGGATGCCGCGAGGTTGACCGTGCGGTGCAAAGCAGGGGCCAGGGGTCTTCATTCTGCACGCGGCCGTTTCCGTGACTGGGAGCACGAGGTATAGGTGAAAAGCATGGTATAGAACATAGTTTTCGTATAGAGAGGGGGCCATATCATGGAGGACTAATGACGACAAGCATCAAGAGTCCCAGACTCGCTACTACAGAGTAAATACGGCATAAGTCGTGTGAGGCAAGCTGAGCAGTGTAGGACGAGAACGGTGGTGAGAGCTGTGAGATGCAGAGTGATGTGATGAGTTGCCCGTCACCGCGTGATGAAGAGGCTGCGGCACGCATATAAACCAAATCGACTGCAAATACAACCATGACGGTGCCCAAGATCCTTGCCTGTTCCTATCCAAGTGAAGAGGCTCGCTCAACCTCAGGAGCAGTGGGCAGTTCAGCTGGGACAATACGCCTGCCTGAGAGCAGATGGCTCCAATGCCCGTCGATGCCAAGCCGCCTAAGCGCCCGCAGCACGGGGTTCGGCCGGACACAGCTGAGACACCGACGAACCGCGCGTTTTTCAGCCCGTTGCGGTGGGAGGGCGCCTCTCGGGTGGGCAGAGGTGGGTCTCGGGCCGGGCCCGCGGGACCCGTCGGACGCCTCGGCGGCCACGCGGCAAAAATGTGGGGGCGTCTGCCGATGGATGTCGGGGGAGGGGGGGGCTTATCCCGCTGGTTCCGGTTTGTTCCGCTGGCTGGACAGAGGCTATTTATTACTCCTGTCCGCTTTCGAAGCCAACTTCATTCGGAAACATTGGGATGACGGATGCTGGTACAAGACAGACAGGGGTGTTGCTATACACGAGACTGCTCTGCTCGTCCTTCATTGCTGCCGAGGCGTATCTCTGCTATATATATGCTCTACATGTGGCCCGTTGTAGTTCCCCGTGTCTAGGCCCTTTATCCCGACATCTCAAACCGCCGCTGCTGCAGCGGCCGCGAGTCCGACTCCACCGGCGCCGACCGGCCCTCCACCTCGGCCGCCGGGCCTGCTCCCTTCTCCCGCCCCGTCGCGTCCCGCCCGTCCTCAGAAGAGCCAAACGCAGACGACGGAGACGCAGGCTGCAGCTGCCGCCGTCTCCGCCGCCGCCGCGCAAGGAGCCACCACGCCCCGGCGCCAAGAAGGGCCAGCGCGGCGACGCCGCCGACGACGCCGCCGGCGATGGCCCCGGTGCTGCTGCTGCCATCGCCACTGCTGCCGCTGCCGATCGTGGTGATGGTCGGAACAAGTGCCGATGATGAAGAAGAAGAAGAAGAAGAAAAGGAAGAAGAAGAAGCTTGTTGCGGCGAGGATGCAGATGTTGGCGTTGCAACAGCCGAGGACGACGCGTCGGACGACTCCGAGGCCGATATCGGGTCCGGCAGGGGAAACCGCTTGCTCCCGTCGTTGCAGCAGTTCCCCGGCGTCCCGGCGTTGCGCTCGGGGCTGCAGCAGTACTCGGTCGGCGTGCACATCTGCACCTCTGTCCACGAATTGGGGTTGACTGCCAGACAGACATGGCCATCAGCTTCTCATCACCACCACCAACCACGCTGTTGCCCTCTCCCCACACAGAGAACAGCGCAGAGAGAAAACACGAAGCTCGCGCACACACACAACAAGAGACAGCAAGGCGACAAGAGGTGGGGAGAAGGAAAAAGAGAAAGACTGACTCTCCGGGCAGATGCTCCGGCACCCGGCGCCCCGGCGGTTGTCGCACGGCCCGCGGTACATGTAGTGGCCCGGATACACGCACAGCCCGTTGGCCAGACAGGCGTCGCCCGTGCTCGGCAGGCAGCAGATGCGGAACGTCGTGTTGCGCTGGTGGCACGGCGCAAAGGCCCAGTCGGTGGCGGCGGTGCCGTCGCCGTAGAAGCAGCCCGTGTCGGCGGCGGCCATGATTAGGGGGAGCGGCATCCTCGCCTCTCGTTCGATCTGGCGAGTATGTCTTGCTCTCCAACGGGGGGGTTGAGAAGAGGTCCAATGGAAACCCAATGGGCAGAAAAAAAGGGGGTAGGTGGTAGGCGTCGTGATCGTGTCCCGGATCAAGAGCGTCAAAACAGCCGTCCAACACTCTCCTTCAGAATCAATCCTCCTCTACCTTATCCCCAACCCAGTCCACAACGACTCTCTTTCCTCCCCTTTCCCGTGTATGTCAGCCGCGCTCAAAAGGTGGTGAGGAGGAGGAGGGGAACAAGGCGGAAAGGTCGATCAGGAGCCGAAGCGATGAGACGATTCGCCAGCAAACACAAGAAACTGGTCGTAGAGGCTAGACGGCGTTAACTCACCAGCAAGACGACGACGCGAATGAACGAGGGGAGAGAAAAGAGGGTGACAGAGAACAGGCACGAACCACAGTCACCCCCCTTGCTCCCTCAGCCCGTGCCGCTGACGATGCTCGCCTCGAGCATCCCAAACCAGACGCAGCCCCGCGCCGATCCTGCTCGTCCGTCCATCCACTCATCCATCTGCCCATCTACGCCTCCACAAGGCAGGCCTGCTACAGTACAGTACAACATCAGACGGGGGGACGTGATAATATGTACAGTACAGCACATGGGCGTGTGGCACAAGAATGCCCTCACACAACGAGCCTCAGCGCCACGCAGCCCAATCACACCCTGCGCGTCTCAGCTCAGGGGACACGCCTGAACGGCACAGTGCAGTCATGCTTGCATCGTCCAGTCATGCGAGTATGTATTGCGCATCCTTGCCATTGTCCGACGACACCACTTGGGGGCCATTCCTGGCAATGAGACCAGGCACATCAGGCACCATCAAGCAATCAACAAGTGGAAGAAAGAAAAAAGGACAAGCCAGCAAGAAAGATCAATCCTCATCAAGCCCTTGGCCCTGAACACGCTCTCATCCGCTGTCGATTCCAGCCGCCGCTGCATCAAGTAACATGCTTCGTCCTGCCCTTCTGCCTCCGAGCGGCCGCTTCCGCCACGGCCCCTGGCCGATCTGACATCACCCACACAGATCCTACCCAGCGCAACCAAAGCCCCATGTTCCCTCGCCCTGCCCCCTGGTTTCGTCCACCGCGGCACTGCAACTCTGCTTCTCTTCCACATCCACCGCCTCGCACATCCCGCGACATCCCTGGCGACATGCTCGCCCATCTCGACAGACGGGAGAAAAAAATGGATGGAAAAGCGACGTAAACAGGATCAAACAAGGTGGTATCCCGGAGCAAAAGAACAAACCCCAACTTTTCCTCTCAAATCCTGAGCTAGGCTGCGTCGTTCTCGCCGGCCTCAGCCGTGCAGGCCGCACGTCCGTTGCCGCATCAGCTCCCGCCGCTTCTTGTCCTTGGCTACAGTGTCTGTTAGCAACGAATCGATTGCCTTGAGCGTCGTCACTTACCCTCGTCGTACACCAGAAACTCGTGCAGGGCCGACCCGGCCGGCACCATGGGCAGCACCGGCACCTTCTTATCCGTAATGACCTCGAGCAGGGCCGGCCCCTCGGTGTCGATGAGCCACCTGAGGCTGTCGACGACCTCGGCCGGGTCCGAGACCCTCCGACACTCGACACTCATCGACTCGGCCAGCTTCATAAAGTCCGGGTTCACCTGGTGCGTGTGGGCGTAGCGGTCCTCGTAAAAGAGGTTCTGCCACTGCGTAACCATGCCCTGCTCCTCGTTGTTGAGCACAATCACCTTGATGCCAATCTTGAACTGCGCCGCCGTCATCAGCTCCGTCAGCGTCATGTTGAACGAGGCGTCGCCGTCAATGTCGATGACGAGCGCGTCGGGCCGCGCCACCTTGGCCCCGATGGCCGCCGGCAGGCCGTAGCCCATGGTGCCGAGCCCGCCCGACGTGATCATGGTGCGCGGGTGCCGCCAGCGAAAGTGCTGCGCTGCCCACATCTGATGCTGGCCCACGCCCGTCGAAATGTACGTCGTGTCCTTGCGGTCCGCCGTCAGGTTGCTCAGCTCCTCGACGAGCGTCTGCGGCTTGATGAGCCCGCCGGGCCCGGCCCGCTCGTAGTGCGACATGGGCCACCGCCGCTTCCACTCGTTGATCTTGCCGAACCAAGCGGCCCGGTCGGCCGTCGACCGCGGCCGCACCTGGGGCATGAGCCGGCGCAGGTTGGCCGTCACGTCGCCCTCGATGGCCTCGGTGGCCTGCACCACCTTGTTGATGTTCTTGGGCATCACCTCGAAGTGCACGATGCCCCCGCGCTTCTCGGCGGCGGCGGCCTTGGCGCCGGGGGCAAACTTGGCAATGTTGCCCGTGACGCGGTCGTCGAAGCGGCCGCCGAGGGCAATGATGAGGTCGGCCTCCTGCATGGCCATGTTGGCGTAGGCGGAGCCGTGCATGCCCAGCATGTGCAGGGCCTTGTCGTCGAGCTCGTCAAAGGCGCCGAGGCCGAGCAGGGTCGTGGTGACGGGGATGGAAGCGCGATCGGCCAGCTCCTTGAGCAGCTCGGGCCCGCCGGGGGACAGCACGACGCCCTGGCCGGCGTAGATGACGGGCTGCTTGGCCATATTGACGAGGTCGGCGACGCGGCGGATCGACGACTCGAGCTGGCGGCGGCTCAGGTCCATGGCGGCCTGGGAGGCGGCGCTGGGCAGCGAGGGCAGGGCCGTGTCGGTGGGGATGGCCTTGCGCAGGATGCCGGCCGTCACGTCCTTGGGCAGGTCGACGAGGACGGGGCCGGGGCGGCCGCTCGTGGCAATCTCAAAGGCCTCGTTGATGCGCCTCGGCAGCTCGGCAACGTTCTTAACCATGACGTTCCACTTGGTGCAGGCGCGCGAGATGCCGACGACGTCGGCCTCCTGGAAGGCGTCGCTGCCAATGGCCGTGGTGGGGACCTGGCCGCAGAAGACGACCAAGGGCGTCCCGTCGGACAGGGCGTCCTGCAGGGGGGTGATGACGTTTGTGGCGCCGGGGCCCGAGGTGACGAGGACGACGCCGGGCTTGCCCGAGGCCCTGGCGTAGCCCTCGGCCATGTGCCCGGCGCCCTGCTCGTGCCGGGGCATGATGAAGTCGAAGTGTTTTGAGTTGTAGATGGCGTCGAAGACAGGCAAGATGGCCCCGCCAGCGTAACCAACTGGGTGTGGCACGAGTCAGTGACGAGGATCCCAGGCAGGCAACAGTCATGGCAACAGTCATGGGCAACGGTCATGGGCAACGGTCATGGTGCGCGAGGAGAGGACATACAGATGTGCTTGACGCCCTGTCTGAGCATCATTTCGTGGAATATCTCGCCGCCCGTCTTGCCGATGAAGCTGCAGTCGAGAGAAGGAGAGGTAAGCCAATGATCAGAAACGACGCAAGGTCGGATGGATTCCTGAGGGTATTCGTACGAGTCATCCATGTCGCTCCTTTGCGGATTGACCAGCGGCTGGACATGACTCCGGTCTTGCTCTTGGGCGTTGAAGGCGGGACTCGGTATGGGGCGAACTTGACTGCCAATGCCACGTAACACTGTCAGTCCATTGGCTTGCCTTGATTGACCTGCTCGCTCGACGACGAGGACAAGCGGCGGGATGACTTACGGCGCGGCAGTCGTGGCGGCGGCGGCGGCGGCCGTGGTCTGATTTCTCTGGGCACCGGGCGCCTTCTGGATGACCTGCGCGGCGGGCAGCTTCGTGGTCGAGGTGAATTGCCTTGGCTGGCCGAAGGCCCTCAAGGCCTTTGCCGTGTGGCGAGTCCGGAGCATCGTGGCGAGAATGGCGCGGGAGAGCGGGAGAGGAGAGCGGGAGAAGAGATACGCCTAAGGTGTAGGTTTTGCACGCCAGCTCTCGGCCCTTTTTTTTTGCGATTGGCCGGACGCAAAACGACGACGACGGCGATGGAGCGAGGGAACTCGGCGGGTTGAGGAGCCAATTGCAAATGGGAAGCGAGATTCCCAAATGATGGAGATGCGACGAAGAAGAAAAAGTCTAACTGCGACGAGGCGATCAAGCGGACGAGGAGGAGAGGAGGGGGAAAGAATGGGGGTGGCGGACGGCCATCGGAGTACTAGGGGGGAGTCAGAGTCAAGCGCCGCGCCGTTGGAACACTCGGAGGGGTGAGCGATGCCGGACTGCACTCGGAGGGGCCCAATTGATGCCAGCGACCTCGGCGCCAGGTACCCCCAGTTAAATCACCCATACCTAGTCGCTGCACATGTCACCAGTCCGCTGACTCACCAGCCCGCTGACGGGCAGTCGGCAGAGGGTAAAACAGGCCTGGGGCAAGTCCGAGTCTCGGCTCATCCACTTGTCTGGTGTCTGCGAGGTACCCGAGGCCCAGGTATCCATCCTTCCATCATCGACAGCCGACATCAAGGGCAAAAAAAAGAAAAAGAAAAGAAAAGAAAAAAGGAGGAGTGGCCGTCCGGAATCGCAACCAAGTCTAGGCTTCACATGGCCAATGGCGAACAGCAAAGCTTGTTGTTGTTGTCTGCACACAGGGATTCGACCTATTGAATCCATCACAAGTTGTATTACCGACGGGGAAATACTCCGGCAGGTAAATAAAACTTAAAAATAAAATAAAAATAAATAAAAAGCTGTCCATTTGCGCATCTCCCCCTTCCCCCCGTCCTGTGCTTTGCCATTGACAGGCCACTGCAGCGCACGTACGGGAGACGGCTGTTGGTAGCTGCATCCCCGTTGGTCCATCGAGGGGCGAACAGCAGCCTACCGTACTATACATACGTAAACCCATTCATATCCGAAGTCTAAGCTTCTGCTAACACGCTTCCCCGCGTCAAGTGGCAAACATACACGTCTGTCTGTCGGCATCCAACAGAGACTCCCATCGCGGAACTTGCAGCCTCTCAGCCAGACTGTGACATTGGCACCTTGTTCACGCCTAATCCCATTCTCCCTCTGCCACATTTACTCTGCCGCATCCATTCATCCATGCTCATACACACACACACATTCTGTCATAGACTCTATTGCCAAGCAAGCATCAAACGCATCCCACGGGTCCAAGCATTGGCTATGTGTATGCAGCAAATGTATCGTCGTGTATCTCCTCGCAATACTCCTCCTTCCCATTCCCCCATCCGCTCGCTCCAATGACGCTTTTGAATCAAACAATCCGTCACCCCATCCTCGTTCCCCCTCTTCCCTTGGATATCTCTTCCGGCCACGCCGTCGCCGTCTGGCCCGCCACCCCAAGCATAACAGGCAGACAATGGTATCTCAGCACAGCAAACGCAAACGCAAACAAAGGAGAGGCAACAATCCAAATCCTCCACACCCAGTGTCCTTTCGTCAATATTAGGTATACGTGTCGTCGTTCCCCTGATGAGGAAACCGTCCCACAGCGTCGAGACGGCATTAGGGTATAAGTGACGGTGGGAGTGACAACGAGGCAAAGGAAGCATGCCCGAGATGACAAATAGGACACACCAATGACAGCTGGACCGTAGGACCGCCGGCCCTGTCCACCCAGGCCATGGAGTCCTGGGCAACCAGACGGACCACAGTTGCGGCCCTGCCACCAAGCTTCCACAAGCCCGGCAAAGGTCCCGGACCCGGCATTTGCCCCCATCGGCATTAGAAAATAAATGCATTATTGATGCATCAGACAGGTTGAGTAGTGAATTGAGGGGTGAGGTCCGGCTCCACCAGAAGGCTACATGCCCAGCATCGTGGGCATCAGCTCGGGCGGGCACGGGTGCTCGTGCGGCACCGATTTCTTGGCCGGCCGCAGCGTCTCCATGCTCATGACGCGCCCCCACGAGGCTGGCCTTTTGTGAGGCACCGGCGTCGCCGGCCGCACCGTCGGCGTCGAGCTGAGCGGGTACTCGTACATGCCCTGCGGCATACCCATTTGTGGAGAGTAGGGATCGAATGCGTCCATGGCACACCATGGCTGATGCGGGTTCTGCTCCAGCTGCATCGGGTACATCATCGGCGCGTTGTCGACGGGCGTGTTGACTTGCTTGGGTAGCCCGGCATGCACCTCGGGCGCAAACTTGGGCGCGTCGGGCGGCCACACGGCCTCGTTGGGGATCGGAAACGGCGTGCCGGGGTGCGGGCCCGCCGCCGTCGCGTCTTCGCCCATGATTGTGTCGTCGCCGTGAATGCTGTGTCCGCCGTGCCCACCGCTGCCTGGTGTCGTCGTCCCGGCTCCGCTGCTGCTGAGAACGCTCGCGGGCGTCGGCGGGCGAGATGCCCGCTTCCCTTGCCGGCTCGACAGCCTAAACACCGACTGCGTCAGGCTCGAGCGGCTAGATCGCCTCTTGGAGACGGTTAGCGTCGACGCGGCGTCGTCCTCGATCTTGGGGCTCAGGTTCACTGTCGAGTGTCCCGGTGAGTTGATGAGGCAGGAGCTTCGGTACGGTAGCTGAAAGTACATCTCGACGTCGCCCATCGGCGGTGTGGTCGGCGAGGTGAATGGCGGCGTGCCCAAGATGTAGGCCAGCCGCACGAGCTGGGGGATATTGTCGCCCAGGTGACGGCACTCGAGGATGCGCTTTAGGTCTCCCGAGGAGCGCGGTCGCCAGATGAGCTGCTGCCGCTTCTCCTTGGGCCAGATGCACGTCTTCCACGTGTGCTTGACCTGGGGTTGCCGCATGAGGTTCTGGAGCTGTACCCTGTATTCCCACCGTCTGACATCGAAGCCTTCCTCAAAGTGCTTGGCAATGTGCTCAAAGTGCTTGTCACGGGTGGAGGAAGAGTCGTCGGCGGTGCGGGCCTCGAACAGGCGGTCTTTGCAGGCGCCGAAACCGCAGGCAAAGACAACCTGCGCGCATAGCTCCGTCCGGGCTGCGCTGTTGGGCAGCGCCTTCATGCGGTGCGCCTCCTTGGCGTGCGTGCTGTAGGCGCGCTCCGTCGAGAAGGACAGGTGGCAGCCCTTGGTCCGGCAGATCCACTCGACGTCGGAGCCGTGGAAGTTGTGTAGGTGCTTCTTGAAGTCGCTCTTTCGGCCAAAGCCCACGGGGCTGTTGTCCAAGAAGCACATGGGGCACTGATATTTTTTGGACGTAGGAACCGCCAACTGGGGAGATGGGTGCGAGGTCACGTCACTCGGGGGGAGCGGCGACGGCACGGGGGCTGGCGAGTCGAGCCACGAGCGTTCGCTAATCTTGCTGGGCTCCGGGTCGTGCATGGGCTGCACGTCAGTGGCCACATCGGGCCACGTGCACTGGGTGTTGATGGAGGCGTCGTCGGACCGGCACTGGGACGCTGCTGAGCTGGTCCACGCCAGCGACGGAGCGCTCACGTTGCTGAGCAGCGTGCTCGCTGACAAGGTCGAGGCGCCCGCTGGAAGCTTGTCAGCGGGATGGGGACTCTGGTCGACGGCGGGCGGCCTCGTTGTCGGAAGTGCACTTACATGAATCGGGAGAGCCGGTCAGGGCGCACAGGAGACTGGGGATGCCGTAACGCTGAACAAGTCGGAGAAGCAGGTGGTGGTCCTCATCCGTCAAGGGCCGGACGTTGGCGTCCTCTGCAGGGCGAATGGGAAACATGGCGGCTGCCGGCGATGCCTCCGGTACCTCGCAGCAGGGCTCTGGACGATGACGATGGGTCAGAGAGCGCGAGGCGGCTGGGCGAAGCAACGAGGGCGACGGAGGGAGTAGCACAGGTAGCGATCGTCGTCGATGTTGTCGATGTCGTCGATGTCGTCGATGTCGTCGATGTCGTCTTAGCCGCCAGTCTCGTCGTAGTAGCGATGGTAGCCGGTTGGTGGATATGGATTAAATAACGCGGCCAGGCCTTTCCTCCTCCTCATGTCCAGGCCTCGCGAGTCTGACCAGAGCCGGCTCAGAAGCGGGCCAGCGCTGGGCGTGTCAAGGCCTTGCACGCGCGCGCGGTTGCGCAATGAAGCGGAAAGTAGCGAGGGAACAAGACGGAGTCGAGTGCGTATCGAGGGATCGTGCAAGCGGATGTGGACGGGAGAGTCAGTTGCTTGTCGATAGAGCTGGCTGCAGGGTGAGGAGCAGGCAGGGCCCGGGGTTAAGCTCGGCGGCGTTTGCGCAAAAGCCAGCCGTTCGTCGAGCTCACACGAGAGAGATATGGACGGGGGAAGGCGACACGGGCCAGCCAGGACAAGGACAAGGAGACGGGGGCGGTAAAAAAGAAAAGAACCGGGGATGTTGAGCTTCTAGAAGGTTTCGGATCACGCCCAGAGCGAGACGGGCTGTAGAGAATACATGGGCACGTAACGAGGAACAGAAGCGGGCGGGAGGCCTTTGCTTTTCTTCATCGGCTGCCCCCACAGGCTGGACGGGGGGGAGATGGGATTCCGGCCCCCCCTCTCTTTTGGCTCGCCTGCTTTTATCCTCTTTTCTTTTTTTTCTCCCGGACCCCGGCTCGTTGCGTGTGGTGGTGCTGTCGACATTGTGTGTCTGCCGGCCATGGTCCATCAGCAGGATCCCTGCCGCGAAGACACATCGACAGCCAAACAGAAGCGGCCGTTTCAGGAACAGCGCCACTTCTGACCATGGACCCAGCGGATTCTGAAACGCCCTGGCGGGGCACCCCATGCCTGATAGCAGCTTGGCGTCGACCAAGAATGGGCCCTCCGTGGTCGCCGTCTGGAGTCCCCGAGAGCCAACCAGGGGGCGTCGCGAGCCGTCGTATGACCTGGCTCGCAGATTAGCTGTTTGTCCATCCCTGCGCAGATGCCCCTGCAGTCGAGGGCCAGCCTTGGTTTTTTCCCTCTTCGTCGTAGACGGTGGGGAAGCCTCGAGCTTCTGCCGTCCTTCTAGAAAAAGGCTGTCAAGTCTGTCGTGATGCCGGCACACGGGAGAAGCGGGAGAAGAGGGGCAGCCGGACACACAGGGACATTGATTCACCCCCTCCACCCCACCAGGCACAGACACAGTCTGCCAGGCCGAGTGCGGAAGAGGAAAGGCCTGAAGCCAGGTTTTCTTTTTTCGGATGGATGGCTGGGGCGAGGTTGAATGACGTGGGCTCGACGGAAGAGACGAGGCCGCGAAGGATTCCTTGGAAATATTGGGCTTGGGTCCGAGATGCAACAGACCAAGGACGCGGCAAGGCGGAGGCGGCAGCGGCAGCGGCAGCAGCAGGCAGAGACGGGACGGGGGCTGATTGGGCGGCTCTGTCGCCTCGAGTGGCACAATGCGCATAGGACGCTGGTGCACGGTGATTCGCCGACGGCCAGAGTCTGCATGTGCCTGGCCATTGTCGTCCAATGCGGGTGGCGGTGGGGGCGGGAAGCAGCCCAAGCGAGCATGGCTTGCGATGAAGGGTAAGATGACGGGACGACGAGGCCCACCCATCCCACCTGACACGGGACCGCACCCACGGGCGAGCGCTGCTGCCAGTCCTCGGTAGACGACGAGCGAGCAAGGACAGGACGAACATGTTCCCGCCAGCCGCCATGGTTGCGCGGCATCGTGGGGGAGGAGGCTTCCAGGACGAGGGAGGGGGAGGAAAATCGGAGACGATGGGAGAGAGAGGGGGGAGAGATGGGGAGAGGGTTGGACAAGATGGAGTCCGTACCGGTACAGCGGCCGGAGGCAATCCCCAGCAGCGAGAGTCACCTGCGCTGCAGTGCTCGCCGCTCACACAGTGTTCAATACAGGACACCGCACGGGGAGTTATCCCGCCGGACGGCCCGTGCTGTCATTGGTGTCATTGGTGTTACTGGTGTTCAACAAACCCACTGCTGTGGCATGCACAGTGCGTACTATACTGGCCGAGTGCTCGGCAAGAATTGCCATCTGCGGGGGGGGGATCCTACCTAAAAATACATGCAGACTGATGCATGGGCCCTGGTCAAATCTGCGTGCTAATACTTCTGTAAGGTAGGCGGGTAATACTATCTGACCGGTCGGAACTAGCAATGCCAGCCCCAGACTCGCAGGTACAGATACCTTGCATCCATCCAGACTTGTGCAGAGGCATTTCAGCGGCATTTCAGCGGTATTCCGGCGGGAAACCAGAGGATTAAACGAGTCAGCTCGGAAAAAGACCACAATATACCAAGCGCTATCGTCGTCATCAACGGGTTCAAGCGCAGGGCAGAAACCAAACTCTCGTCACCCTCCCGTCCTTAATACCATCTCTCCCCTTTGGCGACTGGGAACCCCGTCCGTGGACCTTTCTTTCTGTTTCCCGCCAGATCGCGGAGTTTGATGGACAGCGAGGGTAAGGCGTAAGGGCCACCCCGGTTGGAGAACCCTGGGCTCCTATTTTAATCCCAGCAGAGCAAGGATTTCTATTCGGGGAGATACTTGTCAATGGCCGCTTGTGCACAACCGCTAACTATGCGCCGATACCTTCCATCATCTCCCTCTGCCGACACAGGACGGTGCTTTGGGTGCATATCCTGTCCCTCGCCAGCACCAGCGAGCAAAGCCGCATGGACTCTTTATCTGCATATGTCATTCTGCCCGCAGGGTACGGTGCTGGTATGCAGTACCTCATTTCATGCATACTAACATTTGCATACGTATGGAGTACGGAGTACAGGTGTCAATTTCGGGATGTGTGTGTTCCACACCAAGCTTCCTCCTCTGCGGACCAGACACCCCATCGGGACGCATGCATGCATTGCCATGGTCCAGCAGCGTGGCTATGGAGAGAAGTCTCCTCTTCCGAACCCCCCCCCGCATTATGTTCGCATTATGTCGAGCAAGGCAAGAAAGAAGGCGCGCGCGAGAGGCCGCCGGCCGGCTCTGTGCCTCGCCCCATTGACCACGACGACGGCGGCGGCGACGACGGCGGCGACGACGACGGACGACACTGCCATCCAAAGGCCCCTTTCATATCATCATCGTCTCAGCTTGTCGCCTTCCCTGTCATGAAGCCTTTTCGTCCCAAGCGCTGGCTCACGCTTTACCCTGTTGGCCGACGCCTGCTCAAGAGGCCAGCACCGACGCCGACACACAGTCTGACCCTCCCTCGCTGGCCGCATGACGTGAGACGCCCGCCCCGTCTGTATGAGGGTATATATGCGACTGTCTATGGAGGGACGCACATGTGCTGTAGGTAGCAAGGCAGGTTGGCAGACACACCGGTTTTGCCTGCATGCGCTGCTAACCAACCGTCGCATACAATTACACCATGGATGCAACATAACGGCGACACCACTCGGCGACGACAGCAAATCACGACCGTCACCGCCCATGCCACGTGGCTCCCGGGAGTCTCCTCCTTCTGCCTTTCTAGAAGCGTCGTACAAGCCAGTCTCTCCGGGCCCTCCGACTGGCATCATGTCTCGTTGCCCACCCACGCCATCCTTCCAGACGCAGTCCTTCGTATTCCTCGCCCACGCGCACCCCCTTGGGCTGTCTCACCGTGTCTCTCTCCTCTTGCAGCGCTGGGCTCCTTGGCTTCTGCACTCGCCTGTCGTCTGAGATTGACACCGCGTCTCAGTCCCCTGTCATCGAAGCTGCGATTTTGAGCAGCCTCAGTCTCAGACTACCTACCATCGCTGCCCAAAGGGGACGAGGGTGGAGTGTGGGGACGAGTTTGAGATTGGCCACCCATACTCACCGTATTTTCATCTAGTTTGAACTTTTCTATTATTACCCTCATTACTATTATCATCCTAAACACCCAAGTTTGCTTCAAAGCCTTGTCAGGCTGTCAACCTCGCAAGGCCCGGAAATAAGTCGTCAATGGGCAGGCCGATGCATGAGACTCGCCAGGAAATCCCATACCATAGTTCCTGTGCCTGCTAGACCCAGCGTTTAACCTTTGGCCTGTCTCGGTTATGAGCAGAGCCGCGGACAACACAGCAACTTCATGCCAATGTGGGTGTATAAATGACACCAGGCGCCGTCTTCATGCCCATGTCCGCAGGCTTGAAAACAAGGTTCCAGCGCCCGGCTCAACGGCTTTGGAGAATTTCTTCATCTGGCTAATTCGGCGTATAGATGAGATTGCCGCCAAGATTCAATCCACTGTGCCCAAAGGCTATTTGGATAGCCGCTCTGATTGCCGGCGCCTCATAGCCGATGGCGGTGCCGGTAGAATCTCTTGTCGTCCATCTGGTATTGAGCACTTGCCCAGCCGGCCGGGCTTGGTGGCGTCCTTGCGCCGGTGAAAGCCGTCGGTCCAAGAAGAGAGCACGGCACCGGATATGGTCGAGCTCTGAGATTCCATCAATGCCCACATGCTCGACGAGATCGATATGTGTGCCAAGTCTGTCTTCCTCTTGCCCAGACTCTGGGTAGAAACGCGATTTGAAAGAGAGGCAGCCCCCTACCACCTCCAAGTGTCATGCAACTTAAGTTATCTCAGACAGCACTGAAAAGTGGCTGCTGGGACTCCCCTACCTGAACCCTGAATTCCTTGCTTTCTTGCCTTCTCTCGCTCCATCTTACCGATCCGCCGTCCGTGACCAGGGCAGCAACTTGTTCCTGGAACGCGGGGGACAGGGGCTGCGAGAGACACAAGTGTCCCTACACGTCCTCGTTGGTAGTTCCAGCTTTCGTTCAGCTCGCCAAGGGTTCGATTTCGCCACTGCCAGCACGACCTTGTGGCGTTGCCAACATGGTGATTCGACCTCCGACGCCGTGCGACGTGACAGACGCCACTTTGTCTTGAAGAGCCGAGCACGAAGCATATGACTCGAAAAAGCACGGCCGGGTTGCTTGCAAGTTGGTTTTTGAATCATGTGTCTCCATTGTTTGCTGTCCGAAGCACCCCTGGCCCCGTCACCTCCGCATATACCTCCCACTCGTCGGTGCACAATGTCAATCCCTTCAGCAGTGACACCTTCGAGAATCCTTGAGCCTGGAGTCTTCCCAGGGGGGCTACTTTGATTTCTTCCTGGCTAACCATTCCATTAGACGTCAGCCAGAGGGATCAAACAAGCCCCTGGCAGGGATTTCAAATCTTACGAAGAGTCCGGGGGATGATCGCGTCGATGGCGAAACGCAGTAGATTCTCCTCGGTTATCTTCCATTGCCACCATGGGCACGGAGTAATGGAAACGGCGCAATCGTTATATGAGGGCGTGCCTTGCCCTTCCAACGGCTTTCGTCCCGGGTGCGCACCACTCTGGTGCTCCGCTCCGAGCCCCGGCGCCGCCGTGATCCCCGGCCGGTGGCTGGGCGTGATTCCTCTCCGCTTCAACCCACTGTGACTATACCCTGCACAATGAAGATATCTGTCCTGGCGCATAAGTAGGCTGTCTATGGATCGCAAATATCGGCCATCTGAGAAACGGAGTCCATCCCTTGCTCGCATGGCCACTCCCCACGATAGCCTCAATGCAGAAACTCATTTCATCTTTCCTGCTTGGTTCTTTTCATCTCCAGTGCCCCAACTTGTTCCTCTGCTCTTGCATCTACGGCCCTGATCAAGGTCGTAGTTACCCAGAAGACAGGGACTTTCTCTTGACCCCATTCACCTTATTCCGTTCCACTCGTATGCGTACATGTGCTCAAGTTCTTCACATCAGGCACCGATACTCGACGACAACTTATTCCGAAAGACCTCACGATGTCATTGGCTTGTATCGGCTTGATCGAAACCAACAGATCAGATAACTGCCTGACCCTGACTCCTTGCCGGTCTCGTCAGACTCGACCAGCATGCGGAAATGGCCCCCACCAAGGCTATTCCGAGCCAGTATTTTCGTCCCATGGTTCTGCATGCACATATTCTCCGTACGATGGCACTATTTGCCAATAGATTGGATCCGTATATCAACAGGCTGGAAGAGTCGAAGGATTCGATGACGCACCGGATGCAGTGCCAGATCATCCGTCCCTCTCCCGTATATGGCATCTACGCATGCACTGACGGGCATGACCAAGATTCTGCGTCAGCTTGAAACGACCAGGAGTTTGATCCTGCTGACTGCTATTGCACCGAATTGGGCATTTGGCCGATCGAGTGCAGGGACTGACTTGTCGTCGAGGGCATATTAGTGCTACATTGTCTCCCCTCCTCAGTTGTTTGAAATCAGACCTTGGAGCAGGAAAACTTTCACCTGTCCGCTTGAATCTACTTGGACGTGTCTTAGGGGCCCATAGCAGGGCTAAAGAAGTGCGTTCGTCCTCATTCCTTCAACATCAAGCGTTGACAGAGCGACAACAATGAGACTTGGTGACTAGAGACAGTGTAACAAGGTATAAGAAGAGTTGCCCAAACATGGCCGATGGCACAAGCCGAATCCTATGCGCATGTCCCAGGCTGTTACACTGAATTTCAAGATTTGAATTCGCCGTGTCTGGTATGGGCATGCTTCCGAGCCCGGTTTTGTGGATTGTAGCACGCAAAACCTCTTCCGAAGAAGCATACAAAAGTGTGATGATATTGGCCCAAGCCAGCCGCTGGAGTTTTCATAGTAGCTGTCAAGCTGATAAAATACCGCTACACCAGGCAAAATAGGGGCACCCCCGTGGAGGTGTTATTAACGCGTAGTATAAGTCCTTTCTCGGCTCCGACAGTATCATTCTCCATCCGACTGAAGCCAACATTTGGTCCATCTACATGTACATGCTGCTCGACGCCCTTGTAGGTCAAGCGTGACGTAAGAGCTGGGGTCAGCTTGATGCAATGCGTACGACGTGTTCCTTCATCGTGTGTTTTGGAGCATAGTAACGCTGCAGCAGCCGAATGAGCGCTGTAGCTTGACGTTTCGGCCCAAGGACTATGCGTTGGCAGCCCACTTGTATCACAACCCGTCAAACCAGCCGGGGACTTAGACAGAGGCCGGATAGTGGCAAAACAAATAGTCGAGCCCGGTTGCAGTAGACATGTCAGTATCAGCGGTGGCGAGCCGGACCTCCACGAAAAAGAAAAAAACATTGCGGCTCCAAGCTTGGCAGGCCAGCGCGATAGCTGACTCCAACACTTACACATACAGGGATGTCCCCCTTCGCCGCTCGGGGCCGGAACTCGAGGGCCGAGGGAAAGCGGCTGCCTTTACGCGCGGCAAGCGGCTGGCCCGGAGCGAACTGGTAGGGAGGTGGTTCAGAGGACATGTTAAAAGGAAAGCGTGGCGGTTTTGGGAAGGGCGTGGGTTTATTCAGGGCTGGGTTCAACTGGGCTGCAGCAGCCTGACGCTGGATCCCGGCCCGGCCAGGAGCTGCTTTGATGGCGTCGGCGGCATGTTTGATTTATATGAGAAGGAGGGGGGGAAGATCATCTGCCGGGCTGCTGCGGCTTCTGGGGACTACGACTTTCAAAGCGTACACTTCGGCGACTGGTTTTCTCTCAGGCAGTCTTGGACGTCTGGTCCCCGGATGGGCTCACGTCGACGGGCAAAGATGAAACGTAGGATCGAGTTTCAAGCCCACCCAGTCCGAGGCGAGTTCTACTCGACGAGTCCGTTGTCTCGGCAATCTTCAAACACTTGAAGCCCTGCAAGTCAGCGGATGGACTGGCTCGGGACCGACATGGCTCTCCCCCTCCCTTCTTATGTACTGTAACTCCCAACCACATCCCCTAGCAACACAGCCATGGCCAGACTGGTCTCGACGCAGTCGATGTGGCCTTGCCATCCAGTTCCCTGAACGACTGGAGTCGGGGGGAGCCATCATCTCAGTAAGCACCCATCACCCATCGCCCGTCACCCCCATACCTACGCCCATCCCTACGCCCATCCCTACGCCCATCCCTACGCCCATCCCGCTCGGTCCTTGCCTAGCGTAGCGGCGCCCCCTTCCCCCTCCCCGCCGTCGCAAATCAGTCGAATCCCTCAGCCGTTCTTTGCAGCCATTACGGAAGGGCTCGTCAATCTATGGCTGTTGTTCCCCCTTCACCGGCCAGACGCCCTTCGCCTGGGGTTGGACAGGAGTGGCGACAGGGGTTCAGCCGAGCTTCGCCATCGAGTCCAGCCCCCGTTCGTTGCCACCCGATGCCAAGCACAGTTCCCGAGAAAGCCGCTGCCCCGGATCGTTCGCGCTTCTTCACCAGGAATGGAGACCCTTTACGCTTCCTCCTTCCAGTCCACCCCCTGACTTCACTCTCCCGATGTCCAAACGAGAACACGACGGCTCCTCCTCGACTGCTGTCGGGTTCGGGTAGGATAGGGGGCCCGCTCACAGGTCCCGACGCAAGGGCCGTCCGTCTGGAATCGCCGTGGCGCCTCGCGTCAGGACTCTCGGGCCTGGCCCTGCCACGTGTGGCAGTGTCTCGCATCAGTCTTGTACGACAAGCCGTTTTACTCCGGTGGTGGAGGCAAAAGCAAGTGCTCACACGTGGAGATATTGGTAAGCTGGATCCTGGCCCGTCCATGTATGCAAGGCCAGTATAATGGTGTCTCAGCTTTCCTCCTCCTCCTCACCCTCCTCCAAGCCCCCTTGCCGGAGAGGCTGGTGCTTGCCAACGCTAAGGAGGAAAAGTGATCACCTTGACATCTTGCCTGCATCAAGGCCATGTTGTCTCCCCCCTCTTTCTTTCAGAGATTAAGAAGACGTCTGCTGCTACGGAACAAGGATGGTCCCCCCCTTGCCGCCAAAAAGGTATCATGACCAACGCCGGCCCTCTCTGCCAACTTTCAACCATGATTGGTAGCTTTTCCGCCCTCTCCCAAGTCCAAGCCCAGGCAACTTGTCAAGTAGTCGCCCACCACCCCGGTCCTCCTACGGTAGTCTCTCCAGCCCGTTGCCGGGTGCGTGCGTCTCTCGAGGAACCCTCCATCGGACGACAGTGTGGAATTACTCAACTCGTGTGTCTCTTCAACGCATACGATGCCATTCAAGTCCAGCTCGTCGTGTGTATTCGTGGCATAAGTGAACGTCGGACGAGATGCCATATAGAATTTGTATATACACGTATATGCATATACTTGTCCATCCAGGGCACAAGCCGTCAAGAAGGCGGAGGAACATACGTCCCAAGCATGTTCTGGTGGCCCGACGCCATGGGACTGCCCACGTCGTAGTAGGCGTCCGTCAATGCCGGGCTCTGAAGACCGGTCGAGCCGTACACTTCGGCCCAGCCGTCATGGTGGTGGGCCCTAGGAATGGCCGCCGCGGCGCCGCCGCCCAGGACGATGCTCTGCTCCGTCGCAACGGGGTGAGAGGGCGGCACGGCGCACGAGTCTGCGGGACGACCCGGGCCCGTCGGCGGCCGGAAGGCGACATACTGTTGCGGGTAGACAGGCGGGGCGAGCATGCCGTAGAATCCTTGCGGGGGGGTCATGGGCGTGTCAACTGCGTGCCCGTCGTTTCCGCCGCTGTTCTTGGAGTGATCTTGGTCGTCATTATTGCATACACTGTAAGCATCGGGTCCCGCCGAGGTCCGGAACGGCATGCTGGGGGTCGGATGGGGTCGGGGACTGTCGGCCACGCCGTGGTAGGGCGACATCTCCGTCCCCGACATCTTGTACAGGTCGGCGGCGTCCAAGCCAAGCCCCTGTCGCGGCAGAGTCTCGGGGTGCGGCGGCGGGCTGTTGCGCATCTCGTGCTTGATGGCGGCCGCGGGACAGAGCTTCTTGACGGGCAGGTCGAGGTCGAGTTTTGCGTGAATATGCTTGGGCGCGTCGGGCCCCGGGGAGCCCAGGAGGACAACGAGCCCGAGGAGCCGCGGCAGGTTGTCGAGGTGCCTCGTCTCGAGCAGCTTGCGCAGAGTCCGGCTCGCGCCGGGGTCCCACCGGAGCGGGGCCGGCCCAGCCTCTTCGGCCCCGGAGCTCTTCCAGGCGGCGGCGACGCGGGACTGGTTCAGCAGGTTCCGCATCCGGTGCGAGTAGTCCCAGCTGCCGGCGCTGCCGGCGCGTCCCTCCTCGCAGTGCTTGATGAGGTGGGCCGTGTAGGCCTTCCAGGTGGCCGGGGCGGTCGAGTCGTTGGCGGCCTCGAGGACGTGGTGGCAGCCCTCGTGGCCGCAGGCAAAGACGGTCTGGGGGCACAGGACCACCTTGGCCTCCTCCATGCGCATCTGCGAGCCGCCGTGCTCGTTGCGCAGGTGGATCTGGTAGGCCGTCTGCCAGTCAAAGGCCATGCGGCAGCCGGGATGCTGGCAGAGCCACTGGGCGTTTGTGTTGTGGAACTGGTCGATGTGCCGCCGCAGGTCGTTGCGGCGTGTGCACGTCTTGGTGATGCCGATCTCGGCGCAGAATCCGCACGCGTAGTCCATCCTGTACGACGACGACGACGACAGGCGCCCGCTCGGCCTCGAGCCTCCGGCAGCAACGGAGAAGAGCGGGCCCGGGCCTCCCGCGAGGCCGGAAAAGACCCGCTGGCGCGGCCCGGACGACACGCCGGGATAGCTCACGACGCTGGCGGCCGTGTTCGCCATGCCAGGGGGGATGTTTTCAGACACGACTGGGGCAAAGTTGCCTTCATAGGCGAGAGAGGAAGGCTGATGGCCGTCTGTCAGATCCACAAACGTCAGTCTTTTTCCCTTCTCTCCTTCTTGCTCCTGGATCACGGCCTCCGAGACGCAAGGCCATCATCTTCCAATCAAACTTACACAAAGAGGGCTCGCAGCTTTCTTCCTCGAGCAGTCTCTCGATCTCATGGCGGCCATATCTCAACAGCAGGCGGCGGATGATGATGCGGCTGTCTTGGCTTTCCAAACGGGGCGACGAGGGCGCGAGGCTGCCATTCTCCGACTCGGGCGTCATCATGGACACCGGGCTCGAGGCTCCAGACATGGTATAGAAGGGAGGAGTAGGATGGTGCTGGGAACAATCGCCTAGGGGTTTGTCTTTCAGAGCTGATGCCGCCTGCCAAGTGGCCTTGACCGCCCCTTGAGGCAGCACAGCTGTGGTCTGGTCGAGGCGTATGAAGCGGCGATGAGCTATCACCAGGATAGGAACATCAGAATGCCAGGGACACAAAGACCACGTCGTCAAAGACCAAGGCGAAGCGTCGGCTCGCGGTATAGAGAAGGACGGGCTCGACGAACTGGCACAAGCCGGCGGTACGAGGAGTCTTTCCCGGTTAGGCCGGACGAGACGCTTCAAGCCGGGGCGAGGCTAGGGAACGTAGATGTAGGTGTGGACTGGAGGACGAGTAGTGCCGCTTCCTCGCCTAGTGAATCATACCCGAGTTGCTGTCGAGTGGCTGAAGGATGAGAAGTGGCAGAAGAAAGGAGGAGAACCGGAGCAGGGAAGGACCTGGGAACGGCTTCAGGAACGGGATAGGCGTCGGGCTTTATGGCACAGCGCTTTCCCGGAGCCAGCCCCTCCTCGTCTTAGCCGATGTTTGCGCCGAGAACCTTTCCATCTACAGATGCTCATGCCGCCGAGACCTGGACGGGGCCAGTAGACGGCGATCTGGGGCTGCTCCCGATGGGGCGGGGGCCCCAGTGGCTTGCAGCTTTTGACAGGGCAGACAGGCGACGCATGAGACGCCGGACCCTCTGGGGGAAATGGGGCGCCTGGCCCGGCTCATGCTCGTGGTACACAAGGTTGGGGAATAGTGCTGAGTGTGTAACTCATGGGTAAGCAGACGGCAAAGGTGGGATGGTAAGGAGGGCGGGCGGGGGGGCCTCCAGGGCTGTCCCGTTGTCGTAACTCGATCCATTGTTAGCGTCGACGAGTAGGAAAGCCTGAGAGACAGTTGGAGTTGAGACCACCAGGGGTCTCCCCTCCCCCGGCCGGGGAGAAGAAACAAAAGGGAGAGGAGGGGATTCGTCCCAGGCGAGTGGGCAAGCGACTGGCTCGACTCGCGTGGGGATATTGGATACGGAGCTGGAGACGGGGACGGGAATGCTGCATGTGCATGGACGATGGACGACGCCAGCACCCAGGCCGCTGGGCTGGATCCTGCATGGCAGGCGGTCCTTGTAACTGACAGATAACTTAGCATATGGTCTGCCGGCTAGACGACCCCGTCAGGCCCTGGATACCCACACCGAGGAGTACAAGGCGGAGAGAAGACGGCTAGTTAGTTGCACAAACAATATGGCCACAGGGGGTGGGAGGAGAGAGGGGGCAACCGGGGCACTGCCCGGTGAGGTGGTTTGATCTGCTCTCGTCATTTAGGGCTCCCGTACTTTGTTCTATTTTTGCTTCTTTTCTGACTACCAGTTTAGCCTACCCGTCTCTGAGTGAGAGAGGCTCAGGCTAAGCTCCCATGCTTCTTGGAGAGAAAGGTTCGAGACGCAATGAACTCTGCCGTTGGCTCCGTTGACATGCCAAGACTCCGCCAGCTCAAGGCATCCATTCCGTGCGTTCGGGTATGTGTATGTGTCTTCGATAGGTCCAGCACTCGGCCGAGAGGCCAAGGAAAGAACACGAAGGAACAAAATGAAGAAGCAAGAAAGCAAAAGAAAAGGGGGGGAGGAGACTACCATGTCCACACGTGCTCAAGTCTGCCGTCATGTACGTCTATCCTACGCATGTAAGTCATCCTTGTGAACACGCATTAAATCACGAATGGCGTCGACGGGGCAGCAAAACAAAACAAAACAAGAAGGGGGAGGGGGAGGGGCAAAGCAAAAAAAAAAGAAGCCCACAGAGATAGGAGGAAAAGTAGGAAACGACAGGGAAGCCGGGTCCGTGATCCGCTGCCAGGCGCGGTCTCGCGGGGGACCAAAGCAGGTGCCCTGGCGCGACGGCGCTGGTGCTGGGGGCGAGGGCGTAATCCGTGTGGCCGGGGAGCTCCGTCCACGATCCCCGGGGCTGAGGCGGACTGTTGTCCAGCAGAGTCAAGGCTACTACTAAAGGGTAAGACAGTAGAGATGCGGTTTCTATAAAAGAAGGAAGGAAAAAAGGAAGGCGTCTACAGCAACAGGGCCCATTCTTGGGATGCGATTTCGGACACAGCGTGGATCTATATCTACATATATGTCGTAAATACTCGTGCAGGAGCGAAAATATAGGGACAAACGGGCTTGCCGAGGGCCAAATAAGATGAACAAGAGACGCGTTGGAATCTGAAACGGCACAGAGCAATAGCAAGCATGTAAGATGGATGGGCTGGATGCAGATCAGGGGGGCCGGCTAAAACCCCTGGTCAAGAGACCGTTTTATTATTCATCTTTGTTTCCCTGGATCCGTTCAAAGCTCGTCCCCATCAGTCTGCCTGCCTGCCAGCTTGCCTGTCCCATGCTCAGTCCGCCTGTCAAAGACCTCGCACCGCAGCACAGCCGCGTCACCCCCCTTCCCTCCGCTGCCGGCCCCCCCTGTGTTCGGGACCAGATGTGCCGCTTCCTTTCCCACCAGAGGCCTCGAACTACAGGGGGGGGGGGGGGCTCGTTCTGGACGAATGGACGAATGGCTGGGTCCGAGTATGGCACTGCTCCATCGCAGTGCGTGGTATACTGCTATTCGCTCTTTTCTCTCTCCGCCGTGGGTGCAGTATATATCCCGCGAGGCGGACGCCCGTGTACACTTGGCAGGACAGCAAACGAGGGCCTATGGATATCCATGTACGCACTTGACAGCTTGCATAACCGGCCAGCAAGGGGGGGGAGCACGCACGCACTGCCGCTGATGAAGTCCCCAAGGCCCGGTTTCTCTTCTCTCCCTTCGTCTTGTTTCCTTCCCTCTAGCCTCTTCTTGGCCGGCTTTCCTCTGCGCCTTGTTTCTTTTTCATGTCCCCCCCCCCTATGTACATAATATGCATCGTTGCTTTTTCGTCGTGTTTCTCTTGGGTTCATCTTGCATCTCCTCCCCCTTGAGCTATTGCAAGCAGGCAAGACCACTGTACTGTACGTGCTGGTCGACATCCCCATGCACATTTTCAACCGCGTCTTCTTCCTTGTGCATTACGTAGCTTATGCTTTCGTTTCGTGCCCCCGTGTGTTTGCTTCTCGCCCGGACGGCGCGCGAGACGGTTCGCGATAGCGCAAGCCACGCCCGACGTTGGCTCCCGTGGCTTCATCGAGATGCACTCGCCCGCCGACGCCCAGTCCGTCGGCTTTTAGTCGAAATGGCGCCAAAGATGAAGGATTGCAAAAAAGAAGAGCGAAAGCTCCCCCTTCCCCTCCCCCGGTAAAAAGCAACGAGATGCCATCGTCGAGCACTATGGTTGCCGCACCATCTGCACAGTCATAAACGCTACTGGAGACCCCCCTCTCATGACAAAGAGGCAGTCGGCCGGCACATCATCGTCATGGCGCGTGGTCTAGGAGCTGCACGCTGCGCGCTCTAATCGCGATATCTCGCGTGCCAGATATCCCGGGGGCAGGGGTGGGCTCCGACGACGGTTGGTGATCGCCACGGGATTCTTGTGCCGAGCTCGCCATGTCTTGCCCTGGATGTGCTGTTGTAAACTCAAATCTCAGTCTGTGCCCAAGCCGGACGTGACGAGAAAGGACCAACAGCATGGCCACGCCACAGGTGGTGAGAGCGCCAGACCTATTCCCCAAGTAAGCATCCTCCATCTCAATGCAAAGCTACCAAGTAGCATGGAGTACACTGTTCCCCCCAGCTCCTGCGGCTGACGGTCCGTCCGCCTTGGAGGCAACGATCGTCGGCGTTCGTCAAAGCCAGCAGACACGACCCCCAAGCCGCAAGCCACCAGGCTGCGTATCAGCATCAGCCCGTGCAGCCCCGGTGCTCTGCTGCTCGCGAATACATGTGCTTGCTGCACTGTACATACACTATGTACGGAGTATAGTGTACGCACTTGCTAGCATCTAACTTATAGGCCTCTCCTTCCTGCGTGCTCTATGCATGCAATGCACTGCAATGCATGCCCGGCGTGGGATTTGTCAAATAATACACCAACGAGAGGCTTGCATGACAATGCAGCCAGACCATAGACAAAGAGCAGGCAATCCATTACCAAACCTCCCATGCCCGAGCTCCTTAAAGTGCTCGCAACAGAACTGCAATTACACGACAGCCAGGTCCCCAAAACCCACCGTGCTCCTCGCGCTCACCGAGACATGAGTTATCACCACGAACCAGATGACAAAGAAGGATCATCACAGGCATCGTCCCCTCCCCCGGCAGGGAATGAAACAGCCGGCGCACGTCAGTCAAGCAAGGCCCTTTCCCCCACGCCAGCCGGGGGGGGCCAAGGGCTGAGCGTCTCCAATCTCGGCCCCCAAGGGTTATGTTACCCTGGACCACGTCAATTGTCGCGGGCTACGGGTTGACGTCGCATGTTGCGATTTGGAATCCTGTCTTTCTCGTTCCTGACATGGTCTCATGTTCGTTTACAAGTGCCGACTCTCCTCTTTGTATGTAAGTCTGTATATCAAACATACACGTGTGCTTGCAAATGTCTTGATCCAGATTGTAAATAAAACAGACTGCAGATATATATAGTCGCTATCTGGCATGATTAAAAACACACACACACACACACACACACGCATGACCCGGCACCTGCCCGTCATCTCATCACCTCCCACACCTTACCGTCTCGCCGTCCCAGCCGCCCCAAGAGCCCGTTTTCACAAAGCGCCACGGCCCGCCGCGCGCAGGGTAGCCGCACGCGGCCGTGCGCGCTGATCTCTGTCAACATGGCGGGGCGGACGGACCAGACGCTCGGGGAGGAAGAGCAAAAGATATGAGACACTCTCTCTCGCTCCAGAGGCTGCTTGCTGGCCACTGGGACAAACTGCCGAATAAGGGGGGGGACACAGGGGACACCAGCACGCCGGCCATTGGTTCTCGCTACGAGCAAAGGGGGTAATCTGTCGATGCGACGGCAAACAACCACTGTACTTTGTACAGCCTTGCAAATGCCTCTCAAATCCTCTTCCTTCTCCGCTCCAGCGCCTCCCCCGCCTCCTCATCCGTGGCTCTCCCTCATTCTCATCCTTGCCGTGGAAATGAGCAGAACCGTGGAGACGGGTGCCCAAAAGAAAAGAAAGAAAGAAAAAGAAACAAGGGCAAAAACGGCGACGAGGGGCATACCCCCGGACTGAGGAGGAGGCGGAGGGTCCCCGTTTCCAGCTCGTTTGCTCGTCCCTCGCAGGTGGGTAGTACCTCTGCTTCCATGGAATTCTAGACGCCGACGTGACAGGGGGAAGGCACCAAGACAGCTTTTCTAGCCAGAAAAAACAAAGAAATAAGGCTTGAAATAAACATAAACATGGTGACAGGTCGTATCCGTACCCTCAACGACGTACGGAGTACAAAGTACGTACAAACGCAGCGTGAGGTGCATTTCAATCCCCGTCCCGTAAAGGAACAATGCGGCACAAGTGAAAAGAAGGGGCTCGTCGGTGGGTGGCGTTCCGAAGCCACCAGCCTCCGCGGTCCCGCTCCTCTCCCCCTCCTCCGAGCCGCCGGAAGAGAAGTGTGGGGTTGCGCGGCCCCACCTGCCGGCCGGAGACGCCGAGAGGCGCCGGACCGAGCCCCGTTGGTTTCGGCTCGTAATATTGGCCCCCGTGTGTTCCACCATCCTATATATGTGGTAACACGGTCGTGGAGACTACCGTCTTGACGTGTGCGGCGCACACACCCACGCGTGCACACAGCCCGGCCAGCTCTGGATTCGTATCCGCGCCGTACGCGTCCACCACGGCCATTCACCCTCTTGCGCCTCGTCGTTGCCCGTCGGCGGCCTTATCGATGCCCCGTGGGACACCATATATTCAAGCATGCTGTCCCGAACAGGTCCGTCGTTTATGCATGCAAATCACCGTCCACGGCTCACACATCCCGGGCGCCGAGCGACCACCACTCCCTTCGCTTGTCCCTGAGCGCTGCGCCCTATCCCGTACGTCACCGCTGTAATGTCGACTCGGGACAGCGCCCCGAAGACACACCGCCACCTCCGCACTCGGGCTGGAAGCCAGCGCCCAGATGGCTGCCAACGTGACGTCGCACAGTTTCAGATCATGTAGCTTTTCATTGGTATCTCGCGGCCGACGCACCCAGAAGAGGGAGGCGGAGTCCTCGGTCTGAAAGACGCGCTTTACATCATCAACATCCACCGCCGCTTCAGCCGGGGCTGTGTCCCACCAAAGTCCGACATCGGGCAGCCAACAAGAGACAACGCGAGCCGAGCCAGCCGCGGCTTCAGTAGCTCTCTTGTCTCTCTTGTGCAACCGCTTCCTCTTGCGTACTGCTCGGGACGCTCCTCATGCCGTCGCAAAAATCTGCCTTGGGCATCTATGCCGCTCTACTTCGGGTTCTCGAGCTCAACTGTCGCCGACGATTGGTCCCTCGACGTAGTAGAGAGCACTGCCGCCGGCTGGACGGCTCACCACGACGGCGCCTTCTCTTTGCTCTTGCGTCAGCTCCTTGTCGGCGTAGTACTCGCGCTCCAGAGCCTGCCTGACGTCGGCCACCCTGTCCGCCGGGACGAGATGGACGCTGCACCCCCCCCAGCCGGCCCCCGTCAGCCGGCTGCCATAGGCCCCGGCGGCGCGCGCCACCTTGCAGATGTGGTCAATCTCGGGGCAGCTGCACTCGAACAAGTCTCTGCACGAGTCCTGAGTTTCGTTCATGAGCGCCCCGAGCTCGCGGTTGAATGGTGTCGTGTCTGACGCGCCCGTGTGCAGTGGACGCTCGAGGTACGTGAGGAACTTGACGACGCGGAGTGCTTCGGTGAAGACGTGGAGAGCCCGCTGGCGGAGCTTGAAGCGTTCCGCCCGCACGGGGAAGCTCGACAGGAAGCGCTGCTCAAGGTCGGGAACGGAGAGATTGAGCACCTTGGCAATCTCTTCCTCGGTGTATCCCTCTTCCTGTGTCAGCGTCTCCTTGGTCAGGGCCACGAGGTTGCCGAGCTCCTCTTCCTTGGAGAGGGTCTGGGCGGCAGCGGAGTCGGAGCCGCTTCGGTGGTAGAAGAAGGCATCGTGGAAGCCCTGGAGGCTGGTGCCGAGGGGCCCGGCGTCGGTGGGTAGCTCGGTGCCGGGCGGGTTGAGGACGGCGTTGAGATAGGCGGCGGCCAGGCTTACCTCGACGACGCGGAGGTTGTAGCGGATGGGGCCGGTGACCTGTTTGTTGGATGCGACAAAGCTCTGGGCTATGACGAAGCAAAGCTCGGGCCTGGTCGGGGGAAACTTGACGGGCCGTGCGGCGAGCTGTGGGGTGAAGGAGACGAAGAGAGCGGAGCCCTGCTCGGAGAAGACGGACGCAGCCTGGTCCATGCTGGCAGGACACAGAGAAAAGGGTGGCGTTAGCGGCATGGGGATCGGTAGGGCTGGAGGATGCTCTCACCCTCCCGAGTTGACGCCGACGGCACGCTCGCTCACAATGGCCAGCTCCGTCAATTCCTTCTTGTCTATGGGCGTCTCCTGGTTGGCGGCGAGGACGGCGAGAGCGCTGGCACTGACAAAGGCGGCACTGGAGCTCAGGCCGCCGCCGACGGGCACGTTGCCGTCCATCAAAACGTCGAGGTGGCAGGGCCGCCAGTTGGGGCCCCTTTTGCGTCGCAGCAGGGCCAGGGCGCCTCGCAGGCCGCTCTTGAAGTAGTTTGTCCACTCGAACTGAGTTGCGTCGATGTCGACGTCGCCGTCGAGCGGGACCTGGACCTCCTTGGACGGGAAGCGGGCGTCGTGGACGTTGGCGAGACGGACGGTGAAGGCGGTGGCGTCGTCGGCGGTGGGCGTGGCGGAGACGGCGAGGAGGGCGTCGGAGGTGATGGCCATGGGCAGCACCGAGTAGAGCGAGTAGTCGATGTGCTCGCCGATGATGTTGACGCGGCCGGGCGAGCGGGCGACGAAGGCGGGGAGACGGCCATAGGTGTCCTGGAAGCGCGACAGCAGCTTGTTCCAGCGCGCGGCTTCTGGGCCGAGGGCCTGGAGAGGGTAGATGTCGGCGAGGGCGCCTGCGACGGGGACCGAGGAGGGCATGGCGTCGTGAGCCGAGGCTTGGTGGTCAAGGACGAGTTGCCGCCTGGATGACAACGATGGCGAGTCGAGTGCCGCCGGGGTATTTCAAAGCAGAGAAGAGGCTGTCCAACTGGATAGCGGCATGAGGAGAGAGAGTATGGAGGGTGAAGAAGAGCGCGGCGTCCAACCTGCAAGGCGCGCAACCCCGCAGTGCCCCTCGTCGATGACGCTCAAGGTTGAAGGGGGGGGCAGACGCATGATCGATTGCGCGAGGCAAAAATAAAATAAAAAGCACCCCGCCTCGGCTTCACTTTGGCCTGAATATCTTGTGCAGATTTTGGTTGGTGCTTCGACACTGGGCAAGCAAGCAAAATGGCATGGAGAATGGCTGTCGGGAATATCTGCTGTACATTGTTGCGCTGAGAGGATTCTTTTGGCCTCGCTACGGCCTGCACACAAGCCGGCTGCGGCTTAAACCATGCACACGAGTGCAGTCATGGACAAGATGGAGACAAGATGAGAGGCAGAATTGAAGAAGGACGAGATGGGAGGAAAGTCCTGATGATTCCGCACATGATGACGGCCAGGTACTGCCGGGGTACAGCTCTAGCTGGCGGGTGCAGGTCACAGCTCACAGCGTGGAGGCGCCCTCGGTCAGCAATTGGGCAGACACTGGGCATCTACCTCACCCGACAGCGAAGCTTTTCACCGCCCTACAGCCGTCCAAGCTGGGGCGTCAGGCCTCTCCTTCTGCCTACAGCCGTCCAGGCAACAAACTACGTAGTCCGTACCTACTGTACCTACCTACCTACTGGTTACGTAGCACAAGTTTGACGTACTAACCAGTCTGGGCAGTTCCGAAAAAGAAAAAGAAAACTGCAAGCGTTGCTTCTGGACCAACGCTCAGCTTCCGGAAAGGCATGGAGAAGAAGCGTCCTGTTGGTCCCTCGCCACGCTCACTCGTCCGATGGGATCCAAGTCCAGCATCCACTCCGACGCCCCCAGGCCATCCGGTTCAGGGCAAAGCGTAATTCATTATCGGTCACGTCTAGGACGGCACGCCGCTTCGTCATTCCCCGACAGCCCGAGTCGCGATAAGCGCCGCCGCTAGCAACCAGTCCATGTCTGTGCTAGTCTCGACGACGTCGGTGACGCATGCGAGGCCGTGACCGGTCCGTTGGGAAGGCGTCTTTGCGGTGGCCCTCTGCGGTGGCCCTTTTGCGGTGGCTGCTACACAACAACTACAGTAATTAATAATACAGTAGGTATGTAGTCAGCGGCACAGTTCGTCGACGAAGAAGGGGGACCCCGGTCACGTACGATTCGATGCATGCACTCGGCCGATTCTCCGTGCAGTGGTGACATGCGTGTGCAAGATGTAAGAGGGGAAAGGGGTCCACGGAGTGGGGACCAGTTGGCTGCCCGATTGTCGAGAGATGGGCATCCTGTCCTTGCAAGGGGCCGAGGGGTGAGGCGGCAGGGCATTGCCGCCATGGGAGCAAGCCGTCGGTATTTACTGTACGTATGCTTACAGTAGGTACTATGCTCTTGCATCATGCCTCTATCCCGGAACAGCGAGAGCAAAAGCAAAGCAGTCCAGTAAAACCGAAAATGGGCGGGGACATGCCATCAACGTCATTCGTCGCCACGCCGTCGTAGTGCCTCTCGAACCTTAACCCTGTGTGCTTCAGCCAAGGAGGGCGGCGGAAGGAGGAGGGGGAGGCATCCATTTACCATTTACCCCTCCCCTTCCTCCATCTCGCCGAGTTGCATGTAACCCTCGATCTGTACCCATCTTGTATCCTGTCCCGTCGTCTCCTGCGCGGAGGTACGGCCTCTATACGGACTCGCCAGAGACCGACGGCGCCCTCGGCCATCCGACCGTCTCCGGAAGAGGTACTGCAAGGTAGGTACAGTACCACCGTCGTGGAAGCGATTACCTTTAAAAGGGGCCCGTCCATACCGTCCCTCTCCTCCTCTTCTTCCTCCTCACCACCACAAGCCAACAACAAGTCTCAGCTACATCAAAACCACCAACTTGTAACAACTCCAACCCTCACACAACTTTATCCATCATGGGCGACTGCGGCTGTGCCACTTCCGGCTCCTGCAACTGCGGCTCCAGCTGCTCTTGCGCCAACTGCCCCGTGGGTTTCCTTCCGAGCCATCATCCCTTCGCCCCAGTGCCCAACGCAGACTAATATCTTCCCACAGCACAAATAAACAATGCAATCATCCGCAGGTCTGCGACTTGGACGATGGGATATGGCCCGACGCGCAAGGTACTCGGACACGTGGGGGTTGCGAATTCTCTTTTGTCCCAAGACGGATGAACATGTTAAACTAAGTCTCCTAAATTGATCAAGCATCGTGTCTCGTTCATCTTTCCCATTGTGCCTGCTGATGCTGCAATGCCCCGACGAAGTCAAATGTGACGGCTCTACCAAGGCGTACCTATATCATACCTGAACATACGACGTCCCAAGAGTCGCAGCTCATGCTCTTACCCGTCATGCCGAATATTCCATCCCATCAGCGACATCTGCCACGCTCTCCCCTGTGGTGTTCGGGCCAGTCTAGGCAACAAGACAACCTATCCAACGGCTCCCAACGGCGCAAGTATGCAGGGAGGAGGGGAGATTGTTTGATTTAACTCGCAGCCCACGCATCGGAAGCTGCAAGGCTGACAACCACAAGCACGTCTTGGCCAGTTCTTTAGCTAGATGAGCCCCCATACTCTCGGCGCCCCTCTCTTCCCGCCCCGCGCTGGCGGTTTGTCCAAAACTTGCTCACATCTCCCTCAACGGCACCCGCCCGGGCCGGTCCGCGCGAGGCCATCTCTGCGTGCCGTTGCATCATGCAACCCTGTCTGAGATGAGCCACGGTGGGGTGAGCAGCGAGACACGACCCCAACAGTGCCTCATGCGGCGCTCCCAGCCCGGCGTCGTCGTCGTCGGCCTCGTAGTTGCGCCCTTGCTTTTACTCGCAAGGTGTCAGGGCTCTAACGTGCCACGAGTGCGGGGGTTTCACCCACTTGGCCTTCTGATTGGCCACCCGAGCCAGTCCAGTCAGCACAGAGCCCAGGGCTGGCAGTGTAATTACCGTACTCCATACACATACACAGTCAGCATAGGTACATACATATGCCTTGGATAGGTATGTCAGCGGTCCTCGGCGTGACATCAGCAGTGAACCCATTGATTTTGCGATGCCCTCACCTCGCATCATCCTTCCTCTTGTTACCTACCGGTACTTCCCTCCCCCCCTCCTTCTGCGCGCCCTTATCTCTCTCTTCTTGTCTCTTTTTCTTTCGCCATTGCATCCAACGCTCAAACTTTGGCAACACACGCAAAGCAACAGCTGACCCGTCGCCAAACCAGCGATTCCGCCGATCCTCGTCGCGCCCGGCCCGTTTGCACTTCTCTCTCTTATTCCGCCCCTCGCTCTACTCCTTCAAAGCTCTTACGATATAAAGTCTCCGAATTTCTAGCATGCACGCTTGACCCATACTCAAGACGAACCATTCCAGCTTCCCACCCGGTCGACCATGGAGGGACATTCGACACCGGATGACGACGGCCTCGCCTCCCCCACGCTGCCTCCCGCGGCCCCCGACGCCATCGCGGCCCCTCGCCCCGTCGACGCCCCCCGCCGGTGCTTTATCTGTCTGACAGACCAGGATCCCTCGGACCCCCCTGGCTCGTGGGTTGACCCGTGCCCGTGCACGCTCGAAGCCCATCAGGACTGCATGCTCTCCTGGGTCACTGACTGCGAGCGTTCTAACAAGCCGCTCTTCTGCCCAGTCTGCAAGTCCAAGATTGAGCTCGAGGGCCACTGGGACCTTGTCGTCGCCGCCGAGGATGCAATCCACCGTCGCTTCACTCGCGTCAGCCCCTTTGTCCTCTTCACCGGCGTCTCCATGGGCGTCCAGTTCAGCCTTCAATTGTATGGCGCCCTGGCTCTGTGGACGTTTGCTGGCAAGGACTCGCTCCTGCGGTTCTTGCTGGGACCCGACTTGGTCATCGACGCGTCCCGTGCCGGCAGCGTTGGGTTCGTCAAGGACCGCATCTGGAGGGCCCTGGCCATGATGAACGTGGCGCCCGCACTGCTCTTTGGTAGGCTGCTGCCCAGCTTGAGCAACAAGGTGTATTTGCCGGCCGCCTCTCTGGTGAGTCTGCCACTACCCCAGCTACTCAACTCCTCTGTTTCTTTCCCTCTGCTTTTGCCCGCTTCATCCTCTCTATCCCGCACTTATCCTCTTCCCGTCTTTCTGAGCAGAGCAACTGACATGAACCAGTATGGCATGTACCACATCATGCACGAAGACGACTTTGTGAGCTGGCCACCCTCGCCTCGCCTCGCCATTGCCGTCTTTCCGTACGTCCGGTCCATGTACTACAACCTCTGGCGGGAGTTTGTCCTGCCCCACGAAGTCAAGCTTAACCGGCAACTCGTGGGGCTGCCGCCCGTGGAGGAACGGCCTAACGCGGGCCAGCAGATGGCGGATAACCAAGGTGGCGGGCAGCACAACGCCGAGGGAGGAGTGCTCGGGATCTTGCAGGGGATTATGGATGCTCTGGATCCAGACGACGTCGACCAGCCCGGCGGCCACGACGTTCATCACATCGAAATCGTCCACGAGGAAGGCGAGGCCCACGGCCACATGGAAGGCGAGATAATGGTGGAGCTCCAGATCGGAGAGGTCGAGCGGGACGAGGACGGCATTCCTGTTGACCAGGAACTCATCGAGATGGCCCAAATCGTCGAGCACCCCGAACCCGAGGCGGATGCCCACGACGGGCCAGCAGCACCGGTCGCCCCGCCGAACCAAGGCAACAACGCAGACGAGGGGGGTCAAGGTCACGAAGCTCCCCAAGCGCCGCCCCGCCGGCTGGGCATCGGCGCCATCCTGTCCAACGTGTCCAATGCCATTGTCGGCGCATTGATCCTGCCCGGCATCTCGCTGGCCATGGGCGAGGCGCTGCGGCTGGCGCTCCCCAAGGCGTGGACCAAGGCAAGCCGCCACGGGACGGTTGGGCGTCCAGGCCTGTTGCAGCAGCAGTGGGGGCGCAGCTTGATAGGGGGGTGCTTGTACGTTGTGCTCAAGGACACGGTGAGGGTGTACACCAAGTCGCGCCGGGTGGCGGCTCTGGGGAACCGACGGGTCAAGAACGTGGACAGGCGCAGACGAGGACGGAGTGACGACGCACCGACGGGTTGACGCTGAATCTCTCCCGGCCCTCGCGGCAGTGAGACGGGGAGTGCATGTATGATGATGTCAACGTTGGGAATGGGCAGCGGGCATGCAACGGAGTTTCGATAGAGCCTTTGATAGACGGTACGAGCAAGCGCTCGACGCCTCGAGATGCTGAACCCTCGAATCAGCCACCAAAAGGGCGACTGGTCAATATCCATGAATGGCCTGCATGGCAGGGATCCTCGCGACTTGTGCGCGGCAGAGCCCCCGGGACTTCTTTCATGGTGAGCTTCCCTGGCAGATACATGTACCGTACCGACGATAACGAGGCATTCTTTCTCATTGGGTAGAGGAATCCTTACCCACGACATGCCATGCTTGCTCCTTCCGCACACCCAAAGGAGGAAGGAGGAGGCGCTGTGGCATTCGGCCGGCCACCCCGCCTTCTTGGCGACTCTTGCTCTCCTCTCGAGATCCATCGCCTCTGCTCCGGATCCGACGACGCATTCCGGGGTCTTGAGCTTGCGCGATGCTTCCATGGCTGTGGCGGAGGCAGCCCCGCGAGAGCCAGCAAGACGGCGAGAGCCAGGGACGGACATTCCGCGTCCGTGGAGTGGCCCTCGGCTAGGACACAGAGCAACTGCAATCTTTCCTCCCAAAGCAGGACAACTCTACCGGCCCCGACGTCTGGACTCTGGCCCATGAGACGGATGGGCGCTCGCGTACAGCCACGGCCACGTTTCGCAATGTGACCCCGGGACGTCTCTTCACAGCAGCCTCCTGGCGTTGGCTTCTTCGGCGACTCTGAGGCCCATCATATTCATCGCCCACAGCTTGGGGGGCATAGTCGTCAAGCAGGCAGGTCCACTTGCAATATGTGTCGTGCAGTATTCTCACGAGACGGTAGATCCTCATATCACTATCAAAGTCAAGCAACCGGGATGACCAGAAACTCGTTAGAGCCGTGTACGGAATCGTCTTTTTCGGTGTCCCACACGACGGCATGGACATCACTTCACCCATCTCAATGGTGGGGGATGAGCCGAACCGATTCCTCGTCGAGTCGATTGGAAACATTAATTCCCAAATCCTTAGCATACAGCAGAGAGAGTTTCACGGGGCGCTACGTGGCCGGGGCGAGACTGAGGTTGTTTGTTTCTACGAAACCGTCAAGTCGCCGGCGGCCATTCAGGCATGCAAAGGGGCAAGTGGCAAATGAAAGGACCACGGGCAGTCTTGGTGACCAAATCGGCAGCTACCCACTGCCGGCCATGGGAGGACGGACCGGAGCACATCTGCGCCGTCAACCGCACGCACTCGGAAATGGTCAAATTCGGGCCCGAAGACCACGAGTATAAAAAGGCTCAAAACCGGATTCAAGGCCTTATTCGGCGGGCGCTTGCGGCACCGAGTCAGAGCCAGGGCTCGAGCACAAAGAGTACGTAGATGCTCACTTGAGCAGGCTGTTTAGGACCAAATAGTTGTGCTGAACGCATCGCAGGCTTATCACTGCGACAGAAACTCTCGCAGCTGTCTCAAGAATGCCTCAGATCGCTATCCTTTCCGCAAATGGAGAAACACTCCCATGACATTGGGGACGCCCACAAGGGTACATGCGACTAGCTGCTGGGTCCCGGGACGTACAAGAGTTGGGTCGCTTGCGATCGAGGTCTGCTCTGGATCAAGGGAAAGCCGGGCTCTGGGAGATCGACGTTGCTAAAATACGCCCTCGACCATCGTGTATCCGGAGACAGTGACCTTGCTCCTCATTTTCCTTCCATGGTCGCGGCGATGAACCCCAAAGAACCCCTTGTGACCTCTTCCGGTCCCTCCTTCATCAAGTCCTTGGGCAGATGCCCCGCGCACTGCAAGATCTCGTCGACACCTATGAACAGAAGCGCAAAAAGTCCGGCAAGCCGGGTGGAAAGTGGCAATGGCATCAAGAAGAGCTACGACTTTTCTTCCAGTCATCTATTCCCAAGGTCCTAGAGACTCGCGCAGTCTGGTTGTTTGTCGACGCGTTGGACGAGTGTGGCGAAGAGAATGCAGTGCGCCTAGCCGACGAGTTCATGTTTCTGCTTGAGAGTCTCCCGCTCTCTGCCTCTGAACGGCTGCGCATCTGCTTTAATTGTCGTCACTATTTGATTCTGGACCCGAACGGTGCATTCGAAGTATGTCTTGAGAAAGAAAACCAGGAGGATATTTCAACCTATGTACAAGATAGGCTCTCCACACTTTGCCGGACGGAGTCTTCGGTTCCGGCTACAATTATCCACCGTGCCGAGGGCATTTTCATGTGGGCGCATCTCGTGGTGGAGCTCGTTCAGAACCTGAGTCGCACAGGGGCATTTTCACAAAGATCAAAGCGAAAGTCAATTCTGTCCCCGTAGGTCTGAATGACGTATACAACGGCCTCGTCGAAAGCATGGACAATACAACGGTTTCACTGCAGCTAATTCAGTGGATCTGCTTTGCTATGCGGCCGCTGTCGCTGGACGAATTGCGTTGGGTCATGATAGTTGACGCTGAATGCCCATATCGGACATTGCAAGAATGTCGGACCTCTGGCGATTACGCCTGTAACTGCGACGACGAATGCGGCTGCGACGTAATGGAGCGAAGAGTCAAAACCCTCAGCTGCGGACTCGCCGAGATTGTATCGTCGTCCAAGAAGTTGTACGTGCAATTCATCCACCAGTCTGTCAAGGACTTCTTCCTCAAAAGGGGCCTCTCGTAGAACTATATAGGGGTGCGTGATTACTGGGTAGTAGAGCGCGCTTATTCCGTCTTCAACCCACCACGAGGGACAAAACTCATACACGTCATGCCGGGGAATGGATTGACAGGGTTTTTGACCACCATTGTACAGCGAGGGAGCCGAACTACCACGGAGATCGACGCCAAGAATATTCATGGCCAGACGCCGCTGTCGTTGGTCGCCCAGTACGGGCACGAGGCCGCCGTCAGCGGCAACGTGGCTATCGTTAAGCTACTACTCGCCGCAAAAAAGACTGATCTTGAAAGGTTAGACCGTACAATGCTGCTGTTGGCTATTGGAGCCGGCAATGAGTCTATTATCGAGTTACTTGAGTCTGCTACACGGCGTGCTGTTGAATCCTTTCTTTTACATCCTTTATTATTTTAGAAGGTAAAGCGGTTGGCTTTGATGGGGGACCATGAGCAAGAAAACCATGGCACTCGGATCTCTCTAAAACTATGCCATACTTTCTTCTCGAGCTTGGAGGATGGGTTGCCGCTGTTGGAGACCATTCTGCGGCGTCGCCATCCGCACCTCGGCTCCGATATGCCCCCTACACCAGGCCCCCGGGATCCGGCCAAGCTGCCTGTTGGTTGAAAAGTTAACACGCTCGAAGCATTCTATGAGCTCGGCCGATCCGGGCAGAGCAACCAGTCCATCGACTGCAGGGTACCCGGCATCTTGTTCACCGCTTTTGTCCCGCTGCTGACTGGCTCTTTAACCAGCAACGTCGATGTAACGTTTTCATCCTTATGCTATCCGCGTACTCGCCACGTGTAATAACGCATTGTTGTTACGTCGAAACGGTGACATGACTCGAGGGACCTCGACGTGGGAGGCAAAGGGGCTTTGTACATACCACCTGCGTCGTCATCCCAGTTGGTGGCCATCCACTGGGGCATATGAGTATGCGTGGTCCTCGCAGCTGACAGAGCGGTCATATCTCACAATGCATATAAGTGTCACGACTGCGGTCGCGCAAAGAAATCGGCAAGGCAGCGAGGCACCATTTACGTGACGAAAGTTACCCCGAGACCAAAGGCGAAAGGATTCGCAAAGGCAGTGAGGCCCAAACTTATTTTAGGTGACGATGTGTGGGCAAAGCGATGGCATGAAGAATTACACGTATCGTGGGTCACCTCTTGTTATATGCATAGCTGCGTGAGTCTGGCGTGGGCCCGTTTTCCTGTATTCGACTATGCGAAGCTCGGAAATCCATCCTGAGGCATAGACTGTGTTTCCCCCGTGTACGAAGTACTTGGGATGAAGACGGAAGCTGGCTACTAGGAGGCCCCTCCTGCTCTACTACGGAGTCTAGATGAAGGGAGTTTGAGTCCCCCAGTGTACATCATGCGAGAAATGTGTAAAGCAACCTGTCGCATTTATCTTGGTGATGGCAGGCTTTTGACTCGCCGGTAGTTCGTTGGCATATATGAAGATTGCGCTCAAAGCATTTACACACAAGGAGGTCTCCCGGGCCTCCTGTCACTGTTCGATCAAGCATTCCTTTAACTACATTCGTACTCTAACCGGCCCTAAACCTTACCTTCCCTCTAGCGCATATAAATAGACGACCTGCCAGCGCATTCTATGGAGAGCCTTCCAGCAAATCTTATACGGCAAGGGTTCTCCGCTGCAGTACGTCTTCGTATGGCCTGACTAGTACCGTGACAGGGGAGCTGGCAGGTGACCCTCTTATGTGTAAATCGCAGAGCCCCCTGTTATTAGACGAGTCATCGACCTAGCGATTTCTATGCCTTTACTGGTTTGAAAGTCTCGGCTTATATGTGCCAGTGGTCAATAATTTCGGCAACAAAAATACGGCGACAGCAAACCGTCCTCGCATAGTCAGTACATCAACACTATTTATAGCATCTTTTTCGAGCGCGCATTTTGTACCCAGTTGGTTGTTTCTGTAACGGGCAAGCCGCTTTAACGGCGGCTGCGCCGCCTAGCTTCTAGAACCTTCCATTGGCTCGAAGCTATAAAATGCTATTGTGCTCTCATGTAGTAGATTCTCTTTCTTTCTTTCTTTCTTCTCTATCTTGATAGTAAACAGCATAGGGACTAGTTAGTTGTATCAACTCACTAGAGGCCTTTCACATACTATCAAGATCACTGAAGACATTGAAGACACTGAAGACACCGAAGACACTGAAGACACCGAAGACACCGAAGACACTGAAGACACCAAACTGAGTCCCGTCGAACTATTAGCGTTCAGCGAAGTCGCGATGGCCGAAGATAACAACAACATGCAGCCGGACGTCCTCAGCGCCCTGGTTGCCGAGATACGAAGTCTGAGAGAAGAGAGTTCCCGAAGAAACACCCAGTTTGAAGAACGTTTTATTGCCCTGGAACTCCAACAACACCAGCAAGCCCGTTCGTCTGAACTCCTAGAGCCAACGCCATCTGTCACCCCGGCTGTCCCCATTGAGGACACTCGTGTGGTCGCCACTCACAACCCTCACCCAACCAAGCGCCCCAAATTACGAGACATACCGAAATTCGGCGGCGACAAGGCCCAGTGGCGAAGCTGGAAACTAGAAACCGAAGGAAAGCTACGAGTCGACAAAGAAGCCCTTGGAGATGCAGAAGGCCACTTTATGTACATCTTCATGAGCCTAGAAGGCAAGGCTAAAGACAACGTGACCACATTTGTGGAGATGCAAACCGAGAAGAAAACGTTCAATGTTGCTGAACTACTCAACCGCCTCGAATTGCTGTACGGGGAGAGGGATCGCAAGCAGAGAGCTACACGCAACCTGCATTCGATTAAGCAAGGAGAGAATGAACCGTTCACGTCCTTTTACCCCCGCTTTGAGAGGGAGATCGCCAATGCCAACGCCGAGTATTGGCCAGATGACAGCAAGATTTCCTACCTCCAGGAGGCACTAAACGATAAAATGAAAGCAGCCCTCATAGGCTCTGACCCTCTGCCATCAGCAGCTATGTTGGGCTGGCGAGGAGGTGCGATTCGCTGAGCAGCCAGATGGAATTGTTGGGTCAGTGGAAAAGGCCTCGAGGCAACACAAAGAGTTCGGACAACTATGACAACCACCAGAATCATGGAGGCCAGGCTGCCCAGAAACAGCCTGGCCAGAAAACCGAAGTTAGACGAGAGGATATGATGGAATGGGAACCAACTCTACAAGCATCCGCGAAAGTGAACGCTGCGCGCACCCGCAGTGATAAGAACACATATGGTTACCAATCCAAGCGACCAGAAGACCAAGCGCTGTTGGGCAAGCGTGCCAAGTGGGTCGACCAGGCCGAGATGGACGCCCGTTACCGTGAAGGGCGTTGCCTCCGTTGTGGAAGAGACAACTGCAGAATCGAGCGCTGTCCATTGGCTGCGCCTATCCGACCCGCAAACACGACCCGACGCACTCAGGTCAATGCCGTGACCCCGTCACGACCAGCGGTCACTAAAGCCGAGGTCGCCGAAGACGATACTTCTTCTCATAACGATGAAGATTCAGACTAGGGACACGCGGCGGCTGTGAGAGAATGGGATGTGAGCGGAAAAGCAAAAATGGACGGAGAACCGTTCATAGCAGACGTCAGGGTGAACGGCACAGACTTCGTGCCATCTCTTGTCGACTATGGCTGCCTCTGCTACGGCGCGGTTAGCAAGCGCACATTTCACTCTCTCCAGTTGCCACATATACGCGTCCAGCCGCGCATCTTGGAGAATGCAGCGGGAGACGGCAAGGAGGTCAAAATCGACAAGATCACGTATGTGTCGATCGACCTCGATGGACATCAGCAGCATCGTGTTTTCATGTACGTCATCGACGATCTGAACTGGGATATGATCCTGGGTAAACGATGGATGGAAGACCAGGATGTTCACATCCATGCGAAGGAAGGATATCTCGAGATCGGGTCCAATGGAGTTCAAGTACGAGACCGACGACGTTACCAGCCTCCACAGCTAGATGTCTCTAATGTCATGGCCGCAACCTTTTAGCAGAAGCACGCCGTGACAAACGCAAAGGCGGCATTGGAGTTCACTCGGTCACGATGGCGGATATTGACAAGGCCCTAAGACCGAAACCGAAGACTGACGTAATGGAGAAGCTGCCACCACAGTACCACAAGTGGTCTCGAGCTTTCTCTCAGCAACTGGCCGACCAGCTGCCCCCTCATCGGCCAGGTGTGGACCTGAAGATCGAAGTGCTGAAAGACGAGCATGGCCGAGAGAAGCCCCTACCCTGGGGACCGCTTTACAGCATGTCCCGCGAGGAGCTATTGGTACTACGGAAGACTCTCACAGAACTACTCGACAAGGGATTTATTAGAGTCAGCAGCTCGCCAGCCGCGGCACCAGTCCTTATGGTGAAGAAGCCCGGCGGAGGCATCCGCTTCTGCGTGGATTACAGAGGTTTGAACCATATAACGAAGAGGGACCGCTATCCCTTGCCCTTACTGAGCGAGACCTTGCGAACGATAGCCAAGGCAAGGTGGTTCACCAAGGTAGATGTTATAGCAGCGTTCCATAAGATCAGGGTCGCCCCCGGCGACGAGGAAAAGACAACTTTCAGAACGCGCTATGGATCCTTCGAATGGCTGGTAGTTCCATTCGGCCTGACAGGCGCACCAGCAGCCTTTCAGCGGTACATTAACAGCGCGCTCCAGGATTACCTAGACGATTTTGTGTCAGCATATATCGACGATGTCCTGATCTTCTCCTCTGGAAGCCTGCAAGACCACCGCGACAAGGTCGGCAAGGTCCTCCAACGACTGATGGACGCCGGGCTGCAACTGGATATCAACAAGAGTGAATTCGAAGTCAAGGCTGTGAAATACCTTGGGTTTATCATCGAGGCGGAGTGTGGGATCCGAGTCGACCCTGAGAAGGTTGAGGCTGTGAAGGAATGGGCAACCCCGACGAATGTTAAGTCCGTGAGGAGTTTTATTGGATTCGCGAACTTCTACAGGATGTTTATGCCAGAGTTCTCGGTGATAGCGGAGCCGCTAACGCGGCTAACGAAGAAGGACGTGCCATTCCGTTGGGATGAATTGTGCGAAGAAGCCTTCGAGAAGCTCAAGGACTTGTTGATCACGGCCCCGATCCTTGCACACTTCCATCCAGAAAGGGAGACTATCGTGGAAGCAGACGCTTCAGGATTCGCGTCGGGAGGCGTGCTCTTGCAGAGAGATGATAAGGATGGACTGGTACGACCTGTCGCATACTTCTCGAAGAAACATTCGGCAGCCGAAGCGAACTACGCTATCCATGACAAGGAGCTACTCGCCATTCTCAGATGTTTGGAGCAGTGGGAACCAGAGCTACGGGCAGTAGAGCACTTCAAGATCCTAACGGACCACAAGAACCTGAGGTACTTCTACTCGGAAAGGAGGTTGACAGAGACAAGTGCGGTGGTCGGAGTTCCTGTCCAGGTTCCAATTCGAGCTCGAATGGAGGCCGGGCCGCAAGGGCGGATTGCCTGACGCACTCTCTCGACGGGACCAGGATATGCCGGCCAACTACTCCGATGAACGACTAAAGGGACGCATTATGAGGCTATTCCAAAATGATCACCTTAGAAGGGTCCCAATATCGACATTGTCTACCAACACCGAGGGTGCCCAGGAAATCAACTTCGGAAAAGAGATCAGGATATTTGAAGATGAGGAGTTACAGCAGCTGTGGCACGCCGCACGGCAAGAAGACAAGCTTTATCAAGAACTCACGAAGCTGGTAGCAGATGGAGCGAAGAGTGTGCCAACAGACTTACAGAAGGAGAAGGTTGTCAGCATTTCAGAATGCTCATTAGACAATAGAGGCCTGCTGTGCTTTAGAGAACGCGTCTGGATACCCGGTTCGGAGCCGCTACGTACAAAGATCATCCAGGAAACTCACGACTCTCATATCACCGGACATCCTGGAAGGGACCTCACGTACTCGACTCTGTCGAGACGCTTCTTCTGGCCGGGTGCCGCTAGCGATGTACGTCGGTTTGTGCGCAACTGCGAGGTTTGCGGACGAAACACCATCTGGAGGATACAAAGAAAGGACTCCTAAAGCCGCTCCTATTCCGCAACGCATATGGAGCGAAATTACCATTGACTTTATTACTGACCTCCCACCGTCGGGGAAAGATGGCGCGACGAACTGCATGGTGGTCACGGACCGACTCACCAAAGGCGTCGAACTCGAAGGATTGAACGATATTTCCACAGAAGCGGTTGCAAGAAGACTCTTCGAACGACACTACCCTGTCCATGGCATCCCAACGGCTATAACCAGTGATCGGGGTCCCCAGTTTGTCAGTGGTATGTGGAAAAGTTTCTGTCAGATGCTAGGGATCGAGCAGCGGTTGTCGACGGCGTACCATCCACAAACCGACGGTGCAACAGAACGAATGAACCAAGAGGTAGAGAGGATTCTTCGGATATGGACGAATTATCTGCAGGAGAACTGGTTAGACTTGCTTCCAATCGCGATGGCGACTATTAACGAGAGGAAGCAACCTCCACCGGACTGAGTCCGTTCTTCTTCATGCACGGCTACCACAACGAGCCAATCCAATTAGTTGAGCATCGAAGAACGGAAGACACGACGCAGGGGGAAGCGACAGCGGAGGATTTTATTCAGAGACTACAGGACGCCACGGAGTTTGCGCAAGCAGCGATAGCTATGGCCCAGGAAATACAGCAAGCGCAAGCCAACAAGCACAGGACAGCCGCACCGAGATACGAGCCTGGGGATTGGGTATACCTCAACTTGAGAAATGTCAAAACATCGCGACCCTGCAAGAAGCTCGATTGGCTACATGCCAAATATCAAGTGCTCGCGGAAGTTAGCCCACATGCCTACAGGTTGGATGTGCCTGGGCGCATCCATCCAGTCTTTCACGTCGACCTACTCCGGCCAGTCCCCGGAGACCCATTGCCTTCGCAGAAACTCGATCAAGAGAGTGCCCCACCGGTGCTGGTGGACGGCGAAAAGATGTACCTTGTTGAAAGAATTCTGGATGAAAGAATGGAAGGTACGCATAAGAAGGTGCTCGTAAAATGGCATGATTACTCGCAGCCTACGTGGGAACCCCTTACTACTATTCGACACACCGATGCATGGAAGCAATGGAAGAAGCATAAAGGAGTGTCACCTTCTCAAGTCATCTTGCCACAGATTGCCACGACCCCGGAAGAGGAAACGTTGGAAGGGAGGAGGTAATGTAACGGGCAAGCCGCTTTAACGGCGGCTGCGCCGCCTAGCTTCTAGAACCTTCCATTGGCTCGAAGCTATAAAATGCTATTGTGCTCTCATGTAGTAGATTCTCTTTCTTTCTTTCTTTCTTCTCTATCTTGATAGTAAACAGCATAGGGACTAGTTAGTTGTATCAACTCACTAGAGGCCTTTCACAGTTTCAGCGCTAGAGAGGCGTCAATCACTCATCGAACCGCGGGGGGGGGGACAACGGGACTCTGGTCTGTGGCTGTACCCTGTAAATAGCTTCAAATTGCAGTCAGATTGGTGCTGCGGCCCCTGGCATTTGCTGCCTGGTTCTGGATACCTGCTGAGTCCTAGATGAATTGTTGAAATTACACGCTCTTGGAACATGCTTCCTGTAAATGAGCTCGGTCTCTCGCAATATGTAGCTGCCAATGCTGCTAAATGCCGTTGAGATTCGAAACAAGGGGCTTGACCCTCGGGCCTCTCGCAGCATGTTGTTCGCAGAGTCGAGAGCCTCCGCCAAGATTCGAATCAATGGGGACGGGTCAACGATGTTCATGTGCTTACGCGTCTCTATAGTAATAGTTTCTCTTCTGTACATAAGGTTGTTCGACTATAAACTAGGGCAAGTACATACAGCCCGAGGCAGGATCTATCATCACCCTACCGATTGTTTCTGCCTTGCACATTAAACGACAAATTCTCCAATACAACAAAATGCGCCACAACATTCTTTTCACTTCTTTTCTGCTCATAACGCAATGCCGATCATATGCCGTGTCCCGGGTCGAGACAGGGGCCCTTCAAGCCGCATCCAGTGGCGATGCCGAGATCTGGCGCCGAGATCTCGGTCCTGGACCTAACGAGAATAGTCTGGCCACTCGATCGAACGACGAAAATATTATCCATTGGCAAAAACAATTTTCTTTGTGGGAACGTGGGCTAGCCAACGGCAAAAATGGATGGCACAGAAGCCAAATAGAAGAAACTGGCGATGAAGAAGCAGCCTTTCGTGAAAAACACGGGCCCTATATGCTAGGACTATATGATGGATACAGAGAGCTTAAAGGAATGGAAGAATGGGAAGCTGGGCGGGCTTCTGTTCTAGAGAAAAAGGAAGACGAACGATTGGCTCGATTCACAGCTGACATAAAACGGAAAGTCCCCTTTGGGGTTGACCCATTTTGGCAAGGAGTCAGGCAAGCATACACGGAGACTGAAGGACCTCAAAATACCCTTGGGGTAGGGTTTTCTCCAGACCTATGGGTACTAACTCCAAAAAAATCCGCAATGTCAGGTTTCTATAGGTGGAAAACTGGCTATACGCTTGGTCGAAAAAGGGATGAAAATGTCCTAAAAGATCGATTCTGGGATGATCTCCACCGAGTCGAGTTTGGAAAAGACCCATTTTGGCAAGGAGTCTTTGAAGGAACTACAGAGTATCAAGGATATATATATGAAGGGCGTAATGGAGTTGGATTTCGACCAGACTTGTGGGAAGAATCTTGGTAATTTGGGAGCTGCTACGGACAGGGCATTCCTATGAAACTAGTCACCTGGTCACTCGCAGAAACGTTAGAGCCCCCTTCTTTCTCCTTCTTTTCCAGCTTTAATCACTCTTTGGGCTGTCTTTCATGCCTCGCGCCCCCTTTCCCTCCCTTTCTTGCCGACGGGCGCGCTAACCGCCTTGCCTGGCCCGTCACATAAGAGGAACAGCACCAGTTTGAATATAGTCAAGGCAATTAGTGGAAATAATGACAGTATCGTGGGCCAAGGTCGGGTTTGACTCTGTGCTTGTGCTAGGAGAGAGCGGTTGGGGTCTTAGCCCGGCCGACTTCGTGATGACTATTTATGAAATATTGCATTTGAAGCTTTTGGACACGAGAAGAATCGGGGATGACGCCGACTTGGGAATCAAGGAAGATGAGCGTGGAAGATAAGAAACGATGCTTTGGGAGCAGTTAGCAGGCCAGGAATCCGCCTGCTAATCCGCACTAGTATTATTACATGGCGTTCCACTTTTGCCCTGGCTAAACGGTATATGTATGAGTATGAGTACTTGTCAAGCTGGTAAAATACCGCTACACGATGCAAAATGAGGGCAGCCCCGATAGAGGTGTTCCTAACGCGTATTATAGGCCCTTGTCCTGACAGTACTGCTATTTACACAACAGCATATTGCTGTTTGCACACTTACCCCATTTTTAAGATACGTACGTACTAACGCCAGCCCGCCCCGCCTTGACTATATTCTAGTGTGGTATTGTCTTGTAGGATACTGGCCAATGACAGCATGTCAGAGATGTAATGTACTCGCCAACCAACCTCTATCCGTAGTTTACGTCGAAACGAGAGCCCCAGCAATCCCCAACTATTGCGGCCTCGAGACTTTCAACGGGAATCCGGGAAAGTGAACTGCTCTTGTCATTCATCTTCAGCCCTCGTGAACCTCGCCTTGTAACTTAGACCAGGCCAAAGCAAGACGCTCAACAGGTACTCCTTGGACCCGTTAAAGCTATCCCAGGTGACGCGGCTGTTAGTGCAGCCTACATGTAACTGGCGGCGGCGAATGTTCCAGCACAGCACGTGCAGTCCGACTCCAGGCCGCGACACGGGGTACGTACCCCGCTCGCCCGCCCTCGTCAGCGCCCTCCTGTCCTCTGCCGACTGCGGGGCATCATCAGAGACGAAATTATCTAGACTTTTCGGTCACTTCTTCTTCATCCAACCTCTACGTCTCCGCTACCGCCGCCGTCTCTGCATCTCCTCTGCCATCAAGGCGTCGCTCTCTCCCTCGATACATAGCTCTACTCGCTCGCCCTCCCCTCATCTACCCGCTCTCGCCACCGCGCGAGCCGGTCCCCGTTGCCCGCCATGGTCAGTCCACCCACCCACTCACTGACTGCCGTGCCGCTCCACGTCTTCAAACAAAGAACACGCAATAGCTAAAAACCAGGAACGTCACAAGGCCTCCCAGCCGCAGCAGCACTCGTCCAAGCAGCGCCTCGCCCTCGCCATCTGCCACTTCCTCAACACGTCGGCCTCGGACGGCACCCTGACGCCCGACGACAAGGAGTCGGTCGACGTGGCGGTCAGCTGCATCGCCGAGTCCTTCAAGGTCGACCCCGCCGACGACGCCGCAGTCCAGGCCGCCGTCGGCAACCAGTCGCTGCTGCAGATTTACTCCGTCTACGACAAGCTCAAGGCCGCCGGTGGTGCTGACGCTGCCTCGTCGTCGTCCGCAGCCCCCGGCCATGGCTCCGCCGCCGAGCCCGCAAACGAGCCCGAGCCCGAGCAAAAGAAGGAGGCAGAGTCGCTCAAGAGCAAGGGCAACGCCGCCATGGCCCAAAAGGACTACCAGGCCGCTATCGACCTGTACACGCAGGCCCTGCGCATCCACCCCTCCAACGCCGTCTTCCTCTCCAACCGCGCCGCCGCCCACTCGGCCGCAAAGGACCACGCCGCCGCCCGCCTCGACGCCGAGGCCGCCGTCGCCATCGACCCGGCCTACACAAAGGCCTGGTCCCGCCTCGGCCTCGCCCGCTTCGCCCTCGGCGACGCCCGCGGCGCCATGGACGCCTACCAGCAGGGCATCCGCCACGAGGGCAACGGCGGCTCCGACGCCATGAAGAAGGGCTACGAGACGGCCAAGCGCCGCGTCGACGAGATGCAGGCCGACGACGAGAGCGTCGCCCGCGGCGGCGCTGCTGCTGGTGCCGGTGCTGGTGCCGGTGGCTTGCCCGACTTTGGCGCCGGCGCCGGCGGCATGCCCGACCTCGGCTCCATCATGAGCAACCCCATGTTTGCAAACATGGCCCAGAACCTCATGAGCAACCCGGACCTCATGAGCAACCTCATGGGCAACCCGCGCCTGCGCGACATGGCCAACCAGTTCACCAGCGGTGGCGGCATGCCCGACTTTGGCAGCCTTCTGTCTGACCCCAACATTGCAGACATGTCAGTCGCACCCCAATATCTTCTCACTCCACCCTCGTCAACATCGAAGCAAAATGTAGCACCGAAATGCTGACAGGCTCCCTCTGGGCTTCCAGGGCGCGAAACATGATGGGCGGCGCGGGTCCCGGCGCCCCCGGCGGCAATAACGCCGGTGGGAACAACAGCAATAACAACAACAACAACAACAACAACAACAACAACAACAACAACACCCCGCCATCTTAGACTACCCCAAGGGCCGTTGAAGCGGACCTGCGGGCATAATAGTAGTCGGCAGCAGAGCAGGCGGAGGTGGTGGTGGCGGCGGAGTCGTCGAGGGCCCGGAGCGCCATCGCAGACAGACAAGCCAGACAGACTGGAGCAGAGAGGCTGTCCGGGCAACTGGCGCGCATCCATCTACGATCATGGTGTTTTAGATACACATCCCCAATCCATGAGCAAGCGAGTCGGTTCAAAACGGGTCCATGCCATACAAGAGACGACGAAAAACATCAATCAATTCTGCACCATTACACGCCTCTACGCCCCCCTTGCTCGCTACCCATCAACAACACCAAGCATGAGCAAGGTACGCAATGATATGACATTAAACGGCCGCCGCCGGCCCTGGGGTAAAAGCGTTACCCGTCCATCTACGGCTACTTGTCCCTCCATTGTCTCCGACAGAATCTCGCCCCTATCATAGCCGCCCAACAAAGCTCCATGTATTGCGCACGCCCCAGTCGTCTGATGCCAGAAGGGGGGTTAGTTAAAAATACCTATTCGCCAAACCGACACTGCTCAACGCCGTGATTTCTATTGACATGACAAGTCCCACTGGCCGGTCCCGTACAAAGGTTGCGGGCTGTCGTCTCGCCCTAAGCGCCCCCTCGACGTCGGTGACCGCGGGGCCAAGAACTTCTACCTCGCCGGCCGCCTCGATAGCCGCGTCCGGAGACCGTGGAAGACGACGCTCGGGCGTGTTTTTGCGGAGGCTCATTCTCATTACCGGTACCCGATGGCACCGTTTTAACAGCGACGATTCCATGGTCGCCCATGGTGCTCTCCATTGCACCTTTTCCGTCCTGTGCTGGCATGACCTTGTCTTCCTTCCCCTCAGACACTAACGAGACTGGTCGCAGCACCGTTGATCCATGGCTGGTTGGTCTCGGGATTTGTGATGCTGGTACGTGAGGTTGAAGAGAGGGAGCCAGCTCGAGACGCTGCAGATGAACGTTGGTGTCAGTCGAGGCTCACCAGGACTGTTCCGATTCACGTACAGATGGCTCCCGCTCTTCCACATTCTTGACCGAAGTCAAGGATCCGCAGACTGCCGGCAACAGATCTTGTGAGGATTGTGATGGCTCGCTCTTGGACTGCACCCGCCGAGAGTATCTCGGGTATTTCAGCCCGACAGCCCCAGTCCGTGAGCCGGTCTCGGGCTTTCCGTCGTCTTCCAACGCCTCCTAAGCGTCAGAAGGGGCATCTATCTCATTCTTAGCACACTTTACACTCGCCAATCCGCAGGCCCGAGTCTGTTGCTTACTGTTGTGGTTCCCGCCCGTCGTGCCCTCGGCTTGACCGGTCCTCGTTGCTGGGGGTGAGGCGTCTTGTGCAGAATCCTTGTGGTCATCCGCTGCCTTGTCCTTGCTCGCGGGGGCTTTGGCTGAAGAAGCAGGCTCCGCATCGTCAAGCGGGGTTGTCAGTTCCGTTTCCACTTCCGCCCTCGTACTCGACACCTCGCTCAAGCCTAAGTGGCCGGGAGAGGGTTCGGAGGCCATGCCCGAGACCTCCTCTATCGAGGCGTCCGCGGCTTGTTCGCGGGTGGACTTCTCCTCGGACTCAGAGTTCGATGCTGCCAGGGCCCGAGGCGTGAATTCAGGAGCAATAGGGTTCAGCTTGGACCCCTACAGCAACCGAGTCAGAGTCGTGTCGGGTGACGAGGGCGCCTGATCGGGGTGGACATACCTCTTGCCTCTGCTGCGGCGTATCTGCCGCTCCTTGCGCCCGGTCCTGTTCCGTACAAAAGACCTCGCTATCACTATCAGTGGTTCCACCCTTGTATCGATCGGCAGCAGTCTGCTCGGAAGACGAGTCGTCGGCCGCCTCCACCCTGTCGTCAATTATATCCATCGTGTCGGACTTTTGACGAGGCTTCAAGAAGACTTGTTTCGACCACAGGTCCGCATAGCGCCCCTGCTTGGCAAGGAGTCCGAGATGGCTGCCTTTTTCGACCAACTCGCCATGTTCAATCACGACAATCTGATCCGCATTCATAATGGTGGAAAGACGATGCCTATGTCGATTAGCGAGAGACTGTGCGTATTGCGAATTGGTCACACTCACGCAATAATGAACGTTGTGCGACCTTTGCATAGGCTCTTGAAGGAAAGCTGGATTTGCTGCTCCGTGTCGGTGTCGACGGCGCTGGTCGCCTCGTCCAGCAGGACAATATCGGGCCTCTTCAATATAGCTCTGGCAATGGCGACTCGCTGGAGCTCACCCCCGGAGAGTTTTCTGCACAAGTCAGTCGTCCGAAGTCCTACGCTCATCAAAAAGGTTACTCACACGCCGCGCTCACCAACCCGTGTATCGTACCCTGGTGAGGAGATTGGTCAGCACTTCACATCAGTAGAGCCCACACCATGGCATACCGTCCGTGAAGCCCTTGATCTTATCATGCAAGCAGGCTGCCTGGCAGGCTTCGAACACTTCCTCGTCGCTTGCCGTTAGTCTGCCATAGCGCACGTTGTTCATGACGGTGTCGTCAAAGAGAATGGGGTTTTGTGGGACAACGCCGATGCGTTCCCGAAGGCTGTACAGGTCAGCGGCGCGCTCCACCAACTTCTGCGTCATCCCTCCTTTTGCTTTCTCCGACTCACCTGAACAAATCGACGTCACGAATATCTTGGCCGTCAATAGAGATGCTGCCGTCGGTGACGTCGTAGAAGCGGTCGAGAAGCTTCAGCAGAGTCGACTTGCCAGCGCCCGTTGAGCCAACAAAGGCCACCGTCTGACCGGGGTCAATGTTCAGGTTGAGGCCCTTGATGGTCCCCTTGTGGCCGTCGTAGGTGAAGCAGACATTTTTGAACTCGACTTTTCCGGCGACAAACTTGAGCGGCCGCGCTCCCTTCTTGTTCTCGATTGTGGGTTTCGTCTTCATGATGTCCAGCAGCCGCTCGGCATCGATGAAGTCGTCGCTCATACTCTTTCCCAGCCGAGCAAAGAACTGCAGGGGCGACGTGAGTTGCCCCCAGTACATTATAAGCATGGCGAATTGACCCGGGGTTGCGTGTCCGCTCCTGATCCTCGACACTGCCAAGAAGGCGCTCACCAGCAGGCCGCAGGTGAGGATCATGGTCTGGAAGGCGATGGAGACGCCCCAGCTCTGGAGATATTGCTGCTCGTTAAGCCAGCGGTTCGTCACGGCGTCGGCGTGTCGGTTGTCCTCGTAGCCAATCTGGTTGAAAGAGCTGACGGTTTGCCAGCCCTGGAAGCCTGACTGACGAATGTAGTGCTCCTGGTAGATCGCGTGGACCCTTTTCCGGCTCGCAGCTTTGGACTCGGCCACGAGCCGGCTGGCCATCATGAAGAAGATGGTGGCGGTCGCCACCGTGGTGAGGCCTTCGTACGGGCCAAAGGTAACGGACAGGTACATGATTGCCACACACATGTCAATGAGCATCGGCACGGCTTGCAGTAAAATGTTCTCCACAACGTTGGACACGGCGGTTCCGCCGTAGATGGCCAACATCATGTCCGAGGAGCTTTTGGAGTCGTGGAAGTCTGCCGAAAGATGCATCATGTGGGAGTAAGCGGCGCGGCTGATGGAGTCGTGGGCGTAGTATTTGACTGGGATCCACAGCCGTTGACGAACAAGCTCAATCCCGGCCTCCGACGAGGCGAGCCGCAAGAAGGCGAAAAATACGACGGCGAGCCAGGTGTTCGCTGAGCTGCTGCCGCCCAAGCTGTCCATGATGATGCCTGTTTGCCGAGGGATGAGGACATGCAGGGCATTGGATCCGAGAAGGCAGAGCACGACGCCGGCGGCGCGGAGCTGCAGAGCGTAATTACCCACTGGCCAGACATAGGGGAAGAGAATCTGACTTCAATTAGCAACGACGCGAAGCAGTACACAGCACCGGGCTCGTCAACTAGCAAGGAAATCATGACGAGCGGTGTCCAAAGACGACGAGCCTGACGCCTTGGCACACAATCGACGGGGGAAGGCAGGTGGTCTAGCGGCTTCGAATGCTTGCTGGATATGCTGTGCGTACGGCGAGGGAAACTCACCATGAAGCCCTTGGAATACTGGAACCAGTTTCCACCTTCCTTGAGCCGCTTCTCCATGACCTGGCGCGCCTCTCTTTCGCGACGCTCCCAATTGTACTCGCCAGCATGTCCAGACGACTGCTCCGATTCCGAGGTGGCCCCATACCCGGACTCGGTGGCGCCTTGAGCTGTGGCGGTGTCGCCGACCTTGGGAAGCAACGACTGATGCTCCTCGTCCGAGGCGGCCGGTGCGCGTCGAGCGCTGAGGGCCCTCCAGGAGGCGGCGCCGAGTAGCAGCAGCAAGACGCACCTGGCGGCAGCGAAGGACGTCTCGGCTATCTCATACCTGGCGTGCCAAGGTGAGTCAACCTTGACGGCGGCAAAGGTGGTTATGGCGACCTCGAAGGCTAGTGCCAGCAGCCAGGAGCCGTAAAGGGGGTAGCCAATGGAGCGATTGGGCTCCGAGAGCCAGCTGAGCTGGATTCCGAAGACAAGGAGACAGGACAGGATGCCAACAACGAGGTAGTCGGCAGGGGGCCAGTGGCCGTCGGTAATGGAACAGGATACCAGAGTGCCTAGTTGAGCCAGGTAGGTCAGGACGAAGGTGCCGAGAATGCCGAGGACGGAGCGGCGGCCGGGGCGCTGCGTGGGCGCGCCCGGGTCATCCTTGAGACGCTGCAGAGTGCATACCGAGGCCAGCGAGGAGCCAAGGAAGAAGAGGAAGACGGCGGCCGGGTACGTGTAATAGAGAAGGGGCACGACGGCTGAAAAGGGCGCCGCGGCGGGATCCATGCAAGGCGTCGAGCTGGAGCTTGTGCAAGACAGTTTGGGCAACGTCGGGAAGCCGGGACAGGCCGATGACGCGAGCCTGGCGCGTCTAGAAGTTGGTGGGCTGGAGAGGCCGAAACAAAAGGTCCAGGGCGTGGTGCGGCGGCAACGGCGGCGGTGGCGGGCGTCGTCGTGGTTGTAAGACAGGGCGGGCACATGGGTGCAAGAACTGAGCCGGCCAAGGAGGCTGCTGGTGACGGCAAGGGCGGTTCCGACGTGGACAGAAGGAGTGGAAGCGCAAGAGATGGAGGGTGAAGAAGCGCGCGCGTGTGAGAAAAGTAGGCGAGGGGGAGAAGAAAGGACTGCAGGGGGTGCGAGAGAAGTCGCGGAGGGGTGACGGCAAGCTCGTACAGCGTCGGGAACAGAGGGCAGGGCAGAGCAGGAATAGGCAGCGCACGGCTGAGGGACGACTCTTTGTCGCTCAATGGACGCTCCTGCGGCTGCGCAGGCAACAACGAGCAGGGAGGCGAAGAAAGTTAGCGACGGGCTAGAGATGGCGTTGCCGATGGTGTTTCCGCTGTCGGCAGTGTGTACAGTACTATACAGAGATACAGAGAGCTTGCAGGGCACCTGACATGTCAGCGGGCTGTCCCAGCAGCGGAGCGGTACAGTACAGTACTAAGGCAGGCCGATGCTGGTGACTCGAGGTTGGTTGGATGGAGGTCGGTGATGCTGCATTGGCGAGGCGAGAGAGCCCTGGAGGAGGGACTTGGGGCCAGCTCGCGTGCAAGGTATTTCTGGGCGGCCGTCGGCGGGCGGGGTACCTTGGACGGAGCTCCGTCTGTGTACCCGTTATCCGTATCCCAGGCCCGGTCGCAGCGAGGTGCCGTCTCTGATCCGATCTTGCCCCCCCCATGCTGACGGGAAGCAACTCACTCACTACGGAGTACAGGATAGTGCCTGCCTGTCCTTCAAGGTCCCCACCAGCCTCTGCAGCGCACCCGCACCTGCTGCCTGTTCGATCGGGCGCCCGGGCAGTAGGCAGTAGGCAGTAGGCAGTAGGCACTGGCACGAGAAAGAAGGGCCTTTGTCCCTGAACAATGAATTTGCCTCCTTCTCGTTGCTGATTCACACCGAGTGACTGCGACATCCACCGCTCGTCTTACTCGCTGCAAAAATGGGCGGAAAGTTTTCCGTGTCAACAAACAAGGGTTGTGCATGTCCATGCACGTGCGCCAGACCAACTCCCGAGAGGGCCCTTCCCCCCTGTCTCAACTTTCTTTTCACCCCCCTGTTTCTTTTCCCGTTTGCACAGTAAGAGGCTGCGGCTGCAGGTCCGTTCAGGTTTGCTGTCGTGGAGCCTCTGCCACGGGCCTGTCTCACAAACACCGCCGCCTCTTTGTCTCCGGAAGCAGATGCCAGTTCGGCCTCTAGCCCGCTGCGGCGTAGCCTGGCCCGACATGGCTGAGCACACTGTTTCTCCATCAGACCACTTGCTACAGTCATCCACGGCCGACTACTGTAAGCCCGTCACTCGTGTCTCTCGATTGACTCATCATGGCAAGTTGGTGCACGGCGTCGTATCGTCTTCATTTCCCGGCCAACGCCAGACTCTTGCTCTGCATCTCAGCCAACATGGCCCCCGACTTGACCCGGACGGGCAGCAGCTTCACGGCCATGCCCACTGACTGGCCGTTCAGCATCCCCCCGGTCTAACGTCTCACAGCAGCACGCGCCGCGGCATCGGTAGCAAATCATCATGGCCTGATCGTCACCCAGCTTGCAGCGCGTCGATAGCGCGCAATCGGCTCGGCACCAGGGCAGAGAGCAGGTCGCGGCGAGGTTTACAGTATTCGTGCGCGGCCTTAGTTCAGTTGCAGTAATTACAAGTAAGTAAGTTATAGGCTGCTGCCTGCTCGATAGCTCCGGCTCAGTCACCGCCCCCCTCCCTTCTCTTCTCCTCCTCCCCATGCCTCTTCTTCCCCTCGCCACGGCAATGGAACGTCATATAATTACCCCTGCCCATCTTCTCCTCACATCCCAATGCCAGCCAATGCTTCGTGCAGATGAAACTCCTGACCCAACATTCCTCTTCGTCCCGCTGCCATAGCCATGTGCCCGGGCGGAGAGGGGGAGGCGACGGGACGGCCAATCGTCGCCTCGCGCGAAGCAGGACGCCTTCCCCGGTCGTCCATGACAAACGCCGGCAGGAAGGTCGCAATGGCGGTCAAGCACACTCGTCTCCGATTCGCCGGCCCGCCCAACGCTCAACCTCCTGCCTCGGCTTGGCCCCATCAGGGTCCGCGGCCCTGCCCTTTCTCCATCGAGCCACGCCAACGCGGGCGAGGAAAAAGAAAGACAAAGGGCGGATGCCGGTTCTCGGGCCCGAGGAAAGGAAGCCACCGAGTTGCCACGAGGAACATGGCAGACGTTGCCGTGGATGTTCCATCATTGGCCTCGGCTGACGCACTCCCACTGCGTCGCCCGCATCATCGCCTATATCTCATGAGTCTTACTATTTGCACAGATATATTTCTCTATTTGCACAGAATTTCTTAAAATCCTCTCTTTTAATTAGTGGCTTAACCCGCTAAGTAATTAGTACTCCACCTCGTGTATTTTTTAAGTCCCTCAAAAGTCGCGATCTTGCACGTCGCACTCACCTCGCGCGGGGGATAGACCCCCACAGTAGGGCCCCTCCCCAAGGGGGACCCCTCCCCTACTGGCTCGGGTGCTCGGGTGCGCTTGTTCGTAATCGAGGCCTTCTTAGTAGGTACCTAGGTAAGGCAGCTAGGGGAAGTATAGGCAGTACCTTAAAGTGACTTTAAGGTACTTTAAGTTTAGGTGCTCCATATAACTCTGTGTAAATAGAGGATTTTGTCTGTGCAAATAGTAAGACTCTATGATATATATCGCGGCCCTATAGATCCAGGAGCAGGATTCTTCGCGGCCGGCTAGCTTTGCTGAGAATGTAGGTAGTGCTCCCTCTGTCCCATCTGGTCGGTAGCGCCTACAGCCAGGAGCTGCATACCTTGATGCCATGTGCCATCGGACCTGGTTTGTCGACTCTCGGACACATGGATTAGCCTTTGGCTAAGGCGGGTGAGATTTAACTTCTACATTGGGCTTCGTCAACTCTCTTTGGGACCAGCAGCACCCGTTGATCCGCTCGGAATGCACCGCCCCGGTCGGGCTGTCGTTGCAGTCACCGGACAGCCCGGTTGAGGAGTGTGAAACTTGTCAGGGTGTGCGCCGCCGGCGCCGGCTCCGGCCCGAGGTTTGCGAGACAGTCTTGTGCAGCGCTGCGAAGCAACTCATGGCTGCTTGATTTATAGATTCTGCTGTATGCATTATAAATCCTGATTCGCAGAGACCAGGGCAATGACGAATACAACGAGCCATGACTTTGTCGTGTCGGAGCGCAACGGCATCGCCGAGAACCGCCACGAGATCCACGCCGCCGTCGTCGACTCGACCGGCCGCCTCCTCTTATCCCTCGGGAACCCCTCGCGCCTCACCCTCATCCGCTCCGCCGCCAAGCCGCTGCAGGCCCTGGCCGTGGCCGAGTCGGGCGCGCTGGAGCGCTACGGCTTCGACGAGGCCGACCTGGCGCTCGTGTGCGCGTCCCACAGCAGCGAGGACCGCCACGTTGCCCGCGCCAGGGCCATGCTCGGCAAGGCGCGCAACGCCGAGGAGAGCCTGAGGTGCGGCGGGCACCCGTCCATCATGCCGGGCATCCATCGCGACTGGATCAGGAGGGACGTGGTGCCGACGGCCGTGTGGAGCAACTGCTCGGGCAAGCATGCCGGCGTGCTGGCGGCGGCAAAGGCCATTGGCGCCGACGTGGCCGACTATCACCTCCTCGGGCATCCGGTGCAGGCTCGCATCGCGGACGTTGTGGGCGACCTCTCGGGCCTGCAGTCGCAGGAAATCCAATGAGGGGTCGACGGCTGTAACATGGCGGCGCCGGCCCTGCCTCTCGATCGCCTGGGATACAGCTACTCGCTCTTTGCTCAAGCAGCCGCCGACGGCGAGGAGCAGCGAGAGGACAATAGCACTCCCTCTTCACGGACACGGGCCATGGCTCGCATCTTCAACGCCATGACCCAGTATCCCGAGATGGTGGCCGGCGACGACCGCTTCTGCACGGTTCTGATGAAGGCCTTCCAGGGTCGTCTAATCGGCAAGGTCGGCGCCGACGGCGTCTACGCAGTCGGCCTCCGCAAGTCGGAGCAGACGAGGCAGCTGGGGGCCACGGGTGCGCTCGGCATCTCCGTCAAGATCGAGGACGGCAACCTGGACGTCCTGTACGCCGCCGTGGCCGAGATCCTGGAGCAGCTGGGCGTAGCGACGCCCGAGGTGTCGAGTGCGCTCATCGGCTTTCGGCAGGGCAAGATTGTCAACACGGCGGGCGTTGTCACGGGCGGGCTCGCGTTTCCGTTTAGACTGCGAGCGGCGTGAATTGGGCCAGATGTGGGCGAATGCTGGCCAGGGCATGGGCGCGCTTGCATCGGCCTGACAGTCTAGCGAGCACTAATCTTTCTACGGCGGCGAGCCGGGACGGTTAGAATGCCGCGGCGAGGATGCATGCCCAACGTATCGGCTTTTACCAACACCGTTGGTGTATAATTAAGTGGCAATTCGTGTTCAGAGGTTGACCCCCTGACAAACGGGGCTTTTGAATCAGACATGGCTGGCCAAGACACAAGTTTGAAACCGAACAGACTGGTACTTTTCTAGAGACTGCTATCCCCAGCAGCAGCAACACGCTCACCGAAACGCGCCCTTGTTCTTCCCCAGAAACTCCTTCCACGTGGTGGGCGCCAAGCCAACCCCGGCCAGCAGACGCCGACTCTCGTCGAGGCTCTCGCCCGCGTAGTAGCCCGGGTCCTCGATGAACAGGTGGTTCTCCAGCATCTCCTGGGCCATGGGGGCCGGGAGGAAGCTCTTGTACGTGTCGGCGTCGACCTGCAGGAAGCGCGCCTGCTTGCCCGTCACCTCCTCGAACTCGGCGACGATGCGTGCCGGGGTGTAGTAGTCGGCGGCGGCGAGGACTTGCTTGCCGAGCAGGGTGGAGCGGTTCTTGATGGCGGCGACGACGAATTTGCCTTTGGACAGCTGGTCAGCGAGAGGAGACTTGTCGAGTGCGAGGCTGGCATGGCCGAGGGCCCGTATCTTAGGGACGAGATGGATCGTCACTTGCCGATATCAGCCTCTGCGTCGACGAGCGGAAACTGCGCCTCCCCGCCCACCGGGTACGCGAGCGAGTAGACGCCGTCGTCGCCCCTCGCCAGCATCTGCAGCGCGGTGAAGTTGGTCATGAAGTAGCCCGGCAGGACAAAGGTGCAGGGCAGGCCGCGGGCGCGGATGTAGCGCTCGACGTCGGCCTTGCCGTCAAAGTGCGCCACGTGGGCGAGGCGGCCGGCCGTGGCGTCGCTGACGTGCAGCAGGGACGAGTAGACGATGTGGGAGACGCCGGCGTCGTGGGCGGCGTCGGCGACGGCGCGCCCGTGGGCCAGCTCCTGGCTCTGGCCCGAGGCGAAGTCGGGCGTGGTGACGAGGAAGACGGTGTGGGAGCCGCTGAGGGCCTGGGCCAGCGAGGGCTTGGAGTCGAGGTCGGCCTTTTTTTACCACGATCTGGTGTCAGTCGTTGAATCTGTGCTCTCAGTGATTGGAGGGGTTCTTGTGGCATTGAGGGAAGCGAAGCTGGACCGGGACCGGGGCAAACGGACGGCCACGACGTCGACGCCCTTGGCGGCCAGGGCCTGGGCCGCGGGCTTGGACACGTCACGGGTGATGGCGCGGATCTTGAAGTCGCGCGACAGGGCGGCGTCGGCGAGCACGGCGTTGATGACGGAGCCGCCCTGGTTTCCCGTGGCGCCGAAGACGGTCAAGAGCTTGGACATGGTGGGCGGGTGGTTTTACTTGAGGCTGGCGGGCTGGTGGATGGCTGTGCTGAGGTGTAGGTGATGATGTTCGGTCAAGTGTCCACGAGCGTTGGCTTTTCTTACGAGCTGTCGAGTTTGATCTGCTGGCTCGGAGGATATGTATGCCGTCATGGACACTACAGCCAGGAATCCTAGCACGCGGGCCTCTCGGGTGAACAGCGTCTTGCTAGGAGATTGAGACTCTCAGCTACCGGACGGGACCTAGGCTGCGTCCCATCCAGGCTCTGTGTAATTACACGGCATGTTCGGCAACGCTCGGGCTCCGGGCCTTGTCGGCCAGCGAGCGGCCCGGCGTTTCCGGCCCCGGCGCCAGCGCAGTAGGCTCTGCTCTACACTCAATTACCCGTCGATGACGAACGACCGGGTCAATTGCTTCGTTCCTCGTTCCTTTGGCGGCGGGTATTGGGTTTCAGTATTTTGCCACGGCTCGCACCATCCTAGTTCACCGTCTCCGGCCTGGGACCCGGAGAGCAGTCGTCCAACTGGTCGAGACGCTGGGCTCAACACAGCCTCAAGTGGACTTTGCTACAGTGCATGTAGTCACCAGGCGACGTTTTCCATTCACCTAGGTGTTTGATACCGAGGTAGACTGTAGTCCATGGTTACAACAACCGGGCAGGAGCATTATAGTGTCGCAAGCCAGCTCCAGATTGTCTTTAAAGGGGACCACCAGCTCACCCTCTTGTCAGGTAGTTGACGAGAAGGGCTAACGCATCCAGAGCCGGCTTGATTTAACTTCAGGATCTGCCCTGTCTGTCAGTGTTGTGGCCTTGCCTGCCTCCAGGTCTACGATTATTGAGGCAGGGGCACGTTTTCACGGCCAGCTGGATGCGATTCGATGACTTTGAGAGCTTCACTCACGGGGTCGTTGAGATATGGACTCCCGGGCTTCGTGTCAAGGCTGCTGCCGGAGCCGCGCGGATGCTGAATTCGTTGCCTGCCACTTGCGTTTTCTTGGAAAGCTCATGGCATTGATGACAGAAACGGCGGGAAATTTCGAAGCAAGCCCAAGACTCCAGTCGAGGCGGCGCCCCAGCTGCTCGAGCCTCTCCAGGCTTGGCTTCCCCACAGCTCTCGGCGCTACGGGAAGACGGTGCCAAGAATGGCGTCCCCTACCCAGGCCGGGGAATTGAAACTCACCCGCGTTCAGTGGTCGAGCCTCTTGGGGACGAGCCAAGTCAGTGTAGGCGGCCAAGAGGCACGCAGCAGACAGCAGGAGCAATCTCAGCACCTGTCCGCGGGGCAATACCAACACACGGACGCTTCGCCTCGCCTCGCCGGATCCTGGGAGGGCCCGAGTGAAACACCCTGGCTTGCCTTGCCGTAAGAGGGAACTGTCCGCGAAGCATCATGTCGGGATCCCGCGGGAAGCTGCACAAGCTCATTCCCAAAGGTGGAAGGTGTCGGAGCGGGCTCGTGGGCGACTTTGGCAGCTTTGTCGTCCCATGTGCGTCGCGGCGACCTCCCCCGGACCTCGTTTACAGGTCGCTGGTCCCGGAGGAGAGCGTCGAGGGGGCAAGGGCGTCGAATCGCGGATGGGCCGATGGTCATGCCCAAGGAGAATGTTGCCGCGGGCCGGCTCCTGAGGCAAGTGTGCCCGTCGACAACCCGACTGGGCCATGTACGATGTAATCATGGCAGAGGAGAATGCGGGGGATCCCTTGCGCGCGAGTCACGGGCGTGGCTCCGCGGTCCAGGGTGGATGGGTGCGGCGGGGTGGGGAGTCCGTATGATGGATAAGCCGCCGTCGACCAGCCTCAGGTCGTTGATGCGCCGAAACCTCAGGTTGACGTGATTCTCCGTCACCCGGACGCCCGTTGAACTCGGCTCGACTCGACGGTGGTGACGGCTCATTGTCTAGGTGGATTTTTGCTTCGCCTGCCTGTTTCCTGTGGGCCAGGGATTGACCGCGAAATGCCCTATTCGACGCCATGATGGGGATCAAGGTGAGAAGAAATAATAGTGAAAAAAGGCCAAAACTACCAGGGAGCTGAAGCAACGGGGTTCCTTGTTCCCCAGCAAAGCAGGTGTGGAGTGCCGTCTTCAGCGGGCGGGCGGAGCAGCGATCGGCAAACTTTGGCTCCCTTGACAGGCATCGGTTGGAGGCAAGTCGGTCGCCTGTAACCATGCTCGGCGAGTGGTGTAGAATATCGACGTGATACATGATCTGCCGACGTCGCGGGAGACCAAGGGGGACTTCAAACAGTGGCGGGATCCGGCTGGAGGCAGAATCTCCCTATCCGGAAATGGGCGCCGGCTTCCGGGTGGTCCTCGGCCCGACAAATTCCCCGAAAGGGAAACCTCGAGCGGAGGGGCGTCGACGTCGACAGACTCGGAATGGCAACCTTCGCCGCGGCCCTCCTCGACCGACACGGGGACCGTCCCACCGCATCGCTGGCGGCCCGCTCGCAACCAGGGCTGGGGGCCGCCGCTCGATCCCTCTCGCAAGAGCGTGGCCGACGTTTGCTCGCAAAGGGCGGTTTCACGAATCCATACCGCTGAGCTGCTGGGCGGCGACGGCGAGTCAAAAAACAAACATGTGGAGAGGAGAGCAAGGCCAAAGAGCCCGTGGCTGCGGGTCTGGGGGAGCTGGATGCTGGGGAATCTACCAGTCGGCACGTCTATATAAGTATCTCGACCACCACTCTTGCGTCCTCTCCTCCTCTGGGTTCTCCTCTGGGTTCTCCTCTTCCTCCTTGTTTGTGAGAGTCATTTGCCGTTCCCTGCCTTTGCCTCGACCTTGACCCGAGTTACCCCCAGAGCATCTCCTTTCCCATCACCAACCAGCTCCTCTTCGTCCGTCGCCTGCTGGCCATCTACTCCCACATCAACCTCCCTTCTTCCAACTCAGCCCCCCCACCCCTCCCCGGCACACACGTCGAACATGGCCCCCGCGGCAGTCGTCGACGACTACCGGCCCGCCGGCCAGGAGCTCGACCACGTCTCCGACGCCATCGACGACGTCAACTGCATCAAGTACGACGACGAGTCGCGCTTCGACGCCACAAAGGACAAGGCCCAGTTCCGGCAGTACGAGGAGGCCTGCGACCGCGTAAAGGCCTTTTACAAGCTGCAGCACGAGAAGCAGACGGTCGCCTACAACCTGGCCGCCCGCAGCCGCTTCCACAGCGCCGCCCGCCCCCGCCCCCGCATGACCATCTGGGAGGCCATTGAGAAGCTCAACACGCTCGTCGACGAGTCGGACCCGGACACGTCCCTCTCGCAGATCGAGCACCTGCTCCAGTCGGCAGAGGCCATCCGCCGCGACGGCAAACCCCGCTGGATGCAGGTCACCGGCCTCATCCACGACCTCGGCAAGCTCATGCTCTTCTTCCCCGAGCTCGAGACCCAGGGCCAGTGGGACGTCGTCGGCGACACCTTCCCCGTCGGCTGCGCCTTTGACCGCCGCATCATCCTGCCCGACACCTTTGCCCTCAACCCGGACTCCAGGAACGCCGCCTACAGCTCCAAGTTTGGCATCTACACCCCCGGCTGCGGCCTCGACAACGTCATGCTCAGCTGGGGCCACGACGAGTACCTGTACCACGTTGTCCGCGACCAGTCCACCCTGCCCGATGAGGCCCTCGCCATGATCCGCTATCACTCCTTTTACCCCTGGCACCGCGAGGGCGCCTACCGCGAGCTCATGTCGCCTAAGGATCATGACATGCTCAAGGCCGTCCAGGCCTTCAACCCCTACGACCTCTACAGCAAGAGCGACGACGTGCCCTCGGTCGAGCAGCTCAAGCCCTATTACCTCGAGCTCATTGACGAGTTTTTCCCTCAAAAGGTCATCAAGTGGTAGCCACGGCCGCCATCGTTTGTCTTTTCCTCTTCTGCCCTTGCCGCTGGGATCATCGCGCCCACCCGTCTTCTCTCCTGGCGTTTGTATCAAGTGTGCGCGGCCCAAGCAGAAAGGGGAGATATATATATATATCGAGCGAGCATGATGAAATTTGGCATTCAAACGGCTACCCTTGTTTTTGCGAATTTCTTTTTACCGACCCCCCGTTTTCTTCTCTTCTTTTCAGGTCGCCTCTCGGATCATGATGTCTTTATTTTTGTTGAGACGACGGACGGATTGCACGGGCTTGATGGGTTCCTTGCCTTTCTGGGGAGATGTCTAAGACATGTACAGACGAGTCTGCAATGCAACCTGGGACCAGCCTTCTCCCCACGCTCAGTATCCGCGCGAAGCTTTGGCTCGTAGTATCTTGCCTAGCGCATGTGACGAATCGTCGGCGGCTCCGTGCCCCGACGACAGGGGAGCTTGCGATTCCACGTCTTGGCCGCCTTACTGGGCCTCTTTGCTGGAAATGCTTAGGCGCATCAACATGCCAGGCCACACACTGCCGTCTTTGCGGTCGAAGCCGAATGCTTGGATTGCCTTGAACCCGTGCTTTTCATAGTATCTGTTTGCGTACACGGTCAGCCTCGAGACAGTTCCATGGAGCAAGGAAGAGCGGATGGCCAGACGCACGGCACCAGCTTGCCCGTGCCACCCGTCCAGCAGGTAAGGTAGACGGCCGTCGTTCCCCGGTCCCGCGCATACTCCTTGGCCTTGTCGAGCAGAGCACAGCCTGCCCCTCGCCGCGCCGCGCCGGCGCGATAGTCGGTGACAACGACGTCGACGAAGACGAAGCCGCCCGCGCCTCGAGCGGCGTCCACATGCGGCTTCAGATCCCCGCCGTCCAGGTCAATGAACCGGGCAAACTCGTTGTCGCGAATGGTCATGGCGCCGACGGACAGCATCGTCTTGCCTTGTTTTCGGTCCGTCGTGCGCGACAGGCCGTCGTTGTCGCTGTCGCTGTCGCTTTTGCTGTCTCGGCCGCCGGCTGCTGCATCGTCAACCTGGGCGATAAAGACGCGGATGCGCTCTCCCTGGCCCGTCTGGGAGAAGTTGACGGACTGCTCGATGTCGTGGCGGGTGGACTCGAGGAAGCCGCTGCTACTGGAGAAGAGTTGGGTGCCCCATTGACCGCCGTTGCCGGTCGAGTCGAGGTAGGCAATGGACGAATCGAAGGCGGCGACGATGAAGTCGGCATCATCTGGTGACGTGCCGTCGCGGACTTGGAAAGGCGTCGAGGTCATGGCTGATGGATGCGCGTCAACGCTGGTGGAGGGAACAAGCGCAGAGGATACAGAGTAGCTGAGCTGTCAAACACGGCACCGATGTAGGATCTGTCGGTTGAGATGGCAGCAGTCATTTTGCATTAGATGACGGCGGAGACGGCGTCTCTATTTGCAAGTCGTGAAGATGATGGATAGTCAGGCACGAGCGTCGTCGGTTCACCGCGAACTCGGGCCATTAGGCGTAGGCGAACCGCATAAGCGGACAAGCTGATGATGAGGTGAATGACGACTCGGCATCCATGCATTTCATTCGCAATGTCTGAGACTCGACAGCATGCCAGCGGCGGGCAAGCGAGGATTGAGTTGTAGATACTGTAGGCACCTAGGTAGGTAAGGTAGGTAGCTTGTAAGAGTACAGAGTACGAGCACTGTGCCATTATGCGTAGTGCGGTGGACGGATCTCACGTGATATTACGTTGCGCGGCGCATCCCAGCTCCCCTCGACCAGAGTCGCACTGGCAGGGGTTCGTCAGTGGGCAGGAAGCTGCTCCTGGCTCTGCAACTCAACCCGACGCCGACTTTTGCCCCCCTCAACGCAGATAGGCAGACCCGTCGTCGCCAACGACCTGGCCTTACGTCCTGCCGCGAAAGCCCGCTCGCGTGCCCTTCGAGGCCTCCATCGACACACCAAGCCGCCCGCTCTTCCTCCCGCCGCGGTCAATGTCGGCGTAACTGACCGACTGCCTCGAGCGCCCGCCCTCTTCGACCGCCGCAACGCAGAGCTCCGATGACAATGGCAACCCCGGCGCTTCCCGAGGACCAGGCTCGCCTGCTCGAGGACGCCCTGGTGGCTGTGCGGCAGCAGACGTCGCTCATGCGAAAATGTCTCGATACCCCGGGCAAGCTCATGGACGCCCTCAAATGCTGGTCTGTGCCCTCTTGATCCCCGGCCCAGCCGCCTCCTCTGCTGACCATGGCAGCTCGACCCTCGTCTCCGAACTTCGGACCAGCAGTCTCGGGCCTAAGCAGTACTACGAGCTCTACATGGCCGTCTTCGATGCCCTGCGCTACCTCTCGGTCCACCTCCGCGAAAACCACCCCGTCAACCACCTCGCCGACCTCTACGAGCTCGTCCAGTACGCCGGCAACATCATCCCGCGCATGTACCTCATGATCACCGTCGGCACCGCCTACATGTCCATCGACGACGCCCCCGTCAAGGAGCTCATGAAGGACATGATGGACATGAGTCGCGGCGTCCAGCACCCCATCCGCGGCCTCTTCCTCCGATACTACCTCTCCGGCCAGGCTCGAGATTATCTGCCCACCACCGACAGCGAGGGCCCCGAGGGCAACCTGGGCGACTCCATCAACTTTATCCTCACAAACTTTGTCGAGATGAACAAGCTGTGGGTGCGCCTGCAGCACCAGGGCCACTCGCGGGAACGCGAGCAGAGGATCCGCGAACGAAAAGAGCTGCAGCTCCTCGTCGGAAGCAACATTGTGCGCCTGAGCCAGCTGGTCGATCTCGAGACGTACAAGTCGAGCATCCTCGGGCCCCTGCTCGAGCAGGTGGTGCAATGCCGAGATGTCCTGGCCCAGGAGTACCTCCTCGAGGTAATCACTCAGGTCTTCCCCGACGAGTTCCACCTGCACACCCTCGACCAGTTTCTTGCCGCCGTGTCCCGCCTGAACCCTCACGTCAACGTCAAGGCCATCGTCATTGGTCTCATGGACCGCCTCTCCGAGTACGCCGATCGCGAAGGCGCAAAGGACAAGGGGCCGGACCAAGCCAAGGTCGAGGCTGACGCCCTGGCCAACCTGCTTCAAAAGGTCAGGCTCCAAAAGGAGACGCCGCAGCCTCCTGCGTCGGACCTCGGTCCCAAACCGGCAGACCTCGCGGGGGATGCCAATGGCGAGGGCCAAGAGGGCGAGGCAGCACCGACGCCGGGCAACAACTCCGATACGCTTGCCGAAGGGTCCGTCGCCGAAACAGACAGCACCGCGGTCAACGGTCAGGACAAAAACGGCAGCAACGTGCAGCTTTACGAAATCTTCTTTGGTCAGGTCAAGAACCTGGTTGAGGCCCAGCATCTCCCCATACAGGACACGATTGCCCTGCTAGTTTCGCTCTGCAACCTGGCGCTCAACAACTACCCTGATCGCCTCGACTACGTCGATCAGATCTTTGCCTACGCCACCAGCAAGACCAAGGAGAATATCAACAACGCCGACCTGCACTCGCCCGCGGCCCAACAGAGCCTCCTGGCGCTCCTCCAAGCTCCGCTGAGTCGATACGTCTCCATCTTCACCGCCTTGTCCCTCCCAACCTACGTGCCCCTGTTCCAGTGCCAGTCCTACCCAACTCGGCGCGCCGTGGCCGGCGGGATTGCGCGAACGCTCTTGAAGGACCAAACCAAGATTTCCAAGACCGACCAGCTGGAGAACATTCTCGACATCATGTCGGTGCTCGTCAAGGAAGGCTCGCAGGCATCTCAGGGGTACCCCGGGGCGCCACAGCGGCGGGCCGTGGAGACAGACGAGATTGTGGAAGAGCAGGGATGGCTGGCGAGGATGGTGCATCTGCTGCAAGCCGAGGACAACGACACGCAGTTCAAGCTGTTGCAGATGACGTGCAAGGCATACGCAGAGGGCAACGACCGGGTCCGCACGACGACGCCGCCCGTGATGACGGCGTGCCTGAAGCTCGCGAGGCGGTTCAAGGCGCGGGAGCATTACGACGACAACTGGGAGTCCCAAAGCAACGCCCTCTTCAAGTTTATGCACTCGGCCCTGAGCACTCTGTACACGCGCGTCAACGGCCCGGGCGCCGCCGAGCTTGCGCTGCGGCTGTTCTGCAGCGCCGGGCAAGCGGCAGACATGACTGGCTTCGAGGAGGTTGCCTACGAGTTTTACGCGCAGGCCTTTACCGTCTACGAGGAGGCCGTGTCCGACTCCAAGGCGCAGTTCCAGGCCGTGTGCGTCATCGCGTCGTCGCTGCACCAGACTCGCAACTTTGGCAAGGAAAACTACGACACGCTCATCACAAAGTGCGCTCAGCACGGCAGCAAGCTATTGCGGAAGCCGGACCAGTGCCGCGCCGTGTACCTGGCAAGCCATCTGTGGTGGGCCACCCCGATGACGGGGCAGACGGAAGAGGTCGAGGTAGGTTGATGCCCTTTGTGTGCGAAGACGTCTGGCCGACTGGCGCTAACGACTGCGGCGCAGCTCTATCGCGACGGCAAGCGAGTGCTGGAGTGCCTGCAGCGGGCGCTGCGGGTGGCCGACTCGTGCATGGAGACGGCGGCTTCGATTGAGCTCTTTGTCGAGATCCTGGACCGATACGTGTACTACTTTGACCAGCAAAACGAATCGGTACGCATGGACGTCGACATTTGCTCGGTAGGCTGTTGGCTGACGCTCGCACTACAGGTTACCACAAAGTATCTCAACGGCCTGATCGAGCTGATACATTCGAATCTGGCCGGGAACCAGCAGGAGTCGAGCTCGATTGAGACGAGCAAGAAGCACTTTCACCAGACGCTGGAGAACATCCGGAGTAGGCAGTTTGAGGGCGTGGTGCTGTATCCGAGCTGAGTGAGTCAGACAGACTGGGAAAGACGAGAGGGGGAAGGGCAAGGGTCTCCTGGGAAGAGGCGGGACGGGGTCAGTGAGGCGAGTCGAGCGATGTAAGTGCACTATCCAGTGTCTCTCCTCCGGATGCCTGTCTACGCTGGCCTTGAGCCGTGTATCGAAAGTATATTGCAAGTATAGCGCCTCGTGGGTGCTTTCTCTTGGGCTGGACTGCGACTTGAAGATGCTGGGGTTCCGGGGGCATTGACTGCTCAAGCCGAGGACGGTTTATTCTGCGTTGACAGGGTCGAATGGGAAACGATGAGGCACTACCGAGCGAGTCTTTCTGGAGCCGTGGCTGTAACGCTCGCTGACGGCTGTGAAAGCTTGTCCGCCGAATTGTACCTGGTAATCTCGGAAGGAGGCCCGGGTCCCTGTTGGCAGGGGCCGAGTCTATCCAAGGCAGTCTTCTTTCCTTGGCACGCATGCCTTTTCATGGTGACACTGACGAGAGAAAATTTGCCCAACTTTACCACTGATACCCCCGACGAGGGCCTCCTATCATCCCATCCGGCTCCTTAGATGATTAATGCCGCCACTTTCGCGGAGTATGGTCAAAATAGTGCCCCCGGGAATGCTTCATAACATCGGGGTTCAGCCCGGGGCGAGTTTATGGTGCCGGACGTATGACGGCCCCATTAAGACGTCGGCTGAGGAGGGAGATCGTAGCGATGGCTTAGTGACGCTGGCTGGGCTCTACACACCCTCACTGCTCTTTGCACAGCCTCGGCGATGGTCAGTGGGTTGACGCTCGTATGTCACTGAAGGGAACGTGTGGCATGTAACCTGCCCAAGGCCCTACTTGGCTCTAGTGCGCATGTTCTGCGACGCCTTATCTGAATCACAATGTGACGACGGGTGAATGGCATGCTTCCCCGGCCTTCCACATCTAATCCACGCCCCGAAGCCCAAACCACGTCCTCAGCTGTTCCATCCTGCTTTCCAGCGCCAAAACATCTTCAGATGGTGACCCATCGGCGTTGCGCCGAAATGCTAACCGCAGAATTGCGCCAATCTGGGCCGCAGCTTCAGCTAGACGCCGTATCCTGCCCCGACGTTCCCCTCCTTCGGTCCCAGTGACAACCCAAAACTCCTCCCAAAAGGTTTCTTGTAGCAGCTGCGTACATCTATAGTCATACCAGCCATCTTTGGTCATGAAGCCTGTGATTAAGAAGAGGATGTCTAATTCCATTCCGAACGGCATAGCCGCCGCTGGAGACCAATTGACGATGCCTGTGGTTCCGAACTCGTTCTCATCGACCAGAATGTTCGTTAGCGAGAAGTCGCCATGCGTGAGGACTTGTGGGTAATCTTGACTGAAGAGCAAGGGAAGGCTCTCATTGAGCCTGGCTAGCGTTGTGGGTGGCAAGATGGGAGACGGTGGTGCTTCCGCAAGCCGCGCGAGCCTTCTACGGACTCCTTGTTGCCGCTCTGTTCTGGTTTGACGGTCGAGCCAGCGAGGGCCAGACCAACATCGTCCAAAGTACCTTGAGGATATTAGCATAATGGCCTCTGACTGTTCTAACTTCTCGGTTTATATAAGAGTTTACCGAGCCAAGTGCTTGACAAAGACTCCATGCCTGGCTTCTTCCTCGGGATCCATTTCCACCTGAAAGGCCAGGACTTCAATGCAAGAGGAGCCTTGCAGATAGGGCATCAAGTAGATGGATAGCGGCGGATCCGCTCCCTCCACGTTGCCGAGACAGGTCGACTCCGGCACCACAAGGTCGCCATGGATTCCCTTGGCCAGCTCGACCATCTGCCCGTCGAGCCTGGCTCCCGGCTCTCTAAAGGATACAATGAGATCTTCTTGTGGCCCAGGGCGCTCGTTGCAGATGACGGTGTGGCTCATGGAGCCGGGGCTGATGACCGGCCTGACCGTTGACGCGCCAGAAACGGCTCGTGCAATTTCGTCGCATTGCATCTGTGATGGCGATTGGTGACCGCTGAAGAAGCGGTTGATCGCCTGTAGGGCCCAAGAAGACTGAGCCATGATGTATCGAAAGTGCACTTTTTTTTATTGGATCGTGTCGACAGTGAAGATCGGACCGTGACAAGCCGTTCGCTATGTGTCAGATGGCGGTTAAGCCACCAGCAAAAGTGTACACTCACACTTAGTTTGGAGCAATAGTGTCGAACCTGCATCATCCTAGCGGGCGGAGACGATGGAGAGGCATCCCCTCCGCCGGGCACGATACTTCTGACGCCGATGAGCATCACGATACCATGGCAGAAGAAACGGCTGTGGCAACAAGACAACGTCTCTCAGACTGGCTTGAACAACAAGCACGGCTGGTTTGATGGAGAAAGATATGTTGATTGGGGGGAAACAACCGGTACTTGATAATATCTGCGCAATACAGAGGTGATGTACGGATAAGTGCCCTGTGGCTTATTGAGGGTGCCTTGGAGGCAAGAAAATTGATGGCCTAGGGAGTTGCTTCTTTCCCACAAGTGCGGATCCGCGGTCGGATTGTAGCCCCTCCCGGTAGAGCCAATCACGAAGACGGATTGTTATAAGTGATTCGGGTCGTGACGGTTTACGCATGGTTCGAGCCTACCGGCAGACGGCAAGGGGGCCAGCTGTTGGTTCCCGTCATGTCGAGGCTTTTGGCAGGCCCGTAAATTGCAACCTGCGGACAGTTGGCGGGCGTCAATGATGCCGAAGGGACGCAGCCTCCTATGACGTGGCACAGCCAATTCAGATTGTCAGCTCAGAATGGTCATGAGGGGACTCTTTGCCGATGGGTTTTCTAACCGAGCCATAAGAGGGCAAGAAGGGCTGATTATAGGGCATGTAGACGTTATTGATCTAATAGCTACGAAATGTCTATTAGCAGGAAGCTGATAGGCCAGATAGGAATATGGCGGGAGAGTGTAACGCAAAGGGGATTGCAATTGATCTGAACGAATGGTTCTACTGGACCACCTCTATGACCTTGACGGCATTCATCTACTTTATGGTTACCAATCCGATACAACTTGCTCGAGTTACTGATGAGATTCGCTTGAAGTTTAAGTCTGAGGGTGAAATCTGTTTATCGAGGGCCGAGGAGCTGCAGTATTTGGATGCATGGAAGCACTGAGGGTCTTTCCCGCCATGGCAGGAGGGGCCCCTCGAGTGGTAGCAAAGGGAGGGAGACTGATTGCGGGAAACTACATCCCCGAAGATGTGAGTCTTTTGCGTATCTTAATCCAGCCTTGGATCGAACTTGGAGCTTATCTAGCGCGTAGACTATTGCTTCTGTCAATGGATATGCTGCTACCCACCTATGCAAGCATGTCCAGGAGCCGTTCGAGTTCCATCCCGAGAGAGCGGTGGGGGGAAGTGAAGTTGTCACACGATGGAGAAGATTAAGGGGTATAAAGCAAGAATTTTGCCGGAATTCTTGGACAGCTGATTGGTGGCAATTATAGAAGAGGACAGGGTTGATTGAGAGATAAGATCCAGGCCCCCCGTAGGCAAGAACTGAGTCATGTCAGGCGGCAAATACATGAATGATTGAATGGTTTAATTGCGCCCGGAGGAACTAAACCCTATAGGTAATGGGCCTCTGCGTTAAGCTGCCAGGCGTTCTGTGCGCGCGTACAGATTACGGATATTAACTATCCTCCCCCTGTGCCTAAGCCGTATTAGATAAGGGACGCAATTATGCCGTTACAATTACATGTATCCTCTAACTCGGCTGCCACACCTGCTCATACGCCTGTAGGTTCCCAACGCCCCGTCTTCGTCTTGGCGAGCCTTCTGCCTGGCCTACATGTGCTGCGTTCTTTGGTTGTAATAGCAAGAGTGATGTAAAGACCTAGAGACTAAAGGCAGGTTGGCCGGCCTCGTCAGTGTGATGCCTCGAGGGCGCTCGTGATGCCCTCGTCGTGCCCAGCCCGCGGGTGCCGGCCGCGGCTCGAACTCCTCAGAGGCGCAAGGCAGGCGCATCATGCTGCTCGCTGCAGACTCAGACCGCTTGAAGGTTCGTGGCTGCTGGTGTGTATGCGGCTGTACGGGGGTTTATAGCATCGTGATGCCTGCTTGTGGTGTTGATGGCAGCTGTGGTGTTGACCCGACATGTACTGTATGCCCGGCACGGTGCCTTGAGATGCGGGTTGTTATATGTGGCGACGGTCGGTACATATACATATGCATACACATTGCGGCTAAAATGATGTACTGTACGTCCATAGCTATAGCTACGCCTAATCCGGCTTAGACACAGGGAGGATAATTGTCAGAAACTTTGGTCCCGACAGTACTTGGTACTTAGTATGTTGTTACAGAACCTCGGCGTTTGGTCAGTACGTACCTAGGTACCTACAGTAAAAGATGGGATATGTAGTGTACCTCCTTACTCGAGCAAGATACAAGGGCAGTACCTGACCCTCTCTGCGTCCTCGGCGCCGCTCGTCAAGTAGCTTGCAGAGGGACTCAAAGTCGACGCGTACATCCAAAAACTCCGCCACAGCCGCGGGGCCTTGCAGCAGCATGGGCATCGCCAAACTCCACTGAGACTTGCCCCCCTGCATTCGCTCTCTCTCTTCCATCGCCTCTACGTACGTGGCCGAGCGTCAACCTTGACCACCACAACCACCGCACACCCTTTGCTCCTTGCGCGTCGTCTCCAATTCAACATCCAACCCGTCTGCCTGTCGGACTACTATGTGACGCTGATGCCGATGCAGAGGGCTCTCATTTCGGCAACGCCTTGGCTACACCATTCGCTCCTTTCAATTCCTAGCGCTCCTTTACACCTTTGACTCTCTCTCCATCTCTCTCTCTTTCTCTCTCCTCCTCCATCCTCATCGAATTCTACGCCCTTGAACGCATACTTGGCATCACGACTCGACTCGCCTGCGGCCACAGCCTCCGTCATTGGCCTGCATGGCCGCTGGCCATCTTGCCCCATCTCAAGCATAATCGTCAATCATGCCTTCGGAGAAGCAGCCCTTCTACGACCCCGTCCCGCCCACCTACGATGAGGCCCTCGCCAGCAGCAGCCGGCGCGACGCCGCCTGGCCACCCCCGCGGTCGTCGGCCGACGAGCCCGAGTCGCAATCCCTGCTGCCACACGCAGAGTCCTCGGCCGCCTCCTCCAGACGACCCACCGGCTACCGCCCCCCCATGGTAGAGACGGACGACGAGGACAGCTTGTTTGGAAGCGATAGCGATGTCGACGACGACGACGACCAAGAGGCCGCCCACGTGCGGCGCGAGATGCAGGAAATGGACATTGAGGAGCCGTCGCGGTCGCGCGGCTCGACTTGGAGCAAGAGAATAGGTTTCCGACTCTCCCTGCCGCGGTGGAAGTGGTCGTGGCGACCCAGACTTCCCCAGCTACGCATCCAGCTGCCGTCGCACCCAGCCGCCTCCGAGGGCGCCAACGACGCCAACGCCCGAGACAACGACGCCGCCCAGACCAGACGATGGGAGATGCCCAAGCTGGACAACCTCACCCTCATCCTCGCATTCGCCCGCCTCGTCGCCCTCATCGTCGTCCTGGGCTTCCTCTACTTTCTCTTCGCCAGTGGCATCTTTGGCGGCCTGTCGTCACGCCTCGGCGTCGGTCTGCGCTTCGACCCCGAGGACCTCCGCCAGCACGTCCAGCGAAGCGTCGAGGCCATGCGCATGCGCGCCTCGGTCCAGCACTTTTCCCACTACGCACACATTGCCGGCACCGAGGGCGACTACGCGACGGCCATGGACGTGGAGAACATGTTCAGCAGGGCTGGCCTCGACAAGGTCGAGGTGGACGAGTACTACGTCTACGTCAATTATCCGCGAAAGGACGGCCGGACCGTACAAATCATGGATAAGGGCGGCGAAAAGGCCATTTGGACGGCCAAGCTGGAAGAGGACGAAGTTGGTGGTGAAACAGCAGGGCGACAGACGTATGCCTTTCACGGACACTCCAAGTCGGGGGACGTCAAGGGGCCCCTGATATACGCAAATTACGGCTCGCGCGACGACTTCAAGAAACTAAAGGAAAAGGGCATCGACACCAAGGGCGCCATCGCGCTGGTCCGCTACTACGGCACCGAGACGGACCGCTCTCTCAAGGTCAAGGCGGCCGAGCTCGCGGGCTTCGCGGGCTGCCTCATCTACAGCGACCCGGCCGACGACGGCTTCCTCAAGGGCGACGTGGCGCCCCACGGGCGCTTTATGCCCGCCGACGGGGTTCAGCGCGGCGCCGTCAGCATGATGAGCTGGGTCGTGGGCGACGTGCTGACGCCGGGGTGGGAGAGCAAAAAGGACCTGCCGCGGATGAAGGTCAACGAGACGGCCGGCCTCGTCAAGATCCCGAGCCTCCCGCTGGCGTGGCGCGACGCCCAGGTCCTGCTGCAGCACCTGCACGGGCACGGCCAGCAGGTGCCCGACGGGTGGAAGGGCGGCGTGCCCGACGTGGGCGAGTGGTGGACGGGCAACCTGACGTCGCCCGTCGTGCGGCTGCAGAACGAGCAGGACGAGATAGAGCAGCAGCCCATCTGGAACGTCTACGGCAAGATTGTCGGCATGGAGCAGACGGCGCGATCCGTTATCCTGGGCAACCACCGCGACGCGTGGGCCTTTGGCGCCGTCGACCCGCACACGGGCACGGCCATTATGATTGAGCTGGCGCGCATCTTTGGCGGCCTGGTGCAGCGAGGCTGGCGGCCGCTGAGAACGATTGAGTTCATGTCTTGGGACGCCGAGGAGTACAACCTGGTCGGGTCGACCGAGTTTGTCGAGAACAACCTGGACAGGCTGCGCGACAGCGCGTACGCCTACATCAACCTCGACACCGTCATCGGCGGCACACAGCTGCACGCGGCGGGCTCGCCGGCACTCGAGAGGGCGCTGCTGCGGGCGCTGGACCGGGTGGTGGACCCCAACGCCAACACGACGCTGCGGCAGCTGTGGAAGCCGCCCGGGGGGCGGATGAAGAGCCTCGGGGCAGGCAGCGACTACGTGGCATTCCAGGACATTTCGGGGACGAGCTCGCTGGACCTCGAGTTCCGGGGGGGGCTGTTCCCGATGCACTCGAGCTACGACAACTTCGACCTGGTCGACAGCATCCTGGACCCGGGCTTCGTCTACCACACGCTCATGGGCCAGGTGGTGGGGCTGCTGCTGCTGGACCTGGCGGACCGGGCGGTGCTGCCGTTCAGCATGGTGGCATACGCCGACGCGCTCAAGGCGTGGGTGCGCGACCTGGACGGGTGGGTCAAGGGCCAGGCCGGAGCCAACAAGGACGAAGCGTCGACGGTGTCACTCAAGGAACTGGACGACGCGGTGGACCTCGTCAAGAGCAACGCGGCCGAGTTTGAGAGGTGGGAGCTCGAGTGGGACCGGCTGGTGCTGTCGAGCGGCGGGTGGGAGGCCAACGACCTGGGGCGGCGGCGGATGCAGTACAATGACAAGATGGCAGCGTTTGAGACGGCGCTGCTGGACCTGGAGCTGGGGGGCGGCGTAAGTTGATCCCTTGGGCTTGGCTTCAAGGCCGCGAGCTGACGGTGTGCACAGATACCCAACCGCACGCAGTTCAAGCACGTCGTGTACGGCCCGCAGCTGTGGTCGGGCTACGACGAGGCCGTCTTCCCGGCCATCCGCGACACGGTCGAGGCGGGCGACTGGGCGCTGGCGCGGCGCACCACGGCCAAGACGGCGGCCATTCTGCGGCAGGCGGCGACGGTGCTGCAGATGGATCCGAAGTGAAGGGGCACACGGTTTTTTGGGCTATACTTTTCTGGCAAGCGCCGTCTTTTTCTTGTCTTGTCGTTTTGTCTCGTGGGCGGGTATATAGTGCGGGACCCGTGCTCTTGTACATCAAAGGGCATTCATTGCATGGAGTTGGGACTTTTTGTTTTGTTTTGAGGCTGCACGGGATGATAATCGGGACCTCTTCCTTTCCCGTCTTGGGCGGGTGGACGGACAGCCTGGTTGATGAGCAGCTCTGCACTGCAATAAAAAAATTCTTCCTTACTTTATGAAGACAGGTGTTTGGATGGTGACGGGGAATGAAAAATGCTGAATCCTCCGAGTCCATGTCCCCGATATGTCACTACATGGTGCGTAATTCATGACTGCGTCGGCCCGCATCTCTCGCATCGCCAGAAGAGACCCGGCTAGCTAGTTGCCCTGGTCGGAGAGGCCCGCGCCCTTTGCGGCCGTCGTTTGGTTGGCGTAGTCGGCGGCCGAGACGAGGCGGCCGACAACGTGGTACTTTTCCGAGAAGCGCTCCTGCCACCCGCGCAGGGCCTCGAGCTCGTCGTCGCGCAGGCCGTCGAGCTTGTCGAGCGGGCCGTCGAGGTCCTCGGTGAGCATGTCCTCGTCGAAGCTGCCGCAGGCGAGGCCGCGGGAGGCGTCGCGGCCGGCAAAGTTTGCGTAGGGCCCGCCGGGGCCGTAGAAGTTGCGGCCGCTGGAGACGTCGAAGACGTCGCCGCGGACGGCGAGGTAGACGAGGCCGGCGGGGCCGTTGCCGTCGAAGGGGAGCAGGGTGCGCGGCGTGTAGGTCCTGAAGACGGTGGGGGGCGGCGAGGGGGCGAGCAGGAAGGACGAGGACGAGGAGGGGCGGAAGAGGGTGTAGACGGTGTAGGCGAGCAGGGAGGCGAGGATGAGGTTGAGGGGCGTGGCGAGGGCGGCGCTGGGATGAGGCGCCGTCAGCGTTCGGTTCCACGGTTTGTGCTGTCGAGCATGGCGGGACCTACCTGGCTGTTTCTCGGGCGGCCTCTTGGGCCATGCGGTGCTCGACGTAGTCCATGGTTGGGGAGACGCGGGCTGGCGATGATGCCCCGATTAGGGCGACTGCGTAGCGTGTGTGTGTGTGTGTGTGTGTGTGCGGGATTGTAGGTGGTGATGGTGGTGATGGCGGTGGCGGAGGAGGATGGAGCTGGCTGCTGGACGCCGAGGAGCCGTCGTCTGATTCGGCAGCTCACGGGACCGAGGTAAGAGATACGCGCAACGCGGAGGTGTAGGGTAGGCGCCCGGCTCGGGGGTGTTTTCTACATGGCTTAGGGGGGAGCACGACGGTCACGAAGAATTGAATTGTTGAAACTTGACGTTGGATTCTTTTCTTTCTTCTCTTCCTTTCTTTCTGGGGACGGCCATGGATCAAGTCTATTGTGGTTGTTTGTATGTACATGCGGTTTCATGGTCAAGGCAAATAAAACAAATACCAACTGCAAACCCCGTCCGAGGTATCTCGTCATTTTCCTCCTCAACGACCAACCAGCACCACACTCTCCCGCCCACCCCGCCGCGCCTCCCACTCGTGCTCGAGCACCGACAAGAAGACGAGGTCGTGCCAGGCGCCGTCGCTGCGGATGCGCTGGCGCTGGCGGCCCTCGTCGACGAAGCCCAGGGCGCGGTACACGCCCAGGGCGCGCGCGTTGAACGCGGCCGTGCACAGGCCGACGCGGTGCAGCCCGGCGTGGCCGAAGGCCCAGTCGAGCGCCCACGCAATGGCCTCGCTGCCGTAGCCGCGGCGCTGGCGGTGCGCCGCGAGGCTGATGGCCAGGTCGCACGAGCGGTGGTGCGGCTGCGCCAGGGGCCGCGTGGGCGCCAGGCAGAGGAAGCCGATCATCTCGCCGCCGCCGGGCGTCGTCTTCGGGGCGGCGGCCGCGTCGGGCAGGCAGATGGCGACGCTCAGCGTGCATGTGCCCAGCCGCTTGACGAAGTCGTCGCTGTCCTTGGCCGTCTGCGGCTTCAACAGGTCGCCCGACGAGAGCACGGCCACGGCCGGGTCGTTGAGGACGTGTCGCAGGATAAAGGCCTGGTCGTCGCCGTCGATGGCCCGGTACTCGAGCCGGCTGGACCGCCACACGTTGCGCATCCGGGCCGCCAGCGAGTCCCCGTCCGCCGTCTGCGGCTGCGGTGCGGTGCCGTTCATGCTGCGATGGATGTGGGCGGTGGCAGGGCGCGAGATGAATCAGACGATATACAGGCTGAGTCCGGTTTTACTCGCTGCGTGTGGCTTCGACACGACACCGACATGTCCAGGCTTATATGCCCCCCGCGTCGAGCTTCGTCGTCGCTGACACCGGCCGGGTGACTCATGCCGGTGTGTGTTGAGCGACCGACGCCGACGATGCCGCTGCTGCCTTGGTTGTGTGCCGCGTCATCAGCGGATTGCGCGAGGGACTTTTTCTTGTCTACAGCTTGCATACGTAGGCATGCTGACAGGCCTGCCATTCTGCGCTCCGAGCTTGACACTCTTGAGCATCTGTCCACGTCAGCCATGGCGATATCAACAAAGCCGTCGCTCGGCCGGACCCTCGACAGAGACACAGCCTGGATGGCGAGATTGACGCAACCGCCCGGTGGATCCAGTCAAGAAGATTCCTCGAGATTGTCGGTGCCTTTCGTTTGGCGGCTGCCAGCTTGCTGTTGCAATAGAGCCTAGCAACGCCGACGTCTGCCGGCTCACCAGTGCCATTTCTGTAAGTCTTCTCATCACCGTCCAGGAAAGGTTGGCTGGGCCGAGGAACGCTCGCAGGAACACAGGGGGCACCCGAGGGAGTTTGTACGGGCTCGTGGGTCTTGTTGACGAGCAGGACTACATGGCGCTGGAAGATGAGGAGGCAAAGATCAAGGACAAGCTGCCACAGTATCAAGAAGGGGCCATGTTGTCGGGGAGCTGAGCTAGAACCGTCTAAGTAGACATGAGACAAAGCCGTATAACTTGCTTTGTTCACCGTACAAGGCCCGGAGACCCCCGACACTCCTTTCTTGACTGGTATATGCATTTACTAGCTTCTACATACCTCTCTTGTGCATATTCCCAACTTCCTACTATGCCGTCGCCCCATTCGCCCGGCCGTGGAGACGCCATGCATGCATATAGGGCTGAGGGGCTCCTTTGAAGCAACGACTGCGCCTTATAAGTCGTCGGTAGGACCTCGCAAACGATGCTCCATTCCGATGGCCCGGGCAGTTTTCCAAGCCACAGCCAATGCGCGTTTGTTGACTGAAACTTGCTTCGATTCACATGAACACCAGTCCTTGGCCATCTGTTAACAGCCAGACGTTGCGCCGATCCCCTGTCGATCCTCTCCGTCAGCACGGCCTGTCTTACCGAGGCCCAAGGCGTCAAGGTCGAGGCAGTCCGCCTCGGCTTCCCAATAAGCCTCGCGTACCTGAATCCGGGCGAGAAGCACCGGCATAAGGTGGCGTGGTTAGAAGCTGACCTGCGACGGGCCGAATCGATGTTACTCTCCGCCACCCTTGCTTCAAGACAGCGGCCTGGACATGCTGCTTGCCTGGGCCGGCGCACTGGTTGCCAGAACAGGCTCCGGCGCCGGGACATGGTGAGGACACACATATGAAGCCTGCCGTTCTCGGGTGTCGTTCAACCCCACAAGCCCTCCGACAACCAAACAACTCTTTCAAGACCAAGCTCGGCCCTCTCCCCTGGTACGCACAAAGTCCGTCAACGTCCATCAACCACGGTAAGCAACGAGCAGGGAAACGCCACGAGCAGGGAAACGCCACGAGCGAGGGCAACAAGCCCCCGACGCTAACCCTACATATATCCCATTATGATGGAACAATTTTGTGCAGGGGGAAATGGTGTAGGGGTTATCACATCTGCTTTGCACACTCTCTGTAGAAGGTCCGGGGTTCAAATCCCCGTTTCTCCATTTTTGCCTCCATCTCGGATTCGACGGTGGGCGTCACCTACCCAGGTAGAATGCATTCGTCTTTCTGGAGGGTTTTATTTTCTATTTTTTTTTTAAAAAATGTCGTTGATTCAATGACCGAGTGACGATATAAATGGGGCCTGCAAGCATATATACGCCAGCATCCAGAGCCCCTCGTCAACAAGTCCATTGCAGGCAGCCCCTTTCTCGCCATCATGGTGGCCGGCCGACGTCTATTATCTTTTACCCCGGCGCCCATCCCTTTCCCCAATATCGTACACACAGACGTCTTGTCCAGCAGAGCGGCGTGGTGTCTTGCTCGTGGCATCAGTTCGTTTCACCCCCCAAGTCCGCCACGTCCAAGCAAAGAGGGCAGAGCAGCAAGTACTGTACAGGTAATTCACACCCACAAAGACACAGACACGCCAAGCTCCGCGCAAGATGCATCGCTCCCTCAGTACCAGTCCCGCCCACTCTTCTGCATCTCGATCAGGCGCCACCCTCTCGTCTCCGGGTTGTTGACGTCCTCGGGCACCCGCGTGATGCCAATCGCGTACGTCACCAGCTGCACCTTGTCCTCCATGCCCGCCGCCAGCTCGTTGGTCTTTGCGTTGCGGTACACGTGCACCTCCTGCGTTCGGCATGTGATGATGAAGACGGGCACCTCGCCCGGCTCCAGCATCCGCGCCCGCAGAATGTCCACGTTCCGGATGTCCAGGATCCGCCCGTCCGACTTCATCCCCGCCTGCAGGTACTGCTTGGTCAGCGCCTCGTACACCGAGTACTGCGCCGCCGACAGCCACAGCTTGAGCGTCTCCGTGTCTCCCTTGACGTACGCGTCCAGCACCTCGGGCAGCATGTACTCCCGCAGCTCCTGCAGGAACGGTTCCACCTGGAAGTTGGGGTCCATGGAGCGAAACTTCTTGGTCACCGTCGCCGTCTCGTTCTCGGCAAAGAAGCCCCCGATGCGGTCCGTGATGCTGCGCGCCGTCGAGATGAGCGGGTTCTCCGACTCGGCGTACTTGCCCTTCATGCTGAAGATGCCCTGCACAAGCGTGTTGGTGTCCCGAAAGTCCCGCCATGCCTCTTTCCACGCCGCGTCCTTGTGGAGCGTCAGGTTGGTGCCGGCACTGGTGCGCGTCAGTCTCCGAACTGCGTATTCGTGCCCGGGGGAGACATGAACTCACTTGGGATCTTCCTCCATGACTTGGTCGTCCTTGGCTCGCTCCGCCTCCATCAGCGCCCTCTTCTTCCTCCGCTCCTCCTTCTCGACCCACCCGCCGTACCGCGACGAGCTGCCGTCGTCGATGACGTTCTTGACGTTCTTGTAGGCCTCGGTGTCGCGGATCGGCTTGGTGGCCTTGTCCATGGCCTCTCCCGTCACGTTGGCGGCCTTGCGCACGCCCTTCATCACGGGCGTCTCCCACGTCCACGCCGCTCCCTTGCCAATGGCCCCGGCCGTCGACTTGACGGCCTTGGATGCCGTCGACGAGACGGCGCCCGTCGATCGCTCATACGCCTCGCGGGCTTTGCGCACCGACTCGCTCTCGGTGAACTGGTGGGCGGCGGCCCCAATCTGCTTGGTCGACTCGTTCCATTCCTTGGACTTTTGGAACTCAGTGTCCATCGTCTCCATAAACACCTGCCAGGGCGTCTTGTCGCCGTGTGGGGGGGGAGGGGGCATGTCCTCCTTCTTCTCCTTGCCCTCTCCCCCCTGGTCTTTTGACTTGTCGCCATCCTCGCCCTCCTTGGTGTCCTTGGCGCTCTCGCCTTTAGACTCGGCGTCCGGCCCGTCCGCCTTTGCCTGCTGCTCTGAGGTGTCTTCAGCGGGCTTTGCTTCGGCGTCTGCTGCTGGTTTCGGTTTATCCTCTTTGCGTCTCATGTCGCTCATGTGGAACTGCCGCGACTGCGCGGCCGAGGCGCGCAGCAGCCGCAGCTCGGCAGGCGAAAGCCGGTATCGCAGAGGGGTATAGATGGCGCCCATCACCGCGCCGTGCTGCTGTAGTAAGGAGCCACCATGCCGACCCGGGGGCCGCGCGAGGTGCGAGGCTAACCTGCGGTAGGCGGGAGATCTGCCGTAGGAGTAGTTGAGGTGAGGAGATAGCCTCGAGAGGGCACTTTCCGTGCTGGCCGCGCTTCGGAAAAAGGATGGCATGCTGGCGCCGAGGAGAGAGGCGGTCCACGGGGACTCGAAAGGGTCGGTGGACGGGGCGAGAGGGTGCAGGCGAAGCTCGGGGGCGGCGGCTGCGGGAGGAAATTTTGTTGCCGTCTTTTTTTCAGCCACGGCAGAGAAAGGAAGGGCAGGCGGAGAGGCGGCGAAACCACGGCAGAATACGGCAGCTTAGATGGCGCTCTGCAGTGAATAGCCTACAGCTTTAACTGGGCCGAGCAATTGATCCCTGCTTTTATTCAAGTCAAAAATAAAACCATCGGGCACCACAACGCAACCCGCAAAGCACGTCACAACGGCCGCGACGGCCATGCCATTGAGATGAGCCGCCCACTGACGCGCTGCCTCGCGGCACTACCGTCCCTTGGAGCCCCTCGAGTCGCGGCACTCGGGCGGCCCTTGCAGACGACGACGACGACGACGACGACGACGCGGCTCCTGTCCACGACGAGGCCGCGACGGCAAGACGAGACCTCCCCGGAGCCGCCCCTGCGCACGCCGCCAGCGGAAAAGCCGCTGAGGGACTTCTTCGGCGGCTCCCTGGCGACCGGCCAGGCTGCGCAGCCGCAGAACCCGACCGACGACATCTCGCAGCGCCTCGTCATGAAGGCCCTCGGCAAGACGGCCACCATCGACACGAGCCCGCTCTCGGGCGACCCGGCCAAGCTCACCATGCCCCGGGCGGCGGCCGACCTCGAGCCCCATCACCTGCACGTCTTCTCGCACCGGCACAACACCCACATCACCTTCACCAGGCCCAACCGCGAGCCCATCATGTCCCTGTCGTGCGGCAACCTCGGCTACCGCAAGTCCCGCCGCGGCACCTTTGACTCGGCCTACTCGCTGACAAAGTACGTGCTGGAGCGCCTCGTCTACACGGGCGTCCGCTTCGACCGCCTCGAGCTGGTGATGCGAGGCTTCGGGCCCGGCAGGGAGGCCGCCATTAAGGTCCTCATGAGCCCCGAGGGCAAGTTCTTTCGCGACAAGATTATCCGGGTGGCCGACTCGACGCGCGTCAAGTTTGCCGGAACGAGGAGCGAGAAACCCAGGCGTCTGTAGATGGTCAAGAACTTTCAACGGGCCGGCGCATGCGGAGTGAGGAGGGGAAAAAGGGAGAGCGAATTTTTGTACCATATTTTGTATGACCTATGCCACGCACACAGGAGGAACCCGAGAGCTTCCCATGTGCCGCAGAGCGACAAAGACGGCTTGCCCGGTCCAAAGTCAGAAAAACATCAGAATCAATGGTATCGCGAACGAAACTCCCACCCAGTAACCAAGACAACTCCAGAACGCCTCGCACGGTATCTAGCAGTTAAGCGTCGCATGAAAAGAACGCACAGACTTGAGGATGCCGAGCGGCCTGCTGGCGCTACCGTCTCGGAGCCCTCTCCGCTGCGGGAAGATGTCGGCCGTCGGTGTCTACCGCAGCGCCCTTTCCCTTGCCACTGTCCCCCTTCCGTCTCTCCTCGTCGCTGTCCCATTCTGTATCCTCGCCGGACGCGCCCTGGGCCAGCAAGTGTGGTCGGGACTGGCGCAGCATGCGGGACTGCTCGTGCGTGGGATCGTCGACTTCGTCGAGAAGCTCGCCGTCGGCCGTGTCGTATTCCGGGGGCTCTATCCAGTCGCGGGGCACCACGCAGGGAAGCGCGACGCCGATGCTGGCCGCCCGGTTGAGCCAGCCGGGTCCCGGGGTGCCCGTGAGCTTCTGACAGAGGTACGAGGTGAAGTGGTTGCAGTTTTTGGTCAGGAGGTTGTACGAGGTGCCGAGGAAGTCGTCCGAGGCGGCGCGGAGGGTGGCGTCGATTTCCTCGTGGGTGGCGAGGGTGAAGCCGTGGAGGATCTCGCATCGAAAGGTGCCGCCGGGGGGCTCCGTCTTGGGCTTGGTCCAGTAGACGCCCGTCACTCGGCGCTTGTCGTGGCCGCCGTAGGCGTATTCGCGGCCGTTGATGACGACGCCCGAGTGGAGCAGCGAAGCGCCAAACGTCCACAGGACGGAGGATATGCGACCGGGCTGGACGTAGGAGAGCGTGAGCAACGTGGTGATCTGACTCTTGTTAGTCCCGGGGCAAAGCGCGCTCACCGGAAGAAGGTCGTAGACGTGTATGGTGATTTCCGTCTTTTGCAGAGACAGCGTCGACCTGTGCCTGCTGGCAGGCGGCTCCGGGTTGTCGCGGGCGGGCATGTCGAGGCCAGGCCGAGATTGTCTCACCGTAAGGCAACAAGTCGGCGGGGGATGTTTCAAAGGCGAAGGAGAAGTGCCGTCGTCGGTGAACAAAGCCAACAATGCTGACGAAGGGTGATTGTATTCATGAGGCGATGAAGAAAGAAGCCAAATTGTATGATACAGAAAGATGCTCTCGACAGTCCGTCTCGTGCTATAACGCCGAGGACAGCGCTGGTGTGCGACGATGGATCCAGTCGTACGCGGCTCCGCCGGCGCGATGGGGGAGAGACAGAGAGGGAAGAGATGATGGGGCTTGCGGGAAGCAGCAGCAACCGTCGACAAAAGAGGACGACGGACGGGCTGCCAAGTGATGCTGTGCGGCGTGGCTGTGGGAACTGAACCTTGGCCTTGGGGGTCTGGGCTTGCGTTTCGCCTCGCAGTTCGAGAAAGGCCGAAAAGAGCCATGACGCAGCTTGGCGTACTGGCAGGTACGTACCTGCTTTGCAGGGAAAAACCGACGATCCGGCAGAGGGCAAGTACCGTGGGTTAGCGCATGACTCGCCATGCAGCTGTTTCGGTATCAGGGCCCCGAGATGTCGCAACTCGGACTGGTACCTTGAGCGCTCCGCACTGCAACGGAACCTGGCAGCACGTGACGATGGAGTCGACATTGAAGCGACTCCAGTCCCAACTCTTGACCAACACCTAATTACCTACCTACCTACCTTAGACACCAACAACACAGTGTTCGTCGCGCCTTAGATCGGGCACGACGTGAGGCACCAGACACGCTATTCACCAGATAGCACGGGCCAGGCGATACTTTACGAATTGCATTACAGCCAAAGCGCAAGGATTTTTCATAACTTGGCCAGTGTCTTGCTTGTACGTGGCAAAAGAAGGTAGAAATGTATGCTGCCACCGCACCGCCTCTTCTCGTCGGGAAAGCGATCGTTCGAACGTACTCCTGACAAGAGATACCAACCCAAAAATCTCATCGTCGTGTCTCGTGCTAAAACTTGTCGGGACGGACCATGGTTGCCGTGAGCACGCATCGACAAAGGATACGCTGCCCAGTGCTGCTAGCCATTCTTGTCTTGCAAGAGAATGGCCAAGTGCAGCAACGGCTCAGCACCTCGACCTAGTGATTCTGACGCTCCAATTGTCCGACGTGGTAGCCTACAAGTACAAATAAGTCTGCTTAGCATCAAAGGCATCCAGAAGCGTCACCATGGGTGGCCGCGCTGTTGCACTCACCTCGCCACGCACCCAGATTGGTCGGCCGATGCGATCATTCTGTGTTCCACAAGTCAGCCGCGGCGAGTCCCTGCCGTGTTGGAGAGGCAAAGCACAGATGAGGTCGAGGTTGGCTGACCTCCTGGCAATCATTGTCGATTCGCGCGGCGATGATGGCGACACGTCTACACGGGATGTGTATCGAGTTTTCGTTCTCGTTGCAGAGAAAGATGGCGGCTCCCCATTCGCAGCTGACCCGAGCGCAGCCCCCTGCCCCTGGCCGACCGCCTGGCGCAATGCAGACCTGTTTGCCTTTGCCAACCCGCATCAAGTCTTTGCATAGTCAGAATCGTGCTTTGTAAAGCAGGAATAGCAGAAGAGTATCAAGGGTCTGAGGCTCAACGCACGATGCATCCCGGAGTGGATGTACTTGCGAAACACGAGGCTTCCTGCATCGCAGTCAACCTCTTTAATCTATCCAGAGATTAGTCTCGGCTCAAAACCACGGCTTGTGACCTCGACGGCTTGACAGTTTCTCACGTTCGTATCGCGCTTCTTGAGCTCAGACTGGTCGAACAGTCCATCGTGGGAAAAGTCCGGGTTCATGATGGAGATCTTGTCGTAGATCTCCTGGACAGTTCCCGCCAATGTCATGTTGGGCTCGCCGGCCTTGACCTCGCCGTGCCAAACAAGCTCTTGCACAAGACCGGTCCCATAGCCGTTGCTGCTAAGCTGAACAGCGTCTCCGTGCAAGACCTGAGCACATTAACATGCAATCAGTCGGTGTCGCAGGCGACGTCTGGGTGGACAAAGGGCCAACCTTGGGAGAAGCTTTGCGAATCGCCGCGGCAACGTCCTGTCCGTTGATTAACACCAGTCAGTCTCTCTCTCGCCTGACGTTGGCGAAGCCAAAAAGACGTCTTACAAAAGCCAGCGTTGGGAGAGCGGCTGACAACAAGACAGGAAGAGCCTTCATGTTGGAGGCGAGGTAAAAAAATTCTTGTAAAGAGTAGACCTGAACTTCGGGAGGGTTCAAGCTCGCGAGACGTGCTTTGCTCAAGTCTTTCAGAAAAGTCCTTTTTTATGGCCTTTCTGAGCGGAGGGATGAACCTTGGTGGGCGGGTTGGGCTTGCACGTCTTATACACGCCAAGACGCTTGAGTCGACGAATGGTGTTCGAGCCATGCACTTTGTCGATACGGTTTCCATCAAGCTTGGCCTCTATGGTGGCTTATGCCGTGAACGTGGCTTTCCATACAAGCCAGTTTGCCCGTAGCACTGCAGGAGGACGTCCAGTTGGCCGAGCATCGAGACGCATGTGTCGTTGCTCGACACCGAAAGCCAATGCGAGCGCCCATCCAATCGGACATGATCTAGGGCAAAAAGGGGCGCCACGGGCCGCTTGATCCAAAGCCATTGATTGGAGTCTTTGGAACCGCCATTGCCAAATATGTACAACGATACAATGCGGCTCGAAGTTCCAGGACATTTGGATATCTATCCATAGGCCGTGGGTGACGTCCGTGTAGCGTCTTCCACGAGTTGAGGATGAGTTGTACCCTCATCCAAACACTTGGCCTCCATTTTGGCGCCGCCAAAAACAAGCCCGCTCGTCTACTGAGATACGTGGAGATACGAGTCTCTCGTCTGTGCGTCCGAATGCCCGTTGTCTCTTTTCTTATCAGAAGGTGGCCTTGTCCAACGTCAAGTGCCGCTCATGGGGCGTTCTGCTGTGCGCAAACGATCCGGGTGGCGAATTGGAACCTCTTCCCTGCGCACCAAGGCAAGCGCTTTGGTGCCGAAATATTGATGTGCTGCATCGACGTGCGTGTCGACGGATCCGAAGGTAACGTATGCCCTTGATGGCACGGGTTTGGGACAGCGGGTGTGACTCTTTGTTCAAGTCCGAACCCGCTCATGGGAGTCGTCGGTCCATCTTGGTGAGAGTTTCGGCGTCAATGGGCTCTGTCGTTTGAATCGCCCAAGCCGACCTCGTGCTCATCGACAGCCCCGCACGGCCGTGATGAAAGGGCGATGAAATGGCGGGAACCGTCATCAACTTTCAAAGTGTTCAACCCAAGGTACCTCGAGGTAGGTACTTTCTGGGCTACGTTATCTTATCTTTCGAGCTCACGCCTTTTGGGCATCGCACTTGCCCTAATATCCGTCTGCGGCTTGCTTAACAGCCTTCGGGTAAGGCTCGGCGCAGAGAGCAGCTTTGATTGGGCCACTCGAGAGAAATGCCCCAGTAATGGAGGGGACAGCAATAGCTCATTTTTCATTAGGTTGGCAAGCACACACACACACACATTTTTCCATTCCCCCTCCTCCCTCTGAGGAGGATGAGGCTCGCTGGCAAGAAATCCTCCTGTCCGCATGGCTTCAACCTCCTAGGTAGTCGTCCATTTGCCCTCTCGCGTCCTTCTCTGGCGACGGCCACTCGCACTGCGCCGACCTTTTGTCCACGCGCTCTCTTTTCCTCATCTCCTTCTCTTCCCATTTCTCCCTCCCCATCTTCCCTCCCCTCTCCCTCTCTCCCGTCCCTCCGCGTGCTTCCCCTCCTCTCTCTCTTCTCCCGCCCCCGCGCAGCAACCCGGCGTGCTTCTCCCGGACTGGCTCCGCGCCTTGTTCCCTCCCGTCTCTTCTCATATACCCCGTGTCGCCACTACGCAAAATCACGCAAAATGCCGCCCAAAAAGCCCGTCCAAGAAGAAAAAATCCCCCTCGGCAGGCCCGGGAACAGCTTGAAGAGTGGCATTGTGAGCTCCCCCCCCACGTTCCCTGCAAACACAATCCTCGGGCTAACCCCTTCGCCAGGTCGGCCTTGCAAACGTCGGCAAATCCACTCTGTTCCAGGCCATCACCAAATGCACCCTCGGCAACCCTGCTGTACGCACTGGAGCCCTCTTGCGCCTGCGCTTGGTCCCGGCCGCTCGCTGACAGTTCGCTGCAAGAACTTTCCCTACGCCACCATTGACCCCGAAGAGGCCCGCGTTATTGTCCCCGACGCCCGCTTCGACTGGCTCTGCGAAAAGTACAAGCCCAAATCCCAGGTCCCCGCCAACCTGACCGTCTATGACATTGCCGGTCTGACCCGTGGCTCTTCCACCGGTGCCGGTCTCGGCAATGCTTTCTTATCTCACATCCGCGCCGTCGACGCCATCTTCCAGGTTGTCCGATGCTTCGACGATGCCGAAATCATCCACGTCGAGGGCGATGTCAACCCTACGCGTGACCTCGACATCATCAGCGAGGAGCTGAGGCTGAAAGACATTGAGTTTGTCGAAAAGGCCCTGGAGAACCAAAAGAAGAAGACGCGCATGGGCGGCCAAAGCCTCGAGCTCAAAAAGGCAAAGCAGGAACAGGACACCATTGAGAAGATCCTGGCCTGGATCCAGGACGGCAAAGACGTCCGCAAGGGCGACTGGACCCCCAAGGAGGTGAGAATGCCATTTCCTCTTTTTTTCTTCACGCGCACGACTTTTCCTTGTGTCCGTTTGCATGATGACAAAAGGCCATTTGGCCTGAATCTAATCCCAGCTCGTCGAATGCCTCACCCAATACAACGCTAGAGTGCATTATGAGATAAAATCTTACCTGATAGCAAACACTGTCCTTCTTTTGCCTAAACACTGCCTTTCTTGCCCGCATCTCGAGCTTTCCATACTGACCCCGAGTTCAGGTCGAGGTCATCAACCCTCTGTTCCTCCTGACGGCCAAGCCCGTCGTGTATCTGGTCAACCTGTCCGAGCGGGACTTTGTCCGCAAGAAGAACAAGCACCTGCCAAAGGTCGCTGAGTGGATCAAGGAGCACTCGGCCGGTGACCCGGTGATTCCCATCTCCGTTTCGTACGAGGAGCGTCTGACGCGCTTCGAGACGGAGGAGGCCGCCCGGGAGGAGCAGAAGAGCGTGGGCGCCGAGTCGGCGCTGCCCAAGATTATCACACAGATGCGCAAGACGCTCCAGCTCGGCAGCTTCTTCACCACGGGCGCCGACGAAGTCCGCCAGTGGACCATCCGCGTCGGCACAAAGGCCCCGCAGGCCGCCGGCGTCATCCACACCGACTTTGAAAAGACGTTTATCCAGGCCATTGTCTGCAACTACGAGGCTCTCCGGGAGCTCGGGGACGAGGCCGAGGTCAAAGCCAAGGGCAAGATGATGACCAAGGGCAAGGAGTACGTGGTCGAGGACGGTGATATTCTGCTCATCAAGGCCGGCGCTGCCAAGGGCTGATGATGCATGCCTGACTGGTAGTAAATATGAGGTTAAAAAAAGAAAGAGGCTCTAGTGCCTAGCAATACAAAAAAATTGTAAAGCAAGCATCCCGGGCTTTGTTCATGGCCACGTCGCCCCTACATGAAACACGCCCATGGTCAGAAGCCGGCTGATTTATGGAAGACCACGGAGCGAGGCGATTAGGTACTGCGTGATGGCCCCTCGTCAGGCGACGGATTGCGTTACATGAGCTGTGCCATCCATCATTGTAGAGGTAGGTAGGTAGGTACTTGGGACTATCCAATTCGAATTCCCTGTCTTTGGCCCCCCGCCCTCATCCCGAGCATTTCTCGACCTGATCCCGTGAGGGTTGGCCGAGAACGTGGCCCAGGTCGCCAACCTTTATCTCGCAAACATGTCCCGAGGAAGGGACCGCCGCTTATCAAGGCCTCTTCTATCTCCCTGCTGCCCTAATTACCCGGCGCCTCCTTGGCGTGAAAACGGACCAGCCGTTTAAACCCCCTTTCCACTCCACGCACACTCAACCGTTCGGTCCCAGACCTCAATTCTCCTCTTGTCCCTTTCCACATAGGAAGTAGACACGCTTAGGGGGCGCCATAGCGGACACCCCGCTTGCCGAGCTCCTTCCTGCCAATGGGGTCCTCGGGCCAGACCCAGCCGCGGCTCCTCTTGGCCTCGCGCTTCTCGGCCAGCTGCGGCTGCGGCATCCAGCCGTCGCGCGGCCGCGCCTTGCGGCGGGTGCCCGCGGCGGGGGCGCCAATCTCGGCCCTCCAGTGGGCATGGCCCACGGAGGTGTCGTCGCTGGCGAGCTGGCAGAGGCCCCAGAGAGCGAGGCAGGCCGTCAGGGGGGTCTCGGGAGCGGCCGTGCTATAGCCATCATGCTGGTTGCAAGCGGCCAACTGGACCGAGGTGACTTCCAGGTCGCCAAAGAAGGGCGTCGAGTCGGTGCCGTAGCGGACGAGGACGAGCTCAATCTCGGTAAGGATGAAGCCGTAGCGGCAGCCGTGTTCGCGCATGGCGTAGTGCAGGGCGGCGAGCCCGCGGAGGTACTCGACGCGCTTGATGTTGCCCTCGACGCGCATACCCGTGTTGAAGCGGTCAAAGCTGCGGACGAGGCCGACAAGGCGCGCCGAGGGCTTGCCGCCAAATAAGGCAGCCGCCGTGGCCGACTCGCCGTCGGCGTTGGCCACGAAGAGCAGATCGTTGACTCCGTGGGTCGTCTTGGCCGGGACCGAGAGCTGCAGCGGGCGGCCCGACGAGATGGCCAAGGCCGCGTTGAGCTTGGGCAGGTAAAAGGAGATGTATATGGCGTGGAGAGAGGCCTCCGTCTCCGGGTGGCGCGACGACATACTTGGCTGGGGGAGCACGGGCGACGGGACGGGCGTGGTCAGCATAGCCGAGGCACCGGGCAGAGCGAGGACGGCTGAGGCGTTGAAGGAGCTCCAAGAGCGGATGCTGCGAACGTCCCACCAGAAGTGCTTAATGCTGGGATCTCGCAGGGGCAAAGAGATGTTGCGGACGAGCGAGGCGGCCGGGTTGGGACAGGTGAGGAAGTCGACAAGCGTAGTTGTCATCATCGTCGTTGGTGCGTCGTCATCGGGGTATGAGGCAAGCAAGCCAAGCGGCGATGGGGCCCGCGGGTTGTAGGAGGAAAAGGTCAAGTCTGTTCGAGTGGAAGAGGTGACGGCGCTGGCGGCACTGGGAAGCGGCATGCTCTGCATCAGACAGGACGGGGGACGATAAGCGGCAAAGTCGTAGTCGTCGAGGGCCGAGGTGTCGATGGCGCAGCCAGTCGAGGAGCGACGGGAGGACCAGACATCGGAGGGCATCATGTGTTGCGAGTCCGAGATGAGGGCAAAGGGAGCAGGGGAGCATAAGAGCGGCGCAGTCTCGGACGCTGCGCGTTGGTGTGCGGTGGAGGGAGCCGTCAAGCGGTCGGAAGACGAGGGGGGAGAAGGCGACGAGGACGGAGTCAGGCCAGCAAAGCAGTCAGGGCTCGTGTAGCTGCGGGCATGGCGGGAGGCGTTTGGGGCCCGCGAGGGAGGCTTAGAAGAGGGCGTGAGCCGAGATTTGTTGCGGACGCGGCGCAGGTTGGTGGACAAAGGGCGATGATTCTGGTCAAAGTCCTGGTCCTGGGGGCGAATCTTGGGAAGCAGGAGGGGCCCGTGATGGCGCACCGGAGGGCTGGGGCGAGGGGGTGTGGAGAGACGGGTGCAGGCAGAGTCGGGGGTGGACTCGACGGTGGAGACGGCCGAGCAGGCCGAGGAGGCGTTGGAGGAGGAGCGGACATGGCGGCGGGTGAAGCATGGGATGTCGAGGAAAGACGAGTCAAAGGAGGCGAAGAAGGCGGCATCGTCGCTGTCCATGGCCAGGGCGGGCTGGCTTGGAGGAGGAGGAGGAGGAGTACAGGGGGAAGGAAAGGTGAAGTCGAAGGCGACGCCGGCTTCCAGACTGTTGGAAGCAAGTCAGCAGGAGTTGCCACGGGTCGTGGGATAGGTGGACTCACGCAGGCATGGCTGGTTGTATTAGCGAAGAGGTGTTGTGTCTGGTTATATATGGCGGAGGCCAGCTCCAGCCAGTGAGTGGAAGCAAGGCAAAGAGAGAGTCTGTTCGGATCTGCCAAAGGTGAGGCCGGCTCGTCTAGAGGGGTATATCTTGTTGGTCCGAAGTTGGGAATGAGGTTGAAGAGTCGTTGAAGAGTCCAAGCAAGAGGAGACTTTGGGTCACAAAAGAAATGTATATACGGGCGGAGAGGCGGTCTGGTCTGTTGAAGGAGGAAGGAAGAACCGAGTAACGAGAAAAAGGCAGCAAAGAAAGAGACAGCGGGCGTCTAACGGGAAACAAGGGGGGGATGATTGGAACGGCAACGCCGGAGACGGACGACTCTTTTTATCTTTTCAGTCCATCTGCGACCACCTGCCATGGCCATCTCTCTCTCTCTCTCTCTCTCTCTCTCTCTCCATATAGGCGCGAGCGCGGCACGTTCCGGCTGCTGGCCCATCATGGACAACGACCACCGACGACGGACGCGTACGAGCCTCCAGGCAGAGCCAATAATGACCGGGCCAATCAATGACCGGGCCAATGACCGGGCCAGTGTCGAGAGACGCGCGCCCGTCCTCTGAGCGCGCGCCGGGTTGCTGCAGGCGCCGGCCGCCTGAGTGGCCAGCGTCGTCTCTGCAGGCACTGCACTGCGTATGCACATGGGCTTCTTCGTTTCTTCTTCAATCGTGTTTCAGGCTGATGAGCCTACGTCTTCTGAATTGGCTGTCGGCAGACAGCCAACGCGCGCACACCTGGACGGTTCGCTGCCCCATCGCATCGCATCGCATCGCATCGCATCGCATCGCATCGCACCGCACCGCACCGCATCGCAGAATCGTCGCGCCCCCCCTTCCGACAGACCGCGACCGCTTCCCTACTGTCCTTTATGCGCTCGCGTTAATTACTCGGTATTCGTACAAGTCAGTCGCCTGCGTATTACCTGAAAAAGGTCACGCGTGCTCAACGTCCTTCCAAGCCGCGACATTGCACCGCCCAGCCCGGCGGCTAACATCGAGCCCTGGAATTGCAACACATTGGATCTCTGCCTCCTAATAAACTTGGCTATTACTGTAAGCCGTGTTGCCCACCAGGCGCGTACCGCACCGCGTCAGCCATGCGAGCCTCATCCGCCCTCCTGCCCCTTCCATTGGCTGCCAACCCGCACGCGCCCGCGCCCCCCGTTGACGCGCCGGCGGCAGCCTCCGAGCTATGATTCGTTGAGTGTCCTGTTCACATGGATATATCGACATGCATAGCTATGTCCACGTAAATCTCGTGACAATGCACGCACTGGCAACACGCCACTCGCCCTCGTCCCTTCGACGTCGTCTTCAACGCCAAACGCCCCCCCCCCTCCCCCTCGCCATCGTCATGTGCCAAGGTAGATATAAACCATCGCTAGCCCTCCAGCGCCGTGGGAACCCCAGGCCACACAGTAGACGACACTCGTCAAACAGCCCGCGCCCCTGTCTTGCTCTCCTCGCTGGTGCAGTCGTGAGCCTCGCATCCTTCCCCCGGTAGCCGCCTCCACCAGTCGTCCGACCTTGGCGTGCCACCGCGACCGTCACGCGACCAAGATTCTCGCTCTCGCGCCTCAGCCACCTTGTCCCTGTGCTCCCGAGACGGCCCCGGCCGCTGCCTGCTTGTCCGCCCCCACTCCGCCCCCTCTGACCCTCCTCAGCGCTCGCATCATCCCGTCTAGCCTCATCCGCTCCTGCACCGCCATGCCCCTCGCAAACTCCCGCATCGCGCTTCGTCCCATCTTCTCGTGCATGTCCTGCCATCCCGCCAGCTCCGCCGCCACCGTCTGCTGCGTGTGCCGCAGCTCCCGCGACGCGTACTCGGCCTCTTCGCGCGACTTGCGTGCCCGCAGCTCTTTGCCATCCTGCAGCCTTTGTCTCGTCTCGTCCAAAAGACCAAGCGGCCATCGCGATGACCGCCCCGCCGCGTTCTCGTTCCTGTCCGCCTCTCTCTTCGCCGCCCAGATCCTGTTGATCAGCGTCGCCGGTCGTGACAGCGACATTAGGAGAGCCTGCACCGTCGACTGCATTGCCAACAGCGCGGTATGCAACACCGTCTGCGGGCTCGACTGAGTCGGTGCCATGGCCCTGACGTACGCCTCGAGCGCAACAACGTGCGACGTGGGAAGAAACTCAACCGCCGCCACCTGCCTGTGAAGGAGAACCAGGGAATCGTGCAAATCTGGCAAATCAGTCAAAGTCAGCATCTGCAGTAAAGGGACGACGGGCCGAGACTTACCGGATGACGCGAGCTCGACGCCGTTGGCCCTCCTCGTAACGCTCTTGGTCGAATAGCCCACGCTCCTCACCATGTCTTTGGCATGGTTCGCAAACTGCTCCACCTCCCTCACGTCCTCGACCGGCTCGTACTCCTCCTTGATCTTCTCCGTCCGGGTTTCCACCTTGAGCCTCGTCCGCTGCTCCATCGCGTCCAGCTGCAGTTCCGGCACCAGGAAAAATTCCCACAGCATCTCGTGCGTCGACAGCGTCGGGTGGTTCAGCATTATTCTCAAGAACCAGTCTGCCCTGGCCTGGATGTGCCGCAAGAGCGCCCGTGACGGCTTCGTCGGGAGCTGGAACGGCGACCGCGTGTCCGCCATGGGTGGTATCCACGACGCCGGGTGCTCCTGCGCCAGGAGATGGGCCAGCCGCTCAAACTCGGCCAGTGACCGCCGGCTCGTCGTCACCGTGTAGCTGTCGTGGTCCGTCGGCGCCGCCGACTTGAGCACGAGCCGCACGCTCCCGTCCTCGACGAAATACGCCCGCACAACACCCGTGATGCGTCCGTCCCGCCCGGCCGGCATGCTAAATAGCCCCAGGTCGTCAATCTTGTTCCGCACGTCGTCGTCTTTGGCCAGCTCCACCGCCGTGAGGCCTCGCAGCTCTCTCGCCGCCACGTCCACGCGCGGGTCCGCAAAGAGACACCTCACCATGTCGTACCGCCCGTACTTGCTCGCCACCATGAGCGCCGTGAACCGCTTGTCGTTGGTCGCGTTCACTTCCACGTCGCAGGAATGCAGGATCCTCATGGCCAGTCTCGCGTCGTTGATGATGTGCAGCAGAGTGTTCCCTTTGCCGTCGACGTGGTCGTCGACGTGCAGCGGCTGCCCGTCACCCTGTGCCTCTTGCGCGACTCTCAGGCCAGTCTCGACCATGTTGTGGTAGTCGGCGTGGTCGTAGGATCGGCACAGCGCAAACAGTGGCGTCTGGCCATTCTTATCTCGCTGGCGCCATGGTATGAAGCGGCCGATCCGGCTGATCAGGTACGGTGCGTGGAAGAGATAGTGGCCGACGCTGCGGCCCCAAATGTCCTGCTCAAACAAGTAATGGGTAAGTTGTTCGCACGTGGCCAGCGAGACGACGTGATCTAGGATCACGTCTATCAGCTGTGTATGGCCCAGTTGGATGGCTGCGCTGAGAAGCGTCGTGTCCTCGTTATTCATGTCTTGCAAAATCACGTCCAGCGGATAATAGCCGGAGAGGGCCAGCAGATATCTGAGAGAGGCTGGCCGCTCGTTCTGGACCGCCATCATGAGCACTGATTCGCCAAACGGGTCGCTCGTCTGAGCCAGCCTCTCCACCGATATGTCCCCCTCGAGCGCGCTCCCAATGGTGCCAATGCTCGCCGTGCGGGAGTGAAAGGAGAATTCAGATTCGCTCGACAGGCTCCTCGTGTCCATGGCGACCCTCTTGATCCTCTTTGCTGGAAGGAGATCTGCCCCGTAATCGCCCTTGGCCTGAAAAGGAAATACGTGGCTCAGGCCAGAGCCGTGCGAGAATCGGTCTGCAGCCGTCGCGGGTAGTGAGGTCATTCTGGGCGAGCCATTCGTCAACGTCCACATGTTGGACGAGGAGTGCTGGTCTGCTCCGAATTTCACCCGCATCCCGCCGTCGTCCATGTCCCCTCCGTCCTTGTCGTCATCGTCGGCATCCTCAATGGCGCAGGTGCTTGGTTCCATAATATTTCTCAAGTCATCCAGGTTTCCCTTCTTGGTCGCCTCCCACAGCGCCCTGTTTCGTCTGCTGGCCTTGCGCAAGCCGGCCGAGTCCATGACCAGATATGCCAGCACGGCTTCAAAAGTGCTCAAGGCATAACCCATCTCCCCGCTCTCCACGTCGTCGACGAAAATGAAGTTTCTGACGTAGGTGATCCTTGCTTGGAGGTTGCGGACCTGCGACCGGATGACGACGTACAGCAAAAGCGAAACGAGGGTGTCGGCGTTGACCGTCATGATGGTCTTCTCCGACGTCGGCTCCTCGCCGTTGCCCTGCGTCTTGGAAATGCGAGTCAGGTGTGAGACCGTCTTGGTGGTCGACAGCAGCGTGTCCATCATCTCGCCCGGGCTGCGGGCGCAGGCGATCTTCTTGAACTCCTCTGTGACGGGCCCAAGCTGGATGAGGAGGTCGTGCTTGGCCCGCGAGCCGCCGTCGATGGCGATACCTAGCTGCGAAATGTCGATAAATTCCATCTGCCTGATCTTGGACTCGAGTTCCAGGTCTTCAGGGCGTTTCAGGAGGCTGAGCTTTGGAAAGAGCAAATGGTGAACATTCTCGGTGACGTAGCGCTCAATCAGCTTCTCGACAAGCGGACCAGTCAGGTCGGTGGTGGCGCCCAGCAGGGACAGCTGTTGCTTGTCGACGCCTTGAAAGAGGTCTATGGCCGCTGTGACGGCCGTCTCAAGCGCCGCCCTCATGACATCCTCGTCGTCTTCGGCATAAAAGTTCTCCGTCACGGGCAGACTGGCGCGAGACTCGTTGCCGTTGGTCAAGCCGAGGCTGCTGGAACGGGCCCTGTTTGTCGCGGTTGCTATCGGGCCCTTGGGTTGCGGATCGGGTATATCTGGGGCGGACGGTGGAGGCGGAAGAGGCTTCTCGAAGACGGCCGTGAACTCGAGAAAGAGCCTGTCGAGGCCGACCTGCATCTGCCGAGCAATCATGGGGAAGTGGTTGAGAAGATCGTGGAAGCTCCGAATATCCTTTTTGCGAGGCATGACGCTTTCCGACGACTCGGCGCCCAGTTCCCCGCCTTGCTCTGCCGCTCTGATCTCCCTGATGCCGTGGATGAGGAGTGCCGGGGCGATCTTGACCTCGTCCCAGGTGCCGACGAGGGGCCTCGAGATGAAGTATAGCAGCCATTGTCTGGGTTCGAAAACGTCGGGGTACCAGGTGGCGTCGTTGAGGATCTGGGCCTGGGTAGTGATCTTGAAGCCTGCAAAGGGATTGTTAGCATATTGAAGCGTTGGGCCCGGGCAGGTGGCGGTCACCCTTGCTGCTGTAGACGAAGGAATCCTTGATAACGACGCTGCGGCCGTTGAGCGTGGAGAACTGCTTGGCCTTGCCTCTCAGGTCGCGTAGATTCTGGGCGAGGGCGTCTCTGTCTTTGCCGGCGGCGGAGGCATCAGGGCTCGGGATGCGGAGGACATGGCTGGTCAGGAACTCGTCCGTGGCGACGGCCTCTGCGGCGGGCAGGCCGTTCTCGGTGTCACGGTGGGTGAGGAGGACATCCGTCAGGGGCACGAGCAGGATATGGTGCTGGACGGGGGTGCACTGGGCGACGACGGAGCTCTTGAAGAAGGCGGCCAGGAAGGGGTTTAGCGGGGGCATTCATTCGACTTGGAAGCCCAGGGAGTGTCGTGAACCTCGTCGGCCCCGTCACCACCAAGGGAGCAGCGGACGGGATGGAGGAGGCTGGCGGCGCGGATGGCTGGCAGGATTGCGAAAAGACATGTGATGACGGTCGGTGGTGGTGTGTGCGAAGGAATGGCGGAGGACAGCTATGGTATTAGTTGGTGACTGCGGCTCTCCAGTTTGCAAGGGCGAGACAAGCTTGATTGATTGAGGGGGGTTCGCGCAGGAGTATGCGGCCGGGGTTTGCAGTCGATGCAACGAGCGCTATGCCCTTTTCTCGTCTTCGGTATCGTCTTTCTCTTTGTCCCCGACTTGCTCCTTTGTTGCGTGAATGACTGGGCGGCTGATGCATGCGCAACGAGGGAGGAAGAGAAAGGAAAAGGGCCAGCTCATGCCACCACGCACAGGCATGACGACGATGGAAGCTGTGGGACTGAGGTACCTCGGCAGTACGCCACCGCAGCTGCCAGGTACGTGAGCTTACACTGTAGCTGCACGCGGGGCAAGGCGCTTGCGAGGGGCACCCGAGTCTCGCAAAGTACCTTGGAGAACCAGACGGGCAAAAGCTCGGTACTAGCACATGCGGGCCACACCAACAAGCTTTGTGGCGCGGCGGGAGCAGACGATCACATCTACAACCTACACGACCAACTGCCGTCCCAGGAAGAGCATCAGCTCTTTTGAGCCATCTTGCTTAATCTTGGCGCCGTCACGCACGGTCATCGCCCTGGGCCGGTACCAAGAGGCCCCGCCATGGCCAAGCAAGGAGCTCATCTTCAACCCTTTGCGTAAACATTACCTTGGTGGGAGAACTTGTCACTCTCGTCTTGAGTCTACGGCTTGCTAGGCTAGTCTTGGCCCAAACGCATACCCGTGACGGGTGATGCTCAGCCCAGCTCAGGGCGGCTGATGCACATTGCCACGCATATGCTAGGCGGGCATGCGCTCTACAGTACAGTACTAGGCGGCCCTGTGGGTGGGCAGCCAGCCAGGTTTGCCACGGCGCCCCCTCCCCCTCGTCGACATCGAGACGAAGCATACAGGTCGGCTCACGTGTTTGACATATCATGCTCGCGTTGGTTTTGCAGCTCACGCTCACAAAACACACTTTCCTCTCCGAGCAAGGTTGTAGCTTATCTCTCGTGTATGTAGATGGGTGGTGGGTATGGCCGCGTTGAGCCAAAACAACGCACCTGATCAGCGGCCAAGCCACAATGAGCCCGACCTCGTGCCGAGGACGAACCGTTCAAGGCCCTCTTCGTTCAATGACGAGTGTCTCTGCCAAAGTGGCAGGCTGACAGGCTCGAGCCGAGGACCCAGCAGAGCAGACCTGGGAGCCAGAAACGGGCGAGGCCTGGATGCGGCCTGGCGAAACAGGGCCACTGCTTGCCGGGCTGTATACATGTTAACTTCAAGACCATGCAAGCCATTGAAAAAAGGGGGAGGGGAAGTCGAAAGTGTGCCGGGGCGTTGCGAGATCCCCAGCCATCGCATGGCACAGATGCCGGTTCAGAGGCCCTGTCATCTCACGAGAGGGAGATGGGGCATCGAGAGCAACTTCGATTCGATTCGCGGCGAGCAAGTCTTGATGCGTCTTGCTTGGCATCCGCCGCAACCTCTACGATCGTGTCCCAAGACGGATGCACAAACGGCCGGTGTCGGGAATCAAGAGTATGCCCTCGGCTCCAACCGATTCCAAAGACCGCCATGTCAAGATCCAGCATCCAAGTCAGGCCGCACGCAACTCATGCGACGGAAAATGCAAAAAGAAGAAGAAAACTCGTCTCTCGTCTCTCGTGACTCCATGACTCCGTGACTCCGCCCCGCGGCAGACCCTACTGATCCCCCGAGGTCATGATGCTGTTCGTCACACGAATGTCCGTGTCTATATCCGATGCAAGTACAGAAAAATTGACGAGGAATATGAAGAGGAAAGAAAGTGGGTGGGAAAGGGTGGACTCAGGCTTATCACGACTTCCAGAGTTTCTTCCAAAAAGGAACTTTGGCCTGCACCAGAGACTCGTCCTCGGGAACCATCCCCTTGTTGTCCAGGTCCGTTCTCCTACCGCCGTCCAGGTCGATTTCCCAGCTGCGCTTGAACTTGTCTTGGCCTCTCCAGTAAAGCTTGCATACAACGTAGATGACTCCAAACAGCGGCAAGAGGATGTATGCGTCAACGAACTTGGCAGCGTCAAACGGCGACAAGTTCGTCCAGCCCTGAACGAGGGCCAGGAAGCCCGTGGCGGCGAGTCCAAAGTAGGCAATGAACGGGTACCACATGCTCTTGAAGGGCACCTCGTTGATGTCGCGGTTCTGCATGGTCCAAGCGCGGCGGAAGCGAATGTGGATGAAGCTGATGCTTCCCCAGACGAGAAACGTGCTCACCCCCGAGAGGTTGACGATGTAGCCGTAAGCCGTGGACGCACCAGTCGACACGTTCATCATGGCGATCGCCCCAAAGGCGTTGGTGATGAGAATGGCCCAGACGGGGACACCCATCTTGTTGGTCCAGCCAATGAATCGGGGGGCTTTGCCAGATTGCGCCATGTACAAAATGGTCCGAGAGCCGATGTAAATAGACGAGTTGATGGCCGACACGCACGTGATGAAGATGAAGGCGTTGATGAGGTGGACGCCTGTGAGGAAGGGTCAGAGACATGGAATCAGGCCGTGTTGCAGCCGTCGGTATGTTATGAGTGGAGTCGGGTGCGTGTTATGGGAGAGAGAGAGGGGGGGGTAGGGGATGAACAGGGAGGCCAACCTCCTTGCCATCCAGCGTTCTGGATGGCGATGGTCATGGGGCTCTGGAGTGCTTTTGCTCCCCCATTGACCAGCCCCTCGGCGTCGGCCGGGCATGTGATGCCGAAGAACAGAGCCGAGCCCATGTAGACGAAGATGATTCGCCAGAAGACCTGGCGAATGGCCTGGGGCACGGCGACCCCCGGGTTTCTCGTCTCGGTGGCGGCGACGGCGACGGACTCGACGCCGGCGTAGAAGGTGGAACAGAAGATGAAGACGACGGCAACGCCACGGAAGCCATTGTTGTTGAAGGCGCCCGGGTCGTGCCAGTAGCGGAAGCCGAGAGGTTGGGTCTGGCCCGCGAGGCCGCCGGCGGCGTAGACGATGGAGAAGATGAAGTATGCCGTCAGGCCGAGGATCTTGAAGAGGGCGAGCCAGAACTCGGCCTCGCCAAAGGCCTCGACGCCGAGAAGCTGGAAGCCCATGAAGACGGTCCAGAGAATGAGGAAGAAGCCCCAGAGCGGGACGCTGGGCGCCCAGTAGGTGAGGATGCTGCAGATGACGTTGTACTCGTTTGCGAGGACGGTGGCCCAGATGATGAAGTAGTTCCAGCCGACGGCGACGGAAAAGGACTTGTCGACCATGCGCTCAGCCAGCGAGACAAAGGAGCCGCCGCCGGGGAAGAGCGTCGTCACCTCGCCGAGCGACTGCATGATGGCGAAGGCGATGAGGCCTGGCAATGTTAGTTGGGAGTGCTTGACAAGGCATAAAATAACACAGAAAGAGGGAATACCAATGATGCCGAAGCCGATGAGCAGCGAGGCGGGCCCGCCGCTGTTCAAGGCGCCTCCCGCGCCGACGAGTAAGCCCGGGCCGATGATGCCGGCGAGAGCCATCATGGACAGGTGCCTGTTTTTCAGACCTCGCTTGACGCCTGAGTCGGGATCCATGAGGCTGTCGTCGCGGGCCTCCAAGCTCGGCGACTCAATGGCGCCGTAGCGGGGAGTGGCGTCGTCATTGTAGGTGTTGGCTGCTTGCGGCTCACCAGACAGCTTGTCGCCATCGCTGCTGTTCTTGCGGCGGTTGACCATGGCGGTTCTCTCTCGTCACTCGTCCGGGGGGGGGGAGAAGATGAAAAGCTGAAGCAAACAGAGGCGGTAAGGAATAGCAAAGGAAACAGTGGGGGGAGGAACGAGAGAGAGAGAGGAAAAGAGAGAGAGAGCGCGCGGATGGGGGGATATAATGAAAGCGGTGCTATGTAATTGATGTAATTGGCTCTGGCCTTGCCTGCGTCTATATAATAAAAGTGGTGAAGCGGAATCATCACAAGCTACTAATAGACGAGGCTAAGAACAGCTGGACAAGGACCCGCCCAGTCTAACGCACGAGAGTCTGTCACGTCATGCGCCCTCGAGATTACCTTAGGACAAACCAGTCTACGGGCAGTCCTTCACCTAAGATACAGCTTACAGCTTACCCACAGCACCTACAGCACCTACTGTACCTAAGATAGTCAAGCCAGCCGAGTGGGCGCCACGGGATCCGTTTTGGGCAATCCTTGGCCAAAGGGTCTATGGGAAGGTGGCAGCAGCAGAACAGCGGAGCCTCTCCTTGCTGCCACCTTGGCTTGCTGGCTGTACAAAACTCCAACCGAGCTTTTGCGTGCTCTGCGGCCTGGCTTCTCTTTCATTCGCGCTTTTCCTCAGCCCAAGGCGCGCCTGGTTTCGTCTCTGCCTGCCTCATCCCGGGCCTCTGCTAACTTGCCGCAGTCTGCCTGAGTCGTCCGAACCATGTCCGAACCGACTCTAAGCAATCCGATTCCACTTCGACGACTCTCCCTCTTTCAACCAGCGCCTACGATGTCCTCGCCAGCCACCATGCCCGCGCCGTGTCGTAACGGATGCGGCACATGAGCCAACCGCTCAAGAGCAAAGCCAACACTACTGCAATCTACGCCCTTACGTGTCGCCTACGCCCGGGACTATGGCCTTCGAGACCATGGCGAGTTAAGCGATTGGTGCTTGATTCGTGTAGACCCTAAGTGTCACCAGAGGGCCCTTTCCCCGTTAGAAAACCGCGCCGGTTCCAGCAGCGGTTGAGAATGCTACAGGCGCTCGCACTGATGGCAGAGCCCGGCGACAACGGCATCATTCAACTACAAGGTATCATGCCAGTATCCAACGTGACCAGCCCCGTCCACTTCAGTATACGCGGCATGCCCACCCACCCAGACACTGAAGATGCTCACCATCGACAGACTCGTACAGCCGCCGAAACGCTGCCGGACTCAAGTGGGCAGTCCACCCTGCGGCAGCCTTCCAGATCGGGGCAGTCGGCGAGCCCTCGGGCCCAAAGTCCCGCCAGGAACGATAGAAGGTGTATCCATGGATCCCTTGGACAGAAAAGGCTGTAGCACACTATATGCAGATGTCGTGGACCTCGGTGCCAGGAGGCCGCCGAGCGAGCGAGCCGAGTGCTTCAGGCAAGTCTTTGATGCCAGGGGCCGTGGACTAGTAATCGCACCATGATGGCCGGCGCCACCTCTGGTGTATACATATGGCCCAGGAGCAGAGACCTCTGCCCCTTCTTCCCTGGTGCCTCTCGCAGCTCCACTCCGTCAGGAGCAGAAACCCGCCGCCAACGATGCTGAGGTAGAAGGAGAAATGAACGCTTCATTTACCTGGGACACTGGCTAGGGAGCCATGAAAGAGAGCCAGCAGTCCCTCGAGATGTTCTTGGCGCCGGCGGTTTGCATCCTGGCTGGCGGCCAAACGCGCATATCTCAGCGCACGGTGAACGTGCCGATGATACGGCTTGTACGTTGGCCTGTCGCTTCCAATACCAATGGCCGTGACGGCCGGGGTGATTCTCCCGGGGCATAGTGGCACCGGCGACAACTCAGCTCCCGGGACATGGCGAAGGCAGCGATGGAGCTTTGAGTTGAGTGTATTCCCAATTGTCCTCGGCTCTATTCATGTATCATAGGCTTGCCTCGTTATTGCGAGCCCATCCATGACTTGGATATAAACAACAACAATTTCTTCGTCTGCCAGTATGGACCGCACCCTTCACCTACGCCTTCCAGACAACCAGTATCCCCAGGTGAGGGTTTGCCTCGCGCACCTCCCACTCGTGACGCGTCAAGTTATATCCCCTTGCCCACTCGTCTCCAAGCAGCATCTCGTGCCTCCACTCCAGCTTGCCCTTCATGCCCCCGAGTCTCGCCGCCTCCTCGTACACCTGCCGCTTCATGTGGCACGTCCTAAAGTCAACCCCCTCGTCATTCAGAAAGACCCGGAGCCACCAGCCGTCGCCTGATTCGAGCTCCTCGGTGTATTCGTTTCGGGGCCACATCTTGTTGAGCGGTTCTTTGCCGTGCGCCGCGGCGCGTGGACCGAGATGGTTTGTGGGATGCGGTACGACGCCCACGAAAAGGCCGTCGGAAGTGAGGTTGAGCGAGATGCTCTGGAACATGGAGACAAGCTCCGATTTACAGTGAGCGTAGTTGAGGAACCACGCCCCAACGGCCAGGTCGAAGCAACCCGGGCTTCCATCGGGAGCAAACGACTGGGGCTTGGTGCCGTCTCCCTCGACGAAGCGAGCACGTCCCGCCTGCACATGGGCCGGCACTCGTGCGGCGGCGGCGGCAAGCATGGCGGGAGAAATGTCCATTGCCGTGAGGGAGTCCACACCCCAGTCGAGAAGCCGCGAAGAGTAGAAGCCCGTGCCGCACGCAAGTTCGAGAACAGCCATGTTGGGCCGGAGCAGCGGTTCCATGGCAAGTCGGACATTGTGCACTTCCATTGCTCGGTACGGAAGGCGGTCGAGGATGTCGTACGAGGAGGCCAGAGAGTCGTACTGAGCCATCTTTGATGGGAGGCGTGTCGAGTTTCATTCGGGAATTTCCATCTGGGATGAGCCGTGGATATGTTCGTCGTGAAGGAGATGTGTCCATGAGACTGAACAGAGTAGCACGGGAGGTCTGTGGTGTAGGCGAGTATAGACACGCCTCATCCGGCACCCAGCCATGGCATCGATGCAGAGGACCCTATCTGCCTTGTTTACTCTTCTCTCTATATTTGATATATTCTCCTGCTCTGGCCGCCACGTTTCCGTGTCTGGCTGCATGTACGGCTGATTACTGTATAAAGCCGGCAGTGAACGCAGTCTGCTCTCTCCACGTATAAATCTTGACTCAACAAGCCCAGGGTTCGGGATGTCTCAGTACGATTCCATCGGCACTCGATACGACGTCATCAAGACAACAAGCTTCAACGAACTGGAACGGTTCAACTTCCAAAAGAGTGTTGGGCCCTTTCTGCAGCAAGCCGAAACCGCTGTCCTCGACCTAGCCTGCGGCACAGGCTTCTACTCCTGCCTCCTTTTGGACTGGGGAGCTGGTTCCGTGACCGGCGTCGATCTTTCAGCCCGCATGTTGGCAGGCGCAGAGGCTCGGCTGAGCCAGACTCGGCACGCCAAACGGGCACGCTTCGTCCAAGGAGATGGTCTGGCGCCCAAGACATACAGCGCAAGCCTCGACGCCTTTGAGGTGGTGACTGGCGCTTGGTTCCTCAACTACGCCCAGGACGTCAACCAGCTGACATGCATGTTCCGTACGATTTCAACCAACCTCAAGTCCGGCGGTGTCTTTGTCGGTATTTGCTTTCACCCCACGGATGATGTGACGGCCTTGGCGTCGGCTTTGCATGGCGGCGTGTGGGCCGAGACGGGCGTCTGTTACCGGTACCGGGAGGAGCTTCCCGGCGGCATAGGATACCAGGTCCAGGTCTTTGGCCTTCCCCAGCCAGGCGCTCCGCCCTCGGTCAAAGGAGTCGATTTTATGTGCTATCACCTCAAGAAATGTCTATACGAAGAGGCGGCACGGGCTGGCGACATGCAGGGCAGGCTGGAGTGGCGGAGCTGTGAGTTCCTCGGTGAGGAGTGGCGGAGAGAAGTAGGTCTAGATGGCAACGACGAGGACTGGCGGAGACTGCAGGAATGCCCGCCGCTGAGTATCCTTGTCGTGTGGAAAGACTAAGGGTACAGAGTGAAGGTCGATGGCGGTGTTGAGACAGCCTCTGCAACATCGGCGTCTGAAGGCGAGCCGGCAACGCCACGCCAACACATCGGGCATGTGGTCACATGCGGCTCGAGTCAGGCAGGTCTGCAGCTCGCTGAACCGGTGTAGGGTGCGTCGTCGGCCACGGCGACTGACGGGGTGGAGATGGAAAGGAGCTGGATGGACTGGGCTTTCTGGCGTCGAAGAGGAGGAGACGGGCGTTGATCCGCCAAGGCGTGGCAATCATCGACAGGCAGGCCAAAGGGTCCCTCTGACACTGGCTGGATGGCACTGCCCTCTCAGCTGAGCTACTTGCACCATCGCTTTCCCGCCGCCGTCGATATCTGCGGACGTGGGCGATGTCGGAGGCCTTGTGGCTGAGCACAGGGGGCCGCGTACACTTGAGAGTTGGGTGCGCACGAAAGGAGTTTGTCTTCTCTCTTCTCATGCTTGGCTAGTAGAAAGGGACCCCATTGGATATCCCATGCATTGTTTCAATGATTTACCCATGGCTTCTCATCTACGTATACATTAATACAGACTTGAGGTATAATTCGAATAGACACGTGAGCCATGATGCCGAGTAGCCCCGGGTGTCGGCTCTCGTATTTCGCCTAGGTGGGTAGCAACTGGAGATAGGAGGCCCAGCATCTCATGATGTATTTCCGGGGGCGGATACCGAACTGTTTTCTCGTATAGCCGAAGACGACGATTTGCGCCTTGACTACACCACAAGCTCCGCCTGTGATGCAATGCCCTAACTGCCGCGACTGGTAGCTATGATATCAGCTCATTCTAGAGCCACGTTGTCGAGGGCCAAGGCGAGTCATGGGGCGGACACGAGACGTCGAGATTTCCGCAGTCTCGCAGGGCCATGCCGTAAGCGAGAGCTCAGACTCGCGCTCGGCCTCTTCCATTGCTGTGTATAAAGGGGGGGAGAGTCGGCTGCCTTATCAACAACCTGCCAACAATTCATCCATCAACTCGAGAAACAATCTGCCAATATGCACCTCTCCCAGCAAACTTTCATGGCCGTGGCTGTCGCCTGGATGGCTTTGGTTGCCCCAATTTCAGGTACTGCATATCGACCCCGACTGATTGATGGGCTGCGCTGATGGATCCAAACTGCTCAGCTTGCCGGTCTTCGTATGATTGTCCCAAGGGCAAAGTCTGTGACCAGTCTAGGGGCTCTCCGACCTTCGGGAAGTGTATCTAGATCCGCCTAGGCCCATGTGGCCAACCTGGACGCCATGAATCTGGGAACTGAGAATCTGGCTGGTCTTGAGGAGAAGACGGGTGGCATGAGGGGAGATTTGGTATGACTTTTTTTTCAAATGCTCAATGTTAAGCCCGATCCTTTGATGCGAATGCAAAGACTGCTCTGTTCAAAGGAAACGGTCCACCAAATGATGCAAGTAGGTTTGTGTTAGTGCAGTTTGTTTTTCACTGCCATGTCCATGGCCATGACGAGTCGGTAGGGGGCTAGAATGGGAAGAAGATGAAATATCGTGTTACGTCCGCATCATGTCGTTCGAACGAGAGCCTCCCATTGCCGTTGTTGACGGGCGACAGGGGACGAACGCTCTTGACCATGGAAATGAAACCAGGCCCGCCTTGAAATCAGAGTCAACAAAGAGAGCCATGACCAGCAGCATCGGGTCCCTCAGCTAGTCTTCCCAAATCACACCTCGACACCCCCGAGCACTCGCTCAAAGACGTGGAAATTGCCCTCGCCCCCTGTGTCGTAGACGGCGAACCAGACCTCGTCCCACCAGCCGCCCTGGAACTCGGCCTCGCGGAAAACCTCTAGCCAGCACGTGGCAACCTCGCCGGCCGGGTTCTTGAACGCGCCGCACCCCAGCGCCCCCAGCACCAGCAGCCCGTGGTGCCGCCGCGCCGCCATCCGCAGACACAGTCTCATCTTGTCCTTGGTGAGGCTCCTCGACGCTGTGTCCGCGTACACAAGCCTCTCCGATGCCCCGTCCCGGCTCCGGCGCGTCTCTGGATTCCGCAGCGCCGCCACGCTCAGGACGCTCACCACGGGAAGGTCCTGTGGGCTCACACCCGGGACGAGCAGCCGGTGGCCGGTTGCCATGTCGCCGCGGATGACGACGACGTCGCGCGTGTAGACGCCTGTGCGCTGCTTGAAGGGGTAGTACCGACGGTGCAGCGACAGCGACAGCGAGCTGCGGTAGCAGAGGGCCTCTTCCTGCGCGCGCGCGCCCTTGAGCCAGCCGCCGCCGGGGTTCACGTGGCTGGCCATGTTCAGGACGGCGACGCGGCCAGCAGCCGACAGCTCGATAGCTGCGTTGAGCGTGTCGCTGTTTACCACTCGGATGGCCGTCGGAGTCCGCTTGGGGCACTCGGAGGCGTCGAGCGGCGCCAAGGTGTCCAATGAAAGCGCTTCAGAGTGTGCGGGCTGGAGATTTGGAAGCTGCTCGAGGATGCCTGGAAGGACAGTGCTGGTCTCTCTGGCCGTGGCGGCGAGCTCTTGGTTCCGACGCGTGTTGTCCGCATGCCGATGCGAAGACCCGGGCGTGATCCGGGTATCATTCATGATTTCTAGTCCAGTGAGCTCGCGATTGTGTTTGCTGGCGCGAGTCAGGTTGCAGTATCTTGCGACTAAAGTTGAAAATGTTGAAGTTGGATATTTGGGCATTGCGGCCAAAGGAGGGCCGAGGACCCGACAGCTATCCAAAAGATGGCCGCATTTTACGCCAATCACCCCGGCCTCGAATGGCGACAACAGAGCGTCAAATGCCTCCTACGCGTGTCTGTAGAAGCCGAAACCCGGGCATTCTCGAGTGTTGCAAGTGTAGAGGGAGGCTTTGAGAGCGTTTTACCGTCCAGTGACTCCAGTCCACTGTGAACTTATAACCGTCAGTACGTCCAGTCACGTGAGTATCGGCAGCTGCCAGGCAATCTCCATCGTCAACCGACGTACAGTACATCGCATGAGTATGCCTCTCTCGTAGGGTTCCCCCTGTCGTGCGCCAAAAAACGTCACAGCAAGTAAACTTCAAGCCTCAGAGAAAGACAAGAAAAGCACTGGGCACCTGATGGTCGGTAGGTCACTCAAAAAGGTACCCTGTCCCTGTACACCCAAGTGGTCAAGACCCTCGCTTGCCTTCCCAATTGTTCGAGTCCCGACTCCCACGGGGAGTTACGCCTCAAGTCTCCTTTTCAACTCCCTTACGGACCTTCCCGGTCCAGCAACTCCATCGCAACCAGAGCGCCTCCTGGCCCCAGCACCTCCTGGCCCCAGCACCTCCTGGGAAGCGAAAACGTCCCTGGGGAGCGAAAATGTCATCCTCTAGAGACGGATTTGATTCTGTCAGACAGAGCAGACAAGGGAATTTGCTACAATCCGCACCAGTATCGCGTCTGTTGGAGTGTTTCACTTCTGCCTGGTCAAGAGGTATTGCCAGTTTGATCGCGACTGGTCAAGCTCCTCTATCCTCACTCCCGCCCTTCAGATTCATCACGCCGCCTGGTCCTCTCCTCGCTGAGCATGGGGAAGGCGACGGGGAGCCAACGCCATATTCGCCACTGCCAGGCCCAGAGGGAACCCATAGAAGAGATATCAGAAGTCGCGAGCACGTACGACTCCCGGCACAATCTCAATGCTTGTTTCTCGATGGATGTCAGGCGATAGCGTTCCTTTCAGCAATCACCATCCACACAAACTCGAAACCATGGTGAGGCTCAGGTCGGGAGGCACCAGTAGAAATACCCGTGAGTAGACGAATCACCTGTTGACTGTTCGGTATTCCAAAACATGAGTATGCTTTATCGTTGACACCTGTGTGCTTCGCTCGATGCATGCCAAACCAAGTCGAGGGAATCCTGTCCGGCAATTGGTTCGAATCGAGATATGCATTTCCTTCCGCGGGTGAAGCCGTCCGCGATGCGTGGCAAGAGCTTGAGAGGGAGCGCCAAGGGCGAGAGGTAGAGGCAGTCGTATGTCGGCGGCCAAAACAAGGGTATATTTGAGCGTTAAAAGCACAGTGTACGTAAACGTTGGGAACCAATTCATCACCTGGGTGTCTTTGTCGTCTCATCTTGGTTCCGAGCCTCGGCGTCAAATTTCCTTGGAATCAACCCTTCAGCCATGTCAATGGCTCCCTGCATGTCGTCCTTGTTGAACAGGAAAAGCCCCTGGATCGCCGCAGTGCTGGTATGTCGATTGGAGGGCTTGCGTCCGCTGTACTCGCCAAACAGGCCCAGATCATCGAGCCGTCGCAGGAAGCGCTCCCTTCCATGCCCGTTTTCGTCCACCTCACTGTAGAAGCGATCCCACATGCGCGCTGCCTGGAATCTCGTTGCATCGCCGATCCGAAGCATCATGTCGACTCGGCCGGGCCGTATCAGCGCCGGATCTAGGCGATCGACGTGGTTGGTGGTCAAAAAGGCGATGCGCTCCTCGCCGGCGGCGACGCCGTCCAGAGCGTTGAGGAGGCCCGAGAACGTGACGCTGGCGCCGGAATAGCCGTCGGCATCACGCTGGCGGCGATTGACAAAGGCCGCATCCGCATCTTCGAGCAGCAACAAGCTTCTCTTGGGCAGTTTTGTCAGGAGGTAGGCCAGCTTGTCGTCCGTCATGCCCATTTCGCTGAGGTTGATCATGGCCACGCTGAAATCCAGCTCTCCAGCCAGCGCCTGGATGAAGGAACTCTTTCCACTTCCCGGGGGTCCAAACAGCAGATAGCCCCTTCGATACGGAATGCCCCGGTCGACGTACCATTGCTGTTTGGATAAAAAATCCTTGACGTCGCCAACGATGCTCTCCTTGACGCCCTCGTCTAAGATGACGGAGCCGAGTGGTCGCTTCTTTCTCGGGTCGCCAAGGGGTGCCCATTCCATGCCACGGGCAGAGTAGACGACTGTCTTGCCTTGGTGTGCCTTGGCAGCCAGCCGGTGCGCCTCTCCGAAGATGGCTTCAAAGGCATGGCGATGAGCCCACAGCGTGGTCAGCTGCACGATTTCGTGCGGCTCTCCCGTGTTCATGTTGGCCGTGCTGTGCTTTTCCCTGTTGACGGCAATGTAGGCGTTGCCGAACTTGACAATGTGGCGCCCATAGCCGGGCTGGAGGAAGAAGTGCGCCCTGGTCGGCCCTTGCACGCCCGACCCCCGCGAGCTCGTCGTGGTTGTGACGGAGAGATTGTGGATGCGGGTGAGTCGGGAGGCGATGAGGCCCGGCGTGTCGCGCGGCTGCGAAAGCCATGTTAGGATCCAAGGATACGCGGCATCTTGCTTGCTGATCTCGACATTGACCAGGAGGCGGCGGCGAGCAGCTCCGAGGGCGACAATGGCGCCTTTGCGGGCGAATGCGGCGGCGGCACCGAGGGAGGCGAGGCCGATGCCTCCGGCGAAAAGAGGATTGTCAAAGAGGGCGTCGAGGCTGAAGAGGGAGCTTGGAGGAGAGGGGGTCGACATTCCGAATCTCGTGGGACATTTGAGCGAGAGCTGTCGCAAGGCTTGTTTCGCCGTTTTGCCGGCCCAGACTGGGAGCCAATAGAGGCGCGGACCCCCGCGCCTTTAAAGTCGGCGCGGACGTCCGCGCCTGTTATGTAAGCCTGGCAGGCCATTTGGGCCGCCGCCAACTGCGCTCGCAGTCGGCCTCACCGATACAGCATGCTTGCTGCATACATATAGCTTCAATTAATTGCAAAGGAGGATATCCCTTAGGGTTCGAACCCATAGCCTTCCTATTTGGTAGATTGACGTGACGCAAAGGGCGCCGCTGTTGCGTGGCAAGGAGGGTGCGCGGAAGTTCACCGCCTTAAAATTGGCCAGCTACAGTGCTACACGCCGGTGCATGTCGGTGATCTCACGATCTGCCTCACATTTTCGCATCGCCGGCATCATCACCACTTATATATGTGAATAAAATGCCTGCTGTTCCTCTGAGTCTCTCTCGCAGTCAGCCCATATACCTGCAGTACCTCTTTCTCGTGAGAAAGGCTGCACCTGAATTTCCTCGGCCACCCGGGCATCTAATCGCTCTTCTTCTGCCTTATCCCAATCAAGGTATGCCATCATCTCTACCTTGGTCCATTGCCTCGAGCCGCAGCTCCTTGACATTTGCTTCCAGTCGAGGCACCAGTCATATTCAGTCTTGCTGTAGCGCAATGGCAAGCCCATTGCCTTTCGGTATGCCTGGTTGGTCTTGAGACTGCCGCGAGGCTGTGCTCTATACCAAGAGTCTCTTTCCTGACATACCTCTGATAGATGGCTCGTGGGTCATCATATAATAGATTCTCTGTAGTCTCTGTAGTCTCTGCAATTGCTGTAGAGACTGTAGAGACCGTAGTGACTGCAACTGTCATTTTCTCCATGACTGCTGCAGTCTGCGCAGTCTCTGGAACTGCTACCGTCTGTACAGTCTGTGCAGTCTGTGCAGTCCCTGCAATTGCTGCAGTCTCTGCAGTCTGTGCCGCCCGTGCCTCTGCCCGCTGCAGTATGTCGCTATAGCGTAAAGGACAATTGCGAGATGTCATGATGTGCCCTTGCTGGTGGCATTTGCTGCATGTAGGCGGCGCCTTTGGCCGTAGATCTGACTCTATGGCTTCAAATGCACTTGGCTCGCGCTGTGTGGATGACTGTGATATCCTTGATGCGGCGACAAGTTGGTCTAGTCGCCGACGAGGCTCTATGAGGACCTGACCAATCTCTTTGTTATCCCGTCGAAGGCGCCAATGTGTATGAAAATGTTGTAGCCGGAGGGGCAGATCTTCCACTATGAGAGACTGTAATGCGTGCGCACAAGGGAGACCGCGAGACTTGGTGAAGCTGCCTGTGCAAGATGGGGTGTTTTTCTCGTTGAGGCGCTTGTGTTGCTTTGCAACCTGTCGCAAGGCTTCGTGTGATACCCAGCCACGTACCGTGCTATATACGGTTCCAGAGAGCTCAATTGGCATCCGTATATGCTGCCTGGCTTGGTTGGCTTGTAGCTCGGCCAGTTGGTTGAGGAGAGCTTGCTTGATTGCCCTCGTTGCCTCGAAGAGGTCTAATGTTGACTTCTTAAGGTGACTCTTCAATAATGCGTGGATGCCTTCCACCCGGGAAGTAGCCACATTGCCGAAGTGAGCATATTGATCGACCCAGGCCTTGACGAGCTTTTCCTTATACGGGTCCAACCAGGTTTCCGTATGTAGCTAACCTCCTTGACGTATCGTGGCACAAAGCGCTTCTCGAGCTCTTCAACTTGTTGATCAAATGTCTCCTCATCTTTCGAGCCCACGATTGAGTGCCAATACCCAAAGAACTCAGCCCACCTCTCATCACTATTAGAGTCCTCATCGTCACGGTCGAAAGCTGGTTTGCAATAGCTAAGCACCGCCTTATTCGCATGCCAGATGCAAAGCAGAGACTTGGACGCAGGAAAGCACCGGAAATTGCGTTTATGCAGGCGAGGCAGCGATCTGTCAGGATAACCGATGGCTGGCGAATGTCATATAACTCGTATATCGATTGGAGTTGGTCCAGTGCCCAGATATAGTCATTTTCGTCTTCACCACTGAGGAAGGCAAAGGCAATACAGAATGACCGCTGACAGGCATCAACGCCGATCATATCGAGCAGTGGCATCTTATATTTGTTCGTCTTGTATGTGCAGTCTAGCAGTAGTAATTCTGGGTATGCGTTGAGGTATCCTAGAGACGCTGGGTGTGCGAATAAGACTGCTGTGACTCGGCCATCATGATCAAGCTGTATGCGGCTCTGGAACCCCTCGTTGTCAAGCTCATTGGCAAGGGCATGCATTGTGCTCTGGCCAGCAAGGAGCTCTCGTCTGCGCTGTGCGATACAGTTATATATGTCTTGCTGTGTCGCTCCTTGGGCAGTCTGAGAGCTCTGGCGCATATATGTCCGGATATCCTTTGGTGCTATGCCAGCGCTTGAGAGGTTCCCAATAGCTGACTGGTCAGTTGAGGAGAGGGCACGATGAGCTGGATGTGCTGTAATATGCAGACTGGGCTCATGGTTGTGGACCGACTTCTCCTCGCCTGGGCGATGCCTGACATACCAGTACGACTTATCAAGGCTCTCTTTCGCATTGATGGAAAACTGGCATCCAGTGATACGGGAGCTTGTAGACCGTTGCCGATCAGCTGGCTTCTGGTCCTTGCTTGTATGAGCCCCAAGTCTACCTCCACGATCGCAGGCAAATATGACTGTGCGTCTTCCGGACCGCGGGTCTCTCGTGGACTTGCCTGTGGTGAAGGCATAGCCTCTGGAGCCGCCCACGCATTAATTGAGGCAAGAAGAGACTCTCGCGAGTCGAACTGGCCCTCAGGAGGAAGGCAATCGTCAGGGAATTCAGTAAGCCCCATATTGGAATTATCTTGAAGAGCTAGCTGTAGTGCACGACAGTGAGCAGCTCTTTATACACAAAGGAAAGGAAACTCCTGCTTTGTGGACGTGGTGCAGAACCCTTGTAACCGAGGCCGCCTGCGAGGTTTAATGCAGCCTGCGTTTGAGCTTTGGCCTCAATGGGGTCCAAGCACCACGCATGCAGGCGCTCGACCTTAATATGCGGATTATAGCATCGCTTCCGCGGACAACTACTCTGAGCGCAGATGGTATGCTATATGAGGCTGGCTCTCTGTGCGACAGTTTGCCACATGCAATAGAAAAGGAGAGTACAGGTCAGGGGGCGGCCCGACTATCTTCCGCCTGGGCTTACATAACAGGCGCGGACGTCCGCGCCGACTTTAAAGGCGCGGGGGTCCGCGCCTCTATTGGCTCCCCCCAGACTGAGTCGATGACTAAGCAGTCCGACAACATCCACTCAGTCTTTCAGCGTCCGGCCGGTCAGAGCTGCGGTCAGAGCTGCCCTCCTGCAGCTTGAACCGGCAACAGACGTGAGGGTAGCCCCGATTCCTCGACTGAGCAATCGGCGCTCGGTTGAGGGTCAGGGGAGGTGAAAGATCCCATGTCCATGCAGGTCCCCCGGCGCCGTCACTGCTTCTCGTGATTTCTGGGCCATCTGGAGTAGGTAGATAGACCAGCAGCACAAGCGAGGCATGAAGCAAGAGTTAGGGTAATGTCACAAGTCGTGCAAAAAGTGACGTGTGGCAACGAGCGCATACTCATCACATGGCATGGCTGCCGTTCCGCATCTTTCCGTCGGTTACGAAAACGACGAGGCTTGGCCCCGCTTCCTCTCTGCTGCCTTCATCTCTCTTCATTGAATCCCCATTTCCCCCCTCCACTGTCGTCCTCCAACTCACGACAGCGTTGCGCATCCAACGGGTAAGTTTTGTTGAGCCCTCGCCCCCCTCTGCCTTTGCCCGCTCCCTACAAGCTCTGCCCCGCTTCGCTTCCGGCGCCGCTGCAGTTGGAAGAGGGTGGGAAAGGCAAGCCGAACGGATCGGATGGAACAGCAGCATGTGTGGCGGAGAAACAAGCCAGTGGCCGTTGCCGTGCTTGTCCCAGACACATCGTCATCGGACCCGTATCCAATTGCAGACAGGGCATTAACCCCTCGACAAAGCTCAGCACAGCAACAACCAAGGCTGAAACCCCTCCCCGTGCTGAGTCGTTGCCCGATAACGATAAGCCAACTGCCCCGCGCCTGCGTACTGGCCGACTCTCGGCCTCTCCACAGACGTTTTCCCCCCTCCTCCTCTGCAATCAAACTGCACTTCCCTCCGCCATCCCCCCCAAGTCGAGGCATTGAGACTTACAAGACACCAACAAGTCCAGACCTGCAAGCGCACCCCCTCGATCCGCAATCATGGGCCTCACAGACGTTCTGAGCCGCAAGTCCGGCGTCATTGTCGGTGACGACGTTCTCCGGCTATTCGAGTACGCCCGCGAGAAGCAGTTTGCCGTCCCTGCCATCGTGCGTACCCGAGTCCAACCCAACAGCCACGACTCGGCAAGCTAACGCATGCTCCAGAACGTCACCTCTTCGTCCACCGTCGTCGCCTCGCTCGAGGCTGCTCGCGATGCCAAGGCTCCCATCATCCTCCAAATGTCCCAGGGCGGCGCCGCCTACTTTGCCGGCAAGGTACGAGTCTCCACCGGCTGTTTGCTCCAACCGCTGCTTACAGTGAGCATTGCAGGGCGTCAGCAACACCGACCAGGCCGCCTCCGTCGCCGGCGCCGTGGCTGGTGCCCACTACATCCGCTCCATCGCCCCTGCCTACGGTGTGCCCGTCATCCTTCACACGGACCACTGCGCCAAGAAGCTTCTCCCCTGGCTCGACGGTATGCTCGACGCCGACGAGGCCTACTTCAAGGCCAACGGCGAGCCCCTCTACAGTTCCCATATGATTGACCTGTCCGAGGAGCCCGTCGACTGGAACATCCAGACCACCGCAAAGTACCTCAAGCGCGCCGCCCCCATGAAGCAGTGGCTCGAGATGGAGATCGGTATCACCGGCGGCGAGGAGGATGGTGTCAACAACGAGGACGTCGACAACAACTCGCTCTACACCCAGCCCGAGGACATCCTCAACATCTATAACACCTTGTCTCCCATCTCGCCCTACTTCTCTATTGCCGCCGGCTTCGGCAACGTCCACGGCGTCTACAAGCCCGGCAACGTCCGCCTCCACCCCGAGCTGCTCGGCAAGCATCAAGCCCACGTCAAGTCGGCCATTGGCGCCAAGAACGACAAGCCCGTCTTCTTCGTCTTCCACGGCGGCTCCGGCTCCTCCAAGCAGGAGTACCTCGACGCCATCGGGCACGGCGTGGTCAAGGTTAACATGGACACTGATATGCAGTTCGCCTACATGAGCGGTATCCGCGACTACATGCTCAACAAGAAGGACTACCTCATGAAGTCTGTGGGCAACCCCGATGGCGATGACAAGCCAAACAAGAAGTTCTTCGACGTAAGTGGCCTGCAACTCTAGGCGCAGATCGAGGGGCCCCGCCGGGAAACGGGCAAAAGAAGCTGACCTTGAACCAATAGCCGCGTGTCTGGGTCCGCGAGGGCGAAAAGACAATGTCCGCCCGCGTCACCGAGGCTCTCAAGGACTTCAACTGCTCGGGCCACGTTTAACTTGGGGGCATCAGCCTAAATCAAGCGCCGTACGGACGTGGTCAACGGGGAGAAGCTGGGCAACGGCAATTCCCCACCGCTGGCTTTCGTCCTGGCGCAAGACTGTTTAGATTGTTATCAATACGTACATCAAGGTCAGTCAGGAGTCCGCTACCTCTCGCAAGTTGGGTAGCTCCGGGGGGGGTGGGGGGGGTTCAAAAGTCGAATGAGCCGTGTGAACCAAGAATCACAATTAGATGCCAAGTCATGGTCCACCTGCTTCCACGCAAAGCTCCCTCACCGTGACACGAACAATCGTGGCCATGTAACGCGTGCTCTCTTGTTCTCGACGTGATCCCGCAGCACGCGCCGCATCAAGCTCCTTCTACGAAACGGGCGTTTATCATTGAATGTCACGCGCATGAAGGCGAACAGCCGTCCTATCGTCATATATCGAAATCAAGCATGACCCATGGCCTCGTCTTCCCAGCAACGTTTGTCGCCGTCGGCTACAGTACATTACATCTCCCCGTGACGATAGGGCTGCTAAGCTGAATCGTCAGTCCGCCATGTCCGAGGCCGGTTCCGCGCGCCGGTTTCCCCAACTCCCGTCCGATTCCTTTGACAACGTATTTCCCTCTCGACCCTGCAGCTTATTGGCCCAAGACCTCCTTCTCGATCTTCTTGACATCGCCGTCGCTCAGCTGCTCGGCCGAGGCTTTGGACGCCTTGTCGGTGTCGAACCTCCACAGGCCGCCCGTCTTGTCCTGCTCGCCGTCCAGCGGCACGACGGCAGCCTTGCCCAGCTCTTGGAGCGTCTTGTCCGCGCCTTGGACGGCCGTGAAGAACCGCCGCTCCCAGGAGCGGTTCTCGGAGCGCTCCTTGATGCGCATGTTGCGCTGCGCCTGCTCAATCTTGCCCTTTTCCACAGAGACGGCGTCCATGTCGCCCTTTTGGATGGCCTCGGCAACCTTGGCCCAGGCGCGGCGGGACTCGAGGGGGTGTTGCTTATCGAGCGGGGCGACCTTGAGCTCCGTCTGCGGGGTCCCTGCGGCGTCGTAGGCTGCGACCATGGTCGACTTGGAGTTCTTCTTGGCGGGGCCTTGGTAGATCTCAAACTCCTTGGTCCACTGGCCGGTGACGTTGTACAAGACGTCCTTTTCCTTGTCCGTGGGGTGGACGACGGCGGTGACGCTATTCTTCTTGCCCGACAGCCAGCCCCTGCCGCTGTAGTCAATCTTGGCTGTGTATCCGCTCGAGCTGACGATGGTGCTCGTGCCGTCCAGCTCGACAAAAGGGGTGCCGAAGATGAGGCCCTCGATGTGCAGCGAGGGGAGGGTGATGATGTAGCGCTCAGTCTCCTTGCTGTTGCCGGAACCGACGGGGATGGTGAGGACGGCGTGGCCGATCTGCTTGACAATTATGGTGCTCTTGAAGGTGGCCTTTTGGGCGTTGTAACCCTCGAGCTGGACGCCAGTCTTGTTGTTGCGGATGCAGTAGGCCGTGGCCGGCGGGTGGTGGCTGACTTGCTCCGAGACGAGCGACGTCTCGCCGGCCTCGTCGGTCCAGGAGCCGAGGAACAGCTCGCCGAGGAAGGGGTTCAAGGGCTTCTTCTCGTTGCCAAACTGCTCGCTGCGGCTGGCGTACTGGTGCTTGAGCGTCGACAGGAACCACTTGAGGACTAGCATGGCGCGCTTGGCGGGGTCCGACTCGGCGGCGGGGGCGGCGAAGATGGGCGGGTGCGTGGCCCAGTAGGAGGAGAACTCGGTGAGGGACTGCGAGGAGAGGATAAAGGGCGGCGCGGTGAGGGAGGAGAGGTCGCCATTGAACGATGCAATGGACTGCGAGGAGCGAAGCCATCGTCAGCAAATGCGCGTCCCTTGTTTTTCCAGGCGGCTTCACCGCGCTCTGCTCGCCAGCACGCCAGTTACCTTTAGAAAAGCAGACCAGCTGCCGCTCGTGGCCTGGGCAGGCGCCGGGGTTCCAGACGACGACATCTTTTTCGGAGGCGGTGGGCTGCTTTGTTTGCGAACCAAGGATGACGGCACGGGGGACGGGCAGGCGTGGAACCAGTATGTGTACCCTGCTGCACGTATGTCTGTTGTGTCAAGACGGAGGGGCCTCTGCTCGGGGCGCGAGGAGCGGAAATGAAAAGGAGGACGGGGAAGAGGCTTGGGCAATATAGTAAGGACGGTAGAGTATAACGCCAGCAACTCGCGCCCCAGGCTTGGATGGATTTTGCGACGCAAGATACTGGTAGGGGAGGGCGGGGCGGGATGGAATGGATGGAGGTGCGGGTACAGTGTCGTCGCCCTGGAGATTTGCGCTGCGAGGCGCCCCCTTGGGAAGTGGTCTCGAGGCCGAAGTGGAGGCGGGGGGGACCCATGCGCAGAACTCGCTTTCAAGCAGTCCTTTATGCAAATATATTTACAACGAGATGTGTAAAAGCATTCGGATTTCTGACTGAAGCTCTTCAAGCCGGCTAGCCATTCCTTAGTACTTTCTTCTGACCTGACCTTTCTTTGCTGACATCTTCCCCTTGCAACCCCAGTTTGAGGGAAGGACCACTGCCGTCATCAAGCCGCTGGCGGGGTCGCGCCGCCCCGCCATCTCACCTCTCTAGTGCTGGCATGTATCTGTACAGCGGCTGGCTTGTTTGCGTGAAAAATATACAAGTCAAGGCGCCTGCACCTATCATTTCCCGCGGTATCTAAGTTAAATGCTTTAGTTTACCAGGTATCTACCTAGGTAGGTACCTACCTAAGGTAGTACCTAAGGTTTCATCGGGACCTCGACCATGATACCTAGCTCTCATCTTTGCGGATCTTTGTTCCTCCGCTCGCCACATCAAGTGCGTCCGTGATTGACGGATGCACATGACGCTTCTGACAATTAACCAGGTAAGTTAGCATTGTCGAGTTCGCCCTTAGACAAGAACTCGACTTTGCCCCGTTCACCGACTCTCCCACCCCCGAGAAAGACGTCCGCCTGTTCACACTGGCTCGCCTCCTCTGGAAGTCAGAGGCGACGGCGACGGATGCTTCCAGCAGCAGTGGTCCGCCGCCTCGGCCGCAGACAATGACCCAGCCTGTCAACCACCCGAGCTTGTCGCCGCAATTCTGCTTCTCATCCGGGACCCTTCGCGGTAAGTCATGCTCTTTTTCTATACCCAGACTCACCGCCTGACTGAATCGCAGAATTTCTACGGCTGTCGAGGTCATCCGTCGACGACTCCATCACCCAGAACCTCAATGCACTCGTGATGCCTGCAGAAGGGGGCTTCGATCCGCAGTCAACGTCTCGGCGGGCGTGGGCACCACCATCCCGCCAAATCAGCCCGGGGGCATGCCAGTCATTCAAAGACACAGTTCTGTTCCCAGCGTGGCAGGCCCGGACTGAAGTGCTCGACTACTGCGGACTCGTCGCCACCAGCCCCGACCTGGACGACCCAGAGGCCATGATTCGAGAAGTCGAAAATCAGCGAGACCGTGAGCGGGTAGTCAACGAGCGTCTAGATCCGTACTCCGGCAGGTTCTTCCCACGAGAAGCCCGCACCCAGACACTGGCTACGCTTATCCGCCAGGAATGCGGCGTCGAGAGCGTCGTACGGAGTCGGACCTGGGATGTAGTTCAACAGCGCTGCGCGGCGCCACCAGAGAGTTGGGAAGATGCCGTCGGGCGATGGCGCGATACGCAAGCTTCGTCCACGAGGCCTAGTCCCGGGCAATAACCGTTTCGACTTGGAAGCTCGATCATGGCCGCATGAGTCGATGCGGGAGGGGGAGGAGTCGAGCTTCATGATAAAAAGACACGGACTGTAACATTAGCTGTACAACATCACGTCGCCAATGCGTTAATCTCAAATCTTTAGTCTTTTCTCAACTCGCGTCGTCGGCAGAAAGTCTTTCATCCTTAGTTGCCGCAATGCATAGCGCAGGAGCTCGGCCATTTACTTTCCTGCGATTCCTGCGATGGCCTCCAGGCGAGCAGCAGCCTTGAAGCTGGTGCCGGTGCTACAGTACCTAAACACCCCTCGGAACCAGAGCAGAAGCGGGGGCGGGAGGTGGAAGAATTCAAGCTCCGATTCTCCGCCTGTACGCACCCCGGCCCGAAACTTCGACGCCTAGTGCCTTTCCGTACCGAAAGCTCCCATTGAATTTTATTGCGGCCTGGTGACGACAGCTGTCCGAACGCACCGTGCTGAGCTGTTTCCGCGGACAAAGGGGGATTTTACGAGACTAAACCCGATGCTCGTGTGAAGTGCGCCCTCAGTCTCCTCTGCAAGTCACAGGCGCCGGTTCTTGATTGTTTCCCAGAGACGCAGCAGGAAAAAAAATAAACACGCCAAACCCGCAAGCGCCCGATCTCGAAGCTGTGTCTGGCGCTCCCTCGCTCCTTCAACCAGCCTTTCACGCGCGTCTCTTCGCAAGCTCGCCCGACAATTCGTCAAGATGCCGCAGCCGTTGGCGCCCAAGGAAGCGGCGCATTTCCGGGCTGTTATTCGCAGCTACGAAGACAAGCAGTACAAACGCGGCCTCAAGACGGCCGACCTTATCCTGAAAAAGCACCCCAAGCATGGAGACACAATGGCCATGAAGGCCCTGATTCTCAACAGTCAGGGAAAGACGGACGAAGCCTTTGGGCTTGCCAAGGAGGCCCTGACGGTCGACATGAAGTCGCACATCTGCTGGCATGTCTACGGGCTGCTATACAGGGCCAACAAGAACTACGAGGAAGCCATCAAGGCCTACAAATTCGCGCTCAAGCTGGAACCCGAGTCCCCGCAGATTCAACGGGACCTCGCCATCCTCCAGGTTCAGATGCGTGACTACCAAGGCTACGTCCAGAGTCGCACTGCCATGCTCCAGGCACGCCCGCAATTGCGTCAGAGCTGGACGGCCCTCGCCATCTCGCATCATCTCGCCGGAAACCTGACCGAGGCGGAAAACGTCCTCACCACATACGAAGGAACATTGAAGACGACTCCCTCCCGACACGACATCGAGCACTCCGAGGCCATCATGTACAAGAACTCCCTGATGGCGGAGCAGGGCGACTACCAGCGGGCTCTGGATCATTTGAGCGGTGCCGCCAAGCAAAACCTGGATCGTCTGGCTATCATGGAAGCGCGGGCAGAGTATCTCAGCAAACTGGGGCGGAAGGAAGATGCAGCCAAAGCATACAGGGCGCTCCTTGACCGCAATTCGGAGCACCCTGCCTACTATGAGAAGCTTCTGGCCGAGCTCGACATAGCCCAGGACGATTTGAAGGCGCGGAAGGCCATATACGACGAGTACGTGCAAAAGTCGCCCCGCAGCGACGCTGCCAAGCGCCTCCCTCTCGACTTTCTCCAAGGTAAGCGACAAGTCTAAGTTTCGTCCGAACGAGGGCTGAGTTCTGGCCGCAGGCAACGATTTCAAGCAGGCCGCCAAGGAGTACCTGAACCTGATGCTGAACAAGGGCGTGCCGTCCACCTTTGCCAACCTCAAGCATCTCTACTCCAACCCTGACAAGAAGGACGCCCTGAGAGGGCTAGCCGAGGAGTATCTGCAATCACAGTCCACAGACTCGTCCAGCAAGGACAAGGGCGAGGCCGCTGCTCTGTACTATCTTGCGCAACACCACAACTACCACCTAAGTCGAGATCTGGACAAGGCAATGGAGTACGTCGACAGAGCCATCAAAAAAGATGCCAACAGCGTCGACTTCCACATGACCAAGGCCAGGGTACTGAAGCACAGTGGCAATCTTCAAAGGGCTTCCGAGATGATGGACCACGCTCGCATGTTGGACCTCAAGGACAGATACATCAACAGCAAAGCTGCCAAGTACCAGCTGCGCAACAACGAGAACGACAAGGCCCTGAAGACGGTTGGCATGTTCACGCGGGCGGACACCGTGGGCGGACCACTCGCGGACCTCCTGGACATGCAGTGCGTCTGGTATCTGACGGAAGACGGCGAGGCATACGCCAGACAAGGCAACATCGGCCTGGCCCTTAAGCGGTTCCAGGCCGTTGCCAACATATTCGAGGTCTGGCAGGAGGACCAGTTCGACTTCCACAGCTTCTCCCTAAGGAAGGGTCAGGTCCGGGCCTACATTGGCATGATGCGATGGGAGGATCACGTCCGGGACCACCCTTTCTACTCGAGAGCGGCCCTCGATGCCATTGCCATTTACATCAAGATGGCAGACAAGCCCTCAGCCAACGGGGTCAACGGCAACGAGGACGTAGACTGCGAGGACGCACTGGCCAAGAAGAAGGCGGCCAAGAAGGCCAAGAAGGAGCAGCAGCGTCTGGAGCGAGAGGCAGCGGAGAAGCAAGCGAAGCAGGATCCGAACAAGGCCAGCCAAGGCGGCGAGACGAAGAAGAAGGACGACGATCCGTTGGGCCTAAATCTGGCGGCGACGACAGATCCGCTGGGCGAGGCGATGAAGCTACTAGGCCCTCTGCTGCAAGCGTGCCCGGAAAGCATGGAAGCGCAGACGATGGGATTCGAGGTCTTTATGCGGCGCAGTAAGTTGCGGACTTGGGGATTGTCCCTACCAAGGCACAAGCCAGGCTAACAATGGTTGCGCGTCCGCAGAAAAATATGTGCTGGCTTTGCGCTGCCTCAACGCTGCCGTCGCGCTCGATGCTGACTTCCCCAAGGTGGTGGAGCAAGTCGTCACCTTCCAGACAATGCTCGACTCGGCGTCCGACCTGGCACCAAAAGTGGCCGAGGTTCTAAAGGGCGAGTTCAAGGCCATGGGCGGGGCCAAGAATTCGCGCGGGTACGTGGAGGATTTCCAGGGAAGGCACAAGGGCAGCCCGCGGCACGCCTTCTCGGCCATTGCCGCCAAGAGACGCATGGGCGAGGACAAGGCCAAGTGCGACAAGGAAGCTGTGGGCTTGCTGGAGATGACAGGCATCACGGTTGACGATGCTCTGTCGATGTTGGAGACTCTTCAAAGTTGGAGGAGCTCAGAAGCGCAAGCTTTCAAGAAGGCGGCACGGGCAAAGTGGCCAGAGGTTACGAGGCTGGGTTGAAGACGAGGCGAAGGAGGGTTTGGCATAGACGAGACGATGACTACTACCAGCGTTTTGGCGACGCGTGGGCTTGGGGAACAGAATAGGCGAAGGGGAGGGGTGAAGGATGTGTATCGTATACCTATGCAGGCAGGGGAGTACACAGAGCTGTGCAGGAGGCCTTGTCGTCGTCGTCTTGCTGTTTCTATCGTGAGTGAGCGTGGACTTTTCCAGGAACATGGACCAGAGGTCGACGGGGCCAACATGTCGAAAGGGGGAATTGGAAGCCGTGGTCAACGGAGCCGGGGCTGATGGGTATGTACAGTAGCTTGCATGCGCACCAGATGGAGATTCTGGCGCAACAAGTACGTACCTGCGTGCAATAGGTGTGCATGCATGACGAAATCGATGCAACGGCAACGTTAAGCTGCGTCGAAGAGCTGGAGTCTGCTGGGCGCCTCGGCTGGCCCCGTGTAACCAAGCTAAGGTAGTACAGGGGCGCCGCCCGACGGGCTACCTACAAGGCACGGGCACTAACAAAATCATATCGGGCAAGTAGGTACAGTTAATTAGTCGAGTCCCGCCTTGATTTTTCCCCCAAGGCGATGTGGATCGGGACCTAAAATTCGGCGCACCTTCTCCTTCCCTCCCTTGCTACTAGCCACCTTCTGGGCAAAAGGGACGCGGTACGGAGGGTGACCTGTTTTTCGCAAAGTTACTTCGTGTCGGCAGCGTGTGCATTCTCGTAGCCTTCATTCGCTCCAGCCAGCATCGCTTTTCGTTGGACTTTTTTTCTTTTTCTCTCTGGCAGCATCTCGCGCGTGCCGTGCACGGCCCGTGTCCTGTTCCACCTGCTCGTCGGCCTCCTCTTCGCTCGTTATTTGCCTCTGCTGCCGGTTCGAGTGGGCTCGGAATACACGTGGCCCTTGCGGCAAAGGCGCTTGCTCGCGACACGGCCGCAAGCGGGCTGCCATGGACAACAGTGACTCCCCGGTGGACAAGGCCGACGCCGGCTCCAGCCTGGCCCTGGCGGGCGACAAGTCGCTGACCATGGACGAGAGACATCTGATTCTTCAAGGTACGTTGCCGTGCGCGTGACTCCGGATGGGCGCTTCGCTCTTGCACGGCTGTAATGCCGAGCTTGGACAAGGGCACCGTGCCAGCAGACGCAGAGAGCTCTGTGCTCATGCCGGACGTCGTCTATCCAGACCCGGCCTTCAAAAAGTCAAGGCGCTCCTGTTGGGCCTCTGTCAGCGCCACCACGCCTCCGGGTCAGTGGCCCCCAGCCGGCTAGCGGCACCGCCATCGTGCCAGCTTCACCCGTACTTACTCGTCCTCGCAGGTGCCTCTGGCCGGCGGTTGATTCCCTTGTACAACGTCCTGTGGGCCGAGTTGGCCGGAACAAAGGTGGTCATCACCTACGCCGCTCAGCCCTCCAAGACGTCCATCACGCCCGAGTCCTGGACAGGCGAGGTCCATGCTTCGGACGACTACCCCGAGGACTCGCATCCGGAATCCTTCATGGCCGACCTTGTCTCGCGCGCCTATGGCGAGGCGAGGCCGCAAAGGCGCGCATACGTGCTCATCAACCCCAGTTCCGGCCCCGGCGGTGCCCTGCGCAAGTGGGAGCAGGACGTGCTGCCGCTCTTGGAGGCGGCCAGAATGCAGATGGATGTCGTGATGCTTACCCGCGGCGGAGAGGCGGCTGAGCTGGCCGAGAAGGTCGACATTGACAAGTACGACACCATCATGGCTTGCTCGGGCGATGGCACGCCGCACGAGGTCTTCAACGGCCTGGCCAGGCGGGCCGATGCCAGGAGGGCTCTGTCCAAGATTGCGGTAAGCCATATTCCGTGCGGCTCGGGCAACGCCATGTCCTGCAACCTCTACGGCTCTCACCGGCCCGTTTTCGCTGCGTTGGCCATCATCAAGGGCGTCGTGACGCCCCTCGACCTCGTTTCCATCACCCAGGGCGATCGTCGCTTCGTCTCGTTCCTTTCCCAGGCGATTGGCATCATCGCCGAAAGCGACCTCGCCACCGAGCACCTCCGGTGGATGGGCAGTGCAAGGTTCAACCTGGGCGTCTTTACGCGCGTCTTCCGGCGCAAATGCTATCCGTGCGACTTGGCCATCAAGGTCGAGGTTGGAGAGAAGGACGGCAAGGACGGCGTCCGGGCTCACTACAAACGCCACGCTAGCGACGCGAGCCTTGAGAAAGCCCCCGCGCCGAGTGACGACGGTGACGGCGACGGCCTGCCGCCCCTGAAATACGGCACGGTCCAAGACGAGCTACCCGGCGAATGGGAGCTGGCCTCGCATGACAAGATTGGCACCTTCTACTGCGGCAATGTGAGACTGTTCATGTCGTGCGTTTCTGGTTTTGATCTCCCTGGCTGACGGCAGTGCGGCCTGCAGATGGCTTACATGGCGCCCGACATCAATTTTTTTTCGGCTGCCATCGCCTCGGATGGTTGCATGGACATGGTGTCCATCGATGGCGACCTGTGGCCCCTGACGGCGCTCAAGACGCTCATGTCTGTCGAGACGGGCAAGTTCTTCGACAGCCCGCACGTGTCGTACAAGAAGGTGTCGGCATACCGCATCATCCCCCGCGAGCAAGAGGAGGGCTACATCAGCATTGACGGAGAACGAGTGCCGTTTGCACCGTTTCAGGCCGAGGTGCACCGGGCGCTCGGGAGAGTCATCTCCAAGCGGGGGTGCTTTGAGGCGGACGGACCGGCCAATTGGGACTCGGTCTCTGTGGCGGAGAGGCTGCATGCCTGACGGCACGTGGAAGGTGTCAGCACTGCAGGATATAGTGGTGGGCTGCTTGGGCGGCGAGACGGCCGGTTGACGTGTGGATTAGACGGGGGGGAGTCGGGATTGATACCCTGGAGCGAAGGGCTCCGCGCCGCACGGATAAGCGGCATATAAACCTGGACTACAGCGTTGTACAGTAAAACGGTGGCATTCATGGCCAAAGCGAGAGACAATGTGCTGAACTCGACATGGATACTCGGAACTAAGTTTACTTTGTAGCTTCTTAACAAGCGAGGAACACTCAATGCCGGCGCCGGCAGTCGTGCACAAGGACCCCCCCACCCCACCCCACCTTCTCCCCGCCACGGAGAGCTGCGCCGCTGATTAGATATTGGATGCGGCAACCACCTCTGCTCAGACATCATCACCATTTCCCACTCCCAGTCATCTCTCGCCGAGCCGGACGCACCGAAAAAGAACGGCCCCCGTTCCAGCACATCTCCCGACCGTGCCAAGCACTGCCTGCGCCCTCCATCTCGCACCACCCGTCGTCACCTGCAGAGTCATGCTCGAGTAGCCCGTGATGCCAAACAGAGGCGACAGGGCCCCGTCGGGCCCATGGGGCAGGCTCAAGCCCGTCGAGCAAGATGTCCTGGAAAGCATGGGCTTGCCCTCCAAGGGAGACAGCCGGTGAGAGTACCCTTCCGTCGGCGGGACACGCCGCCATGCAATGTCATGCTTGACGGTGGCCGCATCTGCTGACGCTGGAGAGGCCCCAGCCTGCTCGATCTCAAGACGCAGGAAAGGTACTACACAAAGATTGTCGAGCGCTACATGACCTTTTGCTCCGATGCCGGCCGCCGCGATGAGTTGCTGCGCCGCTTCTCCTCCCTTGAAATTGCCAGCGATTCAGGGCCCCCTTCCTCGTCAGCACCGCCGCCGGCTGAGCACTTGGCCAGCCCGTCTGTCGAGGCTCTCCAGAGCCCGGCAAACTCCAAGGCGCTCTCGGACGTCATAGCGGCACTTCGCAAGCTTAGGGAGGGTGTCGTGGCATCGAAGCGGGCCGACGACTTCGCCGTCCAGGCCTATCTCTTTTGCATCCGCCTGTCCGTCCTAGTCAAGCAGCCCGAGTCATACCACCCAGCCATCCTCCATCTGCTGCAGACGATACACCCGCGCCAGCCGCTAACCTCGGTCGAGTTCCAGGAGGTGGTTGGCTATCTTGTCCTCGACACGGCCTGCCGGCGGCGTCAGCTCGCCGAGGCCTTTGTGCTGCGGCGACAATACGGCCTCCGGGATGCCAAGGTCGGCGCCGTTCTGGCAGCGCTTGTTCATGACAACTGTGTTGCCTTTGGCCGTGTGAAGAGGGCCGTCGACGGCCACAAGGCCCGCATTATGGAATGGGCCGAGGCGGACCTGAGGATACACGCGCTCAAGTGCATCGGCAAGACATACATGGAGGTCGAGGTCGACTTCCTGGAGCGCATGACCGGGTCGACGTGGGACGAGCTCAAGAAGAACGATGGCGTTGGCTGGGAGCTCGACCGCGCAAGAGTCACCATCCGCAAGCCCAAGGATCGTCGTTGAGCGAGGTCGAAAATGAGCGCGCCAGCCAAAGAGCTGGACAAGATCAGGGCGAGGCTTCTCGCCGGTGGACCGGTGGACTGTCGTGAGCTGAAGAGGAGAAAGAGGAGACGGGGAGAAATCAGTCACGCCAGGTGGCAGATGCCGTTTTCCGCCCATTGGAGGCGCCTGTACAATCGTCGGAGAACTTGGCGGTCTTTCCCAAGGTTCTGCACTGCCAATGAAGCGGCGACTGGCGACCCCGACACCGGCAGCGAAAGGGTTTGGCGCTTTCTCTTCTCTCTCTTCCTCCTTTACCTCTCTCTCTTCTTACTCCACCTCTTTTGGTTCGTTCTCCTCTTGCTCTTTGCTTGACATAGCAAGCTGACTCGTAGGGAGGCGTGACGTTCGGCAGACACTCGTTACACATTTACAAGGGAGAAAAAAACCATAAACTGTTGAATTGTTTCTGTAGCCTGCACGAAGGAGAAGGAAAGGAAGGACTGGGAGTGGTTGGATTAGCGTTGGCGGAAGTGGGAGACGGGGAAACAGCGAGATAAGGGGAGCGTGGGGCCTGGAATGGTGGCGATTGGAGATGCTCACCAGTCACGTAGGCAAGACTGGACGCAGACTTGGCACGAACGACGAACATGTTCCGGACCAGAATGCGCATCGTCTATCAAGCCTGTTGTTACTTGGACAGGCATCAGCTACCAAGAGAAGACGGATGGTTTTCTCGTTACCCGTGTACATGAGGATAGATAGAGAAGGTAGACAAACTCCCTGATGCAATGCAGCCCGTCAATCCCAGTGACGCCCGGCGTGATAATCAGATGAAACCAGGTGCGCCGCAGTTTGAACGCCTTATAATATCGCCCAGAAAGGAACCCCGGCAGCGCAGAGGACGCCTCCTTCTTTGCGCGCATTACCTTTGCTCTCTTCTCCTCTGCGTCAGCTTGTGCCTTTTGCGTCCCACTCTTGCCCCCCCCGGCCCTTTCCTCTGGGAGGTTTGTCGTCGTTTTGTGTGCTTCTTGCCTTGTTTGGCATGTCTGCGTCGAAAGCCTAGTCAAATCTCTCTCTGCTCCGCGCGACTCTGGCCGTGGGCAACGCCTATCGCTCCTTCTTCTCGTAAAACTTGACGGCCTGCTCGAGGGCCTCGAGGTTGGAACGGTCACCGTAGACGTCCATGAGGGCGTCGTTGCGGCGCTGGCGCTCGGCAGCGTCGCGTTCGGCGCGCTCGGCGTCTTGGCTGCGGCGTGCGCCGGCGCGGTCGAGCCACCCCTTGGCGGCGTAGGCAGCGCCCGAGATGGCTGCGACGGAGACGAACCTATGGGGTTGAATGGTTAACGGGCCGGCGGCCGTGGTTCGAGGGCCCGGGTAAGTCAGGCTGGGTGCGGCGGTGATGCCATTGCTCTCTCCGCCCCTCTCCCTCGCTTTGCTTTGACCGACTTACCAGCGATAGGGCATGCGGCGGGAGTTGCGCAGGTGAGGCAGGAAACTAGGGTGTACTCTGGCCGAGGTCGAGAAGCTCCTGGGGGCGCGGAACATTGTCGGCGATGGCGCCGCGGTCCGGTCAAGGCTGGGGCACGCGTAGAGAGAGCGGAGTGCGTGTGTGTGTCTCTCTCTCTTTCGGGTGCGTGGTGGGAACTGATAAGAGCAGGGCCAGAGGAGAAGAGGTTCGCCACGGGGGACCAGAGGGGGAGGAATGGGGGGAGACCTCGGGTCTTATGTCGTGTTTGAGCGGAGTCTGAGGGGGGCCGAGTTACATTCTAGTTTCTACCCACCCGCCTTGGGTAGGCTTGGGCAGGCTTGGGCGAGCAGGCATGATGTGCTTTAAAGTATTTGAAATCGTCCCACTGCCTCCAAAGTGCTGTACTGTACTGTACTGCCCTGCCCTGCACTGTACTGTACAAGCACACGCGCGCCTGGACTCTCGGGGCAGGGGAACCAAGTTGTTAGTATCCGTAGTTACCCCCGCCCGGGCTCCCGAGGTCAACAGCGACCCCTGCGCCCCTCCCCCGCCTCCACAGGGAAAGCGGGGGAGGGGGCGCATATCGGGAGACCATCAGGTGATGATTGTGGCACGGCCACGTTGGATGCAGGTACGTACATTCTCGTCCACCCAAAGGGTGCGTGCTGCAGAGGTACATACAGTACAAAACATGACGCAACGTCAGACGGCCCGAGGCACGCCGATGAAAAGAAGCTACGTAGACTCGTCGAGGCCGCAAGGGCCCCCCTGCTGCCACCGTATGAGCTGGGCTTTGCTTGATTCTCGTACTGTCCCTCTCTACCTCGGTAAATTGTAATTCTTGTGGGTAATGACGATCTTTGGGCGCGCCGCGAACCGTCTTTTTGCCGAGGACAAAGCCTTTCCGTGTAGTCGGTTCGAGTCCATCTAGGGAGAGAGACAAGACCTAAAATCAGACGATACTAACGGACAAGCCCAAGACGGAGGCTAAGCGTTGGGACCGGCAGAAATACCGTGGCCAAATAGATGGACTGGGGAATCTTGTGTATCCTTCCAGAGCAAGGTCATGTGCAGCGTTGAGATGGTGAAATCAATGCAAGCGTATCAAGTTGGCCAGAGGCCGGAAGAGTGTCCATGTTAGTGGCGTTTATGCTCATCCTGGTCGCCATCTGGCTGGACTGACGGTCATCACCAGCCTCAGTCTCGTCGCTCTCCTCCTCCCAGCCATCGCGCCTCTCCCCATCCCCCAATATAGCTCCGCATCTCGCCTTCTTTCCCCTCCGCCGCCTCCTCCTTCGCCTCCTCCTCCAACACCACCGCCGGCCTCTCGTCCAGCCACTCTTGCCACAGCTCGTCACATCGCCGCCCGTCCATCCCCCTTTCCGCCTCGAAGCAGTCCTCCCTGTCCATCAACCACAGATGGAGCAGCAGCGCCGCCAGAAACTCGGCCGCTTCGCCCCCCTGCCCAAACGTCCAGGCCCGGAATCGCCCATCCTGTGAGCGCCGCCACACCTCAACATCCACCACAAACTCCATGGCAGCGTCGTGCAGCCTCCGCTCCCTGCTTGCCTCTCTGCAGTCGGCGTCCGCCTCCTGGTGCACGAGCGACTCGACCTCTGGCATATGCCGCCGGAGCCCCGGCAGAAGCGACATGAGCATCTTCTTCATCCCTTTCTCCGACGGCTGCAGCTGCTGCTTTCTGCACGTCTCCCGGAATTGCCAGAACGCGAATCTTGTAGGTGGTGATGTGGCCAAAGACTCGACCGCCCGATGCTTCGAGCCCCTGCTCCCGCCTAGGCACTCGTCTGGCCACATGCAGCCTACCATTTCATCCGCAAACCTCTGAAACATGTCCTTGGTCGGGATCCCGTTCCGGTTGCTCTCTTTATCTCTCACTGTCCCGCTCATGTCCTCGTAGCGGCAGCTGGGCCGGGAGCATGTCCCGTCACCGCATTTCCTCCACCCAGTGTCCGGTCTGCCCCGTGCCACCTGATGCTCGAAACGCTTCTTGCGTTCTCGTTCTCGACGGAGCAGGAGCCTCCCTCGCGACAGAGACCCTGCGGCTGATTCGGATGGAACACTCATCATGTACGGTCGCACGTTGGCTAATGTATGCAAAATGTGCCAAACCTGGAATCACGATTTGGCCACAACAGCAACGATGGACACTAGAAGGCGGAAAGCCACTTCATAGATGTAGAAAAGCCACTATAAATACTACTATAAATACTACTACAGGGGCGGGCGGAAAATACCTACTACTATAAAGGCGGGCAAGGGCCACTACAAAGACCGCTGTAAAGGCAGGCAAAGGCCACCATAAAGGCAGGCAAAGGCAGGCAAATGCTACTATAAGGCCACTATAATTACTCCTATAAAGGCAGGCAAAGAAAGGCCACTGCAAAGGTCGCTAGACAGGTACTACCTCGGCATGGCTTGCAGAGGCGGCTTATAGAGGCACTGGTACTTGAAATGCAATTTTGGCCAAGTTGCGACTTGGGTTTTGGTACTCTTTGCACACATGAATAGCCAAAGTGCCAAGGGCGGCAGAGTATAACTTGCTGAGCATCTCTGCGGCCGGCCGCTCTCAAAGGGCCTGTCTGGCCCACGTAGATCGGGAGCAGATATGTCGGGAGCAGGTTCTTATCGGGCCAAGTCAATGATTGGAGAGTGCGTGGCGGTTTGCTCTCCAAGCCAAGGCCGAGCCGTTTGCCTTGGCAGTCCACGGCTGCTCGAGATGGCTGCCTTGTGTCACACTTGCCCGGCAATGCTGGCCTGCATCGACAACACCGAGGTCGCAGAAAAGTGTCTCGGGAGGCGTTGCACCTCCTCGGGAAAGCGAGCGGGCCATGGCAATCGATTCCGCCTGTCGCCCTTGGTAGACACCACGGCACCTCACCACAAAAACTTCCTACACTTGGAACTGCCGCAGAGGCATCTCGTCATGTCCTCGAAATTTCCCTCGCGCTCCTCTTCCTCCAACGAAACGCCATCGACATAGTCAAACGTCAGCTCCTCGCCTTTCTGGATATCCTTGATGGCAAAGAGGGCCAGGTCGTGCAGGTGCTTGTCGGCATGATCACCGACGCGAGCAAAAATCCGGAGTTTTGGATCGCAAGAATGGTTGATGAAGCGCGTGGGGCCAGACATGAACTCGCCGTCCACTTCCAGGGGCGGGCCCCGGAGCCGCGGGTCAAGGGATGCCGGATCAGTAAACTTGTCGAGGGCAAAGAGGTAGACGTCTTTGCGCTGCGAGACGGCGGCGGCAGCTCTGCGCCGGTCGGCCTCGGCGGACGTGATGATCTCGCCCAAGTAGCGGTCGACAAACTGTCCCTTCTTGATAGACTCCTGCGTGCGCACACCTGTGAGGCGAGGGCAAGCCTAGGTCAGATGCGATCCAAATCAACGACGAACTGAAAACCTACCCCAGCCTCGGTCCTCGGTCCGAAAAATCTGGAGCGGGATGGTCCGGCCTCGCTCAACAACTCGATTGGGGCAGTCGGCTGAGCATGAGCAGCCCTGGTGGCACTCGTAGAGAGGCAGTTTGGATGGGTGCAGCTTGGATCGCAGCAAGCCAGCCTTGGCGCCGTGTGTATGGTAGGCGTAGGATTTCTGGGGTGGCACGGAGTCGTCTACGCCAGAGTCGTTGACAGCGTCGTTGACACTTTCGTCCTTGTCCTCCTCCTCGAGGTCTGCGAGACACAGACACCCAGTGTACTGGCAGTCGGCGTCGTCAACACACGTACAGCCGCTACGGAAGCACTCCTCGGCAGGCTCCACGCCTCCGCCCAGGACATTGTCGTCGATGAAGCGGAAGCCTTGCGGCAAGATCTCGCTGTCCACCTCGTTGACCACGGTGATGGGAGCGGTCTGGTGAGTGGGAAACGAGCGCAACTGACACCAGTGGCACTCGTATGTAGTATTCTGACATGGGAAAGGGGTCAGCGCCTCTGCTGGCTCGACGCGGGACTGGGTTGTGAGTGAGCTTACCCCTTTGCCGTGGTGGAAAAAGTGTGTTTTGATTGCTTCTTCCATGGCCACTTGACGCCGAGTAGGAAGCAGCCCCAGTGCTGTCAGACAAGCTGAGGCGCTGGAGTCGTTGGATCAATTCAAGCCGGAATCCGCAGAGATTTTTTGCTCCAAAATGTTCAGCGCCAAAATTTGGTCCTTCGCGAGGTTTCTTCACCTGCTGCTCTTTCATGACCTCTGGCTCCACGAAATAATCACAGCCGGCGAGAGGCTGGCCGTCGAGGTTGCCTTGGTCGTGTACCGATGAGTGAGGAGAGGGTATCACCAGCCGACGGTCGTGGTACCTACTTGAGAGTACCTCGCAGGGTAGGTCTCTAGGTACCTTCATAGGTATGTACCTATTTGGACAGGCACCTCAAGATAAGTACCTTAGGTACGTAGGAACCCATGGCATGCTAGCACCTACAGTACCTACCCAAGGTCGGCATCTACCTAGGTAAGTACCCACTCCACCACTGGCACGTGTTTGGCGCCCAACTCCACCATTCATATCCATGCCGGGGCTATCCGTCCTTTGCCAGTTTATTACTCTGCTCTCTCTACAGAGAATGCTTTGCTGCGCCGTCCACAAATCACTTGTCAACCGCGCGCCTCCGCCCCTCGTGCCGTCCTGCCGCCAAACCCCCTCCGACTGCTTCCAGCCCTTTCACGGGCTTCTCCTCCAATCCGACAAGTCGTTCGAAGCCGCCATCCACGGTGCTTTCGCTCCGCCCCGGCTCATCGACGCACGCCTCTCCCAGGTCGCCATCACCACGCCTACTCGGGCTGGTATGGCGTCAATAAACCGCCTCCCATCTGCGCGCCCGCAACGCCGCCTCCTCAACAACACGGTTTCCCTCCCAATCATAAGCCGCCTGAGCTGAGGGACCTTTTTCCCTGCTCAATTATCCAGCCACTCGCCATGGTATGTATCCTGGTCCTTCGTCCCCGACCTCTTGCGCAAGCCGTCTCAGCTTATCTCTCTGTCCTCGCGCCCCCTCCAGGGCTGCTGCTTCTCCAGTTCCGCGGGCCCCAACTCCCCATATCCAGGCGGTGCCCCCAACGCCTCCGCCCGCCATATCAATCCACCACCCTCTCTAAACCAAACCGAGGCCGCCCCGACCGCTGCCAGCCAGGCTTCCTCTCGCCGTCGACGGCGGGACCCTGGTCCTCTTGATCAGCACATCAACAAGCCTTTACGTCGCCACGAGTGGTCCTCAAAGGATCGCCGATGGACTCGCCATGAGCTCGACTCGGAGCGTGCCGACTTCTTCGACACAAGGGTAACTGGCCGTCCCCAAGTATGGCAAACAGTTCACGCTGCCCTCCAGGTCCTGTGGCACCCAACCGCTCCTGACGACTCCAACGACGACGATCTTGACGGCCTCGCCACCGCCCAGTCTATACTCTCGGCCGCCGAAATATCGTTGCCCACTGGCGATCTCGCCAATGGCGTATACGACTCGCTAGGGAACTACTATCAACTCCCCGGCTGGGTCGTCTCCGACCCCAGCAACCTAGCTCAGGATGGTGACGCAAACGCCAAGGGAGACTTGTCGACCCCGGATGAGGATTCTGCCGAAGAGGTCCAAGAGCTAGCCGTCACTGATGCGCAGAAGCGTCGCGAGGAAAAGGGCAAGGCGGTCCTTGATCTACGCGAGCAGATGACTCTACGCGCACGCCTAAGCGAGACCGGCCGTGACGTCCAAGTCAGCATGGGCAAGTCAGATCTAGCACGCAGCGTCGCCAGGAGCATCGCGTTAGAAGCAGCGGTATGCCCTCCCTACCATCTCTATCCGGGAAGCATGCAATGTCGCTGACCACAAACCTCTCGCGCCCAGCTGCCCTCCAACAAGAGGATCCGGCTCGCTTACATGGGCAAGATTCTCAGGGAGAATTCGACACTTGAGGCTCAGGGCTGGCAGGGCGGCCACGTCATCAATGCCTTTGTCTTCTAGCTCTTGTTTTGCCGCACACAGACCGTGTCTCTGCGGCCGCCTTCCCTCGTTGCGCGGTTCCGAGATTCCCCATCATTGATGTTGCGGGCATTTCTCTAATCCCAGTCGTCTCGGCCAGGCTGGATAGCACCTTGTCGGATCAGGCACGACGCATCTGGGTCATAACCATGTTTGTGGAGTTGATGGGCGATTTCACGTCTCTTTTAATATCCCCATTTCCTTACAATATACCCCCCCCCCCCAGCTTTCCCTACTGCTCTACCAAACTGTTCTTGGGACACGGCATTTGCAAATGTATGTACGAATCATATAGCAAGCGACCCGTGCCATCGCCACCTGCGGCATCGGACGCCAGCCTTCATCTCGGCCCAGTCCCGTGATTGTGCCTTGGCCTCATCGCTGCTTCACTTCTTCCATTTTCTACTATGCTAGACACTGATGCCATCTACACGACCCGCCGACAGCAAGAACAGCATCCTGTTCTCGTCCGCCCTGTGAGCTTTTCCCGTGCCAAGTCGACCATGCGCACCCTTTTCTGACTCCCCTTCACCCGCGTCGCGAGAAAAAATCTTCATTGAATTTGGTTGTACGCGCCCCAGTACGGGGCCCATCACTGGAAACGGTCATGAACATTACCACATGACGTCCTACTGCGAGCCAATCTTGTTCAACCCCTTGAGGGAGCCAAGGCTCAGGGCCAAGCCTTGCGACCTGCTCCTGATCCTGACGAAACCCGTGATTGGCCCGTCCTCTCCTTCTTTCTCGATACTCAGGTTGGCGAGCGCGTCCTCGCCTATAAAAAAATGGTCAGCTGCCGACTCACTAAAAAGAAATCTCAAGCTCTTCCCTCTGGACTTACCAAACACACTACGGGCATACAAGTTGGCGCTCAGGAACTGGCAGTCTCCCTTTAGGCTTGCCTCGGGGGTGAGGCAGCTCATGTTGGTACACGCCATCAGCTGATCCAGGAAATTCCGCAGCGACTTGGCCTTGGAGTTGATGTTGACCTTGTTTTCCCACTCAAACTCGGTCCACATGGTACGGAACTGGGTTTCCGTGCAAGTGGCCGGCTGAATGTAATCCATGATGTCGACATGCAAATCGTTCAGGATGACGACATTGGTGTCAGTCGAGTGGGCCCCGTCGTACACCACGTTGCCGAAAATGACACCCGTATCTGTTGACGAGACCTTGATGGTGCACTGGACATTGTGGAAGTCGTGCGCTCCCAGGTTCTGCGTCGTTGGCCGCTCCACGACCTTGAGGTCACCGAGCGTTGCAAACTCGACGGACAGGTTCTGCAAAGTCTCGGTTGTCTGGTTGACAAGGAGCACGTCAAGGACGATGTCGAACTGATGAACCTTGACATACGCTTCGGCGTACACGGGGTCCGAGAAGCCAGTCAACTGGACGACGCGGCTGAGCTTGGACGAAAGGTCCTCGGTGGTCGACTCGCCGCCAGTTGCCCTCTCCAAGTCCACCTCGATCTCGTCAAAACCGTCACCAACGTTCTTCTTGGAGAGCTGTCGGATCTGAACGACATCGTCGACTTGAATGGCCGTCTTCGCCTTCTCGTACGCCTCCTTGGCAGCCCGCTTCTTCTCTTCCACCTGAACCATGGCCCGGAATGCCTTCCTCGTATCGTCCAGCCATACGGTCGCCAGCTCCTTCTTCTCGTTGAAGTTTGCCAGAGAGCGCACGCATGACATGATGCGATCAACAGAGTCTTCGTCAATGGGCGCCTTGACAAACTGAGATTGTCCGACGCGGAGTATAGAGATCATGATGAGCATGGCTTCGGCCCTCAGTGCATTCGTCCGTGCCTTGTCAGCGGAGATCTCAGAATGTCGCATGACCAGCTTCACCAGGGTTGACACCAGGACTGTGGCCAAATAGTAGTCTCCGTCGAGGATCAGCTGTCGCAACGGTGGTTTTTGAGCGGCCTTGACGGCTTCCAACTTGGCGGTAGCCGATGATTGACTAGTGAGCGCCGTTTCGGTGGCATATGTGCCGTCCGCGAGTACCTTGCGTGAGCCGCTTGGCGCCGCCGGCTTCGAACTGCCGTTGACCTGTTCGTCGACTTTGTCGCTGTCGTGTTCCTCCAGTAGCCGCTGCTCCGAGGCGAGGATGGGGATCTCGCCAAGGCTGGCTCGTATCCGCTTCCACGCATCCCGAATGTCTGCCTCGTCCAGGGAATACTCGCCAATGATCCACATGATTCCTCGGTACACCTTGCCTGCGCGAACCTCGCCGAGAGTCGAGACGAGTCGCTCCACGATCGTTTTCCGCAGGGCAGGGAACTTCTCCACGACTTCCTTGACAAAGTTGATGACGTCGACGGCGGAAGCATTGTTGAAGTCTGCGATGAAATCCATCAAGAGATCCACTACGCTCGCAGCTATCTCCGAAAACTTGATGGCGCATTGGTGAATCGAGTGAATGAGAAGCGAGCGATATTCCGTGTTCTTCTCGTATTCTTGATCCACGGTCTTTGAAAGCTCCTTCTTGAGGAGAAGTACCACCTCTTCGACATTTCTGCTCGAAACCATATCCAAGGCGATGCCGAGCGCCTTTCTGCGCACATCAATATCTGTGCTCGACAGTACCCGAAGAATCTCCATGGTCAGGTCGTCTAGAATGCCCTCGTTCTTCTTGCGCAGCTGGTCGACGCGGTCAAGCACGATAAGCTTGACATTGTTGTCTGCCTCTTTGATGCTCAGCTCGATAAACTTCGCGGCGGCAGCCTTGACGGCGACTGGGTTATTGGTAAGGGCAGTCAGGGATGAGGCGGCTTCGTAGACCACGGTTGACGCCCCAGCATCCAACAAGTCGAAGATTAATCTCAAGTAGCGGGCCTTGTCCTGTTAGCGGTGACGTGCTTGGCTTTCGAACCGAGTCCTGGACGTACCTTGTTTTGCGAGTTTTGGACCGCATCCTTGCGGATGAACTCGAGCTCTACTAGCTGCAGCAGTTCCTCGGCGTTTGTGATGCCCTCGAAGACGGAGCTCAGATATGAAAGCGCGGCATCGTGGTTGATGCTGGCCAGTGCTGCGAACGCATTTCTTTTGCATGTAGCATCAGTTTCTCCATCGAGAAAGTTGGAGATGAGTTCGGCCGCATCGGGGATGAGGGACGGTGAGTGAGAGTAGATTGACGACACGGCAAAAACAGCGTTCTTTCGAACGTATGCGTGCCGGTGCTCAAGACACGAACGCGCCGAGGATAGAAGTGGCTCAATCAGCTCTGGCTCGCGTAGTTTGCAGAGGAACCTCAACGTATTTCCTCGAATGTACTCATTGGCATGTTGAAGATCGTTCCGGATGCCATTGCTAGAGGCGACGCATGTTCGGTCAGCCTGTGTCGCCTTGCGGAAGCAGGGCTGCCTACCAGACCAAGATCATCTCCTGCTTCAACTTGCCGCTGGAGTCGAGCTTGGGGCAGATCTCGTAGTAGAAGTATAGGAGCTTTTTGAGAGCCTTGTGTTTGGAGGGCATGACGAATCGAATGATGTGCATGAGCAGGGTAGGCATCGGATCGCCATTGAGCATGATGGTCAAGATGCGCTTCATGGTTTCGACCTTGGTGTCGTCGGTACCCTTCTCCAGCTGGGTGCGCAGGTCGGGGACCGAGGGCACGTCGGCCGCATTGTCCTGATGGACCAGGCTGTAGGCATTCTCAAGGAAGCCAGACATGGCGGCGGTTGGTTATCGCAGCGCTGTTTCGGCAATCGTTGGATGTGGAATCACGACCGTAGGATGGGAGAGGGGCTCAAGGGCTCGGCGACTCGGGAGCTGCGAGAGTGCCAGGATGCAGAGGACTGAGTGGGTTGGCTGGCTCGACAGTCCCGTCCGTTGTCGAAACACCAGTTCCAGGGCCGGAGTCGCCAGGGCGTGCCGAGTTTATAGAAGCCAGCTCTTCACTTGGACAATGGCCAACTTTCCGGAGATGCAATGGCTGGCCCGACAGCTAGAAACAGGTGGCACGAACGACTTGGCAACCTGGCGTGTCACGTGGAAGGTACCGTACAGCGGACCCTTGGCGACTCCTTTCCCATTCGGCCTGCTACAAGTGGGGAGCAAAGATTCTGCCAATTAGCATCTCCCTTTACGCCTATATTAGGAGTGTTCATCCTTCTGTTCTTGTTGTATAGTTGTTTAAATCGAGTTGAGAGTCTAAATCACTCACCAGTTATGTGCTTCTCATATGTGCCTACGCTAGATAGGAGGCTTCTAGGAGCATGGCAGCTGGACTGATGAAATGAATGCCCGCCAGGCTTGCTTGTACTGTACCGGGTTACTAAGCGGGAGGGTCTCTGAGTGAAAAGACCAGGCGCCACGCTTAGGTAAGGGATTTTCCTCATCCTCCCACCTCCTTGTGTGCAAGGCCTGGCTGGCTGCACTCGTTTGTTTCAAGCTCGACGATCCACAGCCGCCATGTCTTCGTCCTACGAGCCGTTCTATCTTCGATACTAGTGAGTTGTTGCCGTGCCTGACGCTGTGCTCGTCGTCATCAACATGCTCACCGGAGAACCACATGCAGTTCGGGGCACATGGGTCGCTTTGGCCATGAGTTCCTGGGTATGAGCCTCCCCATGAGCCACTGCATCTGCGGCGACGGCCTTGATCCTAACTTGAAAAATCGCAGAATTTGACTTTAGGGCCGTGGGCGACGGCCGCAGTGCTGTGACGCGATACGCAAACAACTCCAACTATCGCAACGACAGTCTCATTCGCAAAGAGAGTAAGTATGACGCCAAGGTCGCGCGTCTTGAGGAGGGCGCGTGGATGCGCTGACCGTCGTCGACTTCTGAAACAGTGTGTGTCAGTTCGGTCATTGTCGACGAAATAAAGCGTATTGTCAAGACGAGTGAGATCGTCAAGTGAGTCGGACAGCCTTGGTTCTCTGGTCTACTACATGCTCTGACAGCGCGACAGGGAAGATGACTCGAAATGGCCACAGAAGAACAAGGACGGTCGTCAAGAACTCGAGATTCGAATGGGCAACGAGCACATCTCCTTCGAGGTTCGTGTCGAGTGCGCTTTTCTCCGGTCGTAACCGGCGCTCACAACTCGCAGACGGCCAAAATCGGCTCGCTGGTCGACGTCACTGAATCTGCCGACCCCGAGGGCCTCCGCGTCTTCTACTATCTCGCCCAGGACCTCAAGGCGTTGGTTTTTAGCTTGATTGCTCTTCACTTCAAGATCAAGCCTATTTGAGTAGTATGGGGAAATAGGCTATTTTCCTGCACAGCCTTGGATGATAACGGCTCAATGACACCACCTACGACAATCGTTCAGTTTTCTGCCAAGCTTTGGCTAGGAACTCGCCGTCAAACGGGGCCTGGGCTCACGTGTGCAATCAACCACTGGCGAGAAATGACAGGATCATGGTTCCGGAAAAGCGTTGGAAGCGGCTGTCCCGTCTCGATCATCGAGGATGTATGTGCAAAGGGCGTGGGGCAGGAAATACTGCTCACAGGAGTACTTCGTGTGTGAATCGCATCGATAGATGTCCGTCTAGATCCTGGACGTTGACGAATGACGCCTAACACATCGGCTGCGCCAATGCACTGACGGTCGGTGCTTTGTCTGCTGACCCGGCGGCCTCGCCTTTCTGTGACCGTGTAACTTACCTCTGTCACGGCCACTCACAGCTTGTGTGACGAGGGTTCATCATGGAATTCGTTGGCTTCGTGCCCAACCATGGATAATTGAGGCCCGAGCTGCTCGGGAAGATGCCCCGATGACCCAAGGGGTGCTGGACCTGCCGGGAAATATAAAAGGGTACGGTCGGGGTGCGTAGGAGGGGAGCTGGTTAGGAGCACGTGTAAGTTACGGATACCTTCAGAAGCAGCTGGGTGCCCAATTGGTCGCCCAAACGCACATCAGGGACCACGGAAAAGACGGGGGGGGGGCAAGGACGGCTTCAAATACACCTTATCCCCCAGTGCCGAGACCAGCTTGTCAACAGCCGGTGGGAGAGCAGTGCTGACACGCCGACGCAGGGGCCTCCCAGCGCTCGGGAGGTCTGGGGTAGGTTTGCGCATCCAGAATGGAGGGTATTGCTCGCCACAGTCCGCAAGCGCGGGTTTGATAGCCTGTGCAGTACGACTGTCTTCGCCACGCACGCCGCTTCAACGACTGAAAGAAAGCCGGGGTCTTGCCCGTACAGGACCCGAGGCAAGGTTGGTCCCTCTGTTTCTGCTCGTTGGAAAATCAGAGTGGGCGACTCGGCGGGGCGAGTATCACGATCGCGGTCTCGCAATGCCGATGCATCATCGGTCGTTGCCTCACCTCGTCGTCAATTGCTGCTCCGTAGCGCCTTTTCGACCTGGCCGGTAGGTCTCTTAATTACTAGGCACTTAGTTCTCGAGAGGGTTGCTGATGCCACAGTTGACCCGGCACCACTGTCAGCAAAGATCGTGTACTTGACAGACACTTAGGTACCTACCTTAGCTACCTAGGTAGATAGGTACCCATGCGGGTGTGTGTTTTAGACAGGGGGTGTGACAGCCAATAGCGGCGTAAAAACAGCTCTTAGGTGAAGCCTTTTAGGTACAAGTACTCAGAGTCACGACAGCTATCCATTACAGTAGAGAAGACTGCTACAGCAGTTGCGTCCTTTGAGATGTCACTTAGCAGAATACGAGAAAGGTATTCTCCAGTAAACCCCCATCACCGGCTTCAGGAGCTGCTAGCAGTCTTTTTCATCTTTCGGCGGTCTCTGCCACCTGCTGGAGCCTTGGAAAGCTGTTACCCACGTAACGGAAGGCGCGCTCTCTCTTGCCCTCTCCTACTAAGCAACGCAATCGCCCTTATAGAGTATAAACGTAGCTGCTCTTTCAATGTAGAGACTGTTTGGCCGAACAGCAGTGCCCCCTGTGTCTGTGACCCCCATGGGCGTCGGTCCGATACGTATATGTGTGTAACTTTTGCCTTGTTCCCTGTCGTTTGTGCCTCGTTCCTCGTGCATCGTAGCCTGCCTCCTCGGCGTGCCATGTATCACGTGATCCAGGCGCCTCGTAGCACTAGGGCGCTTATCCTTTTTCCCTCCCGCACGGAGTACCTACGGGAAGTCGCAATAGCTGACGACAGGAAAAATCCTTTGCCAGGGAAAAATAGCCAGCCTGAAAAGGCTTTTCCCCCCCTTGTCCACAGGCGGGACAAGGCGGAGGCTACCGCCACCCCAGCAGCTCTCACACCCCCTGTCCAAAAACCCCACTCGCGCGTAGGTACCTGGATAGGTATTAAGTACTTCGTACAGTACAGTACTGCACTACTCCGTACAGTAAGGTAGATAGAATTAGTGCCTGGGCTTGCTTAGCAGCTTACCTAGGTACCTAGGTGCCCACAGTAAGGGTGCCCGGAGAGTCCTCGGCTACCCTTGCCTGTCCTGGTCCCTCCGGGTACGGAAGGTACTGTACATAAGTACATACGTACACCGGTGGTGTCGAGGCATGTGGGTACAGTGAAGGTTGCGTTCGGTACGACACTGTACGGCCTCGCTCGTCCTGCAACAAAAGCGCCTCGACTGACTTGCACCGCATCTCCTGCTGTCAGCCAGCCCTCCCAAGGGTTGACATAACCGATTCCGCCAAACGCCTCGTCGCTCTCCTGTCGCCGCCAACCCACGCCTTACCATTTCCCGCTGGCTCGCCCATCTCGCCCATTCTTCATTTTTGTCTTCCCGCGCCCGCGCCCGGTAACTGGCCGCAAAACCATCCGCTCACTCCCTGGCCATGCGCTGAACGGCTGGCTTTCATGACATTGCCAACGTTCGACGGCACCTCTGGGTGATATTCGGTCTCGTCGACAGCCCTCTCCAAGTATCCGTATCCATCCCTGTCGCCCAACCGGTGACGCTCCCGCTCGGCTGGCGGCGCCTGCGCGCAACAACTGTCGAACCAAGACGCCCAAGCCTTCGGCCGGCCTTTGGTCACAACAGCCGCCGCGTAACCCGCCGACGGTGCAACATTTCCTTTGCTCAAGGCAATCCCGCACGATCCTACCGCACCCTCGTCCCCCTTCCGACGACGATGCCGACTCCTTCTTCAGACCAACCGCCCGATCCCTCGTCGCCACCTCCCTTTACCTTCTCGACGTGCCCCGACGACGTGCAGTATCCTCCCCGCTCACCTCACCAGGCCACCGCCACATCACAGCAGCCTGATAGCATTGAGGTGCGACCCGACTCATCACTCGACGGGCCGTCGCCACCGGCTTTCGAATCTCATGCCGACCGAGGGGAACATGTTGCTAGCCACGAGGCTCGCGTCCTAGGCTACCAACCATCGTCCCCCGAGCCATCCTCGAGAGCCACGACCGTTTCTCCTGGCCCGCAATCCACTGCCACGGAAATCACTTCCCCGGTGCCGAGCGGGCCAGACAATGATATAGCCAAGGCCTGCGAATCCGGGCCTGATGGACCTGTCAGCCAAACCATGTCGACCGCGTCAAGGCGCTCACCCGGCGGGACTTCGACTTCTTCCCTCGCTCGGGACATGGATCCTCAGGACTTGCTCATGTACGATGACGGGGATGACCTCTTTAGCTCCACCTCTATGGGAATGGATTTTTCCAGTATGCGGGTAAGCGCACATCGTCATGTTCGGACTGCCGGTTTTGTGAGCTGACCGCGGACAGACCATCCCAATATCACCGTCGTCATATCTCCGCCCCGGCAGCAGATTTCATGGAACGCAGCAATCCGAGCGGCAGGTGTACGATGTTCAGGTAGAAATCAAGCACGTCGATATGCGCGAATCGTTTCTTTGCGGCTATCTGCGTATCCAAGGTGGGTAGACAAGTTCCGCGAAGAGGCAACGAATACATGGGCTCACGCTCCCCTTCGCCTATAGGCCTTACCGAAGATCATCCAACCCTCACGACGTACTTTGAGGGCGAAATCATTGGATCAAAGTACGGGTTCGTCACTCAGCACGAGGACTGGGGCGCGAGCTTGAAAACGGACATGAATCACTGGAGCAAGTTTGGTGCGTTCCGGCCTTTCCAGAAGCATGTTCGCAAGGGCCCGGTCGTCATACAGGATGTCGCCCAGAAAGAAAACATCTTCATGCGATGGAAGGAGCACTTCCTGGTGCCCGACCACCGCGTGCGAACCATAACGGGAGCCAGCTTCGAGGGCTTTTATTACATTTGTTTCAACCAGATGAAGGGAGAGGTGAACGGGATCTACTTCCACTCCAAAAGCGAAAAGTAAGCATGCCTGATCCGCAGCAGTGGCCACTTGTTGAAGCTTATTGGCGGACTCTAGGTTCCAGCAGCTGGAGTTAAAGCACGTCCCGGACCGTGGATGTTTCAGCGCTACGGAGTTTCGGTAACGATTTAGCACTTGACAAAGTGATGGATACCTTGATTTAGCGACAGGGGGGATATGCGATTGGAATGGTATATGAAAGGATGTTATGGGAGCTTGGGACATGAATCTGGCAATGCCCAAGGCGGCACGCCGCTTGTCCATAATGACATCTTCGTAAGCAACGGGACACAGCATAGATGACACCAACTATGTTTCTGGGTTGGCATGGGGCCGGGTTGGTGTCGAAGCAAGAAAAGGACATTTGTTACGTCTACCGACGCGCAGGCTCATACTGAAAGCACGACACACAGGCTTGGGCAAGGAGACGAGATGGTGGCTGGGTCAGCTTCTCATGCTAGTCTTTTGTCTCGAACTTATGAAAGTACCCGCGGCGAAATGGATTCAGTTCGTCTGCCGTTGTGCCCACATGCTGGACGCTTTTTTGTGCCTCGTAAGCCTCGAGCAAAGACTGCGAGACTTGGTCATCTGGAATGCGCCGATATGTGATGAGACGCCTCGACCCTGACGAACTAGTTAGCACATGTTTGGGCCCGCTCGTAGGGGGGATGCATGCAGCATTCAACCCGCGGAAACCGAGCACGGGATCGCCTCACATTTGTTGAAGACCTGGACACAGACCACCACAAGCTCGAGGCATGGGTGCGATGGCACTGTCATCTCCTGGTCTTCGTCGTTGGCGGTGGGCATCCAGAAGGAAAGCCTTCCGTTGTCCACGAGGGTCTGGGCCGAGAATTCAAGGATATCGCTGAGCATGGCCAGAAAACTATAGGGCTTCTTTGGCGGCACGAAATCGGGAAGTCTTTGCAGAGGTCAGGCTCTCGACGTGTTTTCAAAGCACTCTCAGGCAAGGGGGGAAGCAAGGATGAGGGACAATACACACCCTGCCTTTTTCATTCCTTGTTCGATGACCCAAGGGGTCTTCTCCGGGTCCCTGACACCAAGCACCCTCAGCCCTTCACGCACGCCATAGGGCGGATCGCACACGATGCCATCCCATATCTTTCTCCCCTTCTTTACGGGCGTGTTCGTCAAGTCCGCTGCGAACATGTCGCCTAGGCATCTGCCGAGGCCGTACTGCTCAAAGTTGCCCCGTAGACTCTTGCGCTGCCCGTCACCACGGATGCTCCGGCCATCAATGTCACTCCCCCATCCGACGGCGCCAAAGTGCGCGCAGGCTATGGGGAAAGAGCCTGTGCCGACAAAGGGGTCGTAGAAGAGCTTGCCTGGCGCGGCGAGTGCAATGTTGGCCGTCACCAGGGACAGCTCCGAGTCCATGCTGGTGGTGGAGATGTAGCCTCTTTTTTTGAGGTCAAACTTGAGGATGACGTCGCGCGATGAACTCGCGACGAGTCGCCCGAGATACATCATGTCTGGATTTTCAACGCCGAGGGGCACGCTGTTGAAAGGCCAGAGCTCAAATACGGTGAAGACATTGTCCGGGCGGGACATGGAGATGGGGCCTTCGAAGGGGAGGAACCGGAACGAGTTGATGATGGATAGCCTTTGGCCGTCGGAGCGCGTCCCCTGGTATGAGTCGATGGCAAACTTGAACGACAGGCCTTTGAACCGAGCCCATGTCTGGCTTGTCCGCTCCTTGACAGACCGATGAAGCTCGTCCAAGGTGGCGCCGGAACCCCAGAGCTCATGGATTGACTGTGCCAGAACAGACCGTCTAATCAACTTTTGAGCGGCCTCGAGAGATGGGAGCCGGACGAGGCACAAGGGCGACTGCGGCCGGTCAGAGTTGCGCTCCCGGGGACGTTGCCTCAGGGGTGGTGGTGAGCAGACTCGCCTCGAGGCTGTACTTAACGACTGCCAAATCGACGCCCTCGACAACGGCCAGGGCCTCAATCTCGGCCAGCCGAAACGACTCGTGCGTTTGGGCAAATTTGACGATAAAGTCCATGGCTGACCAAGACTTTGCTGTGCGGCTGAGAGCGCTCGTCGACCTACACTTGCACGAGCCCTCTTTTGGGTGGTGTGGCTGCCAATGTTAAGGCATTTCTGCAAAGTTCGGGAGCTTGCGACAACAGGGACTTGGTCATGCCTTGCTTGCACCTTGGCTGCTGGCCTGAGAGGTGTTGTCGTTTTCCAGCCTGCCAGAGCTGGGAGATTGTGGCGTTGTTTGGTTAGTCAGGTCGTGAAGTCCGAGTCCACTTCGACGTGTGCGAAATTTCACCGACAAGCATCCGCGCCCTCGCAACGCCCTTCTCCTCTACGCTGGCCTGGGTCGATTATTTTTGCACGAGTTTTTGGATCAGTTCACCCATCACAGCCTACGATACAGCAATAGACCAGCGTTGCGCAACGCCGTTGTGGACTTCGCCTGCGAAGCCTGACACTGACCAGCCAGTTGGTCCTCACCCCTACTCAGACCTCTCATCTTAGAGAGGCTCAGCCGGCCATGTTTCCCCAGCCGTCCCCGTCCATCTACCAGTCGTCCGCGTGCTTCGTCACGTACGGCACAATGGGCCATGTTGACCGTAAACAACTGCCACAAAGGGGCAACCCGTGGACGGCGATTGCTGCCCAAGATTTCATCCACAAGGTATACTAAATCTACGACAATCTTATGCTTTCCCGCGGTAGACTCGTCGGGCTCCGTTTTGCAATTCAAACGGCAAGCTAGGCTAACTGTGAAAGGTCGATTTGATTGCTCCTCAAGAGTTTTTCTCTGTTCTATACGAGAAGCTCGTCGAGCAGCGTCAACAACCAGTGTACGCCCGCGTTACCATGACGCTGGGCCAGCTTCTGGAGGCCAACTTTCTCACCGAGTGCATCAAGGAAGGCATGAAGATCCCTGACGGCGTGCCCTTGCACACGACAATGACTTGCTGACGCGGTCGACACAGGAGACGCCTTGATGCTTTCGGAGGGTAGGACAACAACGGATAACGTGTTTGCGCTGCACAAAGGTACCCAGCTAGACACGAAGAGCGCATCGTTGACGAGCGACTGAACCTCCATGGCCTAGGTGTGCTGAAAATGTATCTCGACAAGGAGACATACGAGCGTGCCGGGCTTACAGGAAAGCCTCACGGCCCCAAAGGCAACCGAGGACTCAAACCCAGTTGGGGTAGGATTTTCTTCCGGATATCACAGCGTTCCACTCTTCGTTTTCTAACTGGTTCTTGCAAAGTTGTCTCATACGACCTCATGAGCCCGGCAATGATGATCGGCAAGAAGGGATTCGACAGGCTAGTATATGCCTGCCAAAGCGTCCTTAACACGCCGCTGACATGGCTCTACTGCAACGCTGACCCATCAAGTGCGTCATATCCCGCCGCCCCTTCTGCCCTCACGCTGAAACCTGACTGCTTGTTTGACAGCATCTGGTCTCGACCCACTGGAGAGATACAAGCCCACATATCACACTGTAGCGCCGGCCGTCGTGCAGAAACGACAAGTCCCCCAGGTCGAGCTCGGTGTACCGGCTTCGATCCTGGCCGAGGAGGATCGTTCAGGCCTAGAGGAAACGGCAACCGAATTGTACGAGTGGCTGTCGCTTCATCGCCTGCAAAGTCCACGGGCCACTCTCGGCGACGCCGTGGACCCGTTTCTCTCACGATATAGCATACCGTGCAGCAAGGGCGGTCAAGCTCAGATCTGTCTGCTCAATTGGCATGGGTTCCTCGGCGCGAGTTGGCTTCGCGATCTCATCACGGATGCCCTTGAGACATGCCCGCCGCACCTCTGGGTTTCAATTAGCGCCACTGGTTTCCCGCGTAGTGTTCCCGGGAACGCCAACGACCTCACGCTGTTGCGTGCATCTGGAACGGCCAACGAATATCTCATGTGGGAGGCAAAGGGGTCCGACTGATGACTCAAGCGCGCTTGGAACGAACATTGCGCTCCTCGCCCAGGCCTTGGTCCATCAGGGCGTCCTCAACCAGCTTGCGCAGATCAGATTGCCCCTGCGGGGTGTTGAAGTCGTCTCTCTGGGCGAGCTCCTCAATGCGTCGGCGAAACTCTGGATCGACTTCGGTAGGAATATCTACCGTCTGATCCAGGGTACCCAGGGTGAAATCCATGCCCTCAATCGGCGGAGGGTTCATGATGTCAGGAACAGCGGTGGTGGCCACCGGCTCGCCAGCCTCGATGGTCGAGGATCCGAGTCCTGTGAGATAGGCTGCGACGGCCGGAAAGTCACCCTCAGCTTCGATTTTTCCGGCTGCCGTCAATCCTTCTGAGCTCCTGTGACGGACGTCTGCGGACAATTCCTCCACTAGAACTCTCGCAGCGCCCACCGTCTCGACGACGAAGAGGGCAGTTTCGTTATCCTCGTCCACGATATTGATGTTGACGTGGAACTCGTGCACCAGAGCTCGGAGCAGGTCGAGGTGGTTGTAGCTGGCGGCGGCGTGGACAAGAGAGTAGCCATGCTCATCTTGAGCAGAGGCCAGCGCGGGGTTGTCGCGAAGGAGGGGTAGCAGCTCAGGGCTGTTGTCGGCGGCAAGGAGAAACGGATTTTGATTATGAGCCATGGCGTGATGAAGAGCGCAGAGCTGGGGGTGAATCGAGACTGCCTTGCAGCACAGCACCGAGTTGGTTCACCGAATGAGGAATCGGGCAAGAAAAAAAAAGGCTTGATGGAGCACTGGCGAGGAGTAATCGGTGCGGAGCCGCTACCAGAGCACCCTACGTACTGTAATTAGGCGCCTCAGGGTGCTTGTTGATGACTCACAAGCCAGACCTAGAGCAACTGGCATAAAGGCGCCGGGCGTGCTCTGGTGACGCTCTTCTGAGCGCAACAAAAAAAAAATTCCAGGTCCGGGGCCTAGCACTGGACTACCAGTGGGTCAAGGCGAATCTGTGACAGTGACAGGCTGAGCTGGGCTGTCTCCAGAGGCGTCCCGGTGCTCCTTCGAGGAAACAACGCGTGAACGGTGCGAGCCGAGTGCGCTGCCTCCTCTCACCTGCCTAGCTACCTACCTATCCTCTGGTCCCTTCCTGCTCGTCCACAGATTCTCAAGCCGTCTCACCAACGCCTTCACAGTGTTTCTCGTCTGCGCGGCGTCTTGAAATCAGCTCGAGGTAGGTGACCGTGGCTTCCATCCGCCTATCTGACTCGCGGCTCTCGCCATAAACATACAGGGCCGGCGAAGGCCTTCGAGCTTGTCCTTCTTATAAAATACCTTTTCTGACAAGACAGCACGTCTAGGAGCTGCTTCCGTCAGATATCTCGCAAGCAAAGAGCAATCCACCGCTAAATAAATTAGAAGGAGGAACTATCGAGGCCCAGGCCCCCCTGCTAGGCTCATGAGCATTGCCTCGACAGCTTGCCGCAGGCTGCCAGTCTTTACGAATTCTGCAACGCACCGTCACCCCCCAGCTGCTTTCTCTCTCTGGTCACCATCTCCTCTTTTGCCATCGCGGCTTGCCACTCGAAGCATGGCGTCATCCGCCCCCTATGCCCCTCAGGACGCCAAGGAGGTCGCCCGTGTGTTGGATGCCCTAGAGTCGGCCCGCAAGGAGAAGCGTCGCGGCGGCTTCTCGGTCAAGAAGACGACCTTTGACGTCAAGTCGTCTCGGGATGGCATCCAGGTCGACTCGTGGAGACTCCAGGACTGGGACTACAAGCGGCCTGGCTTGCCAACCTACGCCCGCGGCCTCTTCACCACCAAGACACGCAACGGGACGCCCGAAATCGTTGTCAGGGGCTATGACAAGTTCTTCAACGTGGGCGAGGTCAACGATACCAAGTGGGACAACGTCATTGCCAAGACGCAGCCGCCCTACGAGCTGACCCTCAAAGAGAACGGTTGCATCATCTTCATCTCCGGGCTCGAGGACGAGACTCTGCTCGTGTGCAGCAAGCACTCGACTGGCGACCGCGCCGATGCCGACGTCAGCCATGCCAGTGCAGGCGAGATCCGCTTGGAGAAACAGCTGGCCGCTATCGGCAAGACCAAGGCCGACTTCGCCCGCGAACTACGCCGGCGCAACGCAACCGCCGTTGCCGAGCTCTGCGATGACTCCTTTGAGGAGCATATCTTGGCCTACGGCCCAGAAAAGGCTGGCTTGTACCTCCACGGTGTCAATCTCAACCTGCCAAGCTTCAGCACCTACCCGAGCGTCGCCGTGCAAGAGTTTGCCGGCCAGTGGGGCTTCCACAAGATAGGACTCATCACCATGGATGACTTGCTCCAAGTCAAGGCCTTCCTTGAAGAGGCGGCCCAGACCGGAGCTCATGGTGGCCGGGACGTTGAAGGCTTCGTCATTCGCTGCAGAAAGAGCCTCGATCCGGCCACACACCCTTACCAAGATTGGTTCTTCAAGTTCAAGTTTGAAGAACCGTATCTCATGTATCGGCAGTGGCGTGAATGCACCAAGGCCCTCATCTCCGGCAAGCACCCGAAGTTCAAAAAGCACGCCAAGATTACGGGAGAATACCTCACGTACGCCCGCAAGCGTCTGGCTGCCGACAAAAACCTTGGCAGGTTATACAACCAGAACCACGGCATCATTGCCCTGCGCGACGACTTTCTCAAGTTTAAAAACTTGAATGGTTCCGACGCCGCCAACATGGACGAGCTGGAGCCAGTCGCCATGACGGAGGTCACTGGAAACGTCATTCTGTGCCCCATTGCGACCATTGGATGCGGGAAGACAACCCTTGCCCTGGCTCTGACCCATCTCTTTGGATGGGGGCACATCCAGAACGACAACATTTCTGGCAAGGGGCGCGCGCCTCGATTCACCAGGGCTGTTCTGGACCAGCTCGAGCAGCATCCTGCTGTGTTTGCAGACCGGAACAACGCGCAGCGACATGAGAGGAAGCAACTCATTCCCGACGTGAGACTCCAAAACGCCTCGGCAAAGCTCGTGTGTCTCAACTTTCAGCATGACGAGGACTCCATAGACGAGATTCGACGCGTCACCCAGGAGAGGGTTGTCGCTCGTGGCGACAACCACCAAACGATTCGCGCTGCCACGGACAGAGAAAGGTTTTTGGGCGTCATGGAGGGCTTCATTGGCAGGTTTGAGCCTTGCAATCCCCACGTCCAGCCGGACAGCGACTTCGACGTTGTGATAGACCTGGATCCCACGGCCGGCAGCCGCGTCAATCTCGAAACTGTAGTCACGCGGCTTCACCAGTATTTTCCGAACCTGGTCAAGGAAGTGCCGTCTCCCGAACGGCTCGATGCTGCCATTGACGGAGCCATTGCGTACCAGCCGACCTTCAGGCACGAGATCCCCATTCGAGCAAATGGGCGCAAAAACGAGACCCAGCAGTCACAGGAACCACAGAAGAAGAAGAAGAAGCCCTTGGAGTATATGTCTGTAGAGGTTCCGAGCCATTCCGTCAACGCAGCACTCGAGCAGGCCTTTCGTGGCACAGACTCGCAGACATCCCGCTTCTACAAGCAGCTGCAGCAAACACGGAGAGTTCAGCACAAGTTTCACGTTACCCTCATGCATCGTGCAGCCTCGAAGGAGCATCCCGAGCTTTGGCAGCGGTATGCGCAACTCCACCAGGCCGTCGGCGGGACCGAAGATTTGCTTGGCAGCTGTGAACTGATGCTCGAACGGGTGCGTACCAGCCGTTACTGTTGTTCACTTTAGTGTTTTGGCTACAGCGCTAACAGGATTGATTTCTTCCACTCCGCTTAGGTTGTGTTTGATGATCGCATCATGGCCATTGTAGTCCGTCTTATCGACCAGGAAGGAAAGTGGGAGTGTGTGAACCGGGTTGCTCATGTGACTGTCGGGACACGGGACAACTCGGTGAAACCCAAAGAGAGCAATGATTTGCTGGCCAAGTGGCTGATGGAGGGCGTTTCAGAGGGCGGGATTGGCGAGGTGGTCTTCCGGAACAATCCAACTGTCAAGGGGGATGTCAGAGGTGTACTGGCAAGGTAAGACAGAGGCATTTAAAGGGGTGTTCGGGACGGAACGGCGGGCAGCATTCGCTAAACACAGCTATGGGAAATTAGATGAATAAGTAGAATTTCTCCCGGGAAGCCAGACGATCGCCGTGGCTTTGCAGTCCACAAGCCCGCCATAAGGCGTCCGGGTTCCATTAAGGAGCCCGAGTTGTTTCGATTGCGTGCCACTACTATGTAACTTATCTGGCGTAACACAAGGCCGGTAGACAGCGGTGGCCAAGATGGCTGGCTAGGTAGTGTAATGAGATCAGCAACCTCGCGAAGGGTTGGAGTTCAGCACGTGCAGGGTCCCCGGTTGTCTTAGTCTTGAGGGGTATCATGTAATAGCATTTGTTGGCAAGCAGGTCGATCGGGCAAAGTCCTGAGGTGGCCCTCTATTCTAGGAAACACGGGGTATAGGTGTACATTGCAAGGAAGCATGAGCCAGGTCAGCCATATCCCATCCACGGAAAACAAGTTCGTGTCCACGCATATGCGTGTCTGCGTAGCTACTCGTCGTCCAGTATACGGCTGGCTATACTGCCAAAGACGGGTACTTCAAACCTTTGACGACGACTACTGTAAGCATCCGCCCCAGACGCGGGAAGAAAGGGGGGGGAGGGGTGACTCTACCTGTCGAGTATTTCCGCATCTCTGTATGCTCTACGAGTCAGAAGCGCGATGAGCGCAACATCTCCAAGGAAGAGAAGCCAGCTGAGGAACGAGGACCAGGAGAGGATGATGTGAAGTATCAGGGCTGCTGTAAAGAGCAGGGCGGACTGCCAGGCATGGAATCTAGAAGTGGATTGTTTGCTTGTTAGCGACACTGCGCCAATCGATCGGGGAGGGCATGGGATGAGCGCCGTCCAAGTCGGACAAGACGAGTGAATGCTGTCTAACCTGACGTAGTCGCTGTTGCGCTCCAAAATGAGGAGGATGATGGCGCCGAGGGGCGGCAGGGCCAGGTATGCCAAGCAAGCCTCATAGTCGAGACGCAGGCCAAGACTCGTATCGAACTCGCTGACCTGGGCGGGATATACTCCGGGGATTGCGCCTGCCGAGGACGAGGGACCGGCGCCAGACCAGCCGCCAGCTGCCTGGCCGTCGAACCCGCCCCAGGCGCGCTGAGGTTGCGGGTGCTGGAGCGGCGGCGGGCTTCGGGTGGCCCCGGCGGCGGCGTAGGCGTCCAGGGAGGGCCGCGGAGGCGACGCGGGGAACTCGGGCGACGCGACGCGTGAGTGCTCTGGGGGCGACGACTGGTAGGGGGCAAAGTCCATGGCGAGCGGGCGGCGGCGGCGACGGATCACGCCGATGGCATGTCTCGACGAGTCTGCGTGTGTTCGCGGTCTGGCGCCGGGAGTCGGGCGGGCGTGCGCTATGCCGCGATGCGTATCGAAGTCACAGATGTTGGGGCCGGCGACGGAGGCTTGAAAGGAGAAAAGGCGCCGGTTTGCCTGCTGTCGCGGCGGCGGGCAGTGTTGTCTCTTCAGGGTGGAGGATGGGGGGTTGTTCGGGGACAGAGTGAGCTGAAGCACCCTTGCCGATAAGATAAGGCACGTCTCAGTACAGTTCCAACTTCCAAGTAATTACGTATTAAACTCGACAAGTACGTTGTTATTATTAGTGCATGACAATGATTTACCCGTCTGCAATTCTGCCAGATTGAACCCGTTCACTGTCTGGTTCGTCCATCCCTACCCACCTGTACACTCATATGGGGGCATTAAGGTACTGTAATAGGTATGATTCATGCAAAGCGACGACACGCAGGCAAAGGGAACCGAAGTGGAGCTGATATGTTGCTCGAACCGTGGCTGCTGAGCGTCCGACTTCCGCCTGCGAGTTGAAGTCATCTATCTCCTCTGCGCCGCATCCCCGGGGACCCCCCCACCCTGCTGATTTGCTTGCTTGGCCTTTACAGCCACGGTACCACTCATGGATTGAGCCCTCTCGCCTACACAATATTCCAGGCCGGCGATAAACAGGCGCCGTGACGTACAGGCAGACGCTCTGATGCAGGTGTCTGCGGCACTATCTACCAACACCTTTACTTGGCCTCCTCCAACTGGGTTTTCCTCCCCTCCAAGGCAAGCCAGATATTCCGCCCACCACCCTCCAATGCCGTCGTGAGGCCTAGGCCGGCCCCTTGGAGGATGCCCACAAGCTGGCCGCGGAGTCCATCCAGGCCTCCCTGGATGCCGCCGACCCAGTTGATGCCGCTTTGATCAAATGCCCTGCCTTCGATTCGCCCTCCAACAAGCACAATCTTCGCCAGTCCGTTTTGGCATGTCGCGTCGTGGTACCCTGGACACTTCTTCCGCGTCGGCGGCGGGAATTTGCCCGGCACCGGAGCCAACACGCTCAAGGCTGCGGCCAGGTGTGCGGGCGAAACAGCAGGAAGCATAAGTGCCGCCAGAGGTCCGACCATGAGCGGTTCAAGCTGCGTGTAGCTAGACTCGGGCGGTGTGTTGGTCCTGCGGACTGCATCGTACGCAGCCTGCGACAGATCGTGCACGAGCGGTCCCCTCGCCGTTCGTGGGGTGGATGCAAGGGCTCCCGCCGTCTCGGGGCTATAGAATTCCACAATCTTCAAGGCGACGTCAAACATGTTTGTTCTCAAAACTTGAAGCTGTATCCTCGTCGCAAGGTCCAATGGATCGGCGCCGGGCGCCGGACTCGACGCCGGCACAGCGGCAACGGCCCTCTTGAGCTCTCTTCGCACCGCAGCCCACTCCGTAGCCGTCAGATTGCTGTGTTGGAAAAGAAGAATGACGGGGCTGGTCCGCAGCAACGATGTGTAGGTTCTAATCAGCTGGCTTTTCCTCGTCTCGACGGGGCGTGCGCTTGGGGGCTTAGTCGGCGGGGTGAAGTCGGCGGACAACTGACCACCGCCGGCAATGGACTTTGAGGTCGTGGCTTTCCCTGGTAGAGTCGTTGAGAAGTGCTGCCAGCTGGCGATGCCCCATGAGATTCTGCGAGTCGCGCGCTCCGAGGTCAGATGTCGAAGACAAGTCCTCGCGGGGACCGCCAATCTCTGTGCCATTGTGCGGTATAGCAGCCGGAGGGCGATGGAAAATTGCGAGGGGGGATAAGGTGTCTTCAAGCCGAGGCGGTGTCGGCAATCGCCAGCAGAAGGAGATGGTAATGGGGTTCAATGACCCACCGGCGCACCGAGCCACCCTCTAACCCTTTTTAACACCCCTTGCGCTTGAGCTCTTACGCTGCGAGGAGAAAGTACATCAGGACTAAGAAAAGCTGTATAAGGTACCTACTACGTACCACGTACTTAGGAACTTAGGAAATTGATATAAGTATATAATTAGTAGGTATGCCTGAAGAAGATTGGGGGGATATAATTATAACGACGAATGACTTAGTTGGGCAATTAATAATATATACAAGAGAAACTTAACGTCTACATAGAGAATAACAATGGCCCAAGTAACAAATATCAAAAAAACTCTTACCTAGGTAGGTAGGTAGGTAGGTAGGTCCTCCGTACGGAGTAGTGTGCCACATGAATACGATACCTCAGATACCTACCTACCTACCTTACCTTACTAAGGTAAGGTAGGTAATTTGGTTCCTGGGAGCTTTGTGTACAAAATACCGTGTACTTCGTACCCTTGGTCCGGATGCGTGCCATGCCAGCTGCCTAGAAAGCACGCAGGTGCAGGTGCCTCGCATCCTCCACCTCAACGAGTCTCCAAGAGCAACCTCTGTCGTGCGCCTCTCCGTCCAATCTCCATTCTCGCCACCACCTCGGAATCGGCTTTTCAGGGCGCTTTGACATCTCGTGTTGATTTTCCCCCTGCTCTCTTCGGGGCTCTACTCTCTGACCCTGTAGTTGTCCGTTGCCGTCCTCGTCGCTCATCCTTGACGGTCGGTGTCGCCTAAGCTTCGCCCGCCGCCGCATCGCCATGTCGACACTTGAGGAACTCGACGATCTCAACCGCAGAGGAAAGGATGACAAGAAAAGAGGTGGCGCAGATGGCAGGGGCGAGCAGAAAGCGTCGGATAGTGACGAGGTCATGAAGGACAAGGACGAAGACGACATCCTTGACGATGAAATTCTCGGTCTCAGCACCCAAGACATACAAACTCGGAAGCGGCTTCTAGAAAACGACTCCCGGATCATGAAGAGCGAGCTGTCCAGACTGTCGCACGAGAAAGCAGCAATGGGAGAAAAGATTAAGGACAACGTGGACAAGATTGCCAATAACCGGCAAGTAACCTCGCCCAAACTGCACCTTTGCCATCCATGGTCGCAGCAGACCACTAACGCTGAAACTGCAGACAGCTCCCTTACTTGGTCGGGAACGTCGTCGAGCTGCTGGATCTCGACCCCACCGCCGAGTCGTCCGAGGAAGGTGCTAATATCGACTTGGACGCGACCAGAGTGGGCAAATCAGCTGTCATCAAAACCTCTACCCGGCAGACCATATTTCTGCCGCTCATCGGTCTTGTTGACTCCGACAAGCTGAAGCCCGGTGATCTCATTGGTGTCAACAAGGATTCGTACCTCATCCTCGATACCCTGCCTGCCGAATACGACAGCCGGGTCAAAGCCATGGAGGTAGATGAGAAGCCCACAGAGCAGTACACGGACGTGGGAGGGCTGGACAAGCAAATCGAGGAGCTCGTCGAGGCCATTGTATGGCCTATGAAGGAAGCCGATCGATTCAAAAAGATTGGCATTAAAGCCCCCAAAGGTACGCAGGGCACCACTTCCTTATTGTCTCTCATGTTCCTCTGGCGGATCACGAAAGGTCTGATGGCGCATGGTGTTCTGACTGCATGTGGGGACATTTAGGCGCCTTGATGTATGGCCCCCCCGGTACCGGCAAGACTCTTCTTGCGAGGGCGTGTGCCGCGCAAACGGATGCCACGTTTCTCAAGCTCGCCGGACCCCAGCTTGTGCAAATGTTCATTGGCGACGGTGCCAAGCTAGTCCGGGACTGCTTTGCCTTGGCCAAGGAAAAGGCCCCGGCCATCATCTTCATCGACGAGCTGGACGCCGTGGGCACGAAGCGCTTCGACAGCGAGAAGAGCGGTGACCGAGAAGTGCAGCGTACCATGTTGGAGCTACTCAATCAGCTGGACGGCTTCGCATCGGACGACAGGATCAAAGTGTTGGCAGCGACGAACCGAGTTGATGTTCTGGACCCGGCGCTGCTCCGCTCAGGCCGCCTTGATCGCAAGATTGAATTTCCGCTGCCGAACGAGGAAGCACGCGCTCAGATTCTCAAGATTCACTCACGAAAGATGAAGGTGGATCCCGGAGTTAACTGGGGTGAGCTGGCGCGCAGCACCGATGAATTCGGAGGGGCCATGTTGAAGGCCGTGTGCGTCGAGGCAGGCATGATAGCGCTGCGGTCTGGGAAGAACAAGATTGGCCACGAGCACTACGTGGACGCCATTGCCGAGGTGCAAGCCAAGAAGAAGGATGTAAGTGATGCCCCTTGGCGACGGACTGGTGACGACGAGCGAGCCGAACTAACCACGCTGCGTAGACGGTCAACTTTTACGCGTAATGGTGTTGCACCGCAACTAGGTAGGAGGCTACAGGGTGCCGTCGTGACGGCGGCACGGGATACAACAACGGGCGTTGATACATACATAGAGAAGCATCTATTAGCAAGGTCGCCCCTGGAGTGAGATGCGGTTCGCCTAAGCCACGCGCAACAGCTTCCTAGCCGCATCAAGGGCCGAAAACAAGCCCTTTTTGCGCTGTCGCGGGAGTTTCCGTGAGGCGACAGCTACGTGTGCACGGGGTGGTGGCCATGAGTTCGCCTGGGGTACCGGGGGACTAGCCCCGGTGATTGCATCGGCGGTGCATGATGAATGGTGCTCCCTCTGGACATGTGCTTATGCAACACGGACTGCCCATTGCGGTCTCGTCGAGCATTGCAAGTAGGACCGCAGCTGCAATTTCACGAAGGCGTGACGTGACAACTAGCAGGATGCGGAGTGGATTGATCGCGATCAGTCAGTCAAGCCCCGGATGTTTTGCTCCAGAACGCCAAACTGGCGTAGTGATGTCATCATGTACCGTCCCCGGCAGGCAAGTGCACTGCTGCCAGGTACCTAGATAGGTGAGCAAATACATCACGTTGTGCGCGATTCTGCTCCTGTGCAAGAGTCTTTCATAATTTCTTCATGTATGTAGGTATGTTGCACGGAGTGCAAGTGCTCGCTCCTGTTCGCGTTCATCACTGCGTCTGCGCGGCGACGGAGCTTTCCCAAACTGCTTTACGTCATAGTAAAACGAGCTCAAGCTCCCGCCCCATCAAGCCAGGGTGGATATCGACTTCTTATGGCTCAACGTGCACTTGGGAGTACCTTTGATAGGAAGATACCTCGACCGGGAGGGGGGGAGGGGGTGATAGACAGGGGGTGTGAGAGCGATTGGGGTGGCGATAGCCATTGCCTCGCCCCAAGCTGGTGGCCTGTCAACAGCCAGCAGTTTTTCCCTGGCAAAAGGCTTTCCTGTCTACAGTTATTGCGACTTCCGTGAGAGAGAGACAAAACGAAGCGTCTGACAGAAAGAGACGTGAGGCGCGCGCAGTGCGCGGCAACAAGGAACTAGCAACAAGCAAGAATTACACGCATCTACAAATTGAACTCACGCCTATGAGGACTACAGGTGCTGTCTACAAGATCTACCGTTTGACCAAACGGTCTACTGAATTGAAAAAGAAGCTGCGTTTATCTCTATAAGGGCAGTTGCGCTACTTGGTAGGCGCAAGGGCAAGAGAAAGCACCTTCCGCCGTGGGCGACAGTCACGGCGGGAAAGAACTTATCAATCTCAGCAGCTCGTCAATGCCAACAGCTTTTCAAGGTCCTAATAGATGGCAGCGATTGCTGAAAGACGGCAGAGACTGCTGATAGAAGGTAGAGACTAGAGAGTACTGTAGAGACCCAGTAGCTCTCGAAGGCGCCAATAGCTCTTAAAGCTGACGGCAGCTTTTGGCCAGAAAACAAGATATTTTCTCTTATTCTGGTAAGTGACATCTCAGAGGACGCAACTGGCAGTCTGCTCTACCTATCCCAAGCTGTCGTCAAGCTTCGCCTAAACAGCTGTTTTGCGCCTCTATTGGCTGTCACACTCTCTACCCAAATCACCCCCCCCCCGCGCGCGTAGGAAGAAAGCACGAATGCTCCAAGTAGCGTACTTTGTACACTCTCTGAGGATGTACTAGCAGGCAAGTACCTGAACGAGCATGTGCTTCGCTTGCTGCAAGGCCTGAAGCAACTAGTGACGTGATGGATCAGCTCCCCAGTCCACCTCTTCCTCTCCTCCTTCTTCCAGCCAACTCTTCCTCACATTTCTGTTCCCTTTCCCTTCCATTTCCTACATCCTCTCCCGCAACTGTGCATCAACGCAGACTTCACTTTCGCACTTCTTGCCCTCTCAACGCGCTAAACTTAATTCCACATCAACCTTATTTCTGCTCTGCTGTCTGCCGCCTCTCTTCAGTATCCGAGCCCGACGTCGATAGAGCGTTCTCCAGCATTCGCGGCCCTTCCGCCTCTGCTGCAGCATCATGAGGCATCTCACGGTGATTCTGACGGCTCTTGTCGCCGCTTCTGCCACCGTCGCCAGCAGCTGGTTTCCCGGCACAAAGGCTGGTACGTACATGAGCCACCCCTTGTTTCAGTGCCGTTTGCTTGCGTACCCCACGACTCGCTCTTCCAGCTAACCGCATACTCTGTATAGCTTACAACAAGTGGCACGAGTCGGAGCTCGAACGCTGGCTCTCTGACCATGACGTCCCGTATCCCACGGCGGCTGATCGTGCCGATTTGGAGGCGCTTGTCGACAAAAACTGGAACGATTACATCGTCGAACCTTACAAGAAATGGGACACGGCTCAACTGAGCAACTTCATCCATGCCAAGGGCAAAGAGGCGACCGCCGAGGCCGACGAGACCAAGGACAGCCTCGTCGCTCAGGTCAAGGCCAGCTGGTACGAAACGGACGATAATGCTCGCCAGGCCTGGGCCAGTGTCAAAGACTGGATCTTTGACAGTTGGACTGAAAGCCAGCTCAAGGCCTTCTGCGACAAGAACAACATTCCTGGTGCGTTTTCCCGGGCTTTTCAAGCTCAATTCACCCCGTCTTCTAAGGCACCCCATATGCCCATTCATTTGCAGACGCGGACGTCCTTGCATACCTGCTAACTGCCCAAATTGCCCCCTTGCAGTCCCTCAGCCACGTCATCGAGATACTCTCCTCCAAAAGGCTCGCTCTGGTTATGAAACAACCGCGAAGAAGCTGGGCGAGACTGCTGCTTATCCGGGCAACTGGCTCTACACGGCCTGGTCCGAGTCTGATCTCAAGTCTTGGCTCGACACCAATGGGTTCCCGGTCCCTCAGCCATCAACACGAGACAAGCTCGTCGCCGCGGTGCGCCGGAATTCTCGGCTTGCCTATCTCAAGGCCCAGAGAGACGCTGCCAGCGCGACTGCCAGTGCCCAAGCCGCGTACTCGACGCTGACTGACATGATCATTGATGCCTGGGGCGAATCTCAACTAAAGGAGTTTTGTGACAAGAATGGCATTCCCGTCCCACAGGGTACTCGGGCCAACGAACTCCGCGCCCTCGTTCGCAAGAACCGCGCCGAGATCCTTGGCGATACTGCTGGCGCCAGTGCATCTTCAGCCTTCGGTGCCGCCACATCCAAGGCCAGCAACCAGTTCGCCAAGGCTTCGGATGATGCTTCGCTGGCGGCCCAGGATGCGTTCAACCAGGCAGTGGGAGCATGGTCCGAGAGTCGCCTGAAGGCCTACCTCGATTCTCGTGGCGTTCCCGTTCCCCAGATGTCCAATGTGGACGAGCTTCGGGCGCTTGTCCGCAAGAATTCCCACAAGGCTTGGACGGGCGGCAATGCCTGGACCTTTGATGACTTGTCACGCAAAAGTTTGAAGAATTACTTGGCCAAGAACGGGGATGCGGCAGCCAAGGCTGCGGCTGAGAAGAAGGATGCTTCTCGTGACGAGCTGCTTAGCGTGGCACACTCGGCTTACTCGTCGGCTTCGACCGCAGGCGGGGCCGGCTTTGCTTCCATGACGAGCGCCATCGCAGCGGCCACTGGAACTGCTAAGACGGATACTTTCGATGCTTGGTCGGACACCGACCTCAAGGCATATCTCGACAGCTATGGCGTCCCTGTTCCCCAGGGATCCAAGGTCGAGGAGTTGAAGGCTTTGGCCCGCAAACACTCGACGTACTTCAAATATGGCACATCGTCTCCTGGCGGAACGCTCTTCGCTAAGCTCGAGGAGACGGCCAAGGATAGCTGGAAATGGGTTGCTCAGCAGCTCAATCTGGGTAACCAAGCGGCTCAGGACAAGGCAGCCGAAGCCGAAGCAGCAGCCAAGGCTAAAGCTAAAGAGGCCAGGGAGGAGCTGTAAGTGCATGGACGACGGTTTGGTAGTATTCTCCGCTGGTCTCCACGTTGAAATCGTGACAGTTATGGGGAACAGTCAAAAAACGTGCTTTGTGCATGACGTTATCGACCAACGATGTCTATGAAGCTATGACTGGGGCAGAGCAGAGTTTGACGCTTCGGGATGCGGTACACCAGGGAAAGTGACTCTTTAGTCTAGTTTACAGTTGCTTCTTTGCGGCGCATTTGGCAAACTATCGGCCTTGGCTGGATGTCGTGTGCCTTAAAGTTGGGCGTGCAACCAGTTCTTTTTGGCGAGGTGAATTGGGTCCGTGGTTGGCGTCGTTGTGCAACATGTGCGCTCTCCGACCAACTACGCCGGGCCTCAATCAGGCTACGAGACAGTCAAGCAGCGCAATAAGATGCTGAGGGGCAGAAACGGCTGTATGTGCATCATGGCAAGAAAAACACTACATGATAACCCAAGCAAGAATTTTGTCGTTCCGCGATTTCTGCCTAGTGTTTTGACATACATATCTGTATTGACCCAACGAGCCAATGTCTTATTCGAGGCCTTCACCGGGCGCCTCAGCACAACTCCGGCAGTCAGGGGCCTGTCTCTGTGCTGAAAAGCCGCGCTCGCCTCAATCAATGGTCTGTGCTTGTGGTTGAGATGACTCCACCGGTTGACCAGACCGAGGCCATTGGTAAGCAGTCGCAGTATCCTCGTGAAAATGAAACATGGCTCAACATGCATGGCGAGGTCATCCGTGCCTAGAATCACGGGGGCTCCGACGCACCAAGGCTGGCCCGCAAGCCCGAGGGCGAGTTGAGATGGCCCCAACTCGGCCATTGTTCATGTCGAGTTTCATGACGCGCTAGACGACAGACTCTTACGCCCACAGCCTACAGGTTCCGTCCGCTCCTGCGCTCAAGCACCATGGGTGCCGAGGGTGCCAGTCCACGTCCATGACTCCAATCTTGTTGACGACCGTGTGGCCCCGGAGCATCTTGACGGGCACAATGGTGGCGCTTTCCATCAAATCACTGACGACCTTGCCGTGGAATATCTGCAACGTCCCATCATCGCTGGCGTCGGCGAACAGCGGCAAGCCCCTGTGATATTTGACTGCTCGGATTGCCTCGGTGTGGAATCTCATGGTCTTGTACGGTCGGCTTGACAGGTCCAGGTCGTGCCACAGCAGCCTTCGGTCATACGACCCGGCAATCAAGTTGTCCCCCCCCGGATGGACGTCAAAAGACGAAATCCAGCGAGCCCCTGGTTGTATCACCTTGACAAGCTCCTGCCTCTGCAGGTCGTAACACCGGATCATGCGCTGCGTGGCGACGAAGAGGAGCGGCCGTGAGGGATGAAATTGGGCGGTCTGGGCGAGTCCAGGCAGCCGGCGAAAAGGAATTTGGCTTAGATGTCTTGAGAGCGTATGAATGGTGACGGAGCTCCGTTGCCCGGTTGGTGAGACGGTGCAGAGGAAGTCGCCGCGTCGGTGCCAGCTCAACGTCTTGATCGGCGTCCTCACCGTGGCCTTGATAAGCACGCCAGCCTCTTCAAGCTTGGAGCCTGGCCGAGACCATCGTGCCGGCGGTTCTCGTTGCGCACCGTTGTGGACGGCGAGCGATTGGGCGCCATTAGCTGCATAGCCGAAACCAGCATCTAGAACGTCGCGGCTCGACTTCTGAACCAAGTCGCTGCACAGAGGCGGCACCATGAAGAACAAATCCTCTCCGGTGGCGGCGGCAAGAACAAACGTGTCCTTGTTGGGTCGCCAGCGAACGACGTTGACCGGTTCTTCAGAGGCAAGCCTGACGGTCCAGTCCTGATGTCCGTTGAGCGCCCACACACGGACAGTGCCATCATCGCCACCAGATGCAAGCCATTCTCCGTCGGGGCTAAACGCGATCGAGCGCACTCGCCCATCATGTCCCCTGAATATGGTTTGGCACATTGTTGGGAATGGTTTGAGCTCTTCTGGGCGGGGGAGCTTGGGAAGCAACGAGTTGGGGTCAATGTTCAGCCTGTTCTTGCGGATCCTCGGGGCTAGGTAAAGATCCAGACACCTCTCAAACCTCTCCTTGACGAACCCAGCATAGCCAGGCACTTTGCGCAGGGAGTCAAATTTGGCTGGGAGATAGTCTTTTTCGCGATCTTCAGCATCCGTGTTCTCCCAAGCTAGTCTTTCCTCGGCGGTTGGCAGGTATTCCGGAGGCGGGTTGTAGCTGAGATCGTATCCAGGAGGTGCCAGCTTGGGGGCAGGAATGCTCATCACATGGGGCTCTTGGGGTTCTTGGTTGGCCCAAATGTCGTAGCAAGATCCCCTTTCCTGCTCTTCCTTGTCGCCGGTCTCGGGGGGTTTGTAGGGCAGGATGCGCCCATCTTTGATGGCCCGCACAAGCTGCGCTACGCGCTTAGCCTCATGCTTGGATGGAACAAACCTGCGCTTTGGTTCTGGCGCCGCACTCAAAGGCATTTTCTCTTCGGTGCTGGTGAAGTAGGGGACCAATTCCTGGATGCATGTCAGCAAAATACACTGCCTGGTAACAAAGAACCGCATAGGAGCGTACGGGATAGGGGTCGTAGCCGTCCTCGGGCACCTCGCCGGTTTGCAGTCGCCGGAGCAGCTCCAGTTCGTCTTGGGTAAGATTCAGTGGCTTGCCGGTCTGGGGATCTGTCAGGCCAGTCCAGCCCTTGGGCAGCTCGATGCTGTCCAACAAGGCGTCGAGAGCCTCGCCAGTAGCGGGGCGCATGATTTTCTTGCCGTTGATGTCGTACCCAATGTGAGGGTACGAGTCGTAAAACGAGAGCGGAATGTCTCCAATGGTGTTGACGGGCTCCTGCGCGTCTGAGTCGTCGCTGTCGTAAATGGGATCGATCTCTTTGTACTCGTACCGCTCGCCCCCGTTGGCGTCAGCGACAATGCGATACGTAGGGCGGCTCATGACTGAGTGGCTGGCATCTACGCCCTTGTCGTCGCCAGAGTGTTCGAGCTCATCCTCGCTGGAGGCACTGTGCCCGTCCCAGTCGCTGCCTTCCAGGTTGGATTCCTCTTCACTGGAGCTGGGAAGCTCATCCTCCGATCCGTCATCGCTCTGCGAAAGGATGCCTTCCAGGACGTCGCCATCGAATTCGTCGCTATCGGAGACATGCGCGACTGCGGCAAGGCTTTTCCGCTTGCGAGAAGATTGGGGGCGACTCATTGAGAGCGATTTCAATCTGGATGTTGTGACTAGAAGCGAAAAAGTCGGGATCGCGCACACCCGGAGCGCAGCGAAATAAAGAATTAAACCGTACTGGCAGATTTGTCTGGCTGAGGAGGTTTAGCACAATCTTCTTCTCAAAATACGATCACCGCCGTTTTTTTTTTCTTTTACATACCTGTATAGATCCTTATCTTATCCCGCGGGGTCAATCCTCTCATTAGGTAAGCAGTTATGCATCTTCCACTGTGCTCTCAAGCCACTGCTTAGGAGCAAAGAACAATCGATAGCCTCCACCGACAAATTCCTACGCAATTAAGGGCTATTGTCGGAGGATCAACCGCTGACATTGTCTCAAAGCGTGTCGTCGACACCTACTGAAGAATCTTTGCGAGGTCTGGAACGAGAGAAGGCACCGGTACAGCTCCCTTGAGCGACGCGATGGAATGGGGATTATTCTCCGACATGAGTATTTCCAGCGTTGCAAGTAGACTGAAATAACTGCAGCCGTCTGAGGCGTAGCGGTGTATTGCAGAGGGCGTCAACTACCTACTGATGCAGCGCGCGAACAGAAACGCGAGGCGGCCCAATATGGAAACAACGGCCTGTCAGATACGACCTGGTGTTGTCATGCTGACGTACTGACGGCCGATTTGCGTCGGGAGAGTCCGTCTCCCCGCCTGATTGACGCGCCCGCTCCCAAGGTTGCACACTCCGCCGCGGTATAACGACCTGGATTGCCATCACATCACGCGAACGCCCTTAGGAAACGAACGCTGAATCAGTCACCTCTCTACCCAAAAGCAGGGCGAAGTCTAGAGAGAAAAAGGGCGGAGAATTTCCAGGAAAAGCAGCGCTACATCCGCCATGGCCGGAAAGAATCAGGATCGATTGCAAGCGATTTATGGCGTCGTCGCCCATTCGGCTAGCCAGACAGAAGTAAAGGTCTTGGACAGTGCTCTCATCGTGGTTGACTCGGCCGGTCGAATCGTGGCGCTGGAAGCCGACTTGCCAAGGGCCGATATTGCCTGGAAACTGGCGGAGCTGAACCTCGACCAATGCCCCGTCAGGGAGCTTTCCCGCGAGCAGTTTCTCATCCCAGGCTTCGTCGACACCCACAATCACGCTCCTCAGTGGATGCACCGCGGCTTAGGTCAGGGCATGCAAATCCTCGACTGGTTGTCCAAGATTGCCTTTCCGAACGAGGCCCGGCTAAAGGACACGGCTTATGCCAGGAAAGCGTACAATGCCGTCGTGACGGGGATGCTCAGGCAAGGCGTCACCACGGCAAGCTACTACGGATCACTGCATGGTGAAGCCACGGAAATACTGGCTGACATCTGTCTTGACAAAGGCCAGAGGGCGCTCGTGGGCAAGTGCAACATGAACAGAAACTCGCCTGATTACTACCGCGACGCAAGTGTGGACGAGTCCCTGCGAGTCACAAGAGACTGCATTGCCCACATCAAGAGCATCGACCCCGAGGGCAAGCTGGTGCGACCAGTGTTGACACCTCGCTTTGCCATCTCCTGCGAGGAGTCGCTTCTGGCTGGACTCGGCGAGTTGGCTGCGGAGAACCCCGGCATGGCCATTCAGACGCACTTCAACGAGTCCGAGCAGGAAACGTCGACCACTCTGTCACTTTTCCCGGGCTTTGCGAATGAGGCGGACCTCTACGCTCACTACGGTCTGCTCACCCCCCACTCCATCCTCGCCCACTGCACCCTCATGACGCCGTACGAGATGCAACGCTTGCAGGGTCTTGGTTGTGGCATTGCGCACTGCCCGACCGCCAACATGACCGTGGGAGGGGGTTTCATGGCGGCTCCTGTGCACGAGTTCCTCGAGCGCGGTATCGATGTTGGCCTGGGGACTGACTCTGGAGGCGGCTACTCCCCGTCCATCCTAAACGCCATGCGTCATGCACTAGTGGCCTCTTTTGCCCGCGATTTCATCTATGCTAAGAACGGGGATGCTTCGTTGTCGCTCGACCAGGTCTTCCACATGGCCACCATCGGGGGGGCGCGTGTGGTTGGATTTGGGGACGAGATCGGTGATTTTACCATTGGGAAGCAGTTCGATGCGCTGCTAGTAGACATGGGCACTTTGCGAGGCGGCGTGGCCACTCCCCTGCAGCCCGAGGACTCCTCTAGGACCATGTTCGATAAATTCATTATGACAGGAGACGATCGGAATATAGTGGCTGTGTTCACCCAGGGGAGAGAGGTTTTTACTTCTTAATATAGTTCGGCTCGCAGGCTGTTCCACGTAAAGAGGGAATTAAACGCTTGCTTAAAAAATATTAGGGGACTAAAGCGGTATCTTTTTTTTATTACTCGCATGCAGCCTCTAGGGCCATAGCAAGGCTAATAGGGGCCTATGCCTCTATTAGTAGTCCTAGCTAGCTATAGGGCCCGGGGGCTTATAACTAATTAGGGAAAGTATAGCTATAAAAATAAAGATAAAGGAAAGGTTAATTTAGTTCCTCCTACGTAGTGTTTTTCCCCTTTAATAGCCCTAGGGCCCTTAGGTTACTCCTTTTTAAGATAAGTATTACTATTTATATAATAGTATATTACTATTTATATACTTAACCTATTTTTAAGATATATACTAAAGCTAGCCTACCCTACCTATTTATACCGCGCGTACTTAGTAAGTACCTATACTACCTAAATACTTATACTTATACTTACGCCCGCTTATATATATATATAGCCTATATATATAACCTATATTATTATTATTATTAAGATTATACTAGGGACCTAGCTAAAGGTATCTAGAACTTTAATATTAAATAAGAAGGAAAAACTAAAGTACTTAAGAGGAAACCCTCCCTTCTTTTAATATAGGTCTATCTTAAACGAGGTTATAGTAGTAGTATATAGGAAATTTACGCTAGCTATTATAGGCTTCTCCCGCATATTTATATTTTAGCGTAGGCCCTCTTAGGCTATAGCCGCTAGACTTAAAAATACTTATAGGTATTTACTTATAGGCTACTTATTATAAGAGTCTTTAACTATTATAGGTAATAGGCTTAGGCCGCGGCCTAAGCTATATAGTCACGTACGGAGGGCCGGATCCTATAAGTATAGGGGCGGGCTAGCCGCGCATAGAAGAGCTCTATATAGCTTATTAATATTATCCTATAAACGGCACCTACGTATACGCCTCTGCCTACTCCGTGATAGTATAAGCTATTAACTAATAGATTTAATAGATATCTCCCCGGAAAGGGTGCCGCTTCCCTAAGGGAGCACCCCGCTACCCCCTAGGCGGATAGGAAGTATTATAGCTATCCTAGAAGCGATTAGAAGCGCGACGGCTAGCGAGAAGAACGAGGTTCTCGCTATACTAAGGGAGCCGTCTACGAGACTAGCGTTAACCCCTACGACCTTAGCAACACCGGTTACGGCGGCGGCACTACTAATACGGAAGCCGCTTCCCTAGCCGACTTAAGACGGTAAGCCTAAGTCCTTCTACTTCTTCCTTAGCCGGCTATAGACGAAGTTTATAATAGACGAGAAATAGGGCCTAAACGGCTATCGTAATATAGCGTAGTATTCGCTCCTCTATATGCTACCGGAGCCCTAGATATAGCAGATCTCCGGATTCTAGGATAAGGGCGGCCCTAGAGGTAAACGCGACCTATAGGACTTCTTCTAATACCTTATATATACGTTCGGCAACGTATAGAAGTAGGAGAAGGCGTAGGATAGGCTATAGACCCTTAAGTAGAGGGACGGGTAAACCTTTAGCGAATTCCTCCCTAACTTTAAAGAGACGCTCTTACGAGTAGCGGGAACCACGGTATAGGAAGATAGCGCGAAGCTTATATAGTTACGGAACTCGATTACGCCGGCCTTATAGGAGCTACTTATCCCCGTAATTATACCTACTAACTACGGCGAGTATATAAGCCGGTTAATAAAGGTAGTATAGGGCTATAAGTAGACGCCGCGTTTCTAGAAGCTTCGTAAGCGTACGCCGTATAGCGGTAACGGGATTACCGCCCCTCTATAAGAGGAATAGCCGACTATCGATACTAATAGAGATACCCTAATATCGGCTACCTATATAGACCGAGCTAAACGCGGTAGGAAGTTATCTTCGAATATCCCCTATACTATCCCGCTCTTTAAGTAGCGGGCGAAGTAGGTAATAAGCGAGGAAATTAGGAAAAGGAAGGCTAACGGCCGCTGCCTACGTTACGGCGCGTCTATATACTTTATATTAAAATGCCCCTTCCTTTTAGCTAAGCGGCCTATAGTAGTTTAAGTAGCGAAGATAGAACCGCTCCTTACCTTAGACGACGAAGAGGACTCCGCTCCCTTAGGCCTAGAGGAAAAAGAGTAGCTCCGGAGTAAAGATAGGCTCTAGAGCTCTAATTACTAATACTAGTAAAGGAGAAGGAGGAATTATCCGCTTATATAGAAGAGGAGCCTACTTTAATATAGGTTATAGTTAATAACTCCTTACCTATCGCCGCCCTTATAGATAAGGGCTACTAGTACTACGCCGTAGTTAACGAGGCGCTTATATAAGAGATATAAGTGCTAGTAGAAAAGATCGCCTTAAGGCGAGTAAAGGGCGCCTTAGGCGCGATAGAGGGTACGGTAATTAGGGGTATTATATAGCTAGCTATAAAGGTCGATAGTTACTATAAGCTTATCGTAGCCTATATAATCCCCTAACTAGAGTTTCCCTTAATCCTCGGGAAACCTTAGTTATTATATATAGAGTTATACTTAGTTCTATACTAAAAGAAGCTATAGTTTAGGCCTATATAACGGTAGGTCCGCTATAACGACGGTTCTATAGGCATAGGACTAAGCGTATAAGCTTTATACTTAGTATAAGAAGTCCTTACCTCTATCTTTATAAGAACCGTGCGACGGTTAGAGCGGGAGGAAGGCCGGGCAGCGGCTAATATAGCGGTCTACGTAGTTAGCTTAGCGGATATCGATAAGGCCCTCTAGGCGAAGAAGCCGAAGTCGCCCTCTAAGCTATAGTAGTAGATACCGGAGCGCTTTTACGACCTCCTACCGCTATTTAAGTCCTAGGAAGCGGATAAGCTTAACTTATATAAGCTAGGGGTAGACTATAAGATCGTACTCTATACTAATAAGAAGGGGTAGGAACTGCCTATACCGTTTAGACCGCTATATAGTATATTATACGCGGAACTGCTAGTACTAAAGAAGACGCTAAGGGACCTTTTAAATAAGGGTTTTATTTAAGTAAGTAGCTCCGAAGTAAGAGCGCCGGTCCTATTTATATATAAACTAAGGGGCGGGATATAGTTCTATTACGACTATAGGGCTCTAAACGTAATTATAAAGCTAGACCGCTACCCCTTACCCTTAATCTTAGATACGCTTTATAACCTTTTAAAGGCAAAGTAGTTTATAAAGCTAGATATAAAATAGGCGTTATATAAGGTATAGATCTTAGAGGGTAATAAGTAAAAGACAGCGTTTTATATACGCTATAGCTTATTCGAGTAGCTTATAACGCCCTTCGGCCTCTTAAGAGCGCCCGCTACCTTCTAGCATTATATTAATAACGTGCTTTAGGACTTCCTCGATAAGTTCGCCTCTATATATATAGATAATATCCTTATCTATATAAGCGGCTCCTACGAGGACTATATATAGAAAGTATAGAAGGTCTTAGAGCGCCTTTAACTTTATAGGCTCTACCTTAACCTAGATAAGTGCGAATTTAGGGTTAAGAGGGTTAAGTACCTAGGCTTTATTATCTATACTAGCATAGGTATATAGGCGGATCCTATAAAGATCTAGGCGATTTAGGACTAGGCTGCCCTAACTACGTAGATAGGCGTATAGAGCTTCCTTAGGTTCGCGAACTATTATAAGATATTTATTAAGGGCTTCTCCTATATTATAATGCCCTTAAACGAGATTACCGGAAAGCGGACCGCCTTTCGCTAGGGGCCTATATAGGAAGGAGCGTTCTATACGCTTAAGGACCTATTCTCTTAAGCCCTAGTACTACTCTAGTAGGACTTCGACCGGTCTACGTTAGTTAAAGCGGACTATAGCGGCTAAGCACTTAGAGGAACGCTCTCTTAGGAGGTAAACGGGCGGAAGTAACTAGTAGCGTTCTACTCCTATAAGCTAACCTTAGTAAAGTAGAATTACGCTATTTACGATAAGGAGATACTAGCGATTATTAGCTACCTTAAGTAATAGTAAGCGGAGCTCTAGAGCTATAAGAGCTTCGAGGTTCTTATAGACTATAGGAACCTTAAGTACTTATAACTCGCTAGCACCTCTCAGAGTAGTAAGCCCGCTAGGCGGAGTATCTCTTATACTTTAACTTCTCGATTAAGTACCGGCTAGGGCGGGACTCCGTAGTCCTAGATACGCTTTCCTAGAGGGATTAGGACCGGCCGACGGGAGCGGATATCGAGGCCTAGGATCTATAGCTTATCCCGTAAGAAGCGCTACGGACTTATATAGGAGCTTCCTTAGTAAAGGAAGGCGCGGCGCTAATAGATAAGCCTTCCCTTATACCTTCGCCTCGGCCTAGCAAGGAGGGATAGACCGGCCTAGGGGCGCGTACAGCGCGGGTATTCTAAGATAAGGTCCTCTAGCGCTTATAGGATAGGATATCGTCTCTAGACCGTACCTACGAGAGCGTGCGCCGCGCCGTTAAGTCTAGCGCTCGACGCCTCGATTTAAAGCTAAAGCTAAAGGTATAAGTAGCCGACTATTATATCGACTTATAGGGGCACCTACGTTAGCGGGGGAGACTATAGGTGCCGGGCGCGCTATATACTATAGAAGCTAGGGAGAAGGATAGACCGCCGGAGCTAGACGAACGGAACGAGCTCTAAGGGAAGCTAGTCTAGCTCGTCTATAACTCTAGTATTATAGGCTACCTAGGTAGGCAGGGCATAGTAGTAGGCCTCGCGAGGGATTTCTACTAGCCCCTCCTATAGCACTACGTTCGCCGCTTCCTCTATAACTACGATATCTACGGCCGTACTAAGATTTAAAGGGCGTAGCTTAAGGGGCTACTTAAGTAGCTTCCGGTACCCGACCAGTTCTATATATATATATAGATAGACTTTATAACGGACCTCCTACTTATAGAGGGCGGTAACCGCTATATATAGGTAATTAAGGACCGACTTAGTAAGTCTATAGTATTAAAGCCAATACTATCTATAGATATAGAGTCTTATATAAAGCGCTTCCTATAGTACTAGGCCCGCTCGTATAGCTAGCTAGCCTCTATTATAAGTAATAAGGGATCGAATTAAACTAGCCGCTTTTAGTAGCACCTATACTAGCTACTTTAAATTACGTAGCTACTTAGCACGGTATATTACCTATAAACCGACGGAGGGCCCGAGAGGGTTAACTAAGAGGCATAGGCTTACCTATAGGCCGTCGTAGCCTATAACTAAGTAGACTAAGACCGTTAGCTCCCCGCGGCCTAACTTACGTTAAATAGTAGACTATATACCTTTATTAGGATAGCCCCTTTCTTTATAATATATAGCTTCGAACTACCCTTACTAGTTCCTTTTACTATAGACGTAGTAGCGGAGTAGTATAGTAATTCGTTACTAGAGGGCTATGCCTCCGCGTTTATATAAAAGCTATAGGAGACTACGGATTATTACTAATCCGCGATAGCCGCCGCGGCGTAAGATTAAGAGCGGTACGCTAATAAGACTAGGGCCCTAGTAGATAGGTTTACGGTAGGAGATAAGGTATAGCTAGACCTCCGTAACTATAGGTCGGCACGGCTAAAAAAGAAGCTTAACTAGCTATACGCGAAGTTTACGGTATAGAGGGTTATTAGCCTATAGGTTATAGAGCTTAATAGTCTCTTAACGGGGGTCTATAATAAGATTAATATAGACCTCTTTTATAGAGCTTCCTTTAACCCGCTGCCCGGATAAGAAGTAGCAGACGCTTAACCGCCTATAATTAAGGTAGAGGGAAAGGACGAGTTCGAGGTTAAAGAGATATAGGCCGCGCGCTAGAAAAAGGTCGGTAGGGGGAAACGCTAGGAGGTCCTCGTTAAGTAGCGCGGGTATCTCGACCCTATATAGGAACCTATATATAAGTTTACGGGAACTATAGCCCTCGATAAGTTTAAAGCCTTATTTAGAACGGTAGATAAGAATAACGGACTAGCGGACTACTAATAGTAGCCTAGGTAAGGACTATAAAGTAGGTATAGCGGAGGGGGCAGTTATAGTAATATAGGCAATATAAGCGCAATAATATAGGCGGAGATAAAAATAGCGTTTATTATAAGGCGGAGCCCTTAGATTACCTAGGCCTATTCCTTATCGTTATTATTATAATTATCTTTATTATCGTTATCCTCGTTAGCCTCCTCCTTCTTATTAGCGGCGGCGGCGGTCTCTAGGGCGCTAAGGCGGCCCTCTAAGCCCGTAAGCTAGTCGGCGGCGGCGGCGGCTCTAGGGGCAAAGGGGCGGCGGCTAGCGGCGGCGGTAGGGGCAGCGGCGGTAGCGGAGGCGGGCACGGCTAAGGGGACCGCCGATAGGGCGATAGAGGTAGTATCCTTAGCGCCGGGTACGTTAAAGGCGAAAATAGGGGAGCGGAGGAGTAGGACTTACTTAGGTATAAGGCCCTATCGCTCGAGGGCGCGGAGGTTACGGTAGGCGGCGGCGGCGGCGGTAAGGCGCTTCTTAGTAGCCCCCTACGCCTGCCCGTGCGAGCCGGCCTTCTAAGCCGACGCCGTAGTAAGTAGGACGGGAGGCGCCGCCTTATAAGCGCGGCCGGCTCGCGCGCACTAGTAGTAGCTGCCGCCGCGGCGGCGCCCGGCCTAGTCGGAGTAGTCGAGCTCCTACAACGTATAACGTATATAGGGGGCCGAGCGGGCGGCGCCGGCCTATACTTAGCGCTTATGCTATAGGAGGTTAGCGGACAACGTTTATTACGCTTACCTAACTACGGACTTACGGGGGTAGCGGAGACGGAGGCGAGGGCTAAGGGGCCGGGCGTTATAGGTAGCGGCGGGGATAGCGTCGTTACCCTAAGGGGCGACGTAAGAGCGAATAGCGTAGTAGAGGCGGCGGCGGCGGCGGTAGGAGCGGTAGCAGCGGCGCGGGCAGGAGCGACGGCAGCGGCGGAGTCGTCGTCGGCCGCGGCTAGCACGGCGTTAACAAACGACTCCGCACGCTCTAAGAAGGAGGAGGTAGGAGAGGGAGAGGCGGATATATCTATCGCGGAAGTTAGCACGACGGAATACGGCCTCCCGCTCTATAAGGCGCGGAACTTACTAGTTAGAGTTATTATTATTATTAGGGCTATTATTACTACTACCGCTACTACTATAAGCATACGTTAATAGAGCGGCCTATATAGCTAGGAACGGACTAACGCCCTAGGTAGAGCGGAACTTACTTATTAATACTACTACTACGGTTAAAGAAGGGAGAGAAGGAAGGGAAGGGGGAAGGGGGGGATGCCGCTTTATATACCCCTTAGTAGAGGATACTACCTAAGGTAGAGGGGACGGGTAACCTAAGGCTTACGTAGGTCCGGACTAGCCGCCGGCTACCTAGGAGCGTATATAATAGGTTATGCCCCTATTTAAACGGCTAGCCGGCCGACGATTATAGAGCTAGGTCCCGGCTGCCCGGGCTAACGGGCGCGGGGATAATAGGGCTAGTAGGGCCGGCCCTATTAACGGGAAAGGGTAGGGAAGAGCCCGCGGCACGGGCCTAATTATACGGGAGCCGTTAATAGGGCAGCGCTATACCGCGCTCGAGGGAGGGCATTATATAAGAGTCTTTAACTATTATAGGTAATAGGCTTAGGCCGCGGCCTAAGCCGTATAGTTACGTATAGAGGGCCGGATCCCGTAAGTATAGGGGCGGGCTAGCTGTATATAGAAGAGCTCTATATAGCTTATTAATATTATCTTACGGACGGTACCTACGTATACGCCTCTACTTACTCTATAATACCTATACCTACCTACGGGCTATTTTAGGGCTACTATAAATACTTAGTAGGTAGGTAAGTTTAAAATAAGTACCTAAAAATATATATAGGTATATTTAAGCTACTTATAGGTATTACCTATTTAGTTTTATTATACTAATTATTTATACTTATCTTAATATAAGGTACCTATAAAATATATATAAGCTATATAGCTAAAAGTAGTATTAAATTAAAAGATAAGATCTTATAGATATTATTTATTCTTTACCTTAACTATCCTTTTAATATTTAAAGTCCTATTATCGCGGTCGAATATTCTCCCTATATTTAGTTCTCTTTATAAAGGAGGCGACTATTGCCTCTATTACTATATAGCCTTTTTACTTTTTCTTATAGCTTTAAACTTATTCTTATTAATAAGAGTTAGTTTCCTCTATCTCTTTTACTTCCCTTATCTCCTCTACTTCCTTTATCTCTTTTACTTCCTTTAACTCCTTTACTTCCCTTAACTTATTATTATATAGTAAAGCAATATTAATTATATTATAATCCTTATTTCTCCCTTACTAGCTTTATATTTATATTTAAAGAAAGTCTATAAAAAGCTTTTATTAAATAATATATATAAGCTATAAGTAAGTATAAAATCTCTTACTTTAATCTTAATCTTCTTTATATAGTATTATAGCCTCTTTATTATAATAAATTCTATTAAAAGGATTCCTATTTCTAGGAGTATAAGATATCTTTAAAGCTATATTAAGCTTATATAGCCGATCGTTATACTCTTTTATAAGGTTAATACTATTATTAATCTTTATATCTTAAAGAAGGATACTATCTTATATATTAAATTAAGACTATAAGATCGATAGTATAAATCTCGCCTTTAAGTTTAAGAGTTTTATCTTAGATTACTAATATATATTAATCTACTAGTAAATACTCTAAGCGCGCTTAAGTATTACGGAGTAGGTAGAGGCGTAGGCTTAAGTACGGTCTATTAAAAGAAGGTTAATAATCTATAAAAGGGAAAAAAAAGAGAAGTATAGGCCTAGGCGTAGAGGCCGCTTATATATAGACTTAGCTTAGACCCTAGTCTAGGCCTATATAGGGTAAAAGCCCTTATATTATACCCCTACCTAGCTTTTAAAGAGGCGCGCCTCTAAATAATACCTAATACTACGCTTAGGGGGACGGAACCCTTACGCGGACTACGTACGCCTAGTCGCGGAAAAAACGTTAGTAAATAACGTATAATACCCTCTTAAGCGAGCTTCTTAGATAGACTATATTATTAGTAGGGGCCGCGCCCTAGGAGTCGGGCTTTAGTACTTCTAGCTAAGGAGTAGAGGTATATAAAACGGCGCGTAGCTAGCTTTAGTAAGCTTATAGTATCCCGCCCCCCTTATATCGGCGTATAGTAGTAGCTCTTAGTACTATAACGTAAGGGACGGTACTTTAGTATATAAGGCTCCGCTCCCTCTTATATAGGGCTATATAGGCACTCCCTTTTACTATAGTTATATTATATTAGCGGCCTTCTTATATCTTAGCCGCCCTTTTAGTCGCTATAGGCATACGTCCTATCTATATAGTAGCTACTACTATATATAAGGGGACGCCGACGAAGCTTATAGAGGCGTTACTAAGAATTTTTTTATTATTATTACTTATATATAGCCTCTAGGGCTATAGCGAGGCTAATAGGGGCCTAGGCCCTTATTAGTAGTCCTAGCTAGCTATAGAGCCCGGGGGCTTATAACTAATTAAGGAAAGGGTAGCTATAAAGGTAAAGATAAAGGAAAGGTTAATTTAGTTCCTCCTATATAGTGTTTTTCCCCCCTAAGGGCCCTAGGGCCCCTAGGTTACTCTTTTTCGAGCTACTTAGCTATTCCTATCTCTATTTTAGCTAAGAAGGTTAGAAGGGCTTCCCTTCCTTCCTTAGTGCTATAGAGAAAAGGTAGGCTAAGGGCCTCCTTCTATCCCTTTAAGGCCCGGTAAAGGACCTCTCTTTCCCTCTTATAGTTTAGGCACCTTAGGATAAGGTGCCTAGTTATATACCTTCCTTAGCTAAAGCGGTAGTCGTCTCGGCCTGCCTTATTAACCCTCTTTAAGAAGGATAATAGGAAGCTAGCCCTAAGGAGAAGTTAGTAGTAGGCCGAAAGGGTCGGCCTAGGCCTTCTTATAAGGTCCTTTTCTAGGCTAAAGGCTAAGTAGGGGGTCTTTTAAATAGATATATAGTACTTACCTAAGCCTTTAGCCTTAAGGCCTTTAGCTGCCTTAGTAGCTTAGAAGCCCTTCTAATAATCCTTAGCGGCTTATCGGACCTTTCTTTATAAGTAGCTAATAGAGACTATAGGGGTCCCTTACGTAGGGGCCCCTAGGCCTCTCTTAGCTAGCTAGTTAGCTAGCTTATTACTAAAGATCCCTAGGTAGCTAAGGCACTAGTATAGCCGTATATTATAGAAGGCCTCTAGGCTTATTAAGAGCCTTTTAATATATATAGCGAGGTCTAAGTAGCCCTTAACCTTTTATATAGCGGCTTAGCTATCTATAAAGATATAAGCCTTTATAAGGGGGTTAAGGGGGCTAGACCTTAGAGGCCGAGGCCTCTTAGCTAGGTCCTTTAGGACCCTTAGTATCTCGAATAGCTCTATATCGGCTACTTTAATAAAGGGCCCTAGGTTCTTATAGTACGCCTTACTAGGCCTATTTTCTAGGCCTATCTCGTAAAAGGAGTAGGCGTTAGTCTTTATAAGGGACCCCTTAGGGCACCCCTTAGAGCTATTAGTATAGAAGACTAAGGGCCGTAGCTTAAAGTCTTCTAGGCTAGCTAGGTTAGCTAAGAGGTATTAGTACTACTTCTTAGCTAGAGGCTTAGGGGCCTTTATTATCGTAATAGAGGCCTTAAGCTCTAGAGCCTATAGGGGCTCCTAGCTAGCTTTCCTTCTTTCTAAGCTATAGTTAGGCCCTATAATAGCTACTAGGCCTTTAAGGAGGCAGAAGAGTTACGTATAGGGCCTAATATAGCTTAGGGCTCTTAGGTCGGAGCTTAAGTTAGCGAGGTTATCCCGTATAGCTAGGTTATAAGCCTACCTTATAAGGTAATTCGGTAGGAGGTATAGGGTTTAAAGGGTATAAGAGAGGCATGCCTTTTTAAACTATACCTTTAGTAGTAAAAGGGCTGCTTTAGCTTCTAGGGCCTTAATAGAGGATCCTTTAAAGGCCCCTAGGACTTTTAAAAGGGCCTGGTTCTAAAGCCTTTAGAAAGGCTTTATTAGGCTCCTAGGGGTCTTAGGCCCCCTATATTAAAGCTAGGCCCTATAGTCTACTATTAAGGTTATATAGGCTTAGTAAAGGAAAACATAGTATTATTACGTCCTTTTAGCTACCTTTTCGAAACTAAGCCTAAAATATAAAAAAAGTATATACTTAGAACCCTCGCGAATAGTATATTACGCCCCCCTAAGTATAGCCTCGCGTAGCTACTAGCGGGTATATAATATACTACCGAAGATAGCGAGCTAGGCTAGGTTTTCCCCTATATAAGTAGAAAACCCTTCCCCGCCCTCGCTAACTAATACGTACCCCCCGTAAACGTAACTAAGCCCGGACCTAACCTAGGACCCTAGCCTAGGCCCTAGGCGGGCCCCCTCGACCCCCTTTAATATAGGGGACGAAATAAGCACCTTAGAGGCTAAGGCCCGCTTAAAAGAAGCCTTAGAAGGCTAACGCCCTCTAAGAACCTTAGAAGGGAAGCCTAAAGCCCGAGACTAAGACTAAGGCTAAGGGGATATTAAGATAAAAGATAACGAAATAAGCCTAGTACCTACCTAGGCTACTAGCCCGATCTAGCCTAGCGGGCCTAGCGAGCCTAAGATTAGTATCTTTAGGCCTAGCCTATCCCTACCTTAAGCTAGCTACTTCTAGCTAAACTAGCCCCTTAAGTAGGTAAAGGGATAAAAGAGGGCTGCTCTTAGTAGCCTTATTAGCCCTATGCCTACCTAGCTTATACTTTAATGCCTATAGTAATAGCAGCCCTAGCCCTAGCCCTAGTACCCCTTCCTAAGAGACTAGGCCTAGGGCTTCCTTTAATAGGCCTTATAGGCCCTTAAGGAAGCCTAAAAAATTAAACCCTTTTATAAGACCCTTATAAAAGGGCTCGAAAAGGTAGCTATAGGGACCCCGGACCGCTAACAGCCCCTATAGCAGCCCCCGTACTAGCCTAAGGCTACTTAGTAGCCTAAGGCTATAAAAGGAAATCTTAAAGCTAGCTCGTAAGCTAAGGTCGCCGTAAAGAAGGCGCCTAAGGCCCTAGCTAAGGCCCCGGCTAAGGCCCCGGCTAAGGCCCTAGCTAGGGCCCCGGCTAAGAAGAATATAAAAGAAGACTTCTAGCTTATCTTAAAGCTAAAGAAGGGATCGCTAACGCTAACTATTAGCCCTATTACTCTTCGTAACGAGCTTAATAAGGCTATAAGGGAACTAGCTATATTAGCTCTATTAACTTTAAATAGAGGTAATATAGTTATAATAATAAAAGCCCCTTATATAGTAAAGAAACTTCTAAAGTAGCGGAATAAGTAGTCCTTATACCTTAAGGGACTGCCTATCGAATCGGCCGACCTCCCTACTAGCTAGACTAAGCTAGTAGCTTAGAGTATCCCTAACCTCCTAGAAACCCCTATACTCGATATCTTCGCCGTAAAGGCTAAGACCTTTAGCGGGATCGATATCCTAGGGCAGCCTAGGTAGCTAGGCACCCTAGGCCTAACGTAAAAAGCAGGGTCCGTTATCTTCGTAGTCCTATCGGAGGCTATAAGGGCTAAAT